AGAAAAACAAGCACCCTAATAAATAGATATAATTCTATTAGGCTAGTAGAATAGGCTAATCTAAGAACCGATTAAAAGGGATATTAGACATTAATTAGGAAGCTTATATATCTTGCTATTTTAATAAGACCTAACATTTCTTTCGCTCTTAGGAGACTAAGCTAGTACCTAGGAGATCCGGCTAAATTCTATATATCTGCTACAAGGCATATCCTTAAGTACTTAAGATTAACATAAGATTAAGGACTTATATTTAAAGGAATGAACTGGCCTAGACTAGTAGAGTACTCTAATTCTGACTTTGCTTCTATAAGATCTAATAGGTTATTAATTCTTAGGAATGTGTTTATAGTTGTAGATAGTCCTATTAGTTAGATGAGCAAGAAGTAGAAATCTATAGCTACTTCTACAATGGATGCTAAATACATGGCTATGTGTGTAGTAGCAAAACAGTTATAATGGATTGCACTTACTCTAAGAGATATAGGCTCTACCTATCTTATAGGAGAAAGCGCATTCTAGCTAACACTTAAATAGAAAATGAAGTATATAATTACTTCCCCTATTCTTATTAGAGGAGACAATTAAGCTGCCCTTAGTTTAGTAAGAGATGCACAAATCTCTAATAGGTCAAAACACATTAATGTAGCCTACCATTACTAGAGGGATCTCCTTAAGAAGAATAGGCTTAAGGTTAAGTTNATAATTACTTCCCCTATTCTTATTAGAGGAGACAATTAAGCTGCCCTTAGTTTAGTAAGAGATGCACAAATCTCTAATAGGTCAAAACACATTAATGTAGCCTACCATTACTAGAGGGATCTCCTTAAGAAGAATAGGCTTAAGGTTAAGTTTGTAGGAACAACTAACATAGTTGCTAATAGCCTTATAAAGCTATTAAATAAGTCTCCATTTAAGAGGTTTATTAGTTTACTAGGCATGTAGTAATGTGTGCATAGTCCTAAGTAGGAGAGTTGAAAATAGTGTAGTCCTAGCACACTTAGAGGAGTTACAACTCTATTACAATACGGTAAGGTTCTATTGTAGATAGGTCTATAATAGGCTATAATAAGTAAGGGGATGACAAGGTTAGCTTAGCATCCTAACGCCTCGGCAGAGTAGGATGTTCTTAATAGATTGCGCCCGTAGATACTCTTCTTCTCTTTAATTAATTAATTACATAGCTATATACTATTAGCTCGCTTTCGTTAGTAAAGGTCGCGTCTCTACCTTCGGTTAATTCTATAGGCTCTAGGATTACTTCCTACCGCTAGCTAGAGTATTTTATGTACCCGTTGTACGTCTTATTTTAACTTTTACTATGTTTAACAATTAAATTATACATCTATATACACTAATGTAACGCCCTCTACCTTTAAAACAATTATAAATGCTATAGACTCTCGGGGCGTAAATGTGCTAACTAAGACTATATAGGCGCTACTAACTATAGTTAGAAGTAGTTAAAGCTATTACTAATACTATAGGAGTAATGCTAACCGCGGTAGTAGCTATAGTAGGGGGGGGAGCTACTAGAGCTACTAAATACTAACCGTAGTAGTAGCTATAGTAGGGGGAGGAGCCGCTAGAGCTACTAAATGCTAACTATAGTAGTAGCTATAGTAGAGGGAGGAGCTACTAGAGCTACTAAGTGCTAACCGCGGTAGTAGCTATAGTAGGGGGAGGAGCCGCTAGAGCTACTAAGTGCTAACCGTAGTAGTGTTATCGAGGAGAAGTAAAGGAAGAAGGTAAGAGGAAGCCTTTTATAGGTAGAGGGCGCTATAGTAATAATAGAGATATCTAAAAGTTCACCGATTTAGTATAATTTAACGTTCGATTTGGAGGGCTAGGGTAACCCTATCTAAGGGCAATTTAACTTAGTCGAAATTGAATTAGCTTCGTAGATTCGGTATAATTTAACCTTAATTCGAAGGGTCTTTTTAATTAAGTTAATCTAAGCTAAAGCGCTTAGATCTATAATAAAAACTAGACTATAAGATAGTTATATGTTTGCTCTGTTTAGTAGTTAATTAAGTAGCTATTCTATAGCTACAAACGAAGGAACGCCTACCCTAGGGGTATTATTAAAAAAATAGTAAACTTTAATCCCTTATAAGTTAATCCTTTGTAATTTAAAGGTCGAAAGTAACGTTAAGACTAGTACGAGTAGCGAGCTAGGAAAGTAGAGTCTCTATACGGTTAATACGACTATTAGCGTTAGTAAGCTCGGCCTTAGTAGTAGTAAGGTTACGCTCGAGAAGATTAACTCTTCTAGTAGCTTCCTTAGCCTCGGTAATAGAGCGAGCGGCCTACTTAGTAGCGCTAGTAGTAGTAGTAGATGCTATAGCTATCTATTTATAGCGTGCACCTATATAACTAGCCTTTACGTCGATCTCTATTATATACTTCTTATATCTATTAGATAGGTCCTTCTCGTAGCCCTAGAGGTCCTTTCTAAGCTCCTTATAGCGAGCGACGTCGTTATAGAACTTCTTAAGGAAGTTATTAGTAGTAGTAAGGTTACGCTCGAACTATTTATCCTTAAGCTTCTTACTATCGATAACGCCTCTAAGGTAGATAAGGTAAGTATCGAACTCGTTACGAAGGTCGTTTATAACCTTCTCGTAGGCCTCTATCTTCTAAGCGAACTCGGTTCTATCGAAGTTAAGCTAGGCTATAAGCTCTTTAGTGTCGTCGAGTAGGACGCTAAAGTTAGTACCTTCCTCGGCGGTAGGGCTAGCGGTTAGAGTAGTAGATAGTCTAGTAACGATAAGAGTAGTAGAAGTAGAGGTAGTAATATTAGGTAGGCCCTTAGATTTCTCGATCTAGTTATAGGTACCGTTATAGCGGCGGTAGAGGGCGTACATCTTCTAACCTATCTTTCTAGACTTCTTACTCTAAACTATGTACAGAATACCCTTATTCTTATAGGTAGTGTAGCTACTAGGGGCCTACTTACCTATCTCAGTCTTAGCTATTATATAGGGGTAGATATGCTAGAAGGTAGTCTTCTTAAACATAGTAAGATTAGCGGCGCTAGGGTTAGCGGCGAGGTTAGCGAGGAGCTTATTAAAGTTAGACTTCGAGATATACTAGTAGTTAGTAGTGTTACGATTACGCTATTTACTAATAGGCTAGTCTAGAAGGTTAAGGTTCTTAAGCTAGTCGTACATCTTCTTAGGAAGCTAGTCCTTAAGGCTAGGAGTACTATAAATAAATTAGTAAGCGAATCGCCTACGAATTATACCGAATCCGTACCTATAGTAACTATCTAAGATATTAGGATCTAAGGCCTAATAGACAAACGGACTAAGGCCGCTAGTCTAGAATAACTCCTCCTACTCGTCGATACGGCGCTCCTTAGAGTTACGGCTATCGCGAGAGCTAGTATAAGTAGCTACGCGCTTAGTATTAGTACGAGAAACTAGGGTCTTAGGCTCCTTATCTAAGTCCGTAGTAACGAAGGCGTAGAACTAGTATAGTCTACTAGGGAGGTATATAAGCTTAGGTTCCTCCTCTTTATCTTTAATATTAGTATTAGTTATATAAAGGTCGTTTTCGGCGGACTTAGTAGTAGACTTAGTAGCGGACTTAGTAGCGGACTCGTTAGTAGGCTAGTTAGTAGGCTAGTCGGTATCTATAATCTAGTTACTTTCGGTAGGGGTATAGGTAGTAGTAGATAAAGAGGAGGCAGTAGTAGAGTAGGTATAGCCGCTATTAGCTATAAAGTTGTTAAGGTTATTAAGGTTAAGGCCTTCGAGGTCGAGGGCGCGAGCGCGAGCGTAGGTCTAGTCGTTAGTAGCGTTATTACCTTCGATATAGAAAGGGGAGTTATTAGCTATTATAATACTACGATATTATTATAAGAGGTAAGTATAATAGTAAGAGAGGTAGCGAAGTAAATAGGTGTACGTAGAGAGGTATAAAAGTAGTATAGTGTAAAAGCGACAATAATAATACCGACCGATTTTTCGTATACGGTATAGGCTTAGCGCGTAGGCCGCCGAATTACTACGAATTAGCCTCCGAATTAGATAGATAATAGTATAGAGTGTAAAGCGAGGAAACGAGAGGGCTTAACAACAATGACGATAGATGCTATATATAGAGCTCGGCCGAGAGCTCGGAGCGTGCTAACTGAGGTAAAAATCGGTAAAATCGAGCATGTGTCCGTAAGCCTCGTTTAGTCGACCGTCATAAGCCGAGGCTGGATGATTCTCGGCTTTTGGCACGTCCTAGGACCAAGAGGTCTAAAGCCTCACCAAACAAGACACATCTTGGTTTCTTTCCTCCAAGGTGAGCACGAAGTTGTAGAAAAATCTCGGTGCAGAATCCGAGACAACGTGCAATCAGGTCAGCGCAGTTCTCGCTTCGTTAGGACTCTATCCTCGAGACGAGGCGACAATATACCTTGCCAACTCTCCCTCCACTCTATCCTCGACCAACACTCGTATTCTCTCGAGCGTGCTATGGACTGGACTTCCTTCAAATAGAAGGCAAAAATTGTCGGGACCGCGTTTGGAGGCAATATTCTTATCATGATGGCTGTCAAGGATTGCTGCGGTCACTTTGCGGCTTCGACAGCGGTACAGTTATAGGCATCATGCCAGTGTTATAGATCGCTTAAAAGAAGACGAGTTGGACAACGATGGTATTGTGTGCCCTAGGATGACACCTTCTGGCGACGTTCTTCATGACTGGTGGAACAGACCAGATGATCTGCATGCGACGAGGGCTTCTTCGTTTCTCCATACCCGACGTGTTTCAGGTTACACGATGCCCTATACACGTCTTTGCTAACAACAACCACCTGGTGTTTCATCAGAATATAGGGCTCTTTGACTCTATAGTCTTGGAAGACGACTATAATACTGCGTCTCTTTGCTCTTCACCTCTTGGCCTCGATTGTTCCAACCACTTCCAGTTCAATCCCACTTTCTTTTCAACTCCAAATCTCACGCTGGTCGTGTATTCAATTACATTCTCTTCGCAAGCAACACCTAAATTTTCGAAAATGGTCAACCGCAACTTCCTCCTCGGCGCCCTCGCGGCTGCCGCAACCACCGCCATTGCCCAAGACTCCGGATCAGAAAACATCCGCTTCGGCAATGCCTTCTCCCTCGGCGCCACAAACTCCTACATCATCGAAGCAGAAACCACTCTCTTTCCAGGCAAGACCCAAAGCGGCGACACCCCCCGCCTCGCCCTCTGGCCCGGTATGGGCACCGACCAGAACCAACTCATCCAAGCCATCGTGTTGGGCTCCAGCGATGCCCAAGGCGAACAATGTGGAGGCAAACCTCACGTCAGCGGTGAATGGTGTGCTTTCGCCAGCGCTCTGCAAGATGACGTGCAACTCCAAGGCGACACATTCCCTGTGAAGTCGAACCAAGGCGTCAAGATTCACTGTAAGTTTTCCGCGAGCTTCAATCCCTACCTCTATATCAAAAGTGCACCCACTAACCTCCTTTCCCACTCCCACAGACAAATACGACGAAACCTCTGGCAACACCACTCAAACCGTGTCTGTGGAAGGAAAAGTCGTCTCCACACTCAGCACGAAATCCGGCAAGGCTATCGGCTTTGGCACCGCAGAGGAAGCCCAGAATGAATTCAAGGGTGTGGTGTATGAGCATTCGTACGTCAACACTACTGTCGTGCTCGCTGCTGCAGACGCGCAGTTTGCTTCTACGGTGGGAAAGACTGGCGCCACGGGTAACTTGGTCACCAAGGATAACAAGACTTTCAAGGTTGACAAGATTGTTATTGCCGAGTATAGCTTCCCTGCTAGCGTGTAAGGCGGGGAAAGGAGGTGGAAGAACTGAGAAGTGGATATGTTGATCAAGGTTGGAGCGAGAGAGCAGAGTTGATCTTGTATCATGGTATCGTAGTGATATTGTATTTAGGTGGTTTAATTTAACTTTACTACATCTAGACTGCATGTGTTCATATCTCGTTGACCAATTCACCTTGTACCTTGTGGGTGGGAAGCGTCATTCCATGCAACCGTAACAATCCAATAACGCTCTTTCGTCAAGGTCATCTTTCAGCCAGACATGGCCGAACAAAATAAAAGGCATAACAACACATGAATGCAACCCCTGCTCTTCACCGAATTCAAGCAGTCTCCCCAACCTCATCCTCATCCTCCACAATCGCCGCTTCCTCATCGCTAGGTCGAGGTCTACCGAGCGCAATAGCAGGCAAACTCTGCGTCATATGGTCTGGCACATTATCTTCGCTTCCAACATCGATACCAGATCTACTGGTCACCATGCTACCCTTTCGACTTTTACTCACGATCCCGGGGAACAAGCGAGGTTCGGAAGCATCGAGCGAGGACATGGGCATGGGTGCCATGTCTGGTGGTATGGAAGTCGGTGCGGGACCACCGGCGGGGGAGCCGTGACCATGGCCGACCATGCTGGAAGTGCGGTTATGCTTGCCGCCATGACCAGGGAGACTAACCATGCTAGGCGACTGCGAGATACGTGCAGCTTGAGCGTTGGGGATATAATGATGGTGCGCAGCGGGCGCAGGCAATTGGAAGTTTCCACCACCCTGGTTCTTCGTCTGGAAATACTCGGAGTGATTGAGAGGGTTGGTAGCTGAAGGATTCGTCTGCATAGAAGCAGTAGGCGAGCCTGGGGCGGTGAGATTCGCATTGAATGGGTGATTCGGCTTCAGATTTGACATAGACAACTTGCGCGAGGGGTCGCTAGCTGCGGTATAGCGGTCAATCCTAGAGAGGGAAATCAGTAAACGTCGGCGAATGTCTGCCGGTTTTGGGAAGATTAGCATACATGGCAAGTTCTTGCAACCAAGTCTCGTGGCGGAATGCCTCGCGGATGTTTGGCACGTTGACCTTTGCCATGTCGTTGCCCGCCACTCCGGGGTAGTTGTAGTTTTGACCGAGCCAGCGTTGCTTGACCGAATGTTCGAATCCACTTTGGATGACCGAGTGTTTGGCGAGTTCGCACATATCGACTGCGCTGAGCTTATAGATCTGGGCGGCGACTGCGTATTCTTCGATGAGAGGTTCTTTTGTGAAGGCGAATTGCAGGGGATCGTCGGTGGACAGGGAGACGTTCAGACCACGACGGAAGTAGATAAGGAAAGGGTTACGCTCGTAAGCGAGGAACAAAGCGTTGTTGGACAGGGGAGACATGGCGACACCAATCTGCTCGAGGTAGAAGATGTACTGCAGCAAAGGCACCTTGCGCAGCAACAGACCATGCGAGATACTGTGACAACACAAGACAGCAGCAGCAAGATGATCAGTATCACCAGCTTCACCACAGTGAGGTCTCAGCAGGAATGTGTTGAAACCACGCTGCTTGCGCCAGACGTTGAGCGAAGAGATGTTGGCAAACAGGTAGTAGATCCAGTACGAGTAGGGCGGATTTTGTGCAGTGCTCCACTCGTTTGGCAGGGGGAACTTGCGGTAGATTCTACGCTCCGTCTTGCTCTCATCGTCGACGGAGTCAAAACCAATGACACGCTGCAAGAAGATGTGCAACTTGGGATGCGATGTAGGATCTTGCGTCACTTCGAAAAGTGGCTGGAAGACGTTCTGAATGACTTGCTCAAAGTTCTCCATGAGGTTGGAGTTCTTGTAGACATCATACAGACGAGGGATTTGAATCAACCATCGCACATTAGGCGAGTATAGCTTGTTGTCCACAACCCATGCTGCCAGCTTGTCCCATTCTTCAAGGTCGCGACCGTAGATGGAGATACGCCACTCTACCATCTGGTACTTGCTTGCCTCGAGATCGGCAATGACCTCTTTTGTGATTTCAGCCAAGTATCTACCATGAATGTAGTTGTCTGTTTTGAGGAAGATTGTACGCAGACGCGACTCTCCGACAGGGTTGTACTTGAGGTTGAATTTGTCGAAACGATGGAACGAGTCGGTGTGAGCGTGCATATCAAGTGTGTCGATAGAGAGGTCGTATGCAGTCAGGTTAATACTTTCAAAAACCTCCCTCAAAGTCAAATGCTTGCCGTCACGGTAAAGGACAACCTCGTTAGGGCTCTTCTTCATCTTGCTCTTGATGAAACGCAACAAGTGCTTTTGGTTCATACAGGCTGAGTGATGTACGTGAGTATCGACCTTTCGGACGTTGTAAAAGTCTCTGTGGGGCACAGCTTTTGTGTCTGCGATTTCCTGGTACTCATTGAGCAGAATGTACAGGTTGAACTTGCCCTCGAGATATTGCAGGCGGCGGAAAGCAAAACTCTTGCTGGGGCCGTCTGAGGATACCGACAAGATGGAATCGAGATCCATGTAGAACTCGCGAATGGTAGGAATATGTACGATGGGAGTGTCGAGTTCAGCGGCTTTGCTGTTCTCGTAGACTTGGTAGACACCGTTGGAGTCGAGGTGGAAAGCCATCTCGCCAGGACCGGGGAGAGGCATCAAGTCTTCAAGCTCGAAATCTTCACCAATGTTCTGGCCCATCTTACGAGGTCTTCTGCGAGGCGTCTTGAGGTCTTGACTTTCGGACATGCTCTGCTCGTACTCTTGCCATGAAGGGTCTGGGTGGGGAGGGTAAATGGTCCAGCCAGGCTCATCCTTGGGGTTGTCTGTAGCACCTTGTAGCGACAAGCGCATGTACTTGTGTCGCAAGTCCAGCACCTTCTGGATATTGCTGTAGATGGTTGTCAGCTCGGCTGTGACTTTGGAGTCGTCAACAGCAAAGCCTCCAGAACCGCTTCCTAGACCAACACCAGCTCCTGCACCATGTAAACCTTGTTGCTCCAAGAAGGGCTTTTGCTCGTGAGGTAGGTTGGGATGGTTCTGGTGAGCGCGAGCTTCACGATCGGCTTGGATGAAGGGCGAAGGGGCGTCTTGTGGTTGAGAGAAGGACTGGCGGGCCGTGTCGAAGTGGCCGAGGCCGGGAGTCTGGACTTCAGCGCTCGTAGGAGGCTTTGCAGCATTGGCAATGCCAATGGGCAGAGCAGACTTGTACGAGGCGTCGGGAGCCTGCAAGCTGACATTGCTCTTGCTAGACCTCAGCGGGTTAAGCGGAGAGGAGCCATTAGCATCGCCTCCGACGTGAGAGCTGAGAGTGCGTTGCTTTCCGAGGACGGGGCTCTCGAGCTTCTCGGCGCGTTGCCGTTGGTAGAACTGCTTTGCCTCGGAGTGGCTCATAGCCTTCTCGAGCGACGAGTTGTAGTGTGTGGTGCGACGCTGCTTGTCTCTGGGCAGCATGCCCTCGGGCTCTTCCTCGCGCTCCAGCATCATGCTGGCCGTCATGTCGCCTTTGTCCGAGAGGGTCCTGGAGGCTACCATGGAGAGAGTCGGGTCGTCATTGTCGTCTTCTGCCATGTCGCTTCCAAGCTCACTTCTAGAATCGACGCCGTACTCGCTGTCGTCGTCGGAAGCATCGTCGGGGCCAAAGGTGGGCGCGTATGTGGGTGGCATGTTCAATGCGTGTATCCGTTCGTGTAACGATTGAAGCTCGCCGGATCAGGAATCGACGCAGCTGTAGCTTCCAATCCTTGGAGCAATAATAGTGACGGTATATATATTAGGAAAGAGGCGATTTCTCGTTATAGGTGTGATAGGTGTGATAGGTGTCAGAACTCAGAACAGCACACAGCAGGAAACAAAGAGAAATGCTTGCAATAGACTTCACAGCAGGCTCTGCGTTGCCATTGATCGTGGACACTCCACTTCGCATCCCCATAATTTTTTCATGTGACGCCGTATCACGAGTCCAAGCTCCTTTGTCCATGGGGGAGAACCTGACCACAACCCATCCGAAAAATAACAATTACTCCGCTAAATTTGTGCCATCACTTTGAGAAACCCGTCGTTATTCAACTGGCCGTCCGATCAATTCTTTGATAACTGTTGAAGTATACTTTGTCCAGCTTGTCTTTGTTCCCAGCTTATTCCCTTGCATATCATTACCAACTCCACAAACACGCTGGACACCACTTGCAGATCATGCTCCATACTTGACTCGATCCACGGAGAAATCTGCCTGCTCCCCATCCTGGACTCTCAACACTTCTCCACATGAGCTGCCCTCTTTTGTTCTGCATTCTGGAGCCACCCGAGTTCCTTGTGGTTCCTGGCCACTTGTTCTCTAGGATTGCAGCTTGTGTTGCTGGACTGCCATGTCACTGAGCACCCGCTGCAGCAGCTTTGATGCTTGGGATCTTAGTTTGTCCAGCTGGTGATTTGATTACTAATCCGGTGTGGTCTAACGGCTAGGATTTCTCGCTTTCACTGTTTGCAATGCGAATAGAGCACCCGAGGAGGTCGGGGTTCGATTCCCCGCACCGGAATCTCTTCTTTTGCATCGCTGTCGCATGTTCTGGTATACCACAAGGGTGTGGGTTGGTCAAAAATGAATTTTGGTGAATTTTTGTGAATTTTTTGCCTCAGCCGGCCACAACCAACCCTCTCTCTTTGCTCCAAGCTCTACCTTTGGAAAACCATCTGCATTGTTACAGCTGCCACAATGACATTGTCAGCAAATAGAGGGTTCTCATTCATCCCTCCCCGTGTGCTAAACTCTGTCACTTCTAGCCACCCCCCACGGCCATGCCTGGTGTTGTTTGGTCTGTAGAAATGCACAATGTTCTTAAGATCGCTCTAGTCGTCCGCAGAGAGCCGCTTACCATCACGCTCTCAGTGGAAGGCTGCACTGATCTCAAAACCATTGTGCATTTCTACAGCATGCGCGTGACAAAGTTCGGCATACGGAGAGGTCGTGATCAACGACAAAGGATGAAAGTACTGGTTTGAAATTTCTGGTATCTCGAAAGCACAAAAGGCTGAACCTCTGACCTAACTCCGTTATCCCCTACCCTTAGTCTTCATCCCGTCCAAAGCACTTGAAGCCGAGTCTCGTCATTACAACTGCATGTAACCCTCTTTCCTGTTCTTCAAGGCTTCTAATCTCCAACTCGAGGACTGTCTGCGTATAGCACTGTGCTGTGGTCGGTTGTGGGCTTTCTCATCAAAACTGATATGATTTAGCGTTTGTTGCTGGAATGTTATGATTTCGCGAGTATGATACATATCGCCCGATATTGTTGATGTCTTCAGATGGCTTGGCCAACGTGTTGTTGCCTGCTTACCATCAGCTTTTGTGGGCTTTCGACAAAGATAGGGATAGAAGTACAGGGGGGGCAGAACATACAAGAAAAGGGATTTGGCAAGACTCACTTTTTAGCTTCGAACGGATTCGGCTCGAGGTTTTCCTTCAGCACTGTCTTTCCATCAATTATGCGAATTCTAGGGGTGCCCGGGGTGTGATACTGCTGAAGCACATCCGGCGCTGTGCCATTGACCCTTGGAGATCTCGTCGACGTCGCACGCTGACGCTCCAAATCCGCAGGATTGGGTCCGGAGCGAGCCATTCCACTGAATGGACATCTACTCATGCCATCGCCCAGATGTGTTGCTTCCTCGATAGGACGACCCAGTGATGTTTTGCCACTGTCGGAACTCTTGCTGCTTCCCGTTCTGCTCGTGAAGATGGAAGAACCATCATGATCGCCTAGGATTTTCTTGCCGTGGAGGTAACCTTCGCGTTCGTCTTCTGCGATTTCTCCGAGCAACGTGTCGGCTTCTTCTTCTTGTGCATATTCGGCGCCGTCTGTGTTGTGCCATTTCTCTACCAGGTCATTCTGTATCCAGATCACTTTGCCCAGAGCTTTTACGATTGCGATTTTGCGGTGGAGTTCTAGACGTGGGTGGGAGAGGATGGCTTCGAAGAGGGAGTCTTGGATGAAGCCTAGACAGGCGCCGAGGAAGACGTAGTCGACGTGGAGGGGGTTCTGACGGCCTTTGCCTATGTGCATTAAGCTGTTTATGAGTGTAAGCTGGTATTGTTCGTGTGGCGTGTAGAATCAAAGTGTCTGATGTGCAAGCAACTCACCCGACCTTGTCGAGGTATTCCTAAAGCAAGTCAGCACTAAAACAGAGTTTGAGTATGTTGAAGCACTCACCCAGTAGTCCATTCGTGTGCAGTCAGAGTTGAGCTTTGTCAGGTACCATCTCAAGAACTGTATCTTTATTAGGTTCATCGAATCCGGGCTTCAACAAGTAAGACCAACCATCTTTCTGTGCTCAATCTGAGCACTATCTTCCGTAGGCCAACTCTCGACCGGACCCTCATCTCTGCTGTCCCTTGTGGTAAAGACGCGGGCTGTGATGTCGTACTTGAGAAGCTTCTTGTATACAATGTTGACAATAGCAGGAATGACTGCTTTGATGTACTTTTGCCCAGATATCAAGGCTTGTACGTCATCTGAGATGTATTCAAGTTAGAGAAGCCAAGGTAGTGTTATCCTCGGTGTGACTAACCAGTGCCAAACTCCAGGAACGAATGCAACCATTGGATCCTAGCAGGTAGTGATGTGAAGATGTCGCGACGGCTAACACGCTCCATGGTTCTTGGCGGGTCTGCATACATGGTTGCGGCAGTGTCCATGTAGTATGATTAGAGTATGTCTAGTATATCCGCCAGGGATGGTTATGTATAAGACGATCGATCTGAACGGTTTGCGGTTTGGATAGCGTGGTAGATGCAACGAAGCAACGTAGAACCAAGGTCACGGAACAAGACAAGCTTAAGAAAGGAATAGGAGAAAAGGCGCAGGCAACTATGGATGAAAAAGAATTGATTGGGCTATTGGCTCTGACCGTGGACATATCCGGAGCAAGAAATTAGCCCATCCACTGACCAAGTCACCAAGCCGGACCGTCGCATGACCGCATGTTGCAAAGATTCCCGACAAGGCGGGTTAATAGGCAAGAGATACCCATCTCGTCTTAATTAGCGCAGCCCTGATTGGCACATGGCACTTGATGATGCAGGTTGAAGGAGTGTTGGAAACTTCTTCGGCCTTGGTGGTCGAAATGTCCCTCGCACGGACACCCAATCTTGGAGGGGCTCGCGGGCCAGGGTCCAAGCACCTCACCTGATATCCTATCTGTTCCATGTGTCTGCTGTTTCCAAGCACGCCACTGCCGACTCGCGACATGTATTCGTCCATGAGCAGCAGCTTAAGAAGGATTGAACGTCTACGTATCCCTTCTTTCGTCGAAAAATTCTGAGCACTGGAGCTAGGGACGGGCCGGATACGAGGCCCTACGCTAGGTTCGCTTAGCTAGGCGGATTCGACGATTCTTGCAGGGAAATCAGCTAATTCGCCCGCTTCGGCGAACTGTAGCTAGGGAGCAACATTCTAAGCGACTAGTGCATAGTATAGACTTATAATAGCGAGTAAGAGGTGTTACGGTGTGTAGCACGGTAGGTAGCATAAAACTAAGGTTATAGAACGAGGTAAGGCAGTTAGAACTATTATTATTCGCAGTTAGTTAGTTACTATGCCTCGTTAAGTCTATCTCTCTAAGCTTCGCGACGAAGGCTACTATTCGTAGTAGCTAGTTGCTAGCTATTCGCACTCGCAATTAGAAGAGCAGGATTACTTACCTATTATCCTTCCTCCTATAAATAACCGATACTAGACCTATGCCGAGCTGCTTAAGGATAGCGACACCGCCTCTAACGTAGAAGATTAGGATACTCTTAAGATCTACGCCTCTAGAAGTTAACCCTTAGACGATGAAGATAATAAACTAAACTATATACTAGGCGCTAACGACGAGGTAACTATTAAAGCTCTGCTAGCTTAGCTAACCCTTAAAGAAATTAAGGCTCTTAGGTTAATTAAAGGGGCTCCTAATCCTGCTGTTTATAAGCTATGTTAGTTAGCTCCTCGTTATAATAGGGAATTAATGAATATTCCGAGAGAATTTACCTACTTTGCAATAGTAACCGACCTATTCTAGCTACTTAGATTCTTTATGCTATTCTTTATAGAGTAAGTATTTAATATGCTCGCGGCAGCTACTAATGCCTACGCTAGAGTTACCCTTCCTCGAGATAGATAATTACGCGTAGAACACCGTCTTAAGTAGGGTAAGGCTCCGGAAAAGGGTCGAGAGCGTCCGTAGAGGGACACTAGCGGTATAGAACTAATGATTTAGCTAGGTTAAGTCATCTATATAGGTGTGTTTAGTTAGTCTTCTACGCGCGACTATTAGTCTTATAATTAGCACTTGCCTTAGCATAAGGCTATAAGATACCTAAGCTTAACGCGCTTTAAGCAGTTAAAGCGGTTTTTCTATATGTCGATGCCCTCGAGCGTACTAGTTTATAGTTTATTCTCGAAGTTAGAGCCTCTCGCCTCGCTACTTAGTTAGAGATAGAAGCATTACTATACGCTAAGCACGGAAGTAGCTATCGATAAGATAATAGTTCGCTTTACTAGCAAAACGACATATAACGTTAAGGCGCGCTATAAGCTAATAAAGGAAGGTTATTAGATACTTGCTCTCGTAGAGCGCGGCTATACGTACGGCTTCCTCTAGAGCTTAAGGACTACTTAGTTCTATAGATTATTGAGTTAGCGAGAGCTTTATAATAGCGGCGTACATTAACACGAGAGAATTAATAGAATTAACGACGGTAACGATAAATTTAAGGGTCTAAGTCTAACCTATCGAGTAGTTCTATAGCTCTGTCTCTAATTACTACCCCCTCTCGATAGGTTCGTCCTTTTCTACGACAACTATTTTACTTAGATCGACCTATTTAACTGCCTTCGTCGCTTTAGCATAGCTACTACTAGCACCGCTAAAACTACGTCTAAAAATTACCTAAAGGCTTAGAAGTAGGTTAGTAAGAAGACTCGTATGCCTTATAACTTAGTGTTTACCGAAGCTATTAAGGGGGTCTATTCGATTATATAGTAAGACCGTATTATCGTTAGGTTTATAACTACTGCTTTTAACCCTCTTAACATAGTTAATGTTATACGCCGCCGGCTAACCCTCTACAATGCCGACAAATGGCTTAAAGAAATAGTTAAATAGGTCTAGGGTAACGAGGCACGTAAGTCTATAACCTATCCGGCCTTCTTAGTAGCATATAACTAGTTTATAGGAGGTGTTAATATCGCTAACTAGCTTAGAAGTTACTTTAATTGTTAGCTCGTAACGGGTCGTAACTAGATGCCCTTGTTTTTTTAGCTATTAGAAGTCTCGATTATTAATTCTTACTTGCTCTGTCGTTAGTAGCATAAGGAACGAGGCTACTTAACTACTCCGATCTTAACTTATAAGGGCTTTAGAATTCGACTAGCTTAGGGTCTAATCTATAGAGGAATTAAGAGGTTACCGGCCGAGCAGCGACGCTATTTAAAAGACGACATAATTATAGTTCTAGCTAACACTTAGCTTGCTTATGTAGCTATAAGAGGCAGTATATTACTAGCTCGTAAGGGTAGCTACATTACTAAACGACATGTCGACCGGCCTTATAAACGACTTACTCGGCTATAGAGGCATCGACTAGTAACTATTAAATATAAGAGACATTGCTAGCACTATAGATAGCTATTATAAAGGAGACTCGGTTCGCGGCGTGCGAAGAGAACACTAGTACGGTGCTCTAAGTATTAGATACACCTTTATATCGAGCATTTTAATGAATACTATGAATAGGGTTAATAAATATACAGATGGTCAAAATGTTCATTATTTTTCCCTCTCGACCCGTAGAATCAGCTGTTTTTGGTGCGAATTGGCCTGCAGGGAGGGTGGGGTCGAAAGTGGAGCGATCTGACTGTATCCGAGCGCCCTACGCCACCAAAGCTCAAAACGCACGAAGGGATGAAGACTCCGCGTCCGACCGATACGATAATGATGCAACAACGATCGGTAGATGCACTGAAGCATGAGCTAGAAACCAAGAGATGCAGGAGAGCGATGGAGACCTGGCTAGAACCCAATTGACAGGTCCTTGGTGCTGTGTGGAAACGCGTTCGGTTTGCCGCCTGTCGCTCCAGAGTCAAGACTCACTCTGGTGCTGGCGACGTCCAGAATTTGACAACCGATCTTCCGCCGGGCGGTGAAACTACTGCACCGAGCTCTCTAGCTCCCATGCTTCATCCGCTGGCGTCTTGACAGGTGGGCCCTGCCCTTGCATGCAAGTCAAACAATGAAACATGGATCTGGCGCAAGCAAGCACATGGCTAGTGAAGGCGCACCTGGGCATCTGCATGTCACTTCAGAAAAGAACAGTGCCAGCCGCAGGGGTGGCCGCTATTGTTTTTGAATACGAATGATGCCATGAGCGAAGGAAGAAAGTCAGGGGCAAGCCGAGTCTGAAAACGTCAAGCCGCAGAAAGGTCAAAATCGCGTGGCAGAAATCGCACTTGAATCGTGAATTGTGCTTGCTGACTCGTGAAGATTGAAGCCCGTATCTCGCGACTCTGCAAGATTACGACCTGCTTGAAGACCTGCGTGCGTGGGATCTTATAAGCTCGAAACTTTCAACAATGCAGATCATAGTTCTTGATCGTACCTTCTGCCATGTTGTCCTCACTAAAGAAGCCAAGACGCGTTGCAGTGCCGTCGATACCGATGACTGCCTGTGATGCAGGATGCGGAACCCTCAGGTCGATTTCAAGTCCTATTTATCTGCTGCGAAGGGTGAAGTATGTTTCGTAAGCGACAAAGTCTATGTAAACTGCATCCGAGGTAAGATAAGCTCGAGAAACAAGCAGGGTAGACAATATATTCTCGTGGTTGCGTGATCAGGCATGTATAACATGATAACTTCATATACTGTACGTCATCATAGCTACCCGAGCTATCACTGTCGTGTTCTCGTAGAGAGCCATGAGGTCTTGGGGAAGTTTTCTGGAACGAGACTGCGGCGTGGTTGCGGGAAGGCGGAAGCTGCCTCCCGCCGAAAGAGAGTTTGATGTTTCCTGTAAAGTAGATCATCAATATTAGACGAGCCTCGGCAGACGAAGTATCGGAATGTTGTCAGGGTCATAGTCTCATAGAAGATTTACTCCGAGTAGAGATCAAAGAAAGCAACGAAGCGTTTGGGAGTTAAATATGATTTGTGATACCGGTATGTACTTGTTTCTTAAATCCTTGGGGAAAGCTCAGGTGATCGAGCTTACCTACCTGATGCTGATTCGTGTCAATTTAAAGTCATGTGTCCCAGTAGCATGGTCTTAGTATCGTGTCGTCCATGTCGAGTGTTGCTGTTGTTGTTGTTGGGTTTTATTCTGGTCGGTTTTCATGATTTTGTCATGATTTTTGTGAGTTTCTGTCATAGCTTCTGTGTCAAAATGTTGAGTATTTCGTTTCGTCGTCTCGTTGCTTGCAAGCTCTGATGCTTGCAGCCATTAGGAGGTTTCGCGGTCTTCAAGCCACTCTGCTGCATATCGCTGTAGCTGCTGCATTTGGTGTCCCTTCTTGTCCGAGAGAACCTGGTTGATGTCGAAGTTCTTCTTCTTCTGAATGTCCATGAGCATCTCATCGATAGAATTCTTGACGACTATCTTGGTAAACGTCGTTTCTTTCTCCTGGCCAATACTGCGGTTCAATGGTCAGCATGATAAACACCGTCACACGCAGAGCTCAATCCTTACCGATACAGTCTACCAAATGCTTGGTCTTCAGCTCCAGAATGCCACCATGGTTCACACAGTATGGCTTTGGAAGCGCAAGTAAGATTGAGACCAGTGCCGCCTGTGGTCAATGTCGCAATCAAGATCTTGACAGTCGGATCCGACTTGAAGTTTTCAATGTTCTCATCGCGCGCCTTCTGATCCAAACCTCCATGAAGCGTGGTATGCTCCCAACCTTCAGAGTGAAAGATCTTGCTCAAGATCTCCAGCATGCCTCTCCAGACCGTAAAGACGATGACTTTGGCCGTAGGGTCCCCCGTTTTGCGATCCCAAAAGTTGAGGATCTGAGATTTGACAGCAAGAGTCTTGGCAGAGGGAAAGACTTCCCCGTCCTCATTTTGCCATTTGGGAAAGCTAACATCGGCCATTTCGGTGGGTGTGCTGCGTTGGATGACTTTTTCACATCCTCGGCTCTTGCATACTGGTGTTGCAGATTGTTGTTCATGCATCATGTCCTCGAGATGTGTCTTGCAGTAGACGTGATTGCATGGCAATGCTCTGCGAGCTTGACCATCATGACGTCCGCATGCAGCACATTGAGTTCGCTGTTTGTGGATGTGCAAATTCGTAGTCTTCGAGAAGGCAGCTAGGAAAGAGCTGTACTCAACATCCTTCCCATGACATCCTCCAGTTTTGACCTTCTTACCTTTGCCTTTGCGTTGCTGTTGATCGCCGAGTTCGTGAACCTCATCCAGATCCAACGACTTGGAAAACAAGCTTTCTGTCAAATTTTGAGTATTGGCATCCTTTGGAACCTGCTGAGAAGAATGTACTGCCTGGAGCTGCTCGCGCAGGCGACGGATCAAATTGTTGCCCTTGTGGCCTCTTTGTTCTTGTTCCTTGAGGCAAACATCCAATTCTTCAAAGTCCGTAGGCTCCAGAAAGTCACAGACCTCCGTGGGTAAGATCAACGGATGAGAAGAGAGCTGCCTCTTCATCGTAAGAATGGCGAGAAAGTTCATGCTGCCACTCACTTCTATTCCGTCCTTATCCAATGATCTGGTGATAAACTTGAAGCGGCGGTCAATAATTCTGTTGATCACCTTTTCAAAAGGAAGAAATTCCGTTTCGAAGACACCATGATGCATAGGAGGCAGAGTGACAAGACGAGCGCCAAACAGCTCATCGGAGTGTGTAAATCGATGAATACAGTGCAACAGAGTATCAGGAAGTGGAGTTGGCCGCTTGTCGTGTTTTCGCAGCCCGTAAAGCCTCTTCCAGGCTTCCAGTGTCATTTTTTGATATACCAGGGGGTGGCGGATAAAGTAAGCATATGAGTAGACGTCAAAACTCCCATTGAGCATGGGAGATCCGGATAGAATCCATCGATGGTTTGCCTGAAGGTTGAACGCGGCCTGAGATGTATGGGATGCAGCATTTCGGATGGTGTGTCCTTCGTCCAGTATGATAGAGTGAAATCTGACCTTTTGAAGTAATCCTAGCTTCTTGGTGAAGTTCTCCTCAAGGTGTGCGGCCTTGTCTTCCTCAGGCATGTCCTTGGGATAAACTACCTTCGGCAGGCTCTTTTGCACATCCCAGTATGTGGTAAGCACGATGTCGGCATCGTAAAGATCTTTGGGCCTTGTCGTCGAGGAGTCGCGGTCTCTGAACACTTTTATCAATCCGATGCCCCATTCTGATCTCTTGGATACCTCTTCGCAATGCAGTGAGATTTCGTTGAACCATTGTGTAAGAAGGGAATTTGGTACGACAATCAATGTGGTTTGGGGCATATTCTCATCGTTGCCGTCCGGGTCGGGTGTCCAGCCTGGTTGCTTGCAAGGCTTACCGTTCACAATACAGGCCAGAGCGACAACCGTCTTCCCGAGGCCCATCGAATCGCCGAGGATACCACTCTTGGGAAGCTCGTCGCCAGTCTCACGTTTTCTCATGAAGCCGGCAGATATGACCTGGTGGTTTTGGAGTGAAGTTTTCATTCCCTTCAAGCTCCAAGCACCGCTCTGGGGCTTGAGCGATCGACCCGTAAAGGCACGGCATGCCTCGTTGAACCACGACGCGTCTTTTCTGGCTTTGGGCTTTTTAGGCTCGGGTACGTGTCCCATTAGGTCTTTGAGAGCCTTGTCTCTGTTGTTGTCTGTGCTGAATGAGGGTTGCTGAGCCTTGCTTTGTGCAGCAGCGATATCTTCCACCATACTTCGGTGAGAGAAATCAGTTGAGCGGTGCTTGGCCTGTGTCGTGTTGGGTTTTGAGAGCAAAGGCTTTGTACGGGCTGACTTCTCGCCAACGGTTGGGAAGTCACCGATTTGACCATTAGTCTGGTTTGCATCTCTCTTCGACCGCTTGTTGGGGCGAGTGTCTGACTGTGGCTCCAGATGTTGTTCTTCGGGTAGTTGACTGTATTTTCTCTTCTCGTTGTTGGTAGTGGGTTCCGGATTGACATCATCTAATGTATCGACCGCGTCCGTTGTATAATTGCTTTGGACCTCGTTGTGTTCGATGTCAACGGTCGGTAAAATGTCTTGCGGGTCCAATGTGTCAAAGTGATGAGGTGAAGGCTCTTCAGTGGTAGAAGGAGCTGCAAGGTACTCATGGTGGGTCTCTTTTTCAGCAGTGTGCTCTTCGGAGGTCTGATCATCCATGCCCGTATGGTTTTCAGACTCTTGCGCCGCGACTTCAGATACTTCAGATACTTCAGTCATGCTTGGGACTTGTGTGAGATTGGTCATCCGGTGTGAAAGTGATGTGAGGCAGTGATCCTGGCTTTGTGCGGCGAAATCGATGTCACCGACAAAGAGTGTCAAGAGTGAGATGGGAATTGGCGACGAAGTTGTGCTTGCGACCGAAGATGTCAGAATTGTGATATCTGCGAGTAGTGAAGGTCGATGACCAACAAGCTGTTGTTGTTAGGAACTTCTCTGAGTCCAAAAGGTCCAGACAGCCAAGCCAAAGGACACTAAGATCAAGTGTCGTGCGGCGAACGGCGCGGAAGAAGGTGAGAGAACCGGAGGTAGGCGAAGATTGTTGTTATAGACTTAGCTTGTTGTTATTGTGATAGACTAAGGCTGTTGTTGTTATAGTGGTCAAAGGTTGTTGTTGTTATAGTAGACGAAGGTTGTTGTTGTTATGAGAGAAGAAGGTTGTTGTTGTAGACGAAAGGTGTTAAATAGGCGAAAGGCGGAGAAGTAGGCGAACGAGATGAGTAGATAGTGAGAGCGTAGGCAAATAGTGAGAGTGTGAGTAGATAGTGAAAGTTTAGTGAGAGTAGAATTGAGAGTAATATTGAGAGTAATATTGAGTGTGAGATTGAGTGTGAGTGATTGATTGATAGTCGGTGCGGGAAAACATTGAACCTGATGGCGACAGTGAGTGATTGAGTGAGCCAAAGTTGTTCGCGGCACCAAACTCAAGCCGTAAGAGTTCTAAGTTAGACCAAGATCAAGTGTCGTGCGGCGAACGGCGCGGAAGAAGGTGAGAGAACCGGAGGTAGGCGAAGATTGTTGTTGTTGTAGACTAAGCTTGTTGTTATTGTGATAGACTGGGATCGATGACCTCGTTGCTTGCTCTTAGTGCATCATGATGCCCTGCTCGGAAATTTACCAGCCCCGGCCCATCAGAATCTCACGTGTCTGCTTCCATTCTCAACAGTTGAAGTGTGCGGTGTAGATTTTCACTATCACTTTATTCGTTCCGAGCTTTTCTCATATAGAAAGAAAGATTTGTGGGTAAACAAGTCTTAGAAAAACTGGTAGACGGTTGTGAACATCCGTTATTTTGGCTTACATATCAGGGAGACAGTCTGATAAACCAAAGCACTGATGTTGGCACATCTTTTCTGCCTCTAACTCCTGACCGAAAGGCAAGCTTTATTCAAGCCATGGTCACTTGACCAGCGCGTTGATGTTCAAGCAACTTCGTTGAATCTCACGAAGAAGCATTGTTACTGCTGTCGATATTGCTGTCTCGTCAAAGCCTGCTAGAGTAAAGAGTATATGACCCTGACCAGAGCGCAGTGGTTGCTACTAACAATGCCTGGCCAGATTCTGAGAAAATGGGGTTGTTGGCACGAGAAGTTCGTTGATATTTTTCCACATCTCCCTCTGGGACCGAGGTGGAAAAACGAAACATGTCAAATAGTAAAGCAAGACAAAGCTCACAAAGACTGAAATTGACCGTCACACACCATATCAGAAGCTCGCTACTGCATGTCTAAGATACTGAATTGTTATTGATTTAGTGGTAAGCCTGGAATGCAGGGTTGGAAGACGACTAGGTCAGTAATACCCCTCCCTCCTTTCACTGCTTGGTAATAACATACAAAATATCATGACAATACAGCAGCAGCAAATAAGCCAGGAGATATGAGTATCGCCTCAGACTCACAGACCTAGTGGTCACCTTTGCGGGATGTTTGACGCGATATTTGGAAAGGAGAGAATGAGAAAGATACTGATGACCTACCTCCCAGCCATCTTCTTCTGCACCAACACTGGTGGAGCTGACGCCCAGGGATAATTCAGAAGTGAATAATGAAAGATGTGTTTATATACACGACCTACAAAAGCGGGTGCTCCATGTGACATACTCACGTCGGCGAACAGCCCCTATAAGAGTCGCTCACAGAAATTGAACTTGATGGCAGAGACACCGCGCTTACCCGATCCTCAACGAACGCGAGCTACTTTCGCTCTGTTAGACTAGCGGGTAACTAAACAACATGTATTTCGGGGGTGCAAGGTGCAAAGGAAATGACCGGGCTAATGACACCTCATATTCTTCCGGCGGTTGCATGTTAGAATTGGCCATACCTGTTTGACTGGAACGGCGATTTAAAGCAAGGTCAAAGTTCTTGACCAGCAACTCACAGACCTGCCTCGTTCTTCCTGCTTCCCTCGCCCTAGTCGAGACGGTGATCAACAATCAACATGATGGTTACGTTAGTTGATTTCCAGAGCGCTCGAGATTAAACGCAAAGAACCACTTGGAGATGGCTATCCAGGCTCTTGCAACGACTACAGATATGTCGTACGAACATGATTAGAAAATGTCCTATGCAACTGTTCCATCATTGACATAGTGAGATGGAACATGGCCAGACTTCAATTCCATGGCCAACTCTAGAAGCTACACGTTCCCAACATCCTGGCTTGAAATTGAGTTCACTGATCTGAACAAGAAGCTTTACCCATCACATCTTGTTCTTTACAAGAATCAGGGGAAAGGTATGAAGCAGATTGATGGATTGTGCAGAAGGAACACGGGAGCTACTTTCGAGTAGACGTTGACGTTCAACGTAGACTTGGGTCTGGCAGCGATTGGAAGGAAGAATGGATAATTGAATGACCAGTGCCTTTCTGCTTTTCTTAGCATCCACTATGTGGACAGCGCGGCGCAAACCCACCTGTGACGTATAGAGAAGGAAGTGTCGAGAGATACAGGTCAGTTTCTTATAGCATATTGGAGAAGGAGATAACTGTTGGCATAGACCAGGAAAGTGATTCCCACAGCGGACGTGACGGTCAAAGAGATTTAGAGCCACGCACTGGCTGATTACAGAGAACCACAGTGAGATGGAGTTGTCGGGATATGCACTTCGCGCACCGCGATGTATTTATTTCTCGATTGGCGGTGAATATGTACAGATGATCTTGTTTTTATGGCTCAAAGATTTTTGGACATTGTTGCTATCTAGCCGTCTTTGACAGTGGCCTTTAGACGCTCCAGCACGTACTCGCCAGCGCGGATTGGTGGGTACTTTGATGGGTTCTCTGCGGACACACAGCTGGGCAATGTCTATGGGATGTCAGTAGTGCACTCATCGTTAACTCCAGGAAATGCCTTACCTCGACGAGTTGGTCGTAGTTGATGCTGAAGAAGAACGGAACACTATATCTCTCCTCTGTCGTTCTGTTGACAACACGGTGAATAGTGCTTTTGTAAATTCCGTTTGTCCATCTCATGAGGAAGTCTGCGACATTGACGATGAATGAGCCTTCAACGGCGGTTGCTGCCGTCCATACGTTATCCGGCGTGAGGATCTCCAGACCGTGGGTCGTGGATGAGAGAAGCAGGGTGAAGCACTCGTAATCGGTGTGAGCGCCAAGGCCGACCTCCTTGTCCATTTCCTTGGGGTCCAACGGCTTGGGATCCTTGGTAGGAGGATAGTAGAGAAGTCTGGAGATTCCACCGGGATGTGTCATCATCTCGTCAAAGTGGTTCTCTGGCAGTGCCAAGCTCAAGGCGAATAATCTGAATAAATGGCGAGCCAGCTCCAATACGTGACCGTAGTAATCTGCGATATCTTGCTTGAAGCCAGGGAGTGCATCTTCGGTAGGCCAAACGTTGCCATTTTGAGTCTTGCCATCCAGGTCCAGATATTTGCCATCACCGCCAGTGGGATCTAGAGAAGCTTCGTAGCCCCAGTTGAAGCCTTCTTTAGTCTCAGGCACAGCAGCAGTAGCCCAGTCGTCCGGGTTGACATAGGTATAATCCGAAGGCTCCCAACCGCGCATCAGATCATTATGCTTGACATGTAGTTCATCCTTCTGAGCAGGAGGGAGCTGTTTGAAGAAGCGGGAAGCCTGGTTCAATACACCTTTGCGGACAGATTCGGGGACGTTGTGACCGGTGATTTGGAAAAAGCCACTGTTTGTGCAAGCATCCTGGATTTGGGCTGCGACAGCTTGTTTGTCCTCGAGAGATCCATTGAAGGTGGGGGAAATGTCAATGACAGGGACATTGAATGGTCGAGCTGGGCCATCGGTCTTTGTGGTGAGGCGGTTGTTCAGGTAGCTCTGAGCTGCGCGACGAGCTTCATCGGAGGTGACGTTAGGTCCAGCCATGACGATTGATCTCGAGAAACGGCTTTGACAGATGCGAAAACCAGACGAAAGGCTTGGTGACCCGTCAAGAACTTATATAGAGATCGGAAGCAGATAACGATAGGCGCGATACGGAAGTCGAGAAGTTGCCGACGGGCGGGTCCTATCTTTTGAGTTCACGGCAATGGGATCGCAATGATATGGCAATCAGAAGAGGGAAGTGTATGCGCGTTAGGCATGTAGAATTTTTCCAATTACTCAGTATCATCAGTGGTCATCGGCGGGTTTGTCAAATGCATGATCAACAGGCGAGATGAGGAGGAGTGCGGGGGAAGCACAGGCACCCTCGTGGGCAATTTAGGCCAACCTTGCGGGAGCTCTATTTTTGTGAAGATGACGGGTATGATTTTCAGACTATGGCTTGACCTTGCATGTACTTGCAGGCTGGCAGGATGGCTAGAAAAGCGCGAGGGAGCTGAGGAGCGTAAAGGGGGCTCTTAGATGGGTGGAAATAGGGGTCGACGTGGCCCTGATGGCCCAAGCTCGGCTCTAGGTGCAATTGTCTCGTGAAGGTCGAGTTTGGTTGCGACAGCTGGCTTCTGTTCTTTCTCTCAAACGCCCTCCATCCCTCGACATAGCCATCTATCTGCGTCGAGTGCGGGTGATGATCCATACTTGATCGAATTGGATCTTTACGAATTTCTTCTCGACTTTCCTTGAACGCCTTTTTCTCATCATGTCTTCGACGCCGAGCTCCAAGAAGGGAGCCGCGGCTAGCTCCAAAAAGAAGGTCGACGGTGCTGTAGATCAGACCAGCGAATACCTTGCACAATTGAAGACCGAGACCAAGCAAGCAGCCTCCAATGACTGGGACTACAAGCTGGCTCTTCTTGTCATCACCGTCCTCGCTTTCGCAACCCGCTTCTACGCCATTACACACCCCAACCAAGTCGTCTTCGATGAGGTCCACTTCGGCAAGGTATGACACGCGCACTTCCACACAAGCAGAGAACAGCTTCTGACACGTCCCAGTTCGCATCCTACTACCTCCAACGAACCTACTTCTTCGATGTCCACCCTCCGTTCGGCAAGCTCCTGTTCGCTTTCGCAGGATGGCTCGTTGGCTACAATGGCGACTTTTTGTTCGAGAACATTGGCGACTCATACATCACCAACAAGGTGCCCTACGTTGCATACCGCGCAATGCCCGCCAGCATGGGTGCCCTGACTGTTTCGGTCGTCTTCATGATCATGTGGGAGTCTGGTTACTCTCTGCCTGCTTGTGTTCTGGCTGCCGGTCTTGTCCTCTTCGACAACGCACACATTGGTCAAACCAGACTCATTCTCCTGGATGCCACTCTGATTCTGTTCATGGCTCTCTCAGTCTTGAGCTACGTCCGCTTCTACAAGCTCCGTCATGACCCATTCAGTCGCAAGTGGTGGAAGTGGCTCCTCTTGACTGGTGTCTGTCTCAGCTGCGTCATCTCGACCAAGTACGTCGGTGCTTTCACCTTCTTCTCCATCGGTGTTCCAGTCGCCATCGACCTCTGGTCTCTTCTCGACATCAACCGCAGACAGGGCGCTCTCAGCCTTCCCGAGTTTGGCAAGCACCTGGCTGCTCGTGTTACTGGTCTGATTGTCATTCCCTTCATGCTCTACCTTTTCTGGTTCCAAGTCCACTTTGCCATCCTCAACCGCTCCGGTCCTGGTGACGACTTTATGAGCCCTGAATTCCAGGAGACTCTCAGCGACAACATCATGACCCAGCAGTCTGTCAGCATCGACTACTACGATGCGATCAACATCCGCCACAAGGACACCAAGGTCTACCTCCACAGTCACCCTGACAAGTACCCTCTTCGCTACGACGATGGTCGCATTTCTTCTCAAGGCCAGCAAGTTACCGGATACCCTCACAACGACACCAACAACCTCTGGCAGGTCATCCCCTCCACTGGCAACATTCCCGAAGAGAACGGTCACCGCGTCCATGTTGGAGATGTTGTCCGTCTTCGTCATCTCGTGACCGACACCTGGCTCCTCACACACGATGTCGCCTCTCCTTACTACCCTACCAACCAGGAATTCACCACTGTCGGCCACGATGATGCCAATGGCGAGCGCTTCAACGATACCCTGTTCGAGATCAGAGTCGACGGCGCAAAGCCTGGCACCGACTTCAAGACCATGTCCGTCCACTTCAAGCTTGTTCACGTTTCCACAAAGGTCGCCATGTGGACTCACACCACTCCCCTGCCTGAGTGGGCTTTCAAGCAGGCAGAGATTAACGGAAACAAGAACGCTCTCCAGACCAGCAACATCTGGTACGCCGAGGACATTCCTGCTCTTCCCAAGGACTCTGACCGTGCAAAGAAGGAGCCTCGCAAAGTCAAGCACGTTCCTTTCCTCAAGAAATACTTCGAGCTCCAGCGCGCCATGTTCTACCACAACAACGCTCTCACCAGCAGCCACCCTTACGCCAGTGTTCCTATCCAATGGCCTTTCCTTCTCCGTGGTGTCAGCTTCTGGACCGACAACGAGACTCGCCAGCAAATCTACTTCTTGGGTAACCCCATTGGCTGGTGGTTGGCTAGCAGTCTGCTCGCAGTCTTTGCCGGTGTTCTTCTTGCCGACCAGCTCTCTCAGCGTCGTGGTGTTGACGCTCTTGACAAGCGTACGTTTGACTTCTTCCTCTCTTACAATCAAAGCTAACATATTTTAGGCGCTCGCAACCGTCTTTACAACTCGACCGGTTTCTTCTTCCTGACCTGGGCTGCTCATTACGTTCCTTTCTACATCATGGGTCGTCAGCTCTTCCTCCACCACTACCTCCCCGCTCATCTCGCATCCGCCCTCGTCACCGGCGCGCTCGTCGAGTTCGTCTTCAACATCGACCCTGTCGACCTCGACGACGTCACCTCCGGCAATGCCACCCTCACCAAGAACAAGAAGACTGCCACCCAGCAGAACAAGCCCGTCCGTGAGAGAACCGGTCAATCAAACCTTCTCGGCATGTGGGCCGCCACTGGTGGTATCCTGGCCGTCATTGTCTGGAGCTTCCTCTACTTCGCACCCCTCACCTACGGTCAGCCCGGTTTGACTGTCGAGCAAGTGCAAGCCAGAAAGTGGCTCAACTACGACCTGCACTTTGCCAAATAGATGATCGAATGATGAGCGGCGCTATGTAAGGTTGGAGTTGAATCACAGGCCTTGTACGACTCTCGATTCGTAGGACTAGCTTCTTCCTTTTCTTTCCATTCTTTATGTTCGCAACCACAAAATTTCAGATTCCATTTTCTCATGACACTCATACGTTTCCACTCTTCTTTCGATGCGGATAAACTTTGTGAGGCTTCTGCCCTGTGATTGTGTATGACTATATCCTCTGCGTTGCACGCTGTAAATGGAAAGAAAAGATCCTATCGTTAACTGACAGGTATCTCACTTCCAGCCGAGTCGCGTCTCGCTAAAATCAAGCATCACTTCTTCTTCCTACGATTCTACTGAGGGCCACCCAACCCGTTTTGGTGGTCGAATTTTGGTCTTGATGAGGATAGCATAGATGAGGATAGCATAGATGAGGATAGCATGGATGGAGGAGGAGATATGGGTCTGTGAATGTGATACTGGGATACTGCAAAAAAGATGTGAGATTCTGGAAGAAAGGTGTGATCAAGAAAGATGCGAGGAAGAAGTACTATACGTTCACTGCTACTCGTAAGCCCTACACGTCTCAAGAAAGGACAACAGACCAGTGTCTCCTCCTTCCTTCAACTATAACATTCTCCAATTTTGAGAATACGGTGGGTTCGAAAGCTTCTACGATATACAAAGCACATTTCGTCATGATTTGTTGTGTAGAAGTGATGATATTCGATATGGTGGGATCATAGATTAGGAGAAAAGATGGTGGAGAAGCGAAGGGTGATTATTGGGGCAAAAGATGGGAAGCGGAGGGTGAGTTCGACTGTTGGAGTGGTAGATTTGTGTTGTTTTCTACGATGTGTCATTCGTATTTTTTTTTCAATTTGAAAGTGGAAGAACGTGGAAGGAGGAACAAACGTAATGGTGCTGGAAAATGCATTGTTGGAGAATATATTCCTTCCACTCTGAATGCCCAATTCATCTTATCCTTTTGGACTATCATGCGTCTAGATTGTTGGTGGATTCGCACAGATCATGGGGAATTAGAAGGGTTGGGAAATTATTGTGGGAATCGTAAGTTCTTTGGAGAGGTATCTAAATAAGGTGCTCGGGTCTGTAAGTTTGATTTTTTGTTTCTAGTCTAGCTTTGGGTTGCTTTTTATTCTGCGATCAGATAAGTTAGTAGGGAGAGAGAGCAAATGATAGGATTCACAGACCTGGTTCATCTTGTCTATTACATGGCATCCCATATAACTCCTGCCGCGTTCTCAAAGATAAATCCGTTATGAGGAGTTTGGGTGGTTTGAATAGGAGGTATACCCTGCTCATGTTTCGAAACGGGAAGGTACATTTTGAGGCCTGCTCTTCTGTTTCCTGACGGGCTTGTCTCAGTCGTTCCTGGGCCAACTGTCTTGATATCGAACTTGGGGTCAAATCTTTTCGACAGCGCAGAATATGGCACTGCTGCTATGTGTGCACCATGAGATTGCCAAATTCGGCAAGACGTAGCCAATCATACGATTAATGGCCCTGTCACTCTGCCGTTTCCTGAAATGAATCCGCATGTGAGAGGAATACACTTGTTGAAATATTTTCTACTCGAATAATGCCATCTTGCCTAATCTTTGTCAAGTCAATTGGGGGTGGTAGGCGGTTTAGGCCCTACCTCAAAATACAGGGATGTATGCCTGAACCAAAAGATTGCATATCTCTTCCTGCGGAGCGACTCGAGTGCGGATGGTTTTCGACATCTAACAGGTGATTTTTTTGATAACGCATAACTTCACTTCATCACAGGTGTTCCCGATACTTATCATAGTGCGGAGACGGAAGGAATTGTTATCCGAAGGGGAAAAGAAGGTATGGTGGTCATTAGGTCAGTGATACCGTCTTCTACTTGCTATCTTTCAGTACTGACGCGCTCGCATACCATGCTAAGGTTAGAAGAAACAAAGCAAGAATAATGCCGAAATGGTAAGGTAGTAGAGCGAGCTTCATAGACCTGGGCGTTGTATCTCTCTCTATGGTATTCGAAGTCATTTGTTTTATCAAGCACCAGAGAATTCTGTTGAGATCCATCTCTCCCCACACTGGGTCTTGTCTTCGGGTTCCTTTCGTTATGAATGGAAAACTCAACTGCAAGCAGAGAAGGGTTTTATACTCACCTTCAATTGAACTTCGGGCGAGAACGACCCCGATTTACGGAATCGCGATCAACGTCACATTTCATATCTACAGTACTGCTTTGGGTGTCGAGGTGTCATGATGAGTGGATGTGTATCGTGTGTTTCCCTTTCTAAGTGGTAATAGATGGTCGTGAAAATCGCCATTATAAATTTTGAAACGATGCTCAGAACAACTGCTAGATAATACGTACTACCGTTCTCCCGCCATTGTGCGGATCACACAAAGGGGTGAAGGGCCATATCAAGTCTTCGGGGACATACGAGAGAAACGTCACAACAGGCGAGGCCGTCCAGGTAAAGAAACAGGTCAATGATCCCCTCTCGCAGTTCGACTCCCCACAGCACAGTTAGAGCACCGTCATTTCCTGTATCAACAGAACACTGAGACCACGAGATAGAAGTGGCAGGTCTCAATGTGAGGTTCGGTGACCTGATTGCCTTCCTTATCTACACATACCTTGATACATCTTGACTGAACGCCTCTCCTCCGGTTGATCTGGCAGAGCGGCTAGGTTTGAACCATGATTATATGTCGGTATCGATATCTTCCCGCGCGGTTTTGATATAGATACTCCACGATAGAACGGATGTATAGCGGAAAGATTATGGTAATCTCATATATCTTGCTGGCTAGAATCAGAGACAAAGTTCTTCGACGTGGTGGTAATACCATTGCTCTGTACGCTGAATATTGATAGAAATGAAGGGCTAGTGGTTCTGAAATTCACATCTAAACAGGGTTAGCCGTCAGCAATACAATATAAAGAAATGCAGTGTACTCAAGGGCAGAAGAAAAGATGGTCCGCATACTTGTACTCGTGGTGTATGATGACCAATCCATATTTATACCGAAATCGAGCTGCAGTATCGTTGAGCTCTACTCGTGCCGCATCGTTAACGCTCAGGAGGCATAATACTCGTCCACCTTGCATGCTGGAATCGATCGCAAAACAACCCTGCGGCTAGGAGCCAGCAGCATTAGGTCCGTGAATCTTGATCAAGTAAAGTTCCTATTGGGTAGTTATATTTGTAAGGACCAGTAGATACTTGTGTAGAGAGAGACAATTTGTGATTCGGTATCAGAGACCTGATGTACTGTTTCGGTCTCTTTATGTTTTCGTCTTGGGCTTGGCCTTACATCAATCGAACCGAGGAACGGTGACTCCTTGTTTCGAGCTGTGATACAACATGACCTATGGAAGAAATACATGACAAAATCCGGGCATGTTCGGTGTCAAGTGTGACTAAGTGACTACAGGCAATAAAGGCATTTTGGAAACTCATCAAAGATTACTCTATTGTATATGTACTCATCTATTGGAAACTGGAAAGCACTAAATCATTCGTGAGCTTTCTCAATCTTCATCTCCTTCTCCTCAGCTTTACCAAGCTCTCCAGCACTTCCTCTCCACTCGTCTCCCCAAAGTTGTTGTACAGATATCCTCGATTTGTCAGGAACAAACCAAGGCATCTTTTGGAACAGGGGACCCATCTCTTCCAATGGCCTCTTAGCTGTCTCGGGCAGAGTTGCCCAGAACCACAATGCGTTGGTGCCAGAGCAGACCACAAATAGGATATAGTACTTCCAGCCAATACGCTCCAGTGCGATGGGCGAGACTTGGCCAATGAGGGTGTTGAAGGCGAAGGAACATGCGGTCGCTAGAGAGACACCTTTAGATCTGGTATGCGTGTCGAAGATCTCGGCGGGAATGATCCAACTCAATGGTCCACATGCAACACTGTAGGAGAAGTTGAACAACCAGGTCATTGCGATGAAGGCTTCTTGAGCAGATCTGTTGGTCGAGCTGCCGGGCGGGTAAGAAGCTAGTAGAGCGGTTGCAATGATAAAAGTGACCATGTTGAGCAAGTTGCCACCAATCAGAGTCCAGCGGCGTCCGACGCGGTCAATGAATAGCATACAGCAGAATTGGGCGGCTAGGGCGACAATAGCGTTGAAGCCTTGGAACATGAAAGTATCACTTCCGGAGATGCCGATTTGGCCATAGATATCCGGAGAGTAGTATTGGATGGCTGAAATACCGCTCATCTGGACCGAAGCTTGGAGTGACAGAGCAGTAATCAGGCGGCGGAAGCTCGATCTCGTCTTGAACAATTCGGCGTATGACTTTGCAGCGTGTTCCTTCTCGTATTCGACTGCTGCGGTGATAGCATTGTACTCCTCTTGCACGAAATCGTCCTGGTCATTTCCACGAGCATGAAGCTTGGCCAATACTACCAATCCTTCTTCGCTGCGTCCATGGTGGATGAGCCAGCGAGGCGACTCGGGGAAGAGAAGGATAAGCGAGGTCAAGAAGAGGGCGGGCAGAATCTGGAGACCAAGGCCAATTCTCCACTGAGCGCTATCGTCATCTTCAAAGGATATGTATGTGCCGTAGGACACCCAGGCTGCAATGAGGTTACCCACTCCAAGCATGAACTGTTGAAGGGCTGTGATTCTTCCTCGGATACTCGGGTGTGCAAGTTCAGCTTGGTAGAGTGGGATGATCATGATTAATGCACCGACGCTGCGAAACCATGATTAGTGGTGATTTCAGATCTCAAACAGGAAGACGTACCCAAGACCAGCAACAAATCTGCCGCCAAACATATAGCTGTAATCTTGTGCTCCGGTCTGTACAGCACCGCCGAGAATGAAGATGGCGCCACCAATGAAGATGGTCCATTTACGTCCGAGATAATCTCCGCAAGGGCCTGCCCAGAAGGCTCCGAAGAAAGCTCCTACGGTAAAAAGAGAAACCACGAGGCCTGTTTTCGTTGAGTTGTCGCCGAATTGTGCAAGAAAAGACGGAGCTGCAACGACTTCGGCAACAACACCTAAGTCGTAGCCGTAGAGCAAAGAGCCGAGAGATGCGAAGATAGAAACCAAGAATTGGTAGACGCGAGGAGAGACGCCCATGATGGTTTGTGTGGCTGTCGAGCGACAAATATGATATATGTGAAATGTTTGGAGATGAAAGATGTTTGGGGGAGGTTGCAGCAGATGAATACACGCCAGCAGCTTCTCTTCCGCCGACGGGAGCGGGAACACAGGAGATGAGGAAGGGCAGCCTACATATATACAAACAAACTTACCAGACAGCTGTGTTATCGTAGCTATATTGATCCTTTGACCAATGACGCAGCTAGATCCTCCAATCAACACTCAAGACTACTCGGTAGATTTAGGTATGGCGACGAAACACTCATGACCTGCAGGCATGCGGATAAACAACAGCTGATAATCCTCACGCCAGGCGAACAACATGTTGAGGGTGTGGGTCCCGACGGCCACAGTGCCCGCGAAACAATGCCCATGGAGAAATTGTGGATCCAGCACTTGCCTCCCCATGGGAAGGAGAGATGATCGATTCATCGAACACGGTGATGGTCGTTGATGGTTTCCTATCTTGGCGTACATCGGCGGCTTGCAGGTGGCTCGCCTTGGTTATCAGCCACTGCCGGCACATCCGAGGGTTTAAGGTGCGGCTTGCATTCAGCCGAATTTTGTCTTGTATCTTCCGACGAAAAAGGGACGACTTCCATCGCTCCTGCTGTTCATGAGAAGATGCCGAGCTTGTATAGATTCAGTTGATCCCTGGGAAAGAAAATTTCGGCTTTGCCTTGGCGTCTTCCAAATGCACGCTGCTGCTTTCGAGATTGCACCAGCTTGCGTTCTCCGGCAAACTCGAGCTTCTACACACAACCCATCTAAAGATCCAAACAACATCCCCGAGAGTCGCGAATCTGCTGTGCAGGAATCGTTCTGCATCACTTCCCCCAGGAAAGTTGAAAGTCTGAGCAGATGAGAGCACACGCCAAGGCATCAGCGTCGTACTTGTTCACATTCTGTGTCGCACCTAACAAATACTATGCGCACGTGTGGTCCTGCAGCATGTGAAACATCAAGATATTTGTGGATAAGTTCGATTGATGAGATTCACGCAAAAAAACTATCAGCATTACACCGAGATTGAAATCAAGCTGATGCCAGCTGGGCGACCCTGATCTCGTTTCTCGAGGGCAATGGGAGGAACAATTTGATTTTCCAATTCATCGCAGGAACAGAGAGTTGAAGTGGACGACTGGAAAGCGGCGCCGACCTCTACGACAGTGTCTTTGATGAGCGGGACTTTTTTCAAGAAGACGCAATGAGCAGAAGTCAAGACCGCGTCAACCATCGCACCAAGCTCAACATTCCCTGTCTCAACAGCAACAGGGCATACACGAGAACACTCTTGATCAACTTCCAACCGCCATACTGCGAAAAGGTGCCAACGACAACACTTAGCTGTCTCGTCTTCGCTGCATACCCCAGCACATTCCTTTCCCAATGTTTCATACTCATCTCACCCTTCAACACTTTTTGCAATTCGAGACAGTCATAAGCAGCTTGATTTGCGGACAGGGCGATATGCGGCCGAAACAGAGCCAATGCGTCACCGACCAGGATCACTTTGCCGTTCATGAATGTTGCTCGATCACAAGTATTATCGCTCACGGCTGCAACGAAGGGCTGAGATGTCTTCTCCACAAGTTCGATGAAAGGCGCAGGAAAGTTCGCTTGAGCAAACTTAACCTGCTGTTCCCAAACTTCAGGTCGGAGCATGCCTGGCTGGAGAGTTGAGCGGTGCGTTTGTCCAGATATGTCAGTCATGACAATGCGGAACTCAGAATTTTCGGGGCAGTTGTGGTACCAGACGAAGTTCAAAATGCGATTTCCTAGCTCGAGACTTCCATCATGGCCGGGGATGGCGTAGCTGAGTCTTGTCAGTATTTCACATCAGTAGGTGAGCCGATACCCACACAAGGATGTAATTCTTCGGCATCTTGAAGATCGTAAAATTGTTCTTCAGGACGTCCCTGGTCGCTTGGGTAATCTCGGACTCCAACACACCACCTCGCCATGCCAGATACCCTGCGTAGGGTCGCTCTTCTCTTTCCGAAGGCGGATGAAAGATACGTCTGATGGCAGAATATGAAACATCGGCTCCAATGACCAGATCTGCCTGAACAGTCTTGATTTCTTCAGTGGCGACATCTCTGTACTGGACCTGAACTTGACTCCCATCCTCTGTCAATCCCAAGACCCGCTTCCCAAGATCATACTTTGCACTGCCAGCTTCGCTAGCCAACTCTAGGGGAGCAGGACAATGCTTACTCACCAACCCGTCAAAGTTCGCCCTCAGCCGATAGTACAACATAGTCCAGCTCGTCTGCTTCATTGGAAACTTGACAAAACGCCCATAGTCGCTCTTCTGGTTGATAAACTGCATTCCAGGGCAGTCTACAGAATACGGGTCGTGTTTGTAGAGATCGAATTCGGACAGGAACTTCTGAGCTTCAGGCCCGGCACGAATGCCTGCTGCCTGACCGTGCCGAAAGTTTTCGGTAGATCGTTCCAGGATGTGAACATGATGGCCGAGGCGTGAGAGCATTATACCGTGCATGAGGCCCGCGATGGAACCGCCTACCTGGTTCTTGTTATGACGGGACAAGTCTAAGATGTGGTCAACTCACGATTACGACATTGAGCGATAGTTTTTCTTGCATCGTTGATGTTGAAGATTATGATTGCATTCAAACTGCTGTCCGAGAAGTAGATTGCCGTCGCTTGACTATAAGTCTACGCTGCATCTCGGAATGCTCGCCCGAGTATCTCGTACGAGGATCCTTCGAAGGAATGCCGACCAATCGGAGGAATGCCGGCCGCATCTTTTCAATATATCAGTATCATACTCCTTACATCGGACATTAGATGGCTTGCTGCGCCTCGACAAGGCAGTCACTGCATCTATACCAGCTACGAGTAGATGGACAGATTTCGCCTCAATTTGTCTTGCTTCAAACTGACGCACCCCTCCCATGAGGGATAAAATCTTCGACTTCTATAAAACTTCATCCCTTGGGAGATTTCAAAAAGTAAAACAATCTTGGGCGAGCTCAAGTATCTCTACAAGATTAGCCCCAGCACCAGTAGCGGAGTGAATCATCTTCAGCTAGATCTACTGGCACCATCGGGACGAGCTACATTTACTCCTATTACCTACAAGCTTAACTACCGCAACTCTTGCTTCATTTATTCGAGAGTATAGAATTGTCTAGAGTGTAGGATAGGAAAAGCAAGATAGGTATAAGCATGGGCGAAGAGAGGAAACGACCGGGTCAGTAACACCGCTACAGTATGAGGCTTCTCTCCGTATGGCCCGACTTCTTCGAAGGTCGGGAGGCGAGCAAGGTGACCGCAAAGACAGAAACGCAGACCTGGTTACTTTACACTTCTCGGTTTAATTATGAGATTAGTAGAAGCTTTGCCTACACTGTCTTCTGCTATAGCGTTACAGACATGGATTTCTGGAACTAGCTTGTTGTATGTAGAAGTGACAAATGCGGGAAAGGGAACTCTTATTAACATCCGCATAGATATGTTTTTATGAATGTAGAAGTAGAGACGGAGTACAGAGTCTCCGCTTGATCGCACTTGAAGATGCAAAGACGAGGTGTGACCATCTTTTGACTCTGCTGTTATTTATGTGTATATATTCTGTTGGCGGATACATGGTAAGAAGCTAACTCTCCTCTTCATCGACTTCTGTCGTTGAAGTATATAAGCTCTCTTGTCGATCTCGCCTTCTCCTTCTCCCTTCATGTCACATCATTAAAGAGCATGGTCATGATGTCGCACAGGATTTGAAGATTAGACCGCTGCTGGAGCGATCAACAGACGTTCAAAGTTGGTGAATGTGTGGCAGTACAGGAGAGGGAGATGCAAGAGGTTAAGCAGGTCCGTGATACTTAAGTCAGCATATAGCATCTCTACTGGTTTGCCCGACGAAAGAAATCAGTCACAGACCTGTTGACCTTATTCCCGCAGTAGAAACTCTTGGAACCATGTCAAGAATATGATCTTTCCGCCACTCGAAGCATCTCCATATATATCTCCAAAAAAGCTATGGTAGTGTGTTGAATTCTTTCATTGTGATTGTCTGTAAAGGGATCAGAATTGGAAGATATACGAATTCCACTACATGCAGTTTCGCGGCTACCCACAACACACTCACCCAGAAAGTTGTTCTATGACGGCTGCAAAGTGCACAAGACATCACTCGAACACTTGCGCAATGAACGGTTTTAAGCTACAACCTAGTAAATATTCTCCTCACCTTTTCCACCAAAGCCCTGACGTCGTCTCGTTTCCTCGAAAACCTGCATCACATGTTTCTCAAGCTGCAGAGTGTTGACTTCACCTAAGAAAGACGACGAGAAGACAACAAAGGAATAATCAGGTCTGTGATACTTAGGGAACATAATCTCATGTTACCATCTCACGAGCTCGACATCCATTAGACCTAGACAAGTGATCTTGAAATGTTGCAGATGAAGACAGAGGCACTGACCTGTTGGTTTCGTCTCTTGATCTTTTGCCGACGCTCGTCATCACAAGCGTGCTCTACATATTCCTCCACTAGAATACGTAAGATTACACCCGAGATTACTTTACTAGAGAGGAGACCATGTTCTGGGGTATTTATGCAATATCTCTACCACAATAAGAGCTAATGTCCAATGCGAGGATAGTGGGAGAAGAATACGTTGGGCTTGAGGGAGCAGCGAGGGACAGTCCGTTAGATCTTCCAGAGATATCAACTACAATTTGCTTTCCGAGAGATTGATATAGGATACTAAGTTACCGGTGCCTTCTGTGTATATACAACCCATTCGATCTTAATCTATCAAGCAACATCGGGAGGCGAAATTGCCAGAAACAAGAAAAACTCCACAGATGCCAGATTTATACATCTTGAGTATGTGTCATACACGCAAGAAGCGCGAAGTATAAAGCAAAGCTATAGTAAGAGGGGCTTCGGGTCTGTGAGCCATCTACAAACATCCCCTTCTCCTTGCTCAACTGTCTGTCCGAGAACATCGGCTCGAATGTTGCAGCTGAAACTTGACAATGTCAGAAAGAGTTCACGGACCTGCTGCCTTTTGCTTCTGCAGGCAAGAAGATTCAAGGTAGAGTCAGAACAGGATTTTGATATGACACACTAGCGAGACCAATGACACGGCTAAGGGCCTAAGAATCTTGACTGTGTACCTTTAATATGAGTTTTTAAGTCGTGTATTCAAGGAAGCATAACATCGAAGCGGCAGCGTAGAGGTGATAAAGTGCTCGTCGAGATGGCACAGAAGGCGAGAGTCGCTGCAATTGACAATCGATGAAGGAATGAACTGTATCACACTCTAAACACATCAACATAACAAACGCAGAAACCCAACCAGACATCTATTCTGAAAGCCCCAAAGCCAACACGCTCAAATGACCCGATTACCATCTCCATCCCACCCAGCCGTAACCACAACCACAAGATCATCCACCGCCTCCGCAACCCTCCCCAAAGCCCCCGACCTCTCCAACCCTGACATAAGAAACCTGCCCCCCAGCTTGCCACCCCGATTCCACACCCCCATCCTCCAACACACCCACGCGAAGTCCGCCACACTATCAACCTCCTGCTGCAGATGATACGCTCCAAACCACAACGCCGGCAGCCAAATCATCCAATGCCCGTTTCCAAACCCTCTGAACCATTCCACGCCATGGGTGTCGAATAACCATTTCGCCGTCACCACTTGTGCGAGCTCGGAAATTGCAGTTGCTGCTGCGCCGAGGGATTTGGTCCAGCTGCCGTAGCCGGTGAGATAGTATATTGGGTTCAAGAGGTTCCAAGATAGCGGGACACCCCTGGGATGGCGGGCGATAAAGGCGAGGATTTGGCGGAACAGGGTAGTGAGGATTGTGGTTGCGGACATGGCGATGCGGAGTTTATGGATCCTCAAAGCCATGAGATCTTTGCCTGTAAACAAGGGTTGCAGAAAAAGCACCTTCTTGCAAATCGGACATGTGTTTTTCCCCGAGTCGATCCATTCCAGCAAACACGAATTGCAATACACATGACCACAAACCAATTTCGTCGGTTTGTTGTCTTTACTCAATTCTTCCCAGCAAGTGGGACAATGTTCGCCAATATGCGGAGTGGGATCATCCAGTGGTTTCAAAGCCGCCAGATATGGGATTTTGGTGGGTAAGAGTAGGACTTCTGGATCAGGTTGTTCGGAAGGGAATAAGTGGTTCCAGATGACGACCAAAGTGAAGACGGCGGCGGCGTAGGGTGGGTATTTGAATAGTGGCGCTGCGAGGGTGATGGCGATAAGTAGTGTCTGGAGGAATTGTCGCATGATTTTGTGGTCTCTTGAGAGTTGTGTGATGATGATGAAGTAGGCACGATTGCCCGTGTTTATACTGGGAATAAAGTTGATGATTAAGGTTGTACACGCCGAGGAAACAGCGGAGGATGCGGGGGCACTGTTGCATCCTTCCGAAGTTTCGACGAAGCAATAGAACAATGTTTTTCGAAAGGCATAACCAATAGCGTGAAGGCCGTTGTGCTGTATATGTTATGTAGATCAGGGATTCGAGTTGGATCGTCGTTCATCAGCATGATTGGTTTGTATCGTTTGCATTCTGAGGTTATTGGCGATACGTGAACTTATTCTTGACAATCCTCAAGATCATCTTCGGGTAGAGCGGCCACCGCGAAGCGCAGATGAACCATCACTCTGACGACCATCTATCAAGAGTCAACTGTTTCGGCCGATCGTCCAAACTGACATTCTGAAAGTTGCTAATAGTAATCTTCCGAAAAGTGTGTCGAAAATATTGCTTTGATTGCTGGTATGATATGCTGTCGTGACAAAGGAAAATTGTATGTACGTTTGTTTCGTTATAAAGTCGTAATAGAGATCGGACGAAGAAGCTCCGAGATAAGAGGGCTGGTATGTTTACCGGCTGAAAGTCCTGATACGTTTGATGACTTATTGGCCATGATGGTAGCATTAGAATACTCAGGACCAAGAACCCTGTCTGCCAATTTGAACACAACGCGCGAGACTGTGCACGAGACCGATTTGCCTTAGCATGCTATATCTGGTCTGCGCAAACTGACAAGTCTCACAATGTGATCATCCAGATATGTCATCATGATGAGCTCGGAAATGAGGATGGCAGCGGCGATATCGCTGGTCCTTTGTTGGTGTTGGCGCGGCTTCGTGGCATGTTGTATGCTGAGCCGTCGATGGCCATCGGTTAGTTGCGGAGTGAAGCCGGCTTCTCCTCCGGGGACATCTCGTATCTTGTCATGCTGATGATGATGATGATGATAACCGTTCAGTCGAATTGCTCATGCTGTTTGTGCAGTGCCTTGCGCATCTCCGTGTTTCCAATACATCCGAAACCAAAGGCAGGGAGAATACGGAAGCATCGCACAATAGTCGTAGACAACAATCCGGAGCGGGTAGTATCGGCAATCCTCTGCATCCAAGGCACATGATGCTGTCTAGTCGTCAGATCCAAACCAAGCAAATGCAGCGGAGTAGCAACAATCTGCGTCAGAGCAGGTACAGATAGCTGGGAGATGGTCTGAGGGTGGAGTGCCAAGTTGTCCGGGATAGCCGCTGCTAGCCGAGGCGCGAAGGTAAATGATCCGAAGAGCGTCAACGCGTCACGTACGAGCCAGACTGTTGTTGCTGAACGCGAGGGTCGGAGTTTGGGCATGGGTACGGTTGCTGTTGCTGTGGCTGCTGCTGTGTTTGCAACGCGGGAGGGTATGCGGGCGAACATTTGAGCAAAGCGGACGTCCTTCCATACACCGAGAGGGACGTTGACTAAGAAGGCAGAAGCTCCGACAATAGTGCCCACATGCTCCGGGGTAAGTCTCTCAGAGATGGTCTCGGCAACATTGGCGACTCCATAGGTTCCAGCATACAGCGACCAGACGATACCGAAAGGTAGTGATAGCATAAATTGACGAGGCGACTTTACCAGAGACCAGGCTTGATGGCGCAGACTTCGTAGCAACGGTTGGTTTGATGAAGCCTTCTCAACAATTGCTCTGCAGGGTACATGTCCACATCAGTTCTGGCCGACTCAATGATAACGAGATGGCCTTGACTGACCTGTCGATGATGGTAACTGTAGGTGCTACAAGAGTGGCAGAAACAGCAGCAGCAGCCATGTCTCCGGCCAGTAGTTCCCATATCCGAGTGCTTCTGGTGAAGATAAACGATGGCGGCTCTCTGTGTGCTTGGTGTTGCATGTCCATGTTCATGTTGAGGTGAGATGTTCAGGAAAGTATGTGAATGAAACGTGGTGAGAGTGGCAGGTCAAGAAAGAACGACTCGACCTGTTATCTCGTTCGCGAGTCAAGGCATTTTTCTCCTGACACATCGGTTGATGTTTGGGCATTATTCAGGGAGAGCTCGGTTTGCTGCGGCATTGTTTTTGTTGGAAATTAGAGCTGCGCACCGCAGCACCGCTGTGCCTGGGGTTGAGCTTTTAGGGGCGTTGGCTGGGCCATGTAGGCGCCCTTTCCAGTCTAGCTCCCGCTTCTGCATCTTATCTGATTGTCTGATGCTTGGCATGTTTGATGTTTTGCTTTCGCCGGCCGACCGTGTCCGAAAGACATCCGTCGTCGTTCCCCCCATCTTCGCAGCTTGTTGCGACACGCAATGCTGTCCTTCATCAGCACACTGTCACGCTCGCTCCGAATATGTCGACCGTCATCAGCAGCACAACCTTTTGTATGGCTCGTTCGCTCAACCTACTCGACAAGCCAACATGACCCGGCCCAAGAAGCCGCTCATCAGCAATCGCTCGCTGACGAAGTAGCTGCCAAGAAAGCCGCAAAGGCTGCATATGCTCGACAGCGCTGGGCCACAGACCCTGAATATCGCCAGAAACAGATCGAATGTATGAAAAGATATAAGAGAAGTCCAGCCACCAGATGGAAGACTCTGAAATACTGCAAAGAATACAACGAGGGCAGACGAGAATCGGTCATACAGAGAGTCCGCGAGAGTAGGCGGACCAATCTTGTCCTCCGACGTTCAAATGCCCTTCAGGAAATAATCGACAAGGGCAGTCGATGGACCAAAGAAGGTTGGACTTGGAGGACTCACGCTCCGGCCCCTAGTTCTGATCGGGTCGAGCATTGTTGTACAAGCTGTGAGAAGCTCCGGTACAGGAAGCTCTGGTGGAAAGAGCACAACTCGGATCAATACATGTGCAACAGCTGTTTCGCCAACCATTTCGACCTCGTAGTACCTGAGAATGTCATGGGGAAAATGCCCCTGCTCTTCACCTCGCCTACCCATCCTCCACCCCCTCCTGATCTGGACGAGCATAAATCCGAGGAAGAGGGGCGAACAAATCAAGAGAAGAAGGAGTCAAACGGGGAAGACAAGACGACAGGATGATGGCGGACGGGAGGAACAATCGTGTTTCGAGAGACACGAGCGCTGGACACACATCTATCACCAGTACTACGCAACCGGACAATACCATAACAAGCATCGAGTCAAACACACACGTAGGTAGTCACCAAGACAGAAAAGGAATTTCAAAGCAACAAATCAGAATCGTAAAGGAGCGACAGGGAGGGTATTATGACGACAGGTAAAACAAAAAAGAAAGAAAACGCAAGTGCAAAAGAGAAACCCAAAGAAAGAGACCAATTTCAACCATGCTCCATCCACATTCACATCCACCATGCTTGCCTCTCCCCCTCACTTCCTAGCCACACCCATCAAACAACCAAATCCACTTCCCATTCTTCCACCCTCTTCAAGCACACCACAAACCTGCTCCAACATTTGAGCTTCACTCTGCAATCCACCCATCTCCCTAGCCAGTTTGTAAACCCACTGTTCCCACATCCTGGCTCCGAGTAGACCAGTAACAGGAGCCACAGCCTCAGTACTGCCGGTGAACGCAGGAGGATAGTAAGCAGGCTTGCCATCAGGACCCAACAGTGCATTTCCCTCTGCATCTCTGATTTGAACTTGATGGTGAATCGTGCCTGTAGATTTAGGCATGCTCTTACCACGAGAGGGGAGTTTGGCAGAACCGGGGAGGGATGGCAAAGGCTTGGTAGGTGCTTCTGGGGCGGAGAGTTTGCCTGCATCAGTCCAGATGGGGCAGACATCAGACATTCCCAGGAACATCCACATGCGCTTGATGGAGTGGAATCCGGCGTGGGAAAGACGGGTTTGGAAGTGCTTTGTGGGTTCGCGCTCGTAACCACGTTGTTGGAGCTTATGTCCAAACTCTGCGTTCATCACTTGGCCCCAAGAGCCAGAGGAAACATTGATGAGGAGGGCGTCGAGGAGGCAGAAGTCGAGATAACCTTTGGGTTTGAGAACACGATGGAGTTCGGTGAGCGTCAAGGCGATCTCGTCGGTCTTGAGGAGCGAGTGCAGGCTACGTGCTGAGATGAGATCGAAAGTGTTGTCGGCGAAAGGGAGAGCGAATGGCTTTTCCAGCTCGATGGCAGTATGGTTGCCAGGGCCGGTGAGGATGTCGCGGGTGCCGAGGTAAGCAGTGCATACTTTGGTGTTGGGGTGATCGGTTGCGATCTTCCAGCCCCAGTCGCAGTTGGGCTTGCCGCCAAAGTCAAGGATTTCGGCCGAGGTAATGCTCTTGATGTGAGCTTCTACCTCCTTGACGAGAAGGCCCTTGCGGATGTAGGAGAGGGCTTCGAGTTCCCAGGTTGCGAGGGTGACTTGCTCGAGGGCTTGACGCTCGCGCTCGACAGCTGCGATGGTCTCTCTTGTCTCGTCATCTTCAGGGCTGGGAGCAGGAAGCATGGTCGAGATTGGGCGAGTTGAGGTAGGACGTCTAGGCTGAGAGATCTCGTACTCATCGGCGAGCGCTCTGCAGTAAGCGGCTGAGAAGTTGCGGCGCTGAGTGTGAGTTGACTCCAGGCGCGTCTGGCGATGGATGAAGACGTCGTTGGACTGAGTGCGCTCCATGGTTGAGTTGAAACCGTCAAGGAAGATGGTGTCGGTATCAGTCAAGGTGTTGACATTGTCGGCCGGGGCAGTGACAGAAGAAAGCCCAGGATAAGGCGCAGAGAAGCCAGTGCTCATCGACGTGCTCGGCGAGCTAGCCTCAGGCGCAAACCTGACGGACTTCTTCGACGGACTGCAGTCGGCAGAGACCGTGACGGCGGGCGAATTGGCCATCTTGGGAGTCGATGGTACCATCTCTTTAACGACAACCTTGGGAAGCATGGTGAACTGATCGTCTAACCAACCCTTTGTGCGTTCAAAGTGCGCCAACGCTGATTGTTTTAGTTTCTCCTGATACTCTTCGTTGTACTCGGAAGGAGCTTGACATACGTCGGTGATTTCTGCAATTTCAACTTCCCGATCAATGGGAGAAAAGACGTCTTTGATGGCCGTTGGTGGTCCGCGATTTGTCGGTGAAAGCGCAGTGACAATTGTTGTGCGTTGCTCACTTGAATAGGCCGCGCGCCATGGAACGCCGTAGAAGTTTTCTGCAACGCTTGTTGATGGTTCTGGCGTGCGAATTGCCCAAGTTTGCGCCGCCACTGGAGCCAAAGATGAGAAAAAACCGCCTGGAGATGGTACACTCAAAGCAGATACTGGATCTTGGTATTGCGGCTCATCGGGATTGACAGAAAGAAGTGCAAAGTCAAGACGGACTGGCGTACTCTTGATAATCTCCTTCATCTCATGAGCAGCTTCTTCAGGGACCTCGATGACTCTTTCGACAATCTCATTCTGTGCCTCTTCCGGACTGAGCTGGTGCAACGTCTCAAATGCATCAGGATGCAGTTGACATGGTGGCTCCCACTCATTGACAATCTCCTCGCGAGAAGACAAGTCGGGCGTAGAAGGACAACTGGAAAGGGCAAGCTCCTCCGAAGTCAAGCTTCCGTCCAGAGAAGGAGTTGAAGTGCCACTAGGTACTCGGAATCTTTGAGCTTGCCATACCGAGAAAGCCGATGGAGAAGCAAGTTTAGAAGCAGGCGACAAACCAATGGCGTGCGAAGGTTGTGGCTTGTGGATAGACGGCCATTGACTAGGAGAAGGTATGACAAGAGAGGGGTACCTGCTACGTTCTTTGTCGACGACATGCTTCTTGACAGATGCAGAAAGCTTCAAAGGTACCTCTTCGCCCTCGCTGTCTGTGAGGTCGTAGAGACTGTCAAAGCTCGAATTGGAACTGCGATGACTCCACATCGACGAGACTACAGATGTGGCATCTGTCGCCGGTGTGATGGTAGCAGCCAATCCGCGTGGGGTGGGCATGTCATCCGACATAGGTGAGGTAATCATAAGCTTTGAAGGATAATGATACGGAGGTATGTTGACTTGAAGCTCGTCTTCAATCAAGGTAACTCTAGCCTCCCTCCGAACCTGCGGAGGTGGCTGATAGACCGTTGTCGGTAGAACGTATGTCGCCATTATTAAGTATGTATCGCGTTTTTGTTGATCTTCGTCTCTGATATGTTGCTGGTTTTTCGAGTTCGCCTTGTATAATCGTTTGTTGCTAGTATGAATATATTGAGTCCGGCCAGCGGATGTGAAATTAAGGTAGAGAGGAAAAAGAAAGAAAAATGGAAACAAAAACTGCAAAGGTACGAAGGAACACACAAAACGCAAGAACAAACTGAGAGAAAGGTCTGGGAATGGGTCTCACAGTGCTTAAGTTACTCTACCTTGGCGCTTAATCGAGGCAGTGGACCTTTGTGGCTGCCACAAGAATGGTTTCGGATGCAGTATGAGCAAGCACCAGCACTATCGCATGCCTGTATCCGGGTTCCAAGAAACTATTGGGTCTGGGTATGTGAAGCCTGGGCGGTCAGGATGGACTCGTGGTTGGCTTCCGGATGAAGGTCTGCATCGTCTTGCAGCGTCTATTGGAAGTGGCGGTCATGCTACAGGTGGCCAGCAAGGTCCCGGCATAGCACTCGCATCGAGACTGCTCGTGGTTGGTCGAATATTCGCCCGAGATATGCAGCGCTACGTGGGCGCTTACAGAGCGAACCACTGATTAGCATGCTGTCACACACGAGTGCTCCGAAGCATCACTCTGCTACTCGTAAAATCTCAGCAACGGCTCCAAAATTTGAGCATCGAGATGCTTCGTTGCTCTCCGTACGAATATGTTATTTTGTCGACGAGCAAAGGAGATTAAGAAGGTCAGGAGCGATGGAGAATCTTTTTCGGCAATGCGATGACGCTGCCCCATCAGCTCGGTCAAATCGAGCAACCGCCGAACACCAGCATCAATCAAACACTTGGAAAAGGTATATATTATGCACGCGATCTTCAAGCATGGTATGCTAGGAAGATCATCGAAGTATAGTTCATCATTTCCGATGCGACTCGACATTCGATTCAAACTATCTAACAATTCATCATTTTGACTCTAAGCCATGAACGCGATGTACCCAGATCCCACATCTCTGGTCTGAGTCTCACTACAGCCTCTTTTTGAAGTACCTCACGTCCGTCTTGATCGAACATCGAACTACATAGAACCGCTCGCAGCATACCCCCTTCTGTGCCGGTCATTAATAAAGTGTTCGGAGGTCTTCGAGCTTGGACCAGTGAAACTTCTTTGGTTGCCATGCATATCAACGTAAACAGCGTGTGTCCTGGGCACAAAGGCGGGTGATATGCTTCATCGACTGAGTTCGATGGCATTGACGTGCGTCGTAGAAGTGGTGATATCGGTGATACAGGTGACGCGGGACCATGGCCTGGTTCGGTAGGCGAGATCCACTCCGGATCACTGCCGAATGCACGAGCGACATACAGCTCTTTCGTCCATCGCCTGATATTGAAAGATTCAAGCCAAGTCGGATCGGCTTCGTGGTATTGAGTGGCCAAAGGTGAGGATGATACCGCGTAGGTCAAACTATCGTTGGAGATCCCGAAGATCAACTTCTCCAGCTGCGGCAATGGCAGTGTACCTTCAATCAGCACCAAACCTTCTTCTGGAACTCTCTTCTCTACCGGTTCTGGGGCAGAGGTGGCTATCAGGGTCGATGTGCCAGCAAGAAGGGTGTACACTGTGTTCGCTCGCCAGCCACTGTAAACCCATACCAGGCCGAAAAGAAGAAGATCAAGAAGCAGCAAAGCTGGAAAGAGAATTGGGCGAAGCTCATTGAACCTTGCACGGGTCTGATCAGGTAGTCTTTGATGGAGAATCGGTAGTGTGCGACAGTCGTTGAGGTAGATCACGCCATCGAGATCGTCGACGCCCACTATCTCGCCAAGTGGTCTGACATCCCAAAGATGTGTACCGAATTGATCTTTGCTGAGAAGACCTCGGAATGCGGTTTTGTCGTCTTTCGCAGGATATGAATAGCTCGACAGCATGCGCTCTAGTACGTACTCATTCTCACCAGTTAGTGACAGCAGCTTTGCCATGGCTTGGAACAAGGTGTCTTCTGCATTGACAGTGATTTTGCGACGCAATAGTCCCATCAGAGCGTATGCAATATCAGCTTGGGTGAAGTTGGAAGAATCCTGCCTGCTGAGAGCGGCGATCGCTGCAATGACCATCTCAATGTGGCTCAGCTCGATGTGGTTTTCGAAGTATTCGGCCAAGATACGAGCCGGATAATGGCGCTCATCATTTTCGAATGGCCGCCAGAATTCGTATGTCATCTCAATACGATCGAGATCAGTCCTCGTGAATCCAGTCTCCATGGTCGTCCAGATACGCAGCCTACCCTTAGCGAGCATACCTTCTGGCAATGTCCACAGCCGTCGGGCCCATTCTCGTTTGTGGAAGGAGTGCTCGCTCGGAAGCATAATCGCGACATGATGAGCATTGCGCACGATATCAGCCATGCCGTAGACATCGCTCGAAGGACTTTCTCCTAAGATCTCATCTGCTACACATTGGACATCCAGCCAATATGCTTTGAGTCCAGCTTCTAGAGTTGCATGCCGGGCCATCTTTTTGATTGACGCCAATGCCTCTCTCCTGGGCTTGTTTCTGTCGTACTTGAAAGACGCCCAGTGCCAGCTGATGAAGACATATTCAGTAGTTGGCGGAGGGTCCTTGGCCAATATCCAGCTCTTATCGGCGTACATGACAAGACGCCGAGGTAGAACGAGTCTGGTGGCTTCAAAAAGGTCCTTCACGCCGGAAGATGTCATCTTAGTCTCGGCAGTCGTATTTGTCTTCTTGCGTTTCTGGTCCAACTCGTTCCTGGCATATCGGAGACTTCGCGACGAAAATTTGGAAGGTTGCTCATCAAGATCAGTTGAGAAATTGTGTAATTCTCGTGTCAGCATAAGGAGCTGTAGAGGCACAAGTACAATGCTGAGTCGGAGCACAGTCGTGAGCCAGAGTGACGACCATCGCCGATGGTTTGTGGGTCTGCGAGTTTTTGAAGAACATAAAACCCAGTCTATCACAGAGATTGGAAGTCGAGACACTGGTTCGAGCATGATACGAGTCCACGAAGTATGCGTACTGTGATCAAGAACATCTCGAGTCGCTTGTACCACCAAGGTTTCGTCAGCTGTCAAAGTGGCAGATGTCGGTTGTTTTGACCAGTCTCCGTCATGGTGTATGGCCCCTGAGCTCCGAGTGTTCATTGTATAGCAGTTTCATAGTATCTGACCAGTATTGCTGTTGAGCGAAGGCAGAAACCAGCATATCCCTGGTGTAAAAAAGATAAGTACTGCAAAGTGGCAGGTCAACCCATCAAATGACCAAACTCGCGGTGAAAGACGCTACTGTGCCCTCAAGAGACGGATCGTCACCTAAATTGAGAAGCCCGCCTTCTTGTTTGCTATGGCGCATCCTTCTGTCGCTGATAGGCTCGCTTTCCAGCCTTGGGCAGGAACACGTCCCACCAGCGACTGGCTTTCATGTGCGCGTGACATGGCAGAGCGCAAACATGAACATTACATCCATAGGATCCCACGGTTGAGCTGGCACCCATATATCGATGAGAAAGTCAGAACAACAAGCAAGAAACATCGAACTGTCGAGTGTCTCTTCGCGAACTCGGACAAAACATTTTCCGGTCGCGACCCCAACTTCTTGCTGCACTTTCAAGCCACGCTTTGCATCCTGCACACCACCTCGCCGTCCGGCCAGCAGTTAATCTATTTAGGTGAGTAAGCTGCAGCTCCTTCAGCTGGCGTGCAAATTATCTCTCCACGGTCTCCTATATGAACGATGGTATATGCTATCGGTAAGTACAGAGTATGTTCCTCCCTCTTTTCTTGCCGCCATCGCGATGTTTTTCCTAAACAAATTCTCCGACTTCGAAATCGATGTCGTCGGTTTTCTCGCCATACTAGGAGAGGGCTCTATCGGTGCAAATGCGCATATCATCACATTCACTAAGTGGTGTTTGATTCCACGACTTTTGCCAGCGCCTCAAGTATTACTGCCGGCGCAACGACCAGAGAATCTCAAGGTCAAGGAAGCCTATGTCACAGCAGTGGAATCTGGAAATATTTCGGCATGTATCAACCACGTCGCACATGTCTTGATCGACGCCGAGGATATTCAAAGGAACGAGACTCGGTGTGTTCGGATTGTCAGAAATCCTGAGCATCCGGACAGACCTATTCGACCCAAAAGACTGAGTCCACTTCTGGCTGTGAATTTGCTTGGCTGTGGTTGTTCTGTCGGTCTTTTCGTCGCTTCGGTGGTGCTTAATGACGGCATGTCCATGCTTGCAACGTTATGTTTATCCTTTCTGTCGACCTTGACAGGTGTCGCGAACCACTGGGATCTCGTTGCCAAAGATCCGGCAATACAGCCAAAGCCCGACGAAGTGCTACCAAGAGGAGATTTGGTAGTGCGATATCCCAACGGATCGTTCTTGGTCGTCAAATGCAACGAGCAGGTCGCAAGAGAACTCTATTTCACTCGCGAAGATATAAGATACACCATGGTGCAAAGACGAGGCATCTACCGAACTATCTCGCTTACCGGTACACTTCTCTTAATGCTCGGAGTCATTTTCCTGGCCAATGCTACAAAGGCTCTCCAATTAGCCTGGGCCGTCATCTACGTTCTCCTAAACGCTGCATACTGGTCATTCGCCGCCCTACCAAAACGCTACCACTGGGACCTTGACCGCTACAAGGTCACAGAAATCGGTATCGAGCGACCAAACTTCAACGACAATCGCTTCACAGATGCTCTATTCAAAGCTGTCCTGTTTGCGCAAGGAGCAGACTGGGCCAGGATCGGTGAAGCAGCTGCTCCTAGAACCAAAATATGGGATGATTGGCTAGATCTGGCAGAAGTTGAAGCTCTGTCATGTGGCGAGTTAAAGTCCGGCGAGTACCAAGACCTAAAGTGGCCCAATCGTGTTGAATTTTCGGGAGAGATACAGCCATTTCCGAAAAACTGGCAGCCGCATCCCGCCTGGAAAGCTTTGTATGACAAGTCTCGGGCGAACAATGAGGTCTTGGTTGAGAAGCAGAATGCGAACCTGGGTAGATGCGGTTCAGATGTATCTTTTTCTGCAGAGGCCGGCGCTGTCTCTGCTGAGAAGGTTTATGTTTCTGATTGAACGAAAAGACTCGAGCTCAGAGTTAGAATTTAGATTGTTGCAATCCTTTTCTTCGTTGCGACTGTTTACAACAGTTGGGCATGCCTCCTGTTTTGCACTCCCAAAGGTCATGAAAGTTGACAGCGGATCTTAGTTCTCTCTATCCCTTCCGACTCCCTTGGAATCTTGTTTTCAGCTGGGTTTGGGTAGTGCAATCCTCAAAGGCCTTGGGCAGACCTCCATCCGGATCTTTGAAGAAACACCTTGGACATCTGTGCAACCCTGTACTTCCCGAATCAGTACTTTCCGTTCTGCCTTTGACCTGCTTCAAGAACCACAACTTGAAGCCTCCGCGCCTTGGGTATTCGCAGCCTCCACATTGGTGTTCCACTTTGATCGGATAGAGCACCGGCTTGTACAATCCCCAATCCATCACTTCTCTGGCCGCAGGATCCCTCCTGATCCATCTACATACGGTGTCTCTCTGTACGTATGACGGGTCCTCTTTTCTGACCGACTTCCTACGTAGTCTGGTGCGCTCGTTATGTGCCGCCCGCCAAGCGGGATCTTTCATCATTGCCGTTTGATATCGTCGGTTACTGTCAAGTACGCTCCCACGAAACTTCGGATTATGGTGATATGAGCGATATTTATATTCCCTCATCTTTTCGCGTCTCGAGCTGATATATTCGGGATCGTTCTTCTCCGCGTGAGAAAGACTTCTCTCTGCTGCTCCCTTCTTTTCGCGGGACTCGGAATCGTTGACATAGCGTTCTTGAAAGTTTGTGCGCCGAGCCTCGCGTTCTGCGACCGCGTTATGTTCATTGGTCTGAGCTTCAGCAATCTGAAGGGATTCCTCTCGCGGAGCAGAGTCAATCGCCGAGTTCCAGGTAACGCGATAGGTAGAAAATTGACGGGAGCTGTTGGGCTTCTTCTGCGATGGTATCCGTGATTGACCTGACAGACTTGGAGTGGTCGGTACTGGCGTAGCTTGTTGGCTCTCGAGCTCTTTCTTTCTTGCGGCGACCTCTTTGATGGTTTCGCAGCCTTCATAGCCTTCAGGCAGCCCGTTCGAGGTTTTCAAGTAACATGCATGGCACTTGTATGTGGGATCTGGAGTATGCTGGTGTGCAACCCACCAGATTCTGCGACCCATGTTTCTGGTGTAGTCGCAATCTTGACATTTGTGCTCGAATCTGGTAGTATATAGTACCGGCCGAAACTCCTTCCAAGGCAATTCCTCTCGGAATCATGTACGGCTGTGGATCCAGGTATATATCAAGGGCCCTCGTGGATAGTAAGGACTGTCCCTTTTTGCCCTACTAGGAGGTTCTTCGCGGAGTCTGAGCTTAGCCTTCAATGCCTCCATCCGCCAATTGGGATTGCAGGCAAACTTGCGCTTGTGAAGCAGGCGTCTTTTGTCCCTAAGATAATTCGGATCGATCTCAAGCATCCGCGAGTGCCAAACTCTGTTTCGCTCAAGCTTCCGCTCCCGGAATTCAGGATCTTCAGCATACTTCTGCTTGTGCCGTTCAGCGCTTGTCCTGGACGACTTGGGGCGTACATTGACAGTAATGCTAGGCTGTTCATGGTCCTGCGACGGCGCATCTCCATCACTTTTGCTTGCAAATGACCGAAAGAGATCAACTTTGCTTCTGGCCGATTTTGACGGAAGGTTGTTCATTGTCCATGATGTGAGATGTGTCGTGTTCGGACTGATGCAGAAGCCTGAAGTTATGGAGGAAATGATTGCTCTTTTGAGCGGTAGTGCTAACATGACTGGGTGTTAACAGCAGCTTTCGATCTTGGTATGAGAGCAGTCACGCGCAAGCCTGCGACCGTGAAACGATGGTGTACGGAGTATTGCGAAAACAATGAACTTGATGAAGCATGTCCCAGACAAAAAGCGGCGGCTGAGCCTCGGTAAGAGATGATCGAGCTTAACCTCGATTCCGCGACGAGCGATGATTGATAATGTTAATTAACCATTATTTCCCCACAACCACTTGGGTCAGCAAACCGTCTCCTGGTCGGCTTTGTCAGAGCTTCACCAGTTCCTCGCGCCTTCGCCGCAATAAACATGTAATCCCCAAGACAAATACAGACTAAGTCCCTCTCTTCCTTCCAAATACAATATTCTATGTTTCTCCGTCGCTCTTTCCTTTTCTCTTTATCCCGTCTTTCATATAAGAACAGTGCGTCGCCGTTTCCATGAGACTTCTCATCTCCATTTTAATCTGCCTAGCTGCAATTGTCTATCACCAACGATTGAACATCCTACCATACCTGAGCTCGAAGAATATCATCACCACTACTACTTCGACACCGCAAGCGACTACCAACACAACAATGCCTGCTGCACAGAGCACTTTCAAGGGTCTCCCTGTCATTCCTCCCAATGACCCTTCGTTGACGGCTACCACTACCACTCCTCGCGCTATTCGCAAGGTCTTCGAGGCTATAGACCAGGCTGAGGGCGCGGGTGCAAGAGTCAGAAGATCGGTCGGAACGAGAGAGTTGAAGAACTTCACACCCTTCCTTATGCTTGTGAGTATACTACCCCCATCTATGGCCACCTGGGATATGTGCTGACATGTTTGTGCGTAGGATCACTTCACCATTGCGCCTGGTGCCGGTTTCCCCGACCACCCCCACCGCGGACAAGAGACCATCACCTACCTCCTCTCTGGAGCCGTGGACCACGAGGACTTCGCTGGCAACGCCGGAACCATCTACGCCGGAGACTTGCAATTCATGACGGCCGGTCGTGGTATCGTGCATGCCGAAATGCCTGCGCAAAACCCCGACGGCTCAGCCAACATCGGAATGCAACTCTGGGTCGATCTCCCCGCCCACCTCAAAGACTGCGAACCCCGCTACCGCGACCTACGCGGCTCCGAAATCCCCGTCGCCAACTCGCCCGACAAGAAAGTCAATGTCAAGGTTATCTCAGGTCGCGCGTACGGCGTGGATTCATTGCAAGAGTTGGCTTATACACCTGTGTGGTTGTTGGACGTCACGGTACAACCTGGAGGTACATTCGACGCACCGCTCCCACACAAGTGGAATGCATTCATCTACACATTGAGTGGAAGTATCGTATTGGCTGGCCCTCAGTCGAGCAAGACTATCCCTCAATACCATAATGCCGTTCTCGAACAAAGCGGCGACAGCATCGTTGCTAGCGTTCCTGCTTCTGCGGAGAAGGAGAGCAGATTCATCTTGGTCGCTGGAATGCCTTTGGATCAGCCTATCGTGCAATATGGACCATTTGTCCAGACCAGCACTGAGGGTATCTACAAGGCTATGGCCGACTACCAGGGCTATGCCAATGGATTCGAAAGAGCAGAGAACTGGGAAAGCGAGATTGGAAAGACCATGGTACACTAGATTGGACAAGGTGTTGCATAACATTTGGCGTTTGCTTGGAGTAATGTAGCATTTGAAATCCTGAGACTTTCCTTTCCTCTTGCCATTTCCATCTCCCAAGCATTCGAGAGATAATTTCACGAATGACTACTCATTGTCGTCGTTTCTGGAGCCTTGTTCCGAAGGGTATGACTACTTTCTTAGCCCCTGGCTTTTCAGACGCTGCAGGGCTCTAGACTTGCACTCGGCAACCATACAGATGTTCCATCAATGGCCACAAACAGCAGACAATGCTACCGTCTTCAACTATCTTTGAACCATATCCCTTAGGATCAAACCATTTTACATCACGTGATACCCATCCAGTCGCAGTGGTTTAGTGGTAAAATTCGTGCTTGCCATGCACGAGCCCCGTGTTCGATTCACGGCTGCGACAATTTGTTTGCATTTTGATCCGTTTTTGTGTGGTCTCTACCTCCTGCCTTGCGTCGAAATCGTTTGTTTTTGGCGAAAGGAAGGGACGAGAGTTATGGGATTGCATCTTTTCGAGGATGAAAGGGTTTGAAAGTTTTTTTGGGGGGATGATATAGTGGAAGCGAGCAGGAGTAGAGAAATAAGGGGCAGAAGCTGAAGCTGAAGAGCAACGCGGGCTGACGCGGGCTAAGAATATGAGTTTATTGTATTGCAATCTGTGGTTTTTCTGTATGCTTGATATTGCGTACGCATTAGATCTGACTGTTATTCTGTGGATGTGACCAATCCAGTCGATATCTCCAAGGCGGTTTCTTGTATTTCCGAAGACGGGAGCCCAACGTAGAGACGATCCCCAATCCCCAATCCATCTCTTTCTTCCCCATCCTACCACATCAAACAAATCCACCCCCATAATAAACACTCGCACTCCTCTTCCCCACCCCCATCTCTTCCTCCATCCCACTCCCCCCACCCACATCCCCCCATCCAACTCCCAACCCCCCTCCAGCAACAACAGCTTCACCCACGCCAACACTCCACCTCCTGACCGCCCTCCCCGACCTCGCGACACCCTGCTGCAACCCCTGCTGCAATGACTTGCCGGAAATCCTTCGCACGCGCTCTTTCACGGGTACTTGTGAGGCCTTTATATCGCCGCTGCTTATGGCGAGGTGCAGGCGGGACGTCAGTGTTGAGTGGAAGGTGGAGATTGCAGACGGCGTGGAGAGTGAAGTATATGCCGTAAGTGGTTTTGAAGAAACACGACGGCTTTGGATTTGACGGGCATGGATGCGAGGGGGTGTGTGTGAGTATTCGATTTTTGGCTTCGGGTGTGATGTTGGTGCTGCTGTTGCGAGTTTGAGGGGTTTGGGTGGGTAGGAAGAGGGAGGGGAGAAGAAAGGGTTGGAAGTGTTGGAGATGGAAGAGAAGGTCGGAACCCCCAGGACGGTTTCGTTTGTGGTTTGGTGGCGTTTTGAGGTTATGGGTTGTTGCGAGGGGGATGAAGAGAGAAGTTGAGGTCGAGATAGAGGGATGGTGGGAGGGGGTCTTATGGTGCTTCTGCGACGGTAGGTTTGGTTTGTGAGGTTTAGACGGAGAGATTGGACGCTCGAGTCTGAAGAAGAAGAGAACCAAGAGATTGGTTGAGGGCGACGTTGTGCTGATGGTGCTGCCAGGTTCTGCGATGTCGAAGCTTCAAGAACTGGCTCTGCGATCTTCTTCGGAGACACTTGCCCCTCATCCAGCGCGTCGATATGCTGTTGCCGCGAAGCAAAAGTGTGCAGTTGCAAAGAACTGTGCGGCGGGGCCGAAGTACCCGTATGCCTGATCAAAGGTCTCGCATCCAATCTCACCCCATCCACAGTCCTGGGAACCTCTCTTTCCTTGTGCTTTGCTCTTTCCTGCTCTTCAACCATCCATCCGGTATCATGTACAACCTCATCCAACGAGATATAAGTACTCTGCGCCAGACTCTGCTCGGCGGTCTGCGGCTCAGTCTGCACCTGCGTTTTCCACTGCTGCAGGTTTCTATTGGCCACTGTCCTCTGCAACGGCACGCCGACCTCGAAACTCAATGTCGAGCCAGAGTTATCCGAATGCAGAAGTCCACTGGTCGAGTCCGCAGAGGCTCCGGTATCCATACTTCCAGTGGGACTGATCTGTTCGGAAATCGTAGCATCATCACCAGTCTTCCGCGCAGCATGAGAAAAGTACCGTCCGATATCCTCTGGCTCGGTGGCTTCAACAGTGAAATTGTCAATAGCAGCTGCAATCCGTCCATCCTGATCCGAGCTCGTCCCATCACTCTCATTTTCCTCGTCACCCCCAACCTCAAACCCAGAAATCGCTGGCGGGAATTGGAAATCGGGAAGTTTACTATCGCAAGGACTGACGACTTCATCTTCGGAGAAAGACTGTCTACCCGTTGACCCAGGAGATCTGTCCGTATCATAATCAGAGGGCAAGAGTTTTCCTTCAGGGTCTGAATAGCCGCTCTTCTTGTCGTCTCCAGAGTCTAGGTTCGGAGGTGAGAGCAGGCTGTCGATACGCGTCTTGCGGTATTTGTTGCGGAAATTGTCCCAGACCGATGAGAGTCGTCTAGTCCGACTGAGTGGTGCAGACATGTCTCGGTATGGAAGAAAAGAGAAGAACAAACGAAAAAAAGCAGACGCTCGCAAAGACAGAATAATCAAAGGAGAAGAAAAGAGATTTTCCTCGCTGACGACGAGGGCTGTTGAGTATCGGGGATTGTATCAAGAAAGACAATGTCAGATGAGAGAAAGAAAGAGGCGACAATTCTGCATCGCTCTTCCTCTTAAATGTTGTATCCAAGGTCGCATTTTTGCCAGTCCCTACCGGTATCGCAGCATGCGCACCGTCAATTTGAGTTGAACAGAACCAAAACCGATCACATCATCTGTCTCTTATCTAGTCAGTTCCAAAGATCATCTGTAACTTGGCTATGTCTTTGCTCAAGACCATGCATACCTAAATTCGGCTTTTGCTGCTAGCATACTCAAGCTTCACCGTGCCAAGCAGCATAACAATCATCTCGATTGCATGATGGTAAACTTTTGCGCACGTTGAACGTGCACTTGACTTTGAGGGGGTGGAGGTGGATCGAGTGAGAGTTCTTGGATTGGTCTACATACCTCCGAAGTGGAGTTTAAGAAGGAAAGGCAATTTGTGTGGAGTGAGGAAACGGGGCAAACCTTGAGTTTTGTCTCAAGTTGTTACATGTCCCCGCTTGAAGCCATGATCCAACCAACGCCGAGATAACGCAAGCAAAGAGGTACGTAAAGAGAAAAGAGCAAAGTGTGTAGCAACAGCAACCTCCTCTTTTTTATCGCCTCTTTTCTTGTTTGTGTCAACATGTTTTTGCGACCTCTCTTGAGGTCCGTCCATCCAAATTATTATGTGTCTTCGTGTCCGTCGTGAAAGCACAATTGTGTGCAGGTATATGGAAAAAGAAAAGGGGAAAACTCAACACGTCAAAAGCGTGGAGTAGAAAAGATAAAGGCAGAAATGTTGAAAATGTATCAACTAATGATGGTGTAAAAGACATCTCACTGCTGGAGCTCTGGGAAGAACACTGCATAAGGGTTCTCCTTGGAGCTACCAGAATTGTTGATGTTGGTGGAAGCGAACAATGGTTGCTCATCAAACTGGGCGCCGAGACCGTAGTCGTTGTTTGAGGGGAAGAGGGCATCGTTGTTGCTGCTGGGAAGGTATTGCGACATGTCAAAGTCGTCATTGTCCATCTCCATATCCAAGGTAGCGTCACCAATGAATCCTTGAGTTGTCATGGGTTGCGGGGCAGAGAGGGTAGGATCAGCTCCATTGACAAGGAACTGAGGTGGAGAGAACAACAGACTTTGATCGCTGATGTAGTCGCTTGGACCTGCTTGGTAACCTGGGTCAAGCTTGAAGCCATCGTTGGCAACGAATGGAGGGCTGTCTTCGGGTGTGGGAGGGTTGAACGCATCATCGAAGGATGTCTCACCTTGCAACAAAGTCGAGTTGGGTACAGTGTTAGTAGCCGACGAGTCGTGGGATTGACGACGATCATCCACAAGGGATGGAGTGTAGAGGGGATTGTTGACAGCAGGAGTGAATGCAGATGTCCAATCGAAGTTGAAGTGATCAGCAAATTCCGGCTGGAAGTCCATGGCCATGTTGAAGGGACTTTCAAATGGAGTCATGATACCTTGGCCCATCGAAGGGACCGAGAAGTCCTGAGGAGAGGTCAAGACAGTAGACAGGTCAGTCACAGGGTACTGCTCGGTTTGCATGTAGGGTGTGGTGGATGTGGATGCAGAGGCAGACGAGGTGGAAGGAGTGGATGCGTTTGCAGCAATGCCGCCAATGAGCTTAATGGGCTGTTGGACGGGCTCCTTTTGACCAGGCTTTGCCTTGGTCTTTCCATTCTTGACGGTCGTCTTTGAACGGACATAGTCCCAGCCATGGGCCTTCTCCATGTGTGACTTGCAATTACTCAGTCGCTTTGACTGGTAAGGGCAGTTGTTTACCGTGGACCAGTAGCAAGCATACATGATGGGGGATTCTGCATGCTTGTCGTTGACGTGGCGTTCACACTCTTTCTCGGTGGGCCAGCCTTCGTCGTGGTACTTGCAGTCAGTGTGGGGACACTTCCAGGGACGCTCATGACTCTTCATGTGCTTCGTACGGTCGCAAGGACGGCGGAAGATCTTGTCACATCCGTCAAAGCCACAGTCGTACGTCTTGACGGGCTCGCCCTTTCTACGACGTGCCATGGACCTCTCGACGTCATCATTCAAAGAGTCTTCCATGATGGGACGCTTTGATGAGAGGACGGAGTGGTCGGTGGGAGAAGAGGAAAGAACGGCACCATCGAGCAGAGAAATATCCTTTCCGGCCCTGTGACGAACGAGTTGGGCGGGAGTGTTGTGAGTCACACCTCCCCGCAGTCTTAGAACTTCGTCGCTGAGTAATCTGTTAGCCTGTGAACTCTAAATTTGGAACATCAGGAAGAACTTACGATGTCACGTCCATTTCGTCGAGATCTTCGCCACGTTCTTTCTTTGCACGAGTTGATGCCACGATTTGAGCGTATCTGCGGATTTGACCGACCAAGTCGATGAAATAGTTGTTAGTGTAGGGGCGATCTGATGGCGAGCAGTGGTCTGATTCGTGAACGATATCGACAGTGGCGTGGAGACAGTCGATATAGGTTTCGCAAAAGTTGAGATAAGAAGAAGGAGAACGCGAGTAGTCCTGAGAAATGGCACGAAAATAAGCAACCGAGCGGGCAGAAAGACCGCAACGAATACTTACGGGAGCCAAGAAGATCAATGTCTTCTCAAGATCACGAAGAGTGGTGATTTCGCGAGAGCCGATGCGTCGAGGAACACCTCTGACAAGGGGATGGAAGTCTTTGAGAGACTGTTGTCTGAGGATGGGCTTGACGATGTATTTATGAATCTGCTCACACGCGAACTCGCTTAGGTGTTCGTCAGCGTATGAGCTAGAGGTCGAAGAAGGTGATCTCTTCAGTGTGGAGTCTGACAATAGAACAATAGTTAGCGCTGCCTAACGATAACGACAACAGGGAGGGACGGAGTGAATCATACCTTTGGACGCAGTCGACGTCTTCTTGGTGTCGAATTCGTCAGAATCGGCAATGCTAGAACCCAGACCACTGTCATATGCATTGTTGGGACTATCACGACGTTCTTCGGCGATGCCTTGTAAACCTGTCTTGTCGAGGATGCAGCGAGGATGAGGCAAGGCTTCAGGTTCGGAGAGCAACTTTCCAAGAGCGGCAGCGGAGGAATTGTCGGCAATGACCTGATCGACTTTGGCGAGGAGGTCTGCAGCTCTTCTCTCGCCAGCACCTATGAGCAGATCTTCCAGGGCTTTTGGGCTTGTGACGGAACGAGTAGTCATGGACCGAGCAGTAACGTCAAGAGGGTTGAAGAGTTCAGACTTGTTGGACGATGGCGAGTGGAATGTGGTTCCCTTTTGGATGGATAGTCCAACAAAGGAGTCAATCAGAGCATCGGTGGTTGAGGGATTGCCCGGACGGCGGCGGGGGTGGGAGGAGGTTTTGGATGGCATCTTGGAGCGGGCTGTCGATACAGCTAGGTGATCCGAGAGGGTGTGTTGGTCGAATCAAACAGCGCCAGGAGGGGATTGATTGGTCGCAGCACGAGGCCAGTGCGGGTGAGTCACTCCAGCACAGCTACAGCAGCTCTGAATGGTCAAAGCCAGGTCGGGCGCGGATCAGGAACAACGGCAATGCGACGTCTAGTCGAGGTAGAGGAGCTTGACCGGTGATGGCGGCGGTGTCGGGATGCGGCCAAATGGGCGATGGTCGAGAATGGAGGAGAACGGATGCGAGAAGTCGGGCGCGGAGGACGGACAGATGAATAGTTGCGAGGCCAAGCAAGGATTACGATGTTCGAGCGAAGGCCACGTTGACAAGGTCGAGAAAAAAGTACGGAGAGCGAGTCGTTTGTTCGTCTTTCCCTGAGGTCTGTCGTATGTTGCCGTTCTTCAGGCAGCAGCGATTCGTACTCCGCCTCACCTTCCTTCCCTCGTTCCTTCCTCATGTAATCACGACGCCACGTGCACCCTTCTAGAACCGCGGTTTTCTACTCGTTCGAGTCGCTTATAGTGAATACCTTTCTTCCCAGTGATCGCTTACCATTTATTTATTCTCTACCCAGCCATTCTATCCCATCTGGTCGTGTGCTCAACTTCGCCATCAGCTCACCATCAGGGTCCAAGGTCCGCGGTCTCTCGAGAACCGTTGGCTCTAACGTCGGCCATCGGCACGAATCAACCCCCGCCGGGCTGTGTCTAAACTTCAAGGTTCATCCTTTAAGAAAATGGTCTTTCCATTTGTGTCCTCCTGCTTCCTTCGCGGGCAACATCACAAAAGCAGGTTTCATGAGTCGCCCGTGGTCTCCCGGATCCATGGGAGAATTGGTTAGCAAGAACCACTCTTTTGGTGCCATTTGCGAATCGGCAGTGTCAGTTTAGTTGCCGCGACCCGTGTTGATTGACCGGTCATAGGGCTGAAATCACATGATGTCGTGGTCTAGATTTGTGCAGGAAGTATAACTTGTTCTAAACGATATGTGCAGATGCGATGTCAGTTTAATTAATCAATGCGTGCGGATGTTACGATACTTGATATTAAAGCCATGGTTAAGTGGCAGATTCTAATGCTTTGACATCTGCTTTGTATAGTACAGGCAACACCGCAACTTCCCAGCCCATGAATTTCTTCAGGCTGTCTGGAAGCTTGAAATTCTCCCGCTGCAGAACCTGATACAACAGCTTCTCTAGCATGGGCGATAGTGTTAGCGTCTCGATCAGCAAGTTTGCCGCTCGCAGTGTCTCGACATCTTGATCGCCTTGTCTTGTCCGGAACAAGACTTTCATGGCTTGCTTGGGCTCAGGATATTCCAGCGATGCGTAGGCTAGGTTTGTAGAGAATACCCAGATTTCGTACGGCAATGTTGAGAAGACAAATTTTCGTACGCCCTGGGTCTCTATTGCTTGGTTGAGATAGCAAGAAAACCAGTGAGCCGGGTCGTAAGAACGTGTGGTCCTAGACCCGCCCTGCGACAAAGCAAGGTATGGTTTTTGAAGACGAATACCCTCGGTTTGGGGGTCTCTGTGACCAAGAGCTGTGTCGCAGGTTATACAATAGACTTCGTGAACATTGTCGCCATTCTCAGACGAGCGAAACTAAGGGACAAATTAGTCCTGGGAGGGTAAGAGATCTTGTAGGACAACTATGAGCAGATGACTGGAATGTGCCATCCTGATTGATTCACCATGACCGATGGCTCTAGGTCATAGAAAGTAGATAAAAGGGGGCATTGCGACATGAGTAGGACGAGTGACCCGTCGGACTGAGCTGAGGGTCTGCTCGCCCGACTACCAATCGGGGTTGTTGTTGGGTCTTTGTATCGAAGTGATTTCTCATTGAGATGACACAATGGTCACAGAACACTCCTTCTTGAGACCCGCTTGGAAAGGGTGGGAAAGTGGAATTTGGCATACGAGAGCAAGAAAGATGAAACTTACCTCGACCGTGCAGTCATCATCCGAGAGTAAGAAACTCATTACATCAACAAGACCGACGCCAGCCTGAGCGACTAGCTTGTTGCCAGCAGCATAGCCTTTCTTTGCTGGCGCGTCGTCATGATTGTGCTCTGGTTCTTCAGGCTTATGACAATGCCACAAGTCCATCATCTCGGCCCAAGCTTCTGATGGAAGATCTTTCCAGACACTGATCTTGTTGCTTGACAACAGCGCATCACAACGTTTACAATGTAAATTTGTTGCTGCATTGAGTGATGAGGCAGACCAAAGAGCAGAAGGTTCATCATCATCGAATATGGGTGCCGCTGATATGCGATTGACACATTGCAACTCTCCTGTGTTGGGAAGTTGCAGGTGTTGAGTCCCTTGACCGGTCACTTTGGCCGGTAAAGTAATGCGATGTGTCTCATCCGCATGCTCAAGAATCACTTTCTTGCGGTCATTCGATAGCCAGAGCGCTGTCGTGCCGTCTCGCGGCGTTTGAAGAACAGTAGTGACGGCCAGAGTTTTGATGTTGGGCAAATATTCCGCGTAGAGGTTGGCCATGTCGTTCCGAAAGCCAGGATGCCGATGATCGAGAGATTAGAATCAGTCAGCTATGTCTCGTTGATAAAAGGTACAGAAGTCGAATCTGGGCGCTTTCATGGTTGTAGCAAAGTCATGTCGCTTTGATGAATCTGCCAGAGCCGATGAGTTGCTTGTGGACAAAACGCAGTGACCTTTCACAAATTTGGTGCATCTTCAACGCCAAGCAAACCAAACCTCGTCCAAGTCTTGAAAATCTTCATCAGCAAACTTCTTCTCCTTCACATCAATCATCGCGTCAACCACCGCGAGTCCCCAGACACGACCTTGCTGTGGGACTCACATATCATGAAGGTAAGCTACACTCACTTATCCTGACCTGCACACCTCTTACCCCCCTCGAATGATGAAGTATTTTCGGATGTAAAAACATTTATTGTCTTGTCCGAGAGCGCAAAACCGTGTGGACATTTTCCGTTGCCTTCCTTCTGACACTCACAACCCATGTTTGCACTTGCATACAAAGATCTCCCAGTCTTGATCAATGCTAACAAGGATAAACAGGCTTTCAACAAACTTCTGTCGAGTGTGGTTCTAGTTTTGAGAGATGCATCAAAGGGTAGTCGGACTGCCTGAATATTTACATAGCTTGATGTTACAGTACACTTCTTTTCGATTATCACCCTGTTTCCATCTCCGTATCTCCGTCATATCATGATCGTGCTAAAAGTGAAATACCAAAATGGCGCGACTGTCTCAATTGAGGCTGTCAAATCTCCCGGGAGATTTCCCCACGAACAGATCAACCGATGGCTTCATGTTCGTCAACTTGAGGTGTATCCTCTCCCTCTTTCGCAACACACACACCAGACAAAGACAATGGCATCTACAAGCAGCAGCGCCGGTCGCAAAGTGACATCGAGCAAAGATCTGGGCCATGTGCTCGTTACTGGAGGATGCGGTGGTCTGGGCACACAAATCATCAACCTCCTGCTCGAACGCAAGGCATGCTCCAAGCTGTCGGCCATGGACTTGAGACCGGCCAGCGAGCCCATCAATGGCTGCGAATACCACTTCGGAGATCTCACCAACGAGGGCGCAATGCGCGAGCTGTTCATCAAGATCAAGCCTACCATTGTCATCCACACTGCCAGCCCCAAGTTCAACATGGCCGACGAGATCTTGTACAAGGTCAATGTCGACGGAACCAAGACTCTCCTTCGCGTGTCTTCCGAGACTGGTGTCAAGGCCTTTGTCTACACTAGCAGCGCCAGTGTCATCAGCGACAACTCGACAGACCTGATCAACGCCGACGAGACTTACCCCCTCGTCACTGGCAAGGCCCAGCCCGAGTACTACACAAACACAAAGGTAGCTACCCTGGCTCTATCCGTACCATTCAATCGCTGACCACAGATGCAGGCCCTCGCCGAGCAAGCCGTCCTCGAGTACAACCGCCCTGCTTCCAACCCCCGCTTCCTCACATGCGCCCTCCGCCCCTCTGGCATCTTCGGTGTTGGTGACCAAACTCTCCTTCCTCCTATGCTTGCGCCATACTACAAGGGTCAGACCAAGTTCCAGCTTGGTGAGAACATCAACCTGTTTGATTTCACCGAGTCTACCAACGTCGCTCATGCCCACCACCTGGCTGCAGCTGCTCTCCTGACCACTGCTGAGCGTGAAGAGCAAGGTCAAATCTCTCCTTTGGACCACGAGAAGGTGGATGGCGAAGCTTTCTTCATTACAAACGACTCTCCCATGTACTTCTGGGACTTCACCCGCACTGCATGGAGAAACTTGGGCGATACCACAGCACCCAACCAGATCTGGACCATCAACAAGGACTTTGGACTCTTCATTGCAACTCTGTTCGAGTGGATCTTCTGGATTTTCCAGTTGGGTGTCCCCAACCTGACCAGACAAAAGGTCAAGTTCAGCTGTATGACCAGATACTACAGCATTGAGAAGGCCAAGAGAAGACTGGGTTACAGACCTGTTGTCGGCGTTACCGAGGGTCTTAAGAGAGGCGTGGCAGACTGTGTACGAAGAGGAGTGATACCCGGTAGCCCCGAGGAGGCGCAGCGCTTGGGTTCGGAGTCGAAGAAGGCCCAGTAGATATATATAGTGTGACGCATGATGCATGATGCAATATATAAGATGTTCTCAGATTTCCAAAAGCGGAAGGATGTTGTGTTTAGGGATGATTTGCGGCGTCATTTGTTTGTTTTTGCGGGATGCGGGAGTCGTCGCTTCCCCTCTTGTTTCAACTTTTGCGACCTTTAGGCAGTGAAATCGCTTCTGACTCGCTTACTCGATTGGTCGAGCCCTTTCTTTCTCTTCTATCAATTGGACTTGTTTGTTGTCCGACTCTTCAGCTTCAATTTCGCATCACATCGCCTACCATGGCCGACACATACCTTTCCTTCTTGCGCTCGCCGTCCGAGTCTGCCCTCGCACACGATGCCGCCCTTCACTACATCACCACTACCACCTCGATCCACGAGCCCTCGGCCATCATCAAGCACTTCCAAACACAGGACAAGGTCGTCAAGAAGAAGTCGGAGATTGTCCTGAGCTCCTTTGGCACCTCCGATGGCGCTGTCGTTGAGACCGACACTACCTTTGAGTTTGTCCGTGGAGGAGGTGCTATCCTGCCGCAGATGGACGACAACATGCTGGCCGATTCGGTCGCTTCTCTTCCCATGGTTGGTCAAGCCTTGTCATCGCCAGTCGTCTCCAACTAACACATGCTAGGTCCACGTCGTCCAATACAACGGCGAAGGCAAGATCAGCCAGATCAGAATCTACTGGGATCAGTCAACCATGCTCAGACAGGTCGACGCCATTGGCAAGAGCGGTCGCAACTGGCCCATTCGTGATGGCACCAACCAAGTCAAGTCTATCAAGCAGAGCATCAACAACGCCGGCTCCACTTCCACCTCGCTCCCATCCCGCGCTGCTCCTATGAATGATATCAACGGATCGACCAAGTCGCAAGCCGGTGGTCGTCAAAACGGTGACTTCCACGCTCGCCTGTTCGCAACTGGTGAAGGTCAGGAGCCTCGCGCTCAATCCAACGCCGACCCTGCATACGCTGTTCGTACCTCGGCCAAGCCCGCTCCTCGTCAGATGGATGAAATCTTCGCAAACGGTAGTTCTAACGAGGTTTACAAGCCCGAAGGAAAGCCCAAGGCCGGCTCTGGCAAGAATTTCCACGACAACCGCCTTTTCGACGAGACCACCCAGCCCCAGCAGGTCCTGTCTCCCGACAGCAAGAAGATCAATCCCGAGAAATTCAATCATTTCGAGTTCCCCAACGGCAAGGATGGCGCCTCAGCTTCCGACATGTACAGACGTGGTTCGACTAAGGGATCTACCCACACTAGCAATTGGGACTTCCAAGACTTCACCACGCCTGAGAAGCACAAGCCTAGACCCAACCCTGAGCAGGAGCGTCACATTGGCCCTGGTGTAGACGAGGTATGTGTGACTGAACCGTCTTCCTGGAACCATTCTAATAGCACACAGGACCAGATCTCTCCTGAGAAGCGCCCTATCGTTCACGCTCCTCGCCCTGATGCCAATGCCCACTTCGAGATCGCAGACGACAGCCCTGCTGGACCCAAGGCACCCTTCAGCAACCACACCAACGTCGACAAGTCCAGACGCGGTGACGAGTACCAGCCTCACTTCAACATCGGCCAGTCGGATGGCCCCAAGAAGATCTACAAGACTGCAGGAAACGGTATGGGAGGTCGTGCTGGAGCCCCTACTCTATGGGACGAGCCTGAGCCACCTACCCCTGAGAAGGCCATCTACAAGACATACGGCAACGGCATGGGCGGACGCAGAGACGGAGGTCTATCATGGGACATCGGTGATGAGGGTGACAGTTCTAGACAGCCTGCCATCTACAAGACACGAGGTGACGGCATGGGTGGTCGCCGCGACAAGAACGCCACCACCGAGAACGACACCATTTCCGGCGCAAAGGGATACGCTTCCTCAGCACGCGCTCAGAACTACCACTCTTCGCAAAGAGATGACGAGTACGAGTTTTAGGTGACCGTCTCGGATGAATCGGATCGCATGGGCGTAGTGGAGTCACGATATCATGGAACTTCTCACTTTTCCCTTTTCAAAGGGCATGTTTTGTTTAGAGTAGCATTGAATTTTTGACATTGAACGACAGAATGGATACGAAGTTTTCGACTTGACTCACTTGTGCCATTTGTTCCACACGTCTTTCTCAGTGCGATGTTGAACACTGAAGCTGGTGATGGTCACGGAATCTCAGGATGCGAACAGCTCTGAACTCGAAATTCGGCTCGTGGCCCACCACAGGCCTCCAACTTCGTGGCATCTGGCTGAAACTCAATCCGATAGCTTCACGAGTCTATCGTGTTCATTTTTGGAAGATGAAGTTGACCAGTCGTCGAGGAATAGTGATTCTGAAGTCGGATATTTTGGCAAAGAGCATCACCCTGATTGAGCGGAGGAATTCCGCGATACGGCGATGAATACGAGATGACGCGCTTTCCAAGAGAGCTTGACCCCATGAAAGATTGGCAGTCGCGACCGACGCGATTGACCAACGTGATGAAGTAACTGCCAGACTTAGAAACACATTCTCTGTCCTGGAAGGCCGAATAATAGACACGACAAAATGCCATACCCATTCACACTACCGACGACGTCTTCGACACCTCTGGATGCCTTCATCAGCAGTCCTAGTCATCCCTCTCTGCCCCTCACAGCTACAACACAACGATCCGTCCTTCGCGACGCTCTCAAGAAGCACAAACGTCTACCACCCGCACAACAAGCTGCCCATCTGGGAGTTGTACAGGAAGCACTGAACGCCTACCTACCATACGCCTTAGGCATTGCATCCGCCTTGAACTCCGGGAGAATTGGAGACGAACCCGTCAACGTCACAAATACAAAACAATTACAGACACAATGGCGTCTCACCCTTTCTGCCACCCTTCCAGGTCGAGAACCGCCACGAGCACCACTAGCAGGTGTATACAACGATGTCGCCTTCGTTTTGCAATCGCTAGCATACATCCAAGTCCAACAAGCACGTGTCCATCTACAAGTGCTGTACTCCTCCTCAATACCATCACCAGACCGACGCACCGCAGCCATCAGCTCAGCAATGAAATACCTCCTCGAAGCAAACGCAATACACAATTACATTCTGAACCTACATACCCAAGACCCAGCCTCTGCACCCCTTGACACTGTAAATTCAACACAAGTTGCTCTCGCAGCTCTCGCTCTTGCAGAGGCCACTTTGATCACGGTATTGAAAGATGATCCGTATACTACTGCCGTCATCCAAGCTAGAAACAAGGAAGATAAGGAATGGATGATCTCAGCACCATCAATACCGAAAGTCCGCGCACATTTGTTTGCACGATTGTGTTTGTGCGCTTCTGATCACGCGCAAAGAGCTGCTGCATCTCTGGCTCCTGGGATCGGTGCTCTTGATCCTGCCCTTCTGAATTACGTGGACGATCTCCGACGCACCTCTCGCGCAAAAGCTGCGAGATTCCTGGCCATCGATGCAGAGATAGCTGGCAAAACAGGAGAAGCCATCGCATACCTTCGAGGTGCAAGAAAGGAATTGGGACTAGCGCCACTGGAACAAGACGCCAGCAAACGAAAAGGCTGGAAAGGTATCAAGCAGACTTTTGCCGAGAAGAGGGAAGACAGGAAAGTGGAAAAGGGCAGTGATGACTGGGGTCTGGACGCAGGCAAACTTGAGGAGGCGAGGGTCTTGGAGTGGTTGGAGGTTAAGTGGGTGAAGATGAACGACACGGTAAGCTCATGCTTCCTAAACCTGGGTTTGAAGAAATGCTCCTGACACCTTACAGATCAACGTTCAAGCTGTTCCGCCCAGCGAACCGCTCATGGCCACGATGCCTTCTGGACGTGAGTATCACACGCAGAAACCGTATATGCCACCTCAACTGGATGTTTCTCTGCTTGCTCGCCTGCGTGCACCGGTGGATCCACAGCAAAGAGCGTTCGGCGGCGATGAAGACGATAGTGGAGATGAAGGTGCTGCCAGGGAACCGGTAGTCGTACCTGGAGCATTCCCCGGCGCTGCCACTGCAGGAGGTGGAAACGCTTATTATTGAGTACACACCATCGGAAGTGCTGGAAGACAGAAACCAGACGAGGGACTGTGGTCGCCGCTGTAGAAACGAAAGCAAGAGGTCCAAATGCGCCTTTCGATTCGTGCTCAAAAGCACTTTGAAGTCAACTTGTGCGTATCATCTCGTTTGTTGTCTTATCTTTGCTTCTTCTTTGCCCGTCATCTTTGTTCTTTTGCTCTGTGAGCGTGGATCAACACTTCATACGTCACGTGTGTGAGAATGGGGGTGGTCGCGACTGCCAATATCCCACTGGCTCCTAGCCTGCGTCGTTGCGCACTTTATCATCCTGCCGACCTTCGTGATTTTTCACACATTCATCGACAATCATCGACAATCATCGACTCGAATTAAAGACAGCTCTCAATCGGAGGCAGTGTTGGGGGCCATTTCGTGGCTTAGTGCATGCAGCCTGTCAGCGCTAACCTTACACCAACGAATGAGGATGCGGGCACATCCTCGAGAGGCTTGATAACTCTAGCCACTGGGCAGTGAGGGGCTGCTTACTCACTCTGGTGGTGTAGTCAGCACAACCACAGTCTACCTCAACTCTTTTCAGGTGGGATACTTGAGCAAAACGTTCATCGGGACATCACCAGGCCATCTCTCTCGCATAATTCATCATGGCATCCAGCGCAGCTCTGGACCCCAAGAACCTCAAGGCTTGGGACAATGCTAGAACATCGATAGTCGAGTGAGCGAGATGGAACATGAATCATGACTTGGAACGACATTAATTGTATGCAGTATTGTCATTGTCACAGCGAGCGGCAAACCGCGGGAGAGCGGACAGAGTTATAAGGATATCGATCTTGATATTGGGGCCAAATCTCACTGGCCTATTCGGCAACTCTTGACACACATACCAAAAGCCTGGATCGCAACCTACCCCTGTGATTTGCTTCGCCTTGAGTTTTCGCTCGGCACAAATCTTGTGATGTGCGGAAGACATCTTCTTGACGCTTTGCAGCGTAGAAGAGGCAGACAATCCAAGCTTGTGAGTTGATTCTTCTATCATTCCAGATGAATGACCACTCATTATGCAAAGGGCCGCGGAAGACCTTTCCTACTCGTCGGCGATGTTTTGGGTAGTCTTGTAATCCAACAGGTATGTGTGCACGAACGTACAAGTTGATCACGACTCAAACGATATTGTAGGTGATCATCCAGGCCACTAGCGATACAGAAAAGGAAGCAAGCCAACTCATTGCCGGTATATCCCTATTAGGCGCTCCACCTAGAGACAGTACTCACTCCGGCATACAACTGTGGTGTCAAAGCTTGTTTCAAAGAAACCCCAAGGTTCTGAATTACCTGCTTCCACAGGCCTCAACAATCCTTGGCCTAATGAGACAGTTCTGGAACTCATGCGGGAAGCTGTGTGTACTATACTTCTTCTGGAAAGGACCTACGTTGGTCCACAATCTAGAAGGACCCTCAACTAGTATCGATGATGGATTTCCAATTGGGAGATCCGACGCATCCTACACAACCATTCGAAGATACAGGCTTGGACCATCCGAGGACATATCAATCGAAGGCCGCCAATCTAAAAACGGAGTGGAAAGTCTGCAAGAGGACGTCATGGGAGGGATTATGATGCGAGAATTCGAATTATCAGATGAGGATCAAGACACACTAAAACCAAGGCCTGAAATACATTACCTCCAGCAGCAAGACCCGCGCGCCTACAATCTTCCCAAGCGACCCAGATACGGACCACCACTAGTTGTACGTCACGATTTACCCCCACTGGGACATCCGCCTCCAACACATGGAGTGCGCCCTAGTACGAAAACAGCATATCCTTCTGGCGGCGGTTCTCGTGTTAGGCATCTTCCACAACACCAGGAGTCTACCTTTGACGAAGTGGTCCAAGCAATGCACTCAGCCATGGAACTCCCTCCCCAGCCTCCTCCGTCTCAAGTCTCTGAAATTCCGTTTTTACCTGAAATGGGGGGAGCGTCGTCACACAGGAAGGCGACGGCGAGACCCGCACCTGCGCCTGCGATTCATCAACATGATGCCTTCTCCGCGGCTCACCATCCGGATGAGGATGAGCATGTCTCTGCTCGAAATTTGCCTTCAAAATCGCACAATGTACAAGGAGGGCAAGAATATTTCCAAGAGATCTCTCTCAAGACACATCCGGGTCGAATGTCTACGTCCGACGATCAACCCGCCTTGCTAGGTGACACCCGAGGTCCAGGTGCTGAAGAGATCAGGCCGAGAGCTTCCACGGATCGAGAAGAGAAGTCACCTTATGAAGAAGGGGCAGATTTCATGTCATTTGTAACAAAGCTTCAGGAGCTGATACGAGTAGTATACGTGACGAAGCGCCTTGAGAAAAACGAGCTGTTTGGTCAACAACCTTTTGAGTCAGATCTTTCTACAGGAGAGACCCCAGATCAGGCATTGCAGAATCTCCTAGATGCAGACGTGGAGACTAAATCAGACTTGCATTCATGCAGCAAAAATCTGGAAGCAGCTCTGGTCCATGGTCGAGGTGATTTCGTCCAGATTCTGCTTCAAAGCAATGTCGATACGAGCGCTCTTCTTCATCACTCAATTCGGCAAGGTCGGTTTAATCAGACGCGCTGCATCGCTCAAGTTGTGTCCAATACATCCTACCGAGGCATGTCGGCAGCGCAAGTAGCTTGTTTTCATTCTGTCCGAGCGATCGCAGGATTCGCAGCTGTTCTTTCGAAACGCGGATTCGCATACCGTCAAGTATGGCAAACGCTCAAAGACCGTGTGGAAATTTGTTGCCTTTTCAAAGAGAGCGACATGAGTCCTTTAGGGGATACTGGAGAATTCAATCTCATGTTCCAAGAGCTTTTCGAACCGAGATGGTCCACCAAAAGTCGTTACAGCATTCATATGTACGAGTGGGAGATTCCGGAATTGATAATGGACTGGAAGTCGGGCTCAGCTCTGTCGTCTGGCGATACCACAGCAACTGTTCGATCCAGATTCTTCGACACGATCACAATATCTGGATGCGGTGCCGTCTTTGAGGCTATGACGTGCAAGCAGTATCTCGCGAGATCTTGGGGCGACCTTGGGATCAAGGTCGCTGATATGATTCTTGAGTTCATCTCAACCACAAGGGAAGATGCATGTATCAGTCAGTCCAACGACCCTCATACCAAACCAGTGATCACACATAGTGAAATTGACGGCAAAATCGGCGAGGCTCTGGCTTATGCGTTTCAAAGCCACTTATATTTAGTCCTACAGGATGTGTCGCCCTCACAGGCAAGCAGCATACAAAACATAGCTGAGTGGCTATGTAAAACGTTTCGACAGATTCACTCTGGCCACATCACAGGGCTTCAGGCATCTCGACTGGCCGAAATAATTCATTCTGGGACTCTGAGTGGTGGCCATGAGTACGTGGCCTTTGCTCTGTCACCATTGATACCTTTGCAGGTCGATCGAGCTAGCTGCTGGATGTCATTGTTCGAGACAGGGATCGTTGCAGAAACACCGGTGCGACGAGACGTGGCTCTTGAAGGCCTCGAAATGAGCTTCGAGCTTATGACATCTCTCGCCGCGGTGGAAACATATCACTACATTCAACGCGAGGGTAACGCGACAGAATTTATACTGCTAGGATTCTTCACGGCCCTGATCCCTACCCTCCTTCACGATTCTGGGACAATTTCATGGCACTTTGAGTACTCCGATACCGATGTTCTGCGACCAATGGATCTGCAATCGACGCAAAAATCATTGGCTTCCATCAAGACACCAGCAGACCTTGCTGGCAGACGCTGTGTGGTTGGTATGTGGCCTCAAGCTAACATTATGCTTGGTGTCGAAGGTACAGGATTGGACTTCGAGGATAGTGGCCTTCCGCATCGCTCGAGTGTCTTGAAGCTCAAAGGATTTGAGGCCACAGCTGCGCTTGGCGTGTCAGGCGGTCCTGTTCAGGGTATCATGCAGGCGACGCGGACATACGAGCATCACGTGACCAGACAAAGGTTCACGCGGTCAACTGCTTATGTTCGTGCGTTGGACCATCTTTCTCAGGCTGTAGCTCTTGTGTACGACTGCAAGACCCATATTGGCTGGCTGGTCCCTCAAACCAGCCTTTTGCTACATCTTTGCCACGCTTACTACGCAAGGCTTAGCAACATTAAAGGCCAGATCGACCCTATACCCTGGGCCAAACCGTCGACTGACGGTGCTTCAGCTGCCACTGCTGCTTTTCGAGGTTCCGGCGATATAGTCGTCAGCGAAGTGGGTGACCAGACCGACGACCAGCTTCTGCTCAGACAACTACTTGTGTCTCTCAACAGTAGTCTCCAAGTCACTCAAGACACGAGACAGCTACCGAAGAAGATATTCCACTGGACCAAAGGAGTGTACTTCTCGGAATTGCAAGACCAAATTCTTGAGCCGGACGACGGCAGTGCATTGAGAGTGCTGGATCCAGCTGAATGGCCATCCATCAAGGCATGGCTAGAGATCACGAAGAAAGTGGACGGCCTTCTCGTCTGCAGAAACCTGGATCAGGCAATCGCACTCGTCGGCCCTTCTTGCAGTCCTCACAACCAGAGCCCACAAGCAAATGCCAACATCATCACCAACAATATGAACAGCAACAACACAACGACCACCACAACAACAACCACACAAACGCAGCTATCCACGCATCTTGCTACCTGTTCCTCTTGTGCAAAAGTCCCAGAAGGACGAGGTTACCTAGTCGCCCACGCCTGGTGCCTACAAAACGTGCTGAAACGACCAAGTCCAATCGCAAGCAAAAACATGGCTACATGGATTCAAAATGGCAAGCCTTTTGATGTCCATCTGCACGCCTCGAATGAATCCATCTGGGCACATCCTGAAAAGGTGCTTCAAAGTTTCGCAAAGCCTGAGCGGGGTTTCGTCTGTAACAAGACGGGAGGACACACAGTCGAGGGTGCGGTCGTTTTTGGAAAGTATGGCGAGGAGTCTCTTGCTGAGTGGTTGAGGAAGGTTGCGTTGAGTCCGTAGTTGACAGTGCACCAATCTCATGGGCGACAGTGCTATCCCGATATAGGATCAGCAACAATGATGTAGCGGAGCACCTCAGGCGTTGTTTATACAGAGAAAGCGCAGCACGCCCGCTGAAAGTCCAACACAGCGCGATCCTTGTTCAACAATTTGCTTTTATGTATCTCCCTTCCTCTTGTTGTCTTTTACAGAAGAACACACACCTCGATGTAAAAATGTTAAGGTCTATATTACACAGCAGATCATATATCCTATTTCATCTCGAGACTTACCCCTTGATTACCTGACCTTGCTGTATTTAGCATCCTTTGCGGCTTCGTATACGTGACCTAGTTCGCGACCTCTCTCTCTCCTTGCCCGACTACCCCTATCTAATGCATTTACCGCCTATACCTTAGATAGGAATCGTTGAACAAAATCATCTTTAAGTATTATAAAATGCTATTCTGTTCTTTGTTAGATTATAAACTTAGTAGTAAAAGCTAACTTTTATAGAGAGCTATAAGTAATATACTACCCCTTACATCCGATCTTAGAAATTTCCTATATAGTATAGGAGGTCGAGAGGTTCTAATAATGTCTCTATACTATAAGTTTTAATTAAGATTTTGGTTTACTTGTCATGCATTCTACGGCCACGATTTTAACTACGATCTAGTAAAGGCAGATTAGCAAATCCAATGCTTTTACCATCGACATTCACCTTGAATATAGGGTATAGGAAACACGGGACAAGAAAGTGATTAGGTCTATAATGCCATTCTAATACTTTTACCATTTCTTGTGTAAGTAGCTTTACTTAGAGATCGCGTAACTAAAGTAGGACTTAACTTGTGCAGTGCTTTATACGATATAATAACATGATAACGCCCGAACCTGCATACGCGGAGCTAAAAAGGACAAAGAGGAAAAAGGGTATCTCGCAATCAAGTCAAACAAAAAGTTCTTCTTCTTACCCTTCGCGAAAACAGAGATTGTTCTTTGGAAATTCAGAGTCGCCCCTCCCACCAGACCGATTTTGTCAAAATCATGAATGTCAAGATCATCTTGAGTATCCATCGTCCTCATCCTCGTCATCTTCAAACCCCTCAGGCCCGAAGTAACTTCTATCGATGGCGAAGATCCATTCACTCTTGTCTCTTTCTGTTCTGGCTGCGAATACCCATGCTTTTGTGCTGCCGTAGACTGCAAACACATTCTCGGGAGCAGCGACAGCAGGGACGCCATTTCTGCCCACTGCAGTGGGCGTTCCCCCTTCTCTACGTAGCAGCTTGGCGATTTGAGGTGCAGCATCAACACGAGACGAGTTGAGGTTGATGGCGCCAATTTCTTCATGCTCAGTGGCCGTAGCAGAATGTATATGCATGTATGGCTGACGGAGCTCGACGTAGCGGCGAATCCAGCGAGAAGGTGTTCGAGCAGCCGGATCTGGCGTGAGAAGATAGCCCGCTTTGAGCAAAGACGGGTTCTTCGGGATGAAGTGCACCGTGGCCAACGACATAGGCATACCAGCGCCGTTAGCAGAAGAGGCAAATGCGGCGCCCTTACGAGGCGAGTTTGTATTCTCCTCGGTGAGAATTAGCTTGCCGATCGCGGGATCCGCTTTCCAGAGTGTGAGGATCTTTCGAAGCAGAGTACTTTGTCGCTCGTCCGGCATCTCTTGACTCTGTTCAGTAGCCGCTGTGTCAAGATATAAGCTGTTTGCGCTGAGCACGCCTCTGGCCGCATCAATTTCTGCCATCTTGCGCTTGCTCGAGCGGCTGTCAATGAAATCATGTATGAGCGACACGCCTCGAGGCGACCAGCCTTGAAGTAGTTCTTCGCCCTTGATGTATGTATTCGACGTGCTAAGACGCCACAGATCTCCGGCCCGCTTCGAAGGTATCGGCTTTACTGTGACTGAGAACGTGCCGCTGGTTGAGCGAACAATACGTGACGAACTGAATAATGAAGAGAATAGCGACGTCTGGCGCATGAACGAACGTCCCCTCATCTGCACTGCCAGATCGGTCGTGAATTCTATAGGCTCGGCCAGCTTGGGTGATGCCATAGTCCATGCGAATGATAACTTGACGCAATACCCTTCTGCTGTCGGCCTATCAAGCAGCAGTGATTCATGAGAGCTGGAGTCCCAGTGCATCACGATATGAATACTGGTCGTACCATCGGGGTTGCTGCGAACGATGGGAGGTGAGACTGGAGCCAGCGTCACATCGTGTTGCTGCGAGCTCAGGTCTGGCACCTTGCCAGAAGGGTCTACGAGATGAACGTTTCCGATTCTCAGAGATGTAACATCCTGAAGTGGCAGAATGTTTCCTGAAGTGTGAGTCAAGTCAAGGCAGATGCGACGCTGCAGACCTTGATGAAGTTGGTACGTGCCAGTGTCCATGATATTCTTCTGCACGACCTCGACTGGCTTGTAGGAACCATCTTCTCCGATTTCTAGAACCTGGATTCGAGCGAAAACATCATGGCCCTCTTCATTGTAATACTCATGTTCTGCTATGCGAGAGTTATTGCGCTTCAGCTGTGGCCTGGCTGCTGAGTCGCGCATGTCATCCCAACTGAGTAGCTTGTCCAGATGTGTGCCGGTGACTCGAGCGAACACTGAAACCCTCAAGCATGAATCGCGTGGACTTACAATCGGCAGACTCATGCTGTGGACGCTGTCAAATCGAACTGGTCCCTCATCGAAGTCCGAGACCATCTGCGTTGTTGATGCGCCGTCTTCCTCAGAGATGCCAGGGAAGAAGAGTTGTGCATGTACTTCAGTGCCCTCTTGTTCTGAGAAACCCACAAAGTCATGCATCACCACGTTGAATTTCAGTGTTGACGAGGGTGCTTCGGCCGACGACGGCTCCAAAGAGAGTCGAACGATGCCAACCATTGTATTCGTATAAGGTGAGTAGACGTCCAACGTGAAGTCTTGAACTCGACATTCAAAGACGGCAGCGAGAGATATGTCGGCGTCTCCAATTCGTGTGTATTGGGGCAAACATGATTCGGAAAACGGGTTGTCCAGACGGAAATGCTTAATGTACTCTGGACGATCCATGTATTGAAACACTTGTCGCATCAACCGCACACGGGCCCGTAGTTTGTGCAGCGACCATAGATGCACGACATTGTGCTTGAAGTCAATAACCCTGACTGCCGTACAAGGCTTGCGAGATGTGTGTAGAGCCATGTCGTCATCGGCACTAATGTCGCTCAGTACAAGATCGTACGATGATCCGTAAGTATGCCCAGCATCGGCGACTGTAAACTGAAAGACAACGTTTTTGTCCATCTGCTGGCTCATCACTTGCGCTTCCTTCAAAGTCGCTGCATTTTGTAGGAGGGCTGCGGCCATGGCCACGTAACGCTGCTGACGCCAGTGCTGAATGCAAGACTTGACGAGATATAGCTGCTTCTCTGTGAGTCCAGTCTTTCGGTCAACAGGCTGATGAACTGCAGTACTCCGTAGTTCGTTCAGTTGGCGGTCGTACTCGACCTTCTGGGCTTGAAGTCGCTTTTCCATATCTTCCTTCACAGACTTCAGGTTTTCTTCCATCTTGACCTTCTCGGCGCGAATCGTTTCGACCTCGACGTTCATATCCTGGGCAGACTGAATTTGTGTTCGATATTCCTCTTTTTGTCGTTCAAGCTCGATTTGTAGACCCTCCTTGGCTGCGCGTAAGGTCTCATCTTCCTCATCATTCCGGGGCGTCGATGGCATCGTGAGAGCAGTGTCCAGCGAGAAGTTTTCTAGAGTGCCGTTTGACAGATACTTCTCGCGAACAGGAAAAGAGCTTACAGAGTCCGAGTCATCTTCGTTCAGATCGAACAAACGGCTCTCTGGTCTGCCTCTTCTAACGGCTCGGACTTTTTGTAGATCATCAAACAGGTTATCCAGCTCATCATCTGTAAGGGCGGCGATCTTTTGATCCGAACCAAGCATTGATGAGACAGCCTCTCTTCTCGCAAGATCATAATCATTTTCGCGCCCGCTGAGACTTCGCATGGGCATTGGAGAGTTGCCCCTCGAGTCCGGATCATAGTCAGGATTAAGCTTACTGACATTACTCCAAGAACGCTCGTGACTATGACTGACTGACGGTGAGGGTGACGAGGGATCACCAATCTCATCTGCTGTGATCGAATGCTTCAAACGACTTCCTTCCTCGGCTCGCTCTGCTCTCGCTTCTTGAGGATGGTTGAAACGGAAAATGTGAAAGTCGCCGAGGATGACTCGATAACCACTGCGTAACCTCTTGGGCTGATCAATACGTTGTCCATTGACCATCACAGCCGCATTTTCTCTGGGGACCACAGTAACAACATCGTCTTCGTTCTCGAACGTGCAGTGTTCGTGCAAGATCTTGGATCCATTTAGTCTGATCTCTGCGGTCTTGGCCGTGTCGACGTTGCCGACTGTCGTTGTGCCAGGTTTGAGGTTGTAAACCAGACATTCGGCGAGCAATGGGTCGTCGCTCAGATTGACCAGATGAGGCATCTTCTTGGGGGTAGATAGACCAACGAAACCTTTCTCGATGCTGATACCAAGCTCTTCTAGAGCCGCTTCCCGCTCTTTGTGTATTAGCTCTGTCTTCTGCAATTTCTGCTCCCAAGTCTGGTTCAAATCCTGATAAAGCTTTTCTGACTGGTCCAACTGTTCGACAATCTCAGCTTTTGAGACTTGTTTCACACTACCATCGGCTTGTGTGATTGAAACCATCTGCTTTTCCAAAGGCGTGTCTGGAGGATATTGCTCGGCTGCTATAGCTCCATTTTCGCCTCCTACGCCTCCTGTCGTCAATTTTGATCGTAACTGAGCAAGCTCTTCTTTCAGCTCTCTGATCATGCGCGCGTTTGCATCTTCGTTCACGACAGCATGGTTCTTGATGCGCTTTGCAGAGTCGGCGTAACGAAGGGTGGAGAGAGTCTCCTCAAAATTGATGTCGGCGGGTGAGATTGCAGCAATCATAGCTGTCATACTGTTACCACCCAAGGAGTCTTTCAAGAGCCAGGTAAGAACCGAGTCACGGTATGGGACCATGGAAGCATTCTTCTTCTTCGCACCAGGCTTCGCACTAGAAAGATCGGCCAAAGCAGCAATGACACGACCGAGTGTAGAGAGGGACCTGTTGATCTCAGCACCCTCCTTGAGACGTGCGCCTGTTGCGCCCGTAGACTGAGCTCTTTCCGAACCGGCCAAATCGACCAGCGAGATCTTGGCAGCCTTCTCCGTGTCCATACCAGTATCTGCGTCGTGTCGTTTTTGACTCAAGGTGAGAGTGAAGACAGCATGTGATCTACTACTGGTCTCGTTCATGTTTGTAGCAGCGACAGTACGGGCCTTGTTGCCCTCGTCCATGAGATGTTCAATCTCGGCGAAGGAGCGGACGACCAGTTTTGCAAGATCCTCGACATATGGACCGGTCGAGGGATGTTCGCGAACTTTGAGATTGCCTTTTGTCGAGGGGTTCAATAGATCTCGGACTCGCTCGTTGTAGATCTCGAGGTAGGACACCTCGACGGTACAGTTCAAGTTGTTGTCTCTTTGAGCTTCCTCGATGCGTTCGAACATGGCCCTGCAAATCTTGGGAATGACACCCTCCTCTGGGCCGTAACCCATCATCGAGTACGACTTTCCAGAACCGGTCTGACCGTATGCGAAGATACAGTTGTTGTAACCTCCAAAGGCATTGTCCAGCAACGGCTTTCCGAGATCATCGAACAGATTATCTTGACCAGCATAGCTGGCATCTTTCTTGTTGAAGGACCAGTAACTCTTGTCGAATGCGAACGTCTTTGAACCTTCGATGGCGGCCTTTGCGTTCTTGTTACGAGCATCGGCGTTTGTGGGTGGAGAGAGCACTGTCTGCTCGCCTTTCATCTGCACAATACATTGTGCCTTGCGATCGAGTTCTGCATGGATCCATAATCAGCGCCGTCGCGTCTTTGTTCGAGTAAATGTATAGGGGACGTACCTCTGCTGTTGAAGGGCCGTACTCTCACCACCACCTTGATGTTGCCTCCTCCGCCCAGCGCCATTTTGGCGAGTTCTACTGCTCAAAAGTTCGACAGCGAATTAGTTCCAGGATAAAGAATGAATGCGCCAGGTGGTGGAAGGCGGCATGGCGGGATTGTTGATGCTTGTGATTTGATTACCGACGCAACAGACAAGCACCGAGAGCCTTCCCCACACGCCACACACACTGCGTCACTAAGCCACAGCCATCAGCCACATCCAATCAAACCCTGCAAACAATTTCGGCGTGGAAGAGCATGTGAAAGACCGTGATGAATATTCCTTGACCCATCACATATTCCGTCAAATTGCAACAGATGGCAGAGGAAATGTTCAGACCTCCAGTCAACCGCGCTATGCGTGTCCTGGACCGCTCCTTCTTTCAAAAGAAAATTCCCGTCTCTGCTGCTCGCGTTGTCGACAACAAAACTATCTCAAAATGCAGATCAGAACTATTCCGCTCGAAAGACGCCTTGTTGCTTGAGAGATACCAGATTGTGAGACCTGATCCTACTGAGACTGACGCCAAAGCCGGCAAAAAGTGCATCTTGTTGAGGCCGCAAGTCGACGACAAGGGTAATTGTTGGTCACCATCAATACCTCCAGATTGTCCACTAAAACTTCATCAGGTGCCGATTATCCCTGGAGCAAGACTGTAGCGGAACTTGAGAAGTCAAACATGATCAACATCGTACCTTATGAGATCAATCTTGACTACGACTACTGGGATTATCGTACGCACATCAAATTCCATCCATACCGCAACTACTAAATCAAGCAGAGGACATTGCCAGCGCTGTGCTGCCGCAGAGCGAAGAGCACGATGAGATTCCCTCCGGTTTTACTCTCGTCGGTCATGTTGCACATTTGAACCTCCGCGAGCAATATATGCCATACAAAAACATTATCGGCGAGATCTTGGTCGACAAGAACCCCGCCGTCAGGACTGTTATCAACAAGATTGACGACGTTGGTGAGGAAAGTGAATACCGCACCTTCAAGTACGAGGTACTTGCTGGACCCGACGACATGGATGTCGAGATCCGCGAAGCCGACTGCACATTCAAATTCAACTACGCAAAAGTCTATTGGAACAGCAGACTCAACACCGAACACCAGAGACTCGTCGATGCCTTCGAAAAGGGCCAAGCTGTCTGCGACGTCATGGCTGGCATTGGGCCATTCGCTGTGCCAGCTGGCAAGAAGGGCGTCTTCGTGTGGGCCAACGACCTCAATCCTGATAGTCACGAGAGCATGCTTGATGCCATCAGCCGCAACAAGGTCCAGAAGTTTGTAAAGCCGTTCAATGAAGACGGCCATGTGTTCATCAAGGAAGCCGCTCGTAAGCTACTGAAGACCGAACATGAGGTTCAGATTCTTGCAAAGCAATCTCGTACAGAGGCCAAGGAGACGAAAGCGCCGCCAAAGGTCCTCAGGACTGTCAAACAGCCAAAGGTCTTCTCTCACTACGTTATGAACCTACCTGCAACTGCCATCGAGTTCTTGCCCGCATTCTCTGGTCTGTACACTGAAGAGGACAGAAAGCTGCTTCCTGCCGGCTTCAAACTTCCTATGATTCACGTTTACTGCTTCGACACCAAGAGCGACGATAACGTACAAGAAGGCATCAGCATCTGCAAGAAAATCTCAGAGCAGATTGGCTTCGAAGTCACACCGCAAACTCCCGAGCTCAGCATCTTCGATGTCAGAGATGTTGCTCCCAAAAAGAGAATGTTCTGTGCTTCTTTCCGCCTCCCCGAAGAAGTTGCTTTCAGACCTAGACAGTCTTTGCCTACAAGGTGAGATCAAAAAGTCCTTTCTCACGACCGCGTTGCTATTATACGTACTATATATCATCAATTTGCACAAATCCTTCCGACACCCATATCTCGCTGCGGACGCCCTGAAGCCCAAACTCAAAAAGGGGACAGCACCCGTGCACATCCGATCATCTACGTGAGCATATCCAAAAGAAAAAAGGCCTCATCGCCTAAAAGTATTATTCAACAAACCGTCGGCATTCAGTATCCCCGGCGTTCACGTCTTTCATGCTCGACCTCGTCTTCTGGGTCTTCAAATGGCGACCTCACGCGGATGTCATCCTCCGTCGACGACCTTCGACTGATCACATACTCGGCAGGACCTGTGCTTCGTCTAGCTGGCCTTGCCTCATAGACACTGGCATTGCTAGAATACAATGTGCTAGCAAACGATCGTTGAGATGGAGACCTCGCGATATCTACAGCGTTGCTGTCAGAGAACGGCGAGGCTAGATGTGCAATGGGTGAGACCGGCGATATTGGGGACACCGGTCCATGAGGCGCGTAGTTGGTGACTATACTGGGCTGACGGCGCTCTGAAGATGTGTGGCTCAACATACTTCTTGCACGGTAGGGAGGTGGTGGGTCTTCGGACGTGGCAGCCGAATGCACCGAGAACGTGTCCAGTCCAGTGAAGTAAGTCGGATTCTGAGGCGAAGTTATGACGAGCCGAGGATGCTGTGGAGTTGCCATCGCTTCGTCAATGGGCGATAGCATTGTTGTCACCAGAGTCGGCGGTGGGGCGTTCGAATCCACCTTCTTCTCTGACACTTTCTCCACCATCGCCGGTGCTCCAACAGGGTCCTTGGTGGCAGCTTCGTTGCCAACAACTGGCGTGGTTGTAGTAGCAGCACGCCTACGTCGTCTGCGCAGGCAGGTCAAGAACACAAGACCACTGACAAGCAGAATGACGATTGGCACAACAACTCCTGCAATGATCGTTGTGTTCGGCCCGTGATGAGCCTTCTGCTGCGCCTGTAGACCAGGAGATAAGCTCGTAGGGTCGGTCTCGATGGAGCTTGCGGTATTGCTTGATGCTGGGGAGTATGAGTGCCAGCCTGACTGCCAGGCTGACTGAGTCCGGCTTATACTGGTTGTCATGGTCGGTAAAGTTTGTTGTGCGGATGTCACTTGAGACGTGGACTCGGTCGGTGAGGTAGTTCCACTATCAGTCAATGATTGAGCATCACCATCTGAGGCGCTCGCTTTTGCGGCCGTGGCACTCTCCAAGGTCGTTGTCAAAAAGCCAAAAGGAAGATTCGTGGCCGTCACGAAGGCCGATGCAGCATCTTTGTCGTTATCATCGTCACTGGACCGCTGTGCGTCATCATCAGATGAAGCAGTCTGCGAAGCTTGTGCAGGCGAGTATTTCGACGAGAAGTAGGAGATACGCTCCGAAACCCAGCTTGGCTGCTCCTGGCGGGCGATGATCATTTTCGACAACGTTCAACCTCAAGCAGCAATGCACGACTTTTCAAGTTGGGGAAGACGAAGTCAACGTCGAGGTGAGAAAGAAGAAAAGATGATGAGAAGATGAGACATCAGCCGTCTTACTGTTCTTACCTTGAGCTGTGGTCGACCTCTCCTCACTCATGCGGCTAGGTACATGCGGAGCAGCAAGTGGGGTTCCGATCTCCCGTCACAGCTCCAGCGCCGATCGGTCTTGTCATCCATCGTATCACATTGGAAGTTCATCCTCAAGAATTGACCTCGCAACTGCATTCATTCATCCTATATTTGTTTGCCATCGAAACTGCTGACATTGATGCTATCTCTTCATCTCGGTCCGAGATACCTTCCTCCGCAATGCACACCAAGGAACACCTCCCAGCTGTCAGCATACTCAGAGATTCACAATGACCGACTGCACGCCTCACTCTTGTGCTCACGGTATTTACGTGTGAGTACCCTACTCGTCAGGCTCTGATCTGTTTTCAACACAGCCTCCTGTCTATTTATGCTGCAGTGCAGCAAGGCCGTCCCGACTCAGTTGGGCCAGCCTTGCGCAAACATGCAACAAGCATCGGCGGATGAATTGACCGATTGTACCTCGACTTGTACACTTATCAAATCGACCCACATACTCCCAAGCTCTTAAATTCTATTTCCTGATTACTAGGTCTATAGCCATGTCGTCAGTTTACTCATATTTCGGAGACACGCACCGCTATCGGTTGGGTTGTCATCCGCCGAGCTCAAGCAAGACAAAGGCACATAGTAAGATCTATGCAAGTGGTCGAGAAACTTGCAGAGAGTTCGGGCTATAGCTCTACATCATCAACCTCGCGACTGCATCTTCAACCGGAGAGCCTGACCTATCGTCATCTTTGGCTTTTTTCCTCGTGGTGTCGAGGGACTTCCGAATTTCCTGAAGCGTTCGCTGACAGTCCTTCCAAGTTCTCAACGATGGTCATACACCTGTATCTGAACCAAGCTCAACTTCGGAAAACATCCTTTGGTTCCAGGGTCTTTCTTCAACATTCTAACTTCCCAACCTTAAGTCTGGGCTCAGAAGTATCGAAGGGTTATTTCTCAGTTCTTTGTCCAGATCCATGCAGGTATCGATTGATCTACGATTTATCGTCCGAATGGTTCTCCGTAATTCAGGATACCGGCTTCCTGTCGACTCTTGTGTCACTCTGGCAGTCTCAAAGAGTGCTCACATGGATTGATATTCTTCTTCGTGGCGTTGCCAGACCTGCAAAAGTGGTCTGATTTCAGGTTCGGTATCCATCACGGCCTTGGTGAAGGTCCGCTTATCCCAATCCCAGACATGTGTGGGAATGCGATTCGCTCTGGTGATTATCACGCGTGGAGTGGCGGACTAATCGCGTCTCTTCAACCGTGTCTTGTTGTGGCTCGCGACTTGCCCGTTAATGCTCTCCTTCATTCTCGCAATGTCATCTTCGTGCGAACCTTAGCGGTCAAGAGCAAAATCGACATTCATCAAATGTTTCCGTGGCAGCAGGTCCAGAACACGAGACCATGGCATATCGCATATTGGAGAGCTTATCAACAACTTGCAACCTCTCCAAAGCGGTTGCATGGGTAAGTTTTTTCTCCAGAGCGGTGTCATAGAAGCGAACGCCCTCCCGCTCTGATTGTTGGAGGTAGCATTCTTCGACTTTGAGAATCAGGAACTTGAATGTCTGGCCCATGTGGAAACAGAATGAGCGACTTTGGTAATCACGTCCGGATGCCATCGGACCTAAGTTCCGAGCTACTTCTCCACAAGGTATTCAGCCTCATACATGGCTTCCAAAACACGACCCCGGTTACGTGTGACGTTGTAGTGCCCCTCCAACCTAGAGTTGTGAGCGACGAGGATGACCCGGTAGTTTCACATAATCAAAAGACCAAGCGGTGAGCTCTTGAACGACATTTGCAAGCATTCTCGTTTGCCAGGAGAGATTGCGCTTCGTCCACCACCCGGCTCTCAGTGCTTTTGTTGGCAATCAGGTCTCGTCTCAAGGCTCGCATATCAATCTTGGGACATACCAAGAATTCGTCGGAAGAAATGGCATGGGAAGTTATAGTGTAAATTCACAAATTACTGCAAACTCGTTTGTCGGCGAAATACTTCGCGTGTGGCACAGCTATCGATACAACGCGGGTAATCTATCCATAGTGGAAATATCACATATCAAGCCAGCGGGTGATTGCGCGTCAACGCCCTCGCAACTCGAAGAGTTCTCCTTCTTGATCCTGCACCAATCCCGCAACACTCTACAATCATTCGTGTCACCGACATCATAACTGTCTCCACCAATCCAAGTCAGCATGATCGCACGACTAGCCTGGATTCCACATACAGATTGCAAGCCGCCTACCTCCCTCTGCCGACCTGTCAAAACTCTGGCTGATGCCTAAACCCGGGACTAAACTGAGCTCTTCTCCGAACAAGAAAGACTAAACATCATCAAAGTCTTTGAGCTCTCCCTATCAGCTACGGACTTTGCTCCTGAACAAACTTGGGGAGACCGAATTGAAGATCGTGGAGCTCAAGTCACCTTCTCGGCACTTGGACAACAAGCACCGGTCAGAGAGAAAGAACACTGGGACCCGGATTTCGCTAAACGCAAAGTCATTCAAGCCGACCTTCGAACACGTCTGCCGGGATTGTCCATCAACATGGGCGGAGCCACATCGATCGATATTACCAGGAAAGGAGTGGACAAGGGTTATGGATTGAAGAAGCTGCGCGATACTAGTGGCATCCCTCTCGAGCAGATGATGTTTATCGGTGATGCCCTTTTTTCGGGTGGAAACGATTACCCAGCTAAGGAGATCGGACTGGAAACAATCAGGGTGAAAAACTTGGATGGTACACTTGCTGCTATCGCTGCGATCGTGGCTTGCCTCAAATAGGAGATTAAAAAAAAACCCCTATACATCCATGACCGACGCCGAAGATCATCTCAGCCAAGTTGCAACAATAATTGAGATACAACAAAGCTCAGCATAATCATTTCACGTCTCCAAAAACCCCTCAACTAGGATGACATAACTACACAACAGTCTTACAAAAATCCTTGTCTAAACCATATATCCCCCTAACCCCTCGACATACATTAGTATTTCCATCTCCGTCCACATACCTACAAGCATGAAATCATCCTTACAAACCCCTCTTTCCTAGAATGGACTTTAGCTAATCCAAACATACCTAATCCCCAAAATCCCTGATCATCCATCATCTCTAAATCCACCTACGTAACGATATCTGTACGAAAATGTTCGGGAAAAAGTCTGCTGGATGCTTGTTGTTTGAACAAACACTAGTACAATTTGAAAGATGACTTATTAACGCTACCATCGTACTTAGTATTCTTGCTCAGGCGTCTTCGAGAAGATAAAGGCCAACGAAAACACAATCCAGATTTGGGGGTCGCGTTCATTTTATAGCTGGGCGGGATGGTATAGCGCAGTCATTTTGCATTTGTTCTGCGAAATTGTCTTCGAAGAGAATACGGAAAGTTGGGTAGGGGGAGGATTGTTATTGCATGGTGAGGGGTGAAATGTGCCTTTCTGATATCTTACATGATTGGTCCTAGGATGACCAGGTATGCATTGAACAAAGCTATGGAAAGAAACAAAAGTCTTATTGAGAAGTCCACTGTTAGGTTTCTCAAGACGCACAAGACTTATCTGTAAAATGTGATTAGAGTTAAATAATCCGCATTACTTGCTAATCTTCCCTTCCTCCTCGTCCACGGCAAGTTTCTCCCACTTCCTGATCAAATCCTCCATCATCACACTTTCCCCGACTTTCGCCTCTTTGGCAATGACATAATTGGGCCAACAAGAACTCAACATCTCCGCATCACTTTTACTCCACGCCGTATCCGCAACCTTTTCCAACATCGTCTCGATAACCCCCGGCAATTGGATTCCAGTATTTTTGGCCGTCAAATGTAGCATTCTGGCCATTCCGCGCGCCCACAGGAGCTGCATGCCGGCGCCGAGGAGGCAGCGAAATGCTTCTTTGAAAGAGGCGGTGGAGGATGGGGTGGAGAGGTCTTGGAGGAGGGTGAAGCAGGCTATGCCGTTGGCTTGGACGAAATAGGGAGGGATAATTTTGAGACCGTAGTGGTGGCGGAAATTGCCCATTTTTAGGGCCATGTCTTGGGCGGTGGTTATGGCGCGGGCGCGCATGGTGTGAGCGAAAAGGGCTTGCGAATCTATATCGAGTTGAGTTCTCGGGGCATAGTACGGATATTGGTTTTCTGAGGCGGAGGTTGATGGTTCTGTCGGTGGTGGTTGTGGTGGTGAGGTTTGGGCGTCGCCGAGGGGTTGGTATAGGGAGTGTAATGCGATTGTCACGCTAGCGTAGCAGGAACTGAGATGATACTGTTAGCAGCCTGCGAATGTGTAATAGATGGTAAAACTCACTAGAGATCATACACTGGTCCTGGCAGGCGTCCGTGGAATTGGAGACTTTCTGGTAATGACTCTTTCCATACCAGCATCTCTTGTGTCAATTGGTCAACGTGATTGAAGAAGTATGGGTCACTTCGATCTGAAGCGTACAGAAGACGCTGGGCTCGCCAGGTCAACTGAAGCAGTCGGCAATTCTGTATGAACATAATGTTCTTGTCGAGATAGTCGCTCTTGTTATGCAATGGATACCCGGTCCAGGTTGTTGTGAGAGGGGCTAGCTCAGACAGTGTAGGAAGGTCTTCCTTGCATGTGGTATGCCATGCTGGTTGTAAAATAGTATTTGCGGTTGCCCTGTGTGTCGATAGTCAGTCAGAACTTCGGAGCCAATGATAAGCAGGTGGAGTTGGATCTTACATGTCACAGGCAAATGCACCCCACCCGACAGCTTTTCTTGCTCTCTGGTACTCTGTCTTTTCTTCTAACGTCGGTGTCGGTCCAGACGGGCGTTGCAGCGTGTTGGGTACATCTCGGCTGAGCTGTGTTAATACGGCGCAAGTGCTCACACCCAGCTTGTCTTTGCCTCTAATCACACAGCTGTTGTTTATGTCAGCAAACATCTGCAAACATCAGGGATGTGGAGATGCGTACTTGGCGAACAGGATACAAAGTGCTTGCACATTTCGGATGGACGCTCTTCCTTCTTCAAGATGCCAAAGTCGAAACGCCTCATCATGGAAGTGTTGACCCCGCGTCATGTAGTCATCTGGCTGGAAAAAAGCGCCTTCCTGTTCTGAGTAGAGCTGTCGGCCGATTAGTTTCCGAACAACCCTTTCTTGCAAAACGGAACTTACACAAGCGTAAGCCAGTACACTGTTGACCAGAAGTGGTGAGCAATATTCGGAGTTCAAGTCGCCAGATTGCATAGCTCGTATGAACAAGTCTTCTTCAAGGGGGCGAAAAAAGGGATTTACCCATTCAAGAAACAGAGAAATCAGATGGGACACAAACTCATCATCATCTGTAAGTGTGGTCCATGGTTTCGCAGGAACTCTGAAAGGAGGTTCCATGGGGGTCTTGCTGATGTCTTCATTATCTGGTTCGTCCATACTGGACCGTCCAGATTCAGAAGAAGAGCTCGTTTGATCACTGAGAAGATCTGCTATAGCTATTCGACGCTGTGGTGGCGGTTGTGTATAGCCCAGAAGATTCCTTATGCCTTTAAGGTCTGTCTGCTGTCCCCTGAGTTGCCGTAATAATGCAGCGTTCGGCAATCTTGCATTGGGGTTCCTCGCTACGGAGAAAGCGATGAAATCAACCATATCATCGAAAGAAGCATTCGACTGCATGAGGCTGCTCAACAAGACATGCTGTGCATGAAGCTCTGAGTTGAGTCTGGTTTGTATGATCATATCTCCATGTCTCATCTGTTGCAAGATTGTTTCCGGAGACTGTCCACTTCTTATGCGATTGTGGATCTCAAGACTTTTTTGACTGTCGGCAGAAGCAAGGATCCCGAACAGGGATTTTAGTGAGTTGTGGTCTTGTTCCATTTGTGCGTATTTTCGTTTCAAGGCTTGTCCGTGAGTTTCTGCCTTCCGTACCTCGTAGGTACATTGCTGGTTGTTTTCCACACAAAGCGGACATGGCTGCTCTCCATTACACTGGTTCAAGTCACATTAGTCCATTGAACTTACACTTCTGGGGCCTGATACTCACTTTTCGCCTTCTCTTTCTACAATACTCACAAGCTGCACCCACCAGCTTTTTCAACTTGGCGGGTTGCCATTGTGATACAGTCGGAGATGGCGCAGATGGAGCTATCTTTGTTTGACTTGAAGCCAGGGATGCCGGCAAGATGTTACGTCTCATGTTATAAGGTGTACTGGTAAGGAATAGACAAGCGATCAGGGTCCGCCAGGGTCCAGGATTGTCTCATTGATGGCGAGCTTTTGACAGCAGAGTCTGACTGCAGTATGGGATGACCGACAGGAGCGGCAAACCTCGAGAACCAGGTACGTGGCGCCGGGCGTGGATATAACAGTATCGATTCCTCGGACGACGTCAGTTCGCGTCGAAGGAGCTTGCTCCGAGTGTCTTGTGTCGACACGACTCGACGAAAGAAGTTGGAGGGGATGACGAGGATCTGCATCAGGGCCGGCAGGAACCGTTGGGTCTGGGCTGCTCGGATAAAGTTCAAACCTGCATGATCGAAGCTAAACGCGTGAGGAAAGACCTTAGCGCGAACGGGGTTCCATCCGCGAGATTGACGCTCGTGCGTGTTCACCACACCCTCGAACGGCGATTGGTCACATGAGGTGCATGTAATATGCAGAAGGCTTACAGGGCGCGGTGGTTCTCCACCTGGGTACTGGAGTATAAGAGCTGCTATGCTAAGAAGGGTAATCAATTGATAAGCAAAAGAAGATGTCGCAACACTCGGAGTAAAACGCTATTCCAAAAACATCGTCACCTGCAGACGTGATACTTTCACATGCGCGGAACAGACGCTCTTCCGTCATCGTATACGTATCTCGATGTATCACCATGCTGTCCATAGTCGTTTCTTGGTGGACCACCATATCCAGATTGGGGCCCAGGAGGACCACGAGAGGGAGGTTGCTCATAATACACGTACCTCGCATGCGGATCCTCTCTGGGATAGTAATCAGGCTGTTGGGGCGGGTAATCGTACATTGGAGGAGGGTGCCGCTCGATCACACGGACAACCTCGACAGGACGACCATACTGATCAACATATACTGTCTCTGGTCGTGGCTCGTAAGCGTAAGAAACAGGAGGAGGGTGCTCCATTCTGTACTCGGGACGAGAGTAGTAGTCTTGGTGTCCTGGACGAGAATCATATGTGTGACCATATGGTACAGGATCATGTCTTGGATACTCCAAAGGCTGTCCACGCGAGTCCACACGGACGTAATGGTCCTGCGGTGGAACAGACAGAGCAGAAGTTGTAGCTGTGTGCTGGCCGTACGGACCGCTGGCAGGAGTGCGTATAATCTGGGTGTAATCTTCGGAAGGCTCTACATCACCCCCACGATCGTGACGGCCATTCGAGCGAGTGTTGACTTCGCGAGGCAATTGTGATTGAGGCATTGGCACACGATTAGCCTCGAATGCGGCGCGGTTCTGACCTTGACTGTCTGTGATGGAGCCAGCGGCCCTGGGTACAGACGGGCTCCGTTCGGTTCTACCGGCAAGAGCCCTTTGAACCTCTGGGTCTGACGGTCGCAGTCTGCTAAGAGCTTCCAGGGTCTCGGGTGCGAGCTGAGTGAGATCGATCGAAGGCTGTTGGCGTTGACCGTCTCCGTGTGGTCTCTTACCATTTGAATTCGATCCTGGATTCCCACGTTCAATGAAAGCCGGGCGACGAGGGTCATACTCGTCTTCCGCGGCTTCTGGTAAGGCATCAGATTGTTCTTCAGATGTCTCGCCTTGAGCCAAATGAGCAGGAGGCTGTCCACCATTTCGTTTCTGTTTCTTGTTCTTCTTTTGACTCGCGCGACGATCTGATTTTGTTTCCTTCTTGGGAAGAGGCTTGAAGGATTCCTTGACCTCTCCAATGCGAGGTAATGGGTTAGGGAAAAGCTTGGGGAACACCTCTGCGATTATTCCAAGCTTTTCGTCATTCATACCAACAGCGATCAAGAGCTGGCGAATATTGTCGTCTTCCGGCAGTTCAATCATGTCTTCTTTATAGTCCAATCCAGCATCGTTTCCAAGATGAACTGTCTTGAAGTGTGTGATGAGAGAAGAAGTGTTGTAAAGTTTGTAGTCGGCGATGCGCTGTGCATAGGGTTTGAAAGCAAGCAGCCCATCAAGATTGCTCGATATACAAGTCATACAAGCCATACCGCTGGCGTCTTTGATGGGGCGCATCAGATCGTGATTGAGAAGAGCGTCGGTCAGCATGTCGAGAGACGGTTCGCTGCCAAACTGAGATTTGAACCTCTTGACAACGTGGTGTAGTATTGTGTGGACTCGAACACTCTCTTCCAGACCTTTGATTCCAGCAGTGAGGTCCCAGATCTCTCTTGCGACATTAGCAATTGTGTCGAGCTGATCCTGATACAGGCTTGCAGGGTTTGCTGCAGATGGATAGAAGTCATGTGGGTGATGAGGATCTGCCGGGGTGCCTGACTGTGCGTAAGGATAACCGTAAGGGGCGTAGCCTGCTTGCGCGTGCTGCGGGTAGCTTGGATAACCTGTTGACTCGTATGTCCCCGGTTCCGCATTCGCATGCCAACCGTGATGGTAAGAAGGGTGATCGGGATATGCGGGCTGAGCTGAGGGTGTGGAGCCGTTCAAGGGCTGGTGTTGACTGGGGTCGAGAGTCTCTGCGCCCTTCTTAGGTTGCTTCTGAGGCATAGTCGGATCAGGAGTAACGCCATTGCAGGGTTCGAGAGGAGACTCGTCCGGCCACTCAGCACTCTGCCAGTGAACAACAATGTTGCCTCTGCTGAAATCGGAAGTATGCTTTGCACCGTAATGTTGGATCATGCCCTCGAAGGCGTACGACTTGCCAGCAGACTTACACTCTGAGCAATGGAACAACTCCCGCATATACTTGTCCGTGTACGTCTTGACTTTTTGATCATACAGCCAACGCATGTTCTCTAGACTGACGAACCATGGATCGGACTCATCAGTCATATGGTCCAGGGAGAGATCATGCGGTCTCTCAACCTCAAGAAATCTGTTTCTGGCATAAAGCAAGACCTCAACAGCAAACTCGGGGCAATTTTCACGAGTGAGAACTTTGCCCTTCTTGTACTTGATACGAATAAGGTCGTCAGCATACATGCCTAGCTTCTTGCGTATAGGAGCTTGAGCTGCTTCGTATTGTCGTTGTAAGACAGCAGGATCAACAACAGGCTGGCTGTACATAGCGTGGTAAGCAGGATCAGGGATCGTCGCTTGAAGAGCACGCATCTGTTCTTCTCTCATGTACTCAATCTGCTCGGCAGTGTCTCGTTGAGCATAGAGGCGAGGCTTCAAAACCTCCCATGCGCTGTCTGTCAAGGGTGTTGTTATCTGCATAGCAGCGTGGAAAGACTCCATGTGCTGAAGAACGTTAGGCATGAGAGGCGGCTGAAACTCGTGATAGCAGCGTCTCTCGATGTCGGATCGTCTCAAGGCTTTTGCTTCGTTGATCTCCTTCATATTGCGAGGTGGCCGCCACTCTTTTTTGGTCGATTGTGGTGGACTCTGGGCTGTGGCGCTGGGTTGATTTCCAGAAGGAACAGCGACAACACGAGCGGGTAGAGGATGTTTCACTGTTGGATCACAATCAACGACTGTCACAATCTTTCGTAAATCATATTTAGGAAATGTTGGTGAAAGTGAAATTTGAGGCAAAGAAAAATGAGGATGCAGGACTTTAGAAACAGGTGATTGGGATCTTTGAAACAGACGATGAGAAAAGAAAATGCACCGGATGGTGAAAACTTACTTTGAGCTGAGGGAGGCGCAGGAAGCGACGTCGCACTCACTGAAGGGACTGCTTCTTCAGATACAGCAGTTGATGCAACAGCATCAGGAACCTCACTTATCATAGGAGCAGAATAAGGACGGAAATACTCCCTTAGCACTTTGGAGATGTCAGAGCCAAGAGGAAGCTGAGCTTCCCATCTCTCCCAGCGGGCAGCATCGGCCATTTGCTGTTTTCCAAGTAAAGGCAGACCCTTGACCCACTCTTCTGCGGCAGCATCGCCAAATTCCATGGCATTTTGGTGTTCTTGTTGAAGATCATCAATGTGTTTCTGCGAGTACACCTTAAACATGGTGCCCTTGATGGAAACAGCAGCCTGAGGTTGTAGAGTAGCAGGGATGTAATGCAGATCAGGAGTGCAAAAGGCATAGGGCAAGCCGGCCCTGAGAGGGTTGATTGGAGAGACAACAACAAGAACATCCTACACATGCATTAGACTGGTCATCGGCGGGGAAAGCAATGGCACAATACTACCTTTACTGAGTAAAGCCTGAAGCATTCGGAACAAAGACGAGCAGAGAAGGACCAAATAATACGCACGCCACCAGGTCCAGGACCAGCATCGAAAGGAGTTGAGGGCTGGATTTGCTGTTGTGGGAAAACGCCACAAGCTTGACAATCGCTGCCTCCAAGGAGCTGAAACATGTGCATCTCAGTAAATCCAGCAAGAGGTCGAGGGAGATTCGGAGCGAAGAGCTTCCGAGCGGAGGTCCAAATGGCCTCGCTGTCGATGAGTTTCAACCCATTTCGACGGAATGGCAGACGTATGCTCATGGAGCCGGTAAGATCGGTAAGATAGGAGTGGAACAAACGGTTCACACGCAAGCAGCGGCTCAGGTCGTCCGGAGTGAGATAGAGAAAGACATGCTGCCAGACTTCGGCAGGTAGGTTGGCGACAGGAGGGATGGCAGGTGAGAAATAACGTTCTGGGGTGAGTACAATCTTCCGCCTCTTTTGGGAATCGAGGATGTGATCCTCGCCGCCAAATCTACGCTTGCCTTTTGTCTGTGCCGGTAGTGGTACAGAATTATCATCATACATCGGGTCTGACGCTTGCGAGACAACTTGAAGGCGAGAACGCGAAGTCAAGTTGAGCTGCGACGACGTATCTACCTCTGCATACAAATCCGACGAAGCATCGGATGCTGGAGATTGAATGTAGGCCATAGCTGCAAAGTCGGTTGACAAAGCAAATCGGACTGTCAGTGGTTTTGTAAAAGTGTTGCTACTGTTACAGTGCAGAGAAAGTGGGCAGCAACTCTTGGTGGAGTTGATAGGGTGAGGTGAGATGATTGAGGGATAACAGAAAATAAACGCATGTACTTGCAGAGACAAGTAGCAGCCACTGAGAGTTGAGCAGAAGCAGCGCGCGGTCAAGGACAAAGACTTGATCTTTTGGCTGAAGATGCGACGCAACACAGGACAACAGGGGTGCAGGAAAGAACGAGAGCAGAAGGAAGAGGAGCTCGAAGGCTGGCCTGAGGAAGCCACGAATGCTGGAAAAGTTTGAGCCAATCAAAAGTGGTTTCAACGCCAAGCTTAAGGCTGTGTTACACGGCCACTTCCATGGTATTGCACGTGCATACGGAGTACGGAGCGGGCGGCGTACGGGGCTTTGAATTGCCGGCGGGTGACGTGCAAGCAAACGTACCCCCGCTGGCTGGGCAGCAGAGCATCAACTTAACAACCTGTCAAGTCTCTCACTTTCTGCGCTTTGAATCGATTCATTCTGCTCTCGACATATCACTAGCACATACGCCATCATGGCATCTCTCAACCTGTCAACCAATGGTCCCTCGATCAAGAGGAGCTACCAATCCATCGTAGACGGGCCAGCGCCGTCAGCTCCCTCGTCGACTTATGCTCAATGGGCCGTATACTCGGTCCAGGCTCCTCTCACAAGCGCCTTCCAGACAGACTCGAGCAAGGAGAGTGTACTGAAGGTCCAGACTACCGGAGGTGCGTAGATGACCAAGACCGACACAGCAGAGACACAAGCTGACTGGAAGACGACAGAGGGCGAGCTGGATGAGCTCCTCGAAGAGTTCTCGGACGGTCGCATTCAATTCGCCTTTGCCAAGCTCAAGGATCCCAACTCTGGCCTGCCCAAGTCGGTCCTGATCTCATGGTGCGGTGAGGGTGTTCCCGAGAGGACAAAGGGCTACTTCAACACTCACCGCGCCGCTGTATCCAAGCTGCTCCACGTACGTCTGACCATGTCCCCCTCACGCGGACAATGAGCTAAACCAACCAGGGCTACCACGTCGAAATCACAGCACGCTCCGAGAGCCATCTCAGCCCCGAAGGCATCATCGAGAAGGTCGCCAACGCATCCGGCGCCAAGTACGGCGGCGGCCCTTCGACTTCCGACTCGAGTTCGCGCGCGCCTCCCCCACCTGCTGCCACCAAGCCCGTCTTTATGCCCACGCGCACCGGCGGCTCCCTTCTCGCTTCGCGACCAAAGCCTGCAGCTCCCACAAATACTGACAACGATGGTTGGGGCGAGGACGCGCCTCAACTGTCGCGCAACACGCTACAAAAGGTGGAATCCGCATACAAGCCTACAAAGGTCAACATGGCCGAACTCACCAGCCAGAAGCAACAGCCTTCGCGCTTCCAGCCTGCTCCGAGAGAGGAATCCGGTAGTGACGTTGTCAAGGGCGGCTACCAACCAATCGGCAAAGTCGACATCAACGCCATCCGTAGCCAGGCAAGGGAACAAAAAGATGACAGACCCACTATTGTCAAGGGAGCTTACGAGCCCGTTGGAAAAGTCGACATTGCTGCCATTCGCGCAAAGGCTCAAGGTGCTCCATCGCCCGCTCCTACTCCCGTGAGTCAGACCCGTACCGGTGACGATGAAGATGAGGCACCCAAGTCTCTGGCAGACCGCTCAGCTGCTTTCAGCCAGTCTGGCCGTTTGAGTGAGATGCCCAAGCCCAAGGTCGCCAACCGTTTCGGCTCTTCCACAAGCTCGTTCGCTGGTACCAAGGCTCCCACTCCTGTAGGCTTCGGTGTCCCGCCACCAGCTGCTTCTGCGCCCATCGGTGCAGCCAGTAAGAACTTTGCTAGCACAGATGGCAAGTCTCCTGCTCAACTGTGGGCCGAGAAGAAGGCTCGTGAGCGCGGTCTTAGTGGTGCAGGCGAAACCGCTCCTCCTCCACCAGCTGCTGCCGCTTCGCCTATTCAAAAGCAAACTAGTGGTGCATGGCAGAGTGGCTACACTGGCAAGTCTTGGGCTCCCGTCACGACCGATCGCACCGGTACTAGCAACATCAGCGCTCAGAAGACGGGACAGAGCGACGTCAGATCTCCGGAGCGTGAGACTGAACCCGAGCTCCCATCTGGTGGTGTCAGCGCTCTCAAGGACCGTTTCAAGAACGCTGCTCCTATGGGTGCTTCCAACGTTGGTGACGATGACTCTCCCGCACCTCCTATGCCTCCTCCGATGGACTTCTCTAGCAAGCCCAACGCCGGTCCTGCCAGCCGTGCAATTCCTCCTCCTCCCCAGCGTCAAGAGGAAGAAGACGAAAGACCCGAGGAGGAACACATCAGCCTTCCCCCTCCTCCCACTCAACACCGTAGCCCCACTCCTTCACCTCCCAGCTCTCCTATCCGTGTCGCTATGCCCGTTGCTCGTAGCGCACCTGTAGAACCTATGGAGGCTCCGGAAGAGCGCTTTTCACCTCCTCCCATGCCAACATCATCCCTCTCAAATGCCGCCTCGGCTGCTGCATCACACATGCGCGATGAGCCTGAAGATGACCACGAAGATCATGCACGTGCTGCTGCCGAGGAAGCTTCCGCCACTACCTTCGGTGCCGACGCTGCTGCTAATGCCAACCCTGGCGCTGGTGTCGCTGGTAAGCGCGCTCTTGTCCAATACGACTATGAAAAGGCCGAGGACAACGAGATTGAGCTCCGCGAAGGCGAGTATGTCGAGAACATTGAGATGGTCGACGAGGATTGGTGGATGGGTCAGAACTCGCAGGGCGAGACTGGTTTGTTCCCATCAAACTATGTCGAGATTGTGGAGGATGACGATGCCGCTGCTGGAGGTGCTGCTGCCCCGCCACCTCCTGCTCCTGCTCGTGATGAGCCTGCTGCAGCTCCCGCTCCTTCTGCCTCCGCAGCCGCTGGCGGTCAAACCGCCACTGCACAATACGACTACGATGCCGCAGAGGACAACGAGTTGAGCTTCCCCGACGGCGCGAAGATCACCGATGTGGTAAGCTTGAATCACTTCCTTGATCCAAACCAAAGGGACGATGCTAACGAGATCAAAACAGGAATTCCCCGACGAGGACTGGTGGTTTGGACATTACAACGGCCAACAAGGTCTTTTCCCTGCCAACTACGTCGAGCTGGACCAGTAGATTTGCGAGCGCGTGTTGTTGTCACCGTCGCGTACTATTACGAGAAGACGGTCGTCGGTATGGTAGACATAAGCGCTGCGAAGTATCTTCTTCTTTGTCTTGCAAAAAAAAGAAATACGACAGATTTTTTTTCCCATCCTTCTTCTTTGATGTTTCCTTTGACTGTTGTGATATGATGATGGTGATGATCATTCTGGGATGAGAGCAGTCATCTCGTGTATAATCTGGGCCGTGTAAATCATGCCGTGGAAACGCAGAGTGCTTTTTTCCGCTCCGGAAGAGTAGTTGTTCCGGTGGAGAGCTCTGTGCAGAAAATGTATACGGAAGAGCCCCATTGCTTGTCTTGCCAACACCGTACCCCCCGTCAAACAGCATCATCATCAAAAAAGCACAATACTTTTCCAACTGCCGCAACGAAAATTCAGTGAGAGGCGACTGACCACGCGCACTCTTTCCCCGGATATGCATTCGTTGTCAACAAAACCTTTGCTGCAATCTCGGTATGTGTTGTAATATCACCCGGCCTCGCCAATGAAGGTTGGCAATCTCGCCCTGTAAATCTTTCTTATCTCGTGTGATAAAGCGGTAACTGGAAGTGGTACACAGATTCAGTGTACCAAGAGCTGTACAGTTCTCCGATGGATATAGTCGAGTGTGGGACTTGGTGGGAACGATGGCGATCAGATGCGGTTGGGCGGGCGAAGACGAAGAGGAAGACACTGCAAGAGTAAGAGTAGGATGTACTTGAACTCTCGATGAAAGGTCGATTTATTTGATATCAAATCACACTACTCATAAAAACGAAAAGATACAAGCGTGGGAAGACGGGAGGTGCAAAGATACAAAGATACAAAGGGTGCGTGAAAGAGTGGTCTTTTTTGTGGTGATATAAATGTCCAAAGATAATTTATATAACAATGGATGGGCTGTGCAAATGTCCAAATCTGCAGTTTCATTTGCGTATGAGTAGTCGTTTTTTCTTCAAGCGGTGGTGGTTTGGTTTGTCGTGTTTTAGTTTGCTTCCTTATCGCCTTCTTCTTTCATATCGGGGCTTTCGCTAGGTTGAAAGATATTGTTGCCTTTGTTTCGTTCAAAAAAGTAAGCAAGTGTTTTATGGTATGAAAAATTGTAAGGATAAAAATCAAGAGGACAAGAAAAGTACGAAAGGAGATCAGAGCTTGGTGGGGCCCAAAAGATATTACTGTGAAATTTGGAGAATAAGATGGGAGATTAGAAAATCAAAAGGATACATACAAGAAGCACAATGCGCCCACTTGCCATCCTTAGTGACATCGGCATTGGCGTCGCATTTCGGACACTTGAGAACATCAGGCATCCTTGCTGGAATTTTGCGTCTTTTTTTGGTTGTTCGTGATGTTTTGCTGCTTGTCCCCTTTGCGACCTGCTCCTTCGAGAAATAAAGAATTGATTGGATATGGTACGAATAAGCAAAACAGATGTATCTCAAGAGCAAGGATTAGGAAGTGAGGTGTGTGGTGTTTGATATGTTTGTCGCAAAACGAACACGATCGGACACGCGGATCGAGAAAGCACATGAGGTCTTGGCATTGGAGGTGGGACTTCATGGCATGAATACTCGACCTATGTTCGCATCATCCAATCTCTTGACATGATGATGATCTTTTATCTTTATGATGATCTGCCACTTGGGAACATGTATCACGGGCATCAATATCATATTGCCGCTTTGAGGTGAAGTCGAGTAATGACTCTGGAAGTTATCAAGACTCGACCGACGGTATTGATGTGGTTTGTATCGACAATTTCCTAATCTCAAAACTTTAGGGATTATTTCTTTTCTCCATTCCGAGCTCTATTTCATATCTCATCACGCATACACTCCAAACACTGCACCCCCCAAGCCGTCACAAGCGAGTCGTCGGTCTCTCACTTCCACCCGACAGCACCGTCCAACTGACTATAAGTTCTCCACCCCCGACCACTCCTTCCCAACTCAACAGGAATACTGTACACTGAATTATGGTGTGAGCACGAGAGCTCGAAGAGATTCAATTGCTCTCGTCCCGCACGAGATATACGAGGACAGCAAAGGGCAAAGTAGGGAGGTGAGTAGGACTATCAGGTCAATGTAACATCGCCTATCCCTGTCTGTAGTTGTACTGCTGGCGTCAATTGATGTGGATGTGCCATTATTTCAGGAGTTGTCGAGGAGGTGCGAGGGGGTTTGGGATAGGGGTGGTGGTTTGCGGACCTGTGGTTTCGTTCTGTGTGTTAGATGCGTGGAGTTGTTTGGATAGAGGAGCGGTGAGAAATCCTCTACTTCCCACTATGGTCGCGTCTGTGGAAACGCTGGACAGACCGAGATTGATCATAGTGTGAGTGGAGGAAGTATCATTGATTTGATCGCAAACGAACATCCTAAAGTTTATAATAACAACAGTAGTACTTCCCACGCTTTGCATTCGCATTCTACAAGATCGCCGAAGCAGTTTGTACGAATCTGCGCATCCTGCTCATTTTGGGCTTCGGCTTGACCGGTTCTGCCGAGCCGCTACCTCTTCTCTTGCTCTTATCCGTATCGAACCAGCTCTTCTCCTCAACCGACGAGATATTGCTCATCCCACTACCTCTGCTATCGGTACGGGTGATTGGATCGCTGGAAGCACTCCTGTAGCTGGTTTCGCCACTGCTGTTTCTGCTGTGCCCTTTGTCGCGTGCGATGAATGAAGGTGACTTGGGGAGTTCAGGCAATGGTACCATGGGCATGCTCATTCGAAGTGGTCTGGGTTTGATGGCTTGGCTTTCCGGACGCATGACGCCGTTGCCCATCATTGCAGCCGCGACTTCTTTCGCCAATGGAGGGGCGGGAGATGGGAATCTGACTGTGCGATCGACGGGACTTTCGGGCTCTTCTTCTAACGGCGACAGGGCCCAGTCTTTTGTCAAATCTGTCTCGTCCAACGTGAACTCATCGAGCGCGAATGAGACTGAATCGAAACCCCAGGTGTCGTACCAATCGCAAATGTCGTCGGCTGCCATGTCTTCGCTCTTGCGTCGAGGGATTGGCGCATTGGCGAGACTATCTTGGAATGGATCGAGTGTTGCGATACTGCCTTTGCGAGGTACTACGGCTGGTGTGGGCAGTTTGATGGGGCCTTGGATGTAGATTGAACGTCTGTATGCAGTGGTTTCCGGTGTCTTCACCATGAGCACGGTACCTGAGCTCAAGTGAATCTCGCTGGCAATGGCCTCTGGAAGAGCTGGAGCTTCGGGAGATGATCTTGGAGATATAGTCGATGCGGACGATGGGACCCTGTGAGCGACGGCGCCGCTGTCTTCGGGTATTACTTCCAAGATGCCGGGTGAAGGTTGGCCGGATTTGGGACTGCCGTCAGAACCGGGTGAGGGAGGCAAAAGCATGCTGCCGGTGAGTGCTGCAAGAGCTTTTGTTGGTGTCAAAGGCGACGTTGGGCTCGTGGGGCTTGAAGGAGAAAGAGGAGGGGCCATCACACTCGTGTGCGTGATCATGGGAGGTGAAATCTGTGAGCTTGAGACTGAGGCTGCGTTGAGAATCCTACGACGCGGACCCATTGATCGACGCTGGTTGCTGCGAGTTGACCTCCTCAAGCCCAATGATCCTTGTTGGTAAAAGTTGGTCGGGGTCATGAGGATTGACGAAGGACGTTCAGTCGGTAAGTCCTTTACAAGAATGCTCAAAGCGAGCTGCTTACGCTTACTCGGGCTAGTAGTTGATGGCGATGAGTCGTTCTTCTCGTAGATGAACTCTTGAACAGGGAAGAAGCCGGAATCGAGCAGCATACTCATCGTTTCCCCCTTGCGTTTTCTACGCCAGGGCATCACACTCGTTGCGGCCTTCTTCAATACCGGCCGAGTGGGTGCCTGCTCCTCGATTGGAGACGCCAGAACACTTTCCAAATTGGACTTATGCTTCGCTATCATCATGCTTACTCTCCTATCGCTTGCAAGGTCCTTGTCAATGCCAGAGAATTGTAAGCCTCGTTTTGGTGAGCGTGAAAGACGGGGGGTCACTCCAGCACCACGAGAACTGCTGCCTCCAGCACGGCTCAATCGACCAAGACGGGTACTGAATGCTCGCAAGGGTAGTGATCTCGTGGACTTGATGGAGATGAAGCTGGGTTGCCGACGTATACTCGCAGGCGGTGCTGTCGACGAGCGTAAGGGAGGGAAGATGAAACGGTTGGCTTCAGGCTTGCTCAGATTATCAATTGCATTCTGCACTGATGCACCAACGTCAACACGACTGATGGCATCAGCTATAGAGGCAGAAGCGGGTGACAGTGGGGGTGACGAAAAGAAAGGAATTGAGGCTATCGTGGCCGGTGTCGAAGGTTCTGTCCTGACGATAAGGGAAGCAACGATGTCCGCCCCGCTTTCCTCGGCAATGATGGTCGAGAATCTGAACCCCGTGCTCCTTGATGTTCCAGGCGTAGGCAAGAACAACTCGCTCGGAGGCCTCATCCTAGTCTTTAACAGTGGAGGAGGTATTCGACGACTGCCAGTCATCGGACCAGGAGATGATGCCGTGCTTCTGATGCCAGATGTTGTATCTATGGTAAGATTCAAGCGAGCTGGCATAGGCGATGCTGTCCGACTTCGCTCAAAAGGCGAGCCAGGCATATTCTTGTGACTCGCCGCCGACCGGTTTGAGGCTCGACGTTCTAGTGCAGCAATGCCCTTTGATATTGGTGAGGAGGGATCGGACGGTGTGTTGGTCGGAAACTGTGCCTGAAGCTGTTCCAACAGGCTGCTATTCAAAGCAAGCTTTTTCGGTGTCAGCGACATGACTGTCATATCAGAAGGCATTGTTCATCGACAAACACAATCTCTAGTACGTTAAGGAGTTTGAAGATGCCATTGAAAGAGTAAGTGTGCAGAACCACCAGGGTCGAATGCTCACCGCCGGAAACGGGTGGTTGACAAAGAAATTAACAAGAAAAAAAGAACAAAGAAAACAGAGCAATTCCCCCAAAAAGATCCCTCTACGTACCTGCAATCTCGATGGTCGCAGTACGGGATCCAAAAATGTCCTTGCATCTTTATAGGCAAACATGGAAGGCGACGCCTGTGGAGAGTGCAACGAAAGGTATGCGTCTAGCAGACTTCCTCTCCAAGCTTCAGTGAGTCTCCTTACAATCTTCGTGTTACTATCCAGCCATAAAAATGCATGAACTACTTCGGAGACATGCACTTGCCCACTGAGAGTCTCGCTTTTGACCAGAAAGGTTGAGCTCTCAATGGGCAAGCACATTGCTCCAAAGATATTCCTGCATTGAGATTTGGCACTCAGGTAAAGATGCGAGGTGGTGGAGTGGTGAAGAAACTCGGTTCGAACAAGTCTGGTGGGGTACGGCGAGCACCAAAGTCCTTGCCCAAGGGACCTCGGGTCGGAGTACCAAAATCGTAGACTAACTCTCTAGGGCGAGTACCCTCTGAAAGAGTAGACTTGCTGAACGAGGGCGGAGTGGCCAAGGGTCTTGCGAAGACGACCCCGCTGCGTCCATAAATGGTGGTTGCTGGATAAGGGCTAGGAGTTGCGACTGGGGGTTTGATAGTGGCGGCGACAGAGGTGAGAATAGGATTGCCGTCAATGGCCGGGGTACGATCTTCAGGGGCCATGAATGCTGCCAGAATGCAAACAACCATGACGAGGCAGAGGGCTATGCAGGTGCAGAGCCAGGCAGTTGAGGGCTCTTCGAGCATGAGGTAGATCGAGCCCGAGCACAGTACTGAACCGAATATGAGGGTGAAGCGGGCCTCGTAGGCTGACGTGACCTCGCTGAGAAGACCATCTCTCATCTCTGTGGCGGCAAGCTGGACGCTGTATATTGCGTGCCAGAATGTAGAGTCTCCATTGCGGAACTGTCCATTGAGATTGACGAGGGGGTCGAGGATTCTGGTCGCGAGGATAGTGACTAGGGTAGCCACAGCGAGGCCTGTTGTGCCCGTGATCCAACAGACCATGACACCAAGCGTCGTCGCTGGGGTTGACACAGCCGCCCAGACAGATAAAGATATCTCTTTGACCAGGTTTTGTTGGAGTCGTAACGATGGGACCAGCAGGACATAGAAGGCAATGAAGCATGCCATTGCTGTGCGCGGACCGGCCAGGTTGCCGACAAGCACACCAATCGACAACAGGAGGAGGAAGAAGATACCCATATGTGTCTCCTGAACTGTCGTTGTTGCGACAGGGAGAGACGTGATGATTGGATTCAGTGAGTCGTAGGCAGCATACTCGGCAGGCTCCAGTAAGCACCATTCAACAGGCATTCTCGAAGCCCAGCACTTCCATCTTGTGTACCTTGTAAGGTAGTCGTGGTCTCTCCAGAGGTGCTCTTCATCGTTCAGGGGTCTCTTGATGGGGACAAGCCTGCCAAACCTCTTCTCAAGTACATGATCGCTGGTGTCTCTGACTGGTCTAGGTGGAAGGTTGTCAGGTCTGGGAGGGTACCTACCATGCTCGTCCTTTTCAGGGGCAGGCGGAAAGGCGGCGACAAGATCCTGCTTGTCGGTATGGTATTGAGAGAAAGAAGACATATCGCCGAGAGTTGTATTTCCTGAGGTTGCAAGGGTGAGGAAGGTAGGTGCAGGAAGTTCTCTGTACTCGATGGTCGCGTCTAAGAAGTCGCCCGACCAGTTTATTCTCTGATATGTTGCAACAAGTTCTTCTTGATCGTTGCGCGTGATGAGGGGATAGTGGTCAGAAAGACCTTGGGCCTTGAGTTCTTTGAACGTAGGCATGGTCGAGTTATGCTTTGTTGATTATGATGTGGGTGGGTAATGCACAAAGGAATAAACGAAGTTTTTGTGATGGCGCTCAAAGAAAGGAGATGAGATGGCTGAAGCAAAATTGGGAATCTTGCGCGTGAAGGAGATGAAACAGAGCGTGGGTGATGAATGAAGTAATCCTGAATGGAAGTATTGTCGACGGATTGTATGAATGGTATCGATGGTGTCTGGAACAATTGTCGCGTGGAAGTGGGCGAAAGTTGTTGCAAGCAAAGTGACAAAACAAAAGTCGGCAATCAATCGCCTTGGAAACGCATTGGAAAATTGGACAAAAAATAATTGTTGTTCTTTTTACGCTGCACAACACAGGCTGGTAAGATCGTTCATGTAGAAGCTACTGTCGTATTACTTTACTTCGATGTCATAGTCATATCGTCGTCGCTGAAGGTCTAATTCTAGTTGTATGCGGGCTGTACAAGGGTGTTTCCTGTGCAAACTGTCAGTAAACGCCAAGAGTCGTGGTTCGGGGATAATGTCAACGTACCGCCATCGGGATAAAGGATCTGCTCGTTGTAGAAGACACCTCCGCGACCAGCAAGGAAGAGGATAGTTGCTGCCATGTCGGTGTCGTGGCCGAATCTGCCAGCAGGGTTACTGGGCTTCATGTCGAGGTTGCTCTTGTTGTCATCACCAGAGCTGCCAGCAGTCATCTCGCTGGGGAAGACACCAGGAGCGATGACATTGACGCGGACCTTGGTATCCTTGAAGGTAGTTGCAAGCATGCGGCTGACATGTGTGGCAGCAGCCTTGGAAGCAGCGTAGGCAAATTGACCGTTGCTGGAACCCTTCATGGCACCACTGATGGAAGACACGTTGACAACGCTAGAGGTGTAGCCAGGAGTAACTTCACGGCCCTTGGCCAGGAGAGGCAGAAGTGCCATGGACATGTAGTAAGGAGCGGCAACATTGGTCTTGAAAGTGTCGGCGAATTGCTCAGGCTTGGTCTTCAGGAAGTGCTCCGAGATGGCCTTAGCATCCGACATGTCTGGTTGTCCGTTGGACGAGAACTTTGTGTCGTCGTCTCTGGCAATACCAGCATTGTTGACCAGCAGTTGGATGCCGTTGGACTCCTTTGACTCCAACTCTTTGGCAAGACGAATGACGTCCTCCTTGTTGCTGACATCGCCAGGAAGGGCGTGGATGCTTCCAGGACCGGTGCTGTAAAGCTCAACAGCCTTTTCAAGCTTCTCCTTTCTTCTGCCGGTAATGTAGACCTTTGCTCCGTTGGAAACGAGAGCCTGAGTAATCATCAAGCCAATGCCAGTGCCACCACCAGTAACGACAGCGGTAATGTGAGAGACATCGAACAGGTCGGTGTTCTTCAGCTGGGGGTTCTCTGCTTTGCCTATAGGAACATCATCAGACATGTCCAATGGGGTGTATTTGAGACAATCAGGAATGCATACCGCTCATGGTTGCTTTTGTTATAGTACTGTGAGTGGGATTGGGTCTGAAAGCGCTTCTAACAGTGTGAGCAGTTCTAGAGAAGAGACGAAGCATGTTGAGCAAGAAATAATCGAAGAGCTTTTGAAGGGGAGGATTGAGGCTTCCTCAAAAGGTCGTGTCTGAGCTACGCCATGTTGACGACATCATAACGACCTAAGGAAGCTGCACCGCGGAACTTCGGCCCATTCTTCATACAAGTCATCATCTGCCAAGCGTGAAAACAGAATGCTCGGTCATGGTATATTGAAGATGGCAAGATCAAATATACTATGCTATCGACTTTGTTGGTGAGAAAGAGGTTGCTTGCTCTTGACGGATGCGGTCAGAAGATGGCTGCCAAGCTGAAGCTTGACCTTTGAACAAGTTGATGGACTCGATTCGTGAATGCATCGCAACGACAGCCAGTCAATCAATCGTACTTGATGGTTGTTTCAATGGTGAGTGTTAGGTTGTAGCCCCTTCTATAGTCCAATGTCACAGTCGTTATTCTGGTCTTCAAGTGAAAGTATTGCTTGTCGCATGCTGAACAGCGATACACGTGACGTAATTGCCGACCAATCAGAGGTGGAATCGGCCGCAACTCATCCAAGCTGCGACGAGTAGACAAGACGGCGACAATCACATCAATCCGACGAGATGCTGTTTTTCAGGTAAGTCGTCCGGAGAGAGGCGCTTTGATTGCGCCGTGCAAACTCTGCAACAGTCGCAAATCGCTCCTGCGCGGCCATGCGACCAGATCAATCTTGTACACTTGTACTGACATGAGCGCACAGTTTCTTCAAGACACTCGTCAACACCGGTCAGTCTTCACAGCGAAAGAGAAGGATGCCTTGGAACATTCGGATCTGACTAGTACGGCAGAGGTGACGGTGGAGCTCAAGAACGACATTTCGATCCGTGGAACCCTCAAGAGCGTCGACCAGTACCTGAACATCAAGCTCGACGACATTACCGTCCTGGACGACCTCAAGTACCCTCACATGGTATGCCAAGAGTCTGCTATTTGCTGCAAGAGAGGACACAAGCGCTGACCAAGGCGCCCCTACAACAGAGCTCGGTCAAGAATGTCTTCATCAGAGGAAGCGTCGTAAGATACGTCCACCTGCCTGCAGCCTCGGTCGACACCCCCTTGTTGGAGGACGCAACCAGAAGAGGTAAGAAGACACTATTTGCCAAACACACAAAGCAGCTCCTGACACTCTCGCAGAAGCCGCTCAGGCATCCGCAAAGGCCAGACAAGGATAGGCCTATTCAGTATTCTTTCAAGGCCACCATGATACCCCATAACGTCACCAACAGAGCATGAGTTTATGCTTTGAACACGAATACCTGCTCTCAGATCAAGCCAATGCCATTCCAGACCGCCCATCAGCCTGGAGTGCCTTAGATGATCATTATCCATTTTCAATCAAGTTCTGGTTTCTTTTACCACGCCTTTCTTTCTGACATCGTGCCTGGTCTGGGATGTGTGTGAACCTCTCAGCCGTCTGTACAGTCTCCTCCAGGATGTGTTGATTTCTGGTTGGCAACGAGCTCGGCATGTGTCGACCATGCTCATCGCCATGCCGATCGACTAGCATCCTCGACACGTCCACGTCCACAAATCCAATCACTTCAGCTGCGTTGCTTCACAACTCCTGCACCTCTTCTCGACACGCACACTAGACTTTGCAACAACATCACTCTCGTATACAGCTCTTCGCTTCTTCAGCAGTTTCCTACACAGCCCCTCGCTTCTTCCTTCCCTTCTTCACCTCGCTCCTCAATCAAGACCCGCTCGCTCCATACGTACCCATCACTACGCACCCAACAAGATCTTCAATCATGTACAAGGCTCCCGAGGGCACCATCACTCCCTGCGGTCCCGTCACCGCCCTCGCCGAAGTCTCTGGCCTGCGCCAGCAGATCTTTGGTAAGATCTTTCCATGATCCGCCCGACTGATCCACGATCTCACATAACTAACATGTTCTTCACATATAGGCAACGCCGTCGTCCTCTTCCCCGACTGCGCTCATGTCGAGATCTGCATGGTGAGCGCCGAGTACCCTGAGAGCGGCTACTACGGAGCTCGCCTGGTCGACCCCAGTGTCCGCAATCTGCTCATCGGCAGACAGTGGGCTCGCACCGTTCCTGAGGCTCTGGCCCAGCTTCTCCAGGAGACCTGCGATGCCATTCGCGACTCCTATGTTCTCCAGAACTACCAGGCCCGCTATCCCGACTTGGCCAGCCAGTAAAAGCCCTCGTGCCTCTCGACAGCTCCGTCGCATGGCCACAAGAGGATAGGCCGAGGCAGCTCAACATGGGTCGCCGACGACGACCCGGGTCGCTTCTCGGGGTGTCGTGATGTTCATCAGACAATCACTCTATAGCCACAATCAAAAAACTAGACCCCCAAATATCTGTGCCCCTTGAACCCCGTGAAATCGTGCTCTTTATGACCTATACTCAAGCCCCGTTCCCTTCGATATATCGACACATTTGACAGCATCCCGAGTCGCAGATAGCCCTCCAAAATATCTATCAAAAGGCAAGATGTTTTTGGTTTTCACGCGATTGTCCAGAGAGAGCACGTAGCGTTACCCCCTCTCACTGGACAATCATCTAATAACCAAAAACATCTTGCCTTTTGATGTGTAAATCAGCGACCTATCTGCGCCTGGAGATGCTGAGCTGAAACATCAAATATCGATACTCCCTCTCCATCCCCGTCACCGTTAGGGGGCTTCGAACATGACTGTCAAAATGCAAGATGATTTTCGTTAGCGGATAAATGTCCAGTGAGAGTAAGTGGTACAGCTTGCTCTCACTGGACAATTACACCAATTCAAAATTCATCTTGCATTTTGACAGCTAGTAAAATGACCACTCTGCGTCTGAGAGATGTAGTACATTTTCCCACGATATTTGCAAATGACATTTTTCGCTTAAAGCGGGTGATGTTCAGGGACACCCGTCATCAAGGATGTCCAAAGAGAGGAGTATTGTGCATTGCGACGGACTACTCTCACGAGGCGTCGACTCCTCTGAAGCTCCTTCCATTCTCAACTCATCAGTATCACTTGGCATTTCACAAAACATCACAAGCGCCTATTCATCCCTCAATTTTCTCATCAGTACCCTAACACATATCATCACCACACAGAACATTCAGCAATGGCGGATATTGTTCTCGCATCGCTTAACACGGTGACGCTGATTTTCGGCGGCTGCTGTTCGAATGTCTTTGCTCTGGAGAAGATCATCAAGTGAGTAACAATCGTCTGGCGCACAAGATTTCACTGGTTCTGGGTTCCGTCGTTCATGGCCTGGGGTTTTGAGTGGCTATCATCCTGTGTCAATGATCTACGTTATCTTCCTACTTCCCGCTGACCACATACACTAGGACTGAACCTGACAGCGGTATGTAACAACTCTTCTCCTCCTAGTGTGCTAGATGATGTCACTCATATCGCTGTGGAAATCCACGATTCTTGCCTTGGCAGAGGTAGCCTTCATTGAGATCTTGACTGTCAACGCTTCTCTGCAGGCGACTGTACCTATCGTGAAAACATTGTGCATTTCTATGGCCCTGAAAGTACAGGAGAGGTCGCGCGAGATGGCTGGAAGTGACGGATTCCAGCACACGGGAAACTATACACTTCCCGATGCTTATACTTATCATCAATAGGTCTTTTGATCACGCTTGCTCAGTTCATCTTTACTGCACTCGCTGCATCATTCTCGCAAATCACACCGACACTCACTTTGAAGTCGCCATCGGTGCCCATGAGCAAATGGGCCTACATCGCACTCATGTTCTTTGGAGTCAATATGCTCAACAACTGGGCATTCGCCTTCAACATCTCCGTGCCAGTCCACATAATTCTGCGGAGCTTTGGCAGCGTGACGACCATGTTGGCAGGTGCATTGCAGGGCAAACGCTACACTTGGCTTCAAGTGACCAGTGTGATCATCCTTACAGTCGGTGTTCTCGTCAGCGCATTCGCAGATGCTGGCAGCAAGGTAACTTTCCTGTCACTCGACACATCAATGGTCGACACGACGCTGACAAAACAACCAACAGGGCAAATCCGTCGAAGCCTCCAGCGGCGATCTCGGCTCCGGTCTTCTCATCCTTTTGGCCGCTCAGATCCTCTCGGCCTACATGGGCGTCTACGTCCAAGACACATACGCCAAATACGGCTCCCACTGGCGCGAAAATCTCTTCTACAGCCACTTCCTATCGCTCCCCCTGTTCTTTCCTCTGGCTGGCACTCTCCGTCGTCAATACGCTAACCTCGCATCAACGCCCGTCCTCGACTTTCCACCTAGCCTTCCCGTCCTCAAAAGCCTCGAGATGCCTTCTGGTATCGCATACCTTCTTCTCAACTCCATGACGCAATTGTTGTGTATAACAGGCGTCAATCTTCTATCCGCTCAAGCTTCTGCCGTTACAGTCACCATCGTACTCAATGTCAGAAAACTTGTCAGTTTTGTGGCATCGACTATCATGTTCGGTCACAGTTTGAGCGGTATGATGTGTGTGGGTGCTGGATTGGTATTCGGAGCCGGCGCGCTTTATGGCTGGGAAACCAGTTATAGGATTCCTTCTGCTGCCAAGGCGAAGAAGGTCAAGGAGGGCAAGAAGCAGTAGAATCTTTATGCCCGCTAGATTGTGAGGGCGACAGTTGCTCTCATTCTACTGGAGTCCGATTTCGTGGGTTTTGGGGGGAAGATATAGACGGGGTATCGTTCACGAATTGCTCGAACGAATCAAGCACTTGAATCATAATGAGCATGTCTCTCCAACGACTTGCGAGAAACGAATACCTTCTTTCCATTGCGACTAGATGTTTCCTCTCCTTTTTGAAATAGTATAAGAGTGTACCTCGATCTATCATGTCTGCTTTTCTCCGCTTCAATATTTTCTTTTCTTCCAAACCGCTATCTTTTATTTTCTTTTTCCTTTTCACTTTTTTACTTTTTTCTTTTTCTTTTTCTCACATGCCAAGCTCAGTCAGGGTCATCCCCTAAACCATGACGAAAACAACATTAACGACATTATAGCGACGACCACTTGTTTTCACACACTAGTTATAAGTCGATATAAATGGTTGTAATATCAGATAACCGCTATACAGATCTTGAAACCATATGATAAGTTCTAGTCCCGCAATAATCGAAAATCAATTCCTACTCTCACTTTTCTAGAAAACGGACACACGACCATTACATTTGAACCAATCTGTAGGACTGAAGAGAGGACTTGAGAAAAAGGATAATCGTTTAGCTCTAGGTATATTCTAAAAGCTATCCTTCATGATATTCATACATAAAATCTCGATAACTATTCTACTACTACTCTTATGCAGACTTGTGGCAGTATATGCAGACTTGTGCAGATTTATACACACAGAATAAGATATATATACTTTTGTATAACTTTTTATACACCACAACAAAACTTATTACACGGACACGACACGAAAAACAACCAAGTAATGTCTAATAAAAGAAAAGGGTAAGATTATAACTATAGAATACGCAGCATTTGAGTTGCAGCACTGGGGAGAAAGTAGGCAGTTAACTGTCCAGGTAGCAAGGTTGCAATCATAACAAGACCGTGGGCTTATAGAACCTCATTGCAAAGAGTGATATTGTAGGACAGCAGCGAAGAAAAATAGACGGCCAATTGACCTTACATTCACCCAGTCATGGCGTGGAGAAAGATGAAAAGTCACGGTTCGCTACAACCAAAGACTACCACAGAGAATGACGATTTGAAAATGGAGAGAGATTGGAAAAAAAAAGTTGAAATGTTCAAAAAGGCTTTACATACACAAGAAAGAAGAAGCAATAACCCATCGCTCCGTTAACGTCAATTCTCCTCAAAGACTCCTTGTCTCAATCATGGTGGATCCCTTGTTATGGAAGATGAGGAAGGGGCGGGGGTTTGGTATAGAAGGAGCTAAAACTCCTCCAGGGATCGGAAGTGACTTTTTAGCATCTCCTCCATCTATTGGTATCAATGAACTCAAGCACACACGGCAACAAATTGCTTAGTACTTTCTGGCGAAAGGAGGAACGGCCTTGCACTCAGCCTCGTCAAGGGTGGTGCCGGTAACCTTGCGGTAGCCGAGCTCAACCTTGCCGTGGGGGTTCTTCTGCCATGTCAGGGAGTGCTTCATCCAGTTCTCGTCGTCACGGTCGGGGAAGTCCTCGCGGGCGTGAGCACCACGGGACTCCTTTCTGTTGGCGGCAGCCTCGGCGGTCTGGACGGCGCAAGTGAGGAGGTTACGAAGCTCAAGAGTCTCAACAAGGTCAGAGTTCCAGATCATGCTGCGGTCCTTAGTGCCGACCTGGGAGAATTGCTGGTCAACATCGCGGATCTTCTTGACACCCTCGTCGAGCGACTCCTGGGTACGGAAAACGGAAACGTCGGTCTGCATGACCTTCTGCATGGCGAGGCGGACCTCGTGGGTGCTCTTGGGACCCTCGGCAGTGCGGACCTGGTCGATGACGTTGATGGCCTCGGCACCAGCATCGGCGGGGATCTCCTGGAGCTTCTGTCCGGGGGTGAAGTTGTCACGGATGGTGTGAGAAACAGCGCGACCGAAGACGACCAAGTCGAGGAGGGAGTTGGCACCAAGACGGTTAGCACCGTGGACGGAGACACAGGCGGCCTCACCGCAGGCGAAGAGACCGGGGACGACCTGGTCGTTACCCTCAGCATCCTGAGTGATGACTTCACCAGTGTACTTGGTAGGGATACCACCCATGTTGTAGTGGACGGTAGGAAGAACGGGAATGGGCTGCTTGCGGACATCGACACCAGCGAAAATGGAGGCGGTCTCAGAGATACCGGGAAGACGCTCGTGAAGAACCTCAGCGGGCAAGTGAGAAAGCTGGAGGTAGATGTGGTCCTTGTCGGGACCAACACCACGACCCTCGCGGATCTCCATGGTCATGGAACGCGAGACAACGTCACGAGAAGCAAGATCCTTGGCGGTAGGGGCGTAACGCTCCATGAATCGCTCACCCTCGGAGTTGAGGAGGTAACCACCCTCACCACGAGAGCCCTCAGTGATCAAACATCCAGCGCCGTAGATACCAGTAGGGTGGAACTGAACGAACTCCAGATCCTGGTTAGGAAGACCAGCACGGGCGACCATGGCCATACCGTCACCGGTACAGGTGTGGGCAGAGGTACACGAGAAGTAAGCACGTCCGTAACCACCAGTGGCCAAGACGGTGTTCTGAGCGCGGAAACGATGGATGGTACCATCCTCCTGGTTGTAGGCAATGACACCCTTGCACTCGCCGTTCTCCATGATCAGATCGGTGGCGAAGTACTCGATGAAGTAGTTGGTGTTGTGGCGGAGAGACTGTCCGTAAAGAGTGTGAAGAAGAGCGTGGCCGGTTCTGTCAGCGGCGGCGCAGCATCTGTAGGCCTGACCACCCTTGCCGAACTCCTTGGACTGACCACCGAATGCTCTCTGGTAGCTAGTAAATGTTAGTACTTTGTCTCGCCTGCTTGATCAGGATTAAACTGACATCTTGCCGTCGTCGGTACGGGAGAAGGGGCAACCGTAGTTCTCGAGCTCAATGACCGAGGCGGGGGCCTCTCTGGTCATGTAGTGGATGGCGTCCTGGTCACCCAGCCAGTCAGAACCCTTGACTGTGTCGTACATGTGCCATCTCCAATCATCCTCGTGCATGCTGTTAACCGTGTGTCAGTCCCAACTCTTGTTATAGCCAAGTCATGTCGTCACTCACTTTCCGAGAGCGGCGTTGATACCACCCTGGGCGGCGACGGTGTGCGATCTGGTGGGGAACAGCTTCGAGATACAGGCGGTGTTGAAGCCAGCCTCAGCCAGACCGAAGGCGGCTCTCAGACCAGCGCCACCGGCACCGACGACGAGGGCATCGTATTCGTGGTCAATGACGGGGTACTTGTTGCTGAGGAAAGGCGAAGCCTCCTTTGCGCGAAGGGGCTGGTTTGTGATGATACGGGCAGCGGGTGCGCTGCGAGAGAAGGCGCGAGCCTGCTGTCTTCTAAGGCCTTGCGAGAACTGCCAATCTTGTCGTCAGCTACCAATTTTCCCAAGTCCATTTTCGAGGGAAACACACCCTTGAAGAAGCGGCGAACTGTCGCAAACCGAACGAGCTCATGATTGCGAATGTGGATTAGGAAAGGCCGATACTAAGACGGCAACAAGACAAGCAAGGAGAAGAGGGGAGAGTGGTGTTGCAGAGACGCGATGGCAAAGGATATCGAAAGGGCTCGGCCAACGACGGGGCAAACGTCGTGGAGGAGCATCCAAGATCCCTCCGAGCTGTCGAGTCTTCTGGAGATCTGGCCAATCATCGTCGAGCATAAGTCATAAACCTCGGCTATCCGCGCCAGGAACCACCCGGCATCTGTCAAGACTTGCCGATTTACTTGCCATGAGACTCGTTAATTCTATCATATATTCACTTGACGTACCAACTCATTCGATTATGTTCGAGCCTACTCAGAGAAGAAAGGGCGTCTGTTCGTGGGTGCGAATCGTCACAAGAGGCAAGAGCGAGACTCGGAAGCTGCGGCATAAAACACTTCCACTCGTGCGCAAAGCATTCAAGACAACAATCCACCACGATAAAATTGACCAAGCATAACCCTGTTCAATCCCAAAGTCAAAATGCCGCAAGAAGTAGGGGTCATCGATGCCGCATAAATTGACATTTATTGCAGCCTTGGCTAGATCTAGGTGAGTATGGTAGGCTCATTGATATCTTTTGCTTGGACTGCGTATTTCTCTTGTCGCCTTCCACATCAGTCAGGGTCTCCCCCAGAAGCACTTGATGTTCTGGAATATCTTCTAGAGCTTCTATAGCTTTTCCTTTGTTGTCAAGAGTCAAAGATGTTGTAGGTGATTTGACATGACTTGATCAAAGAGACGTCATGGGGATGAAGGCCAAAGGCAGCAGTAGACAGGCACTTAATAGGCGGCTGAAACACAAAGAAGCATCACCATCTTAGAGGCTCTATTTCGATGTGACCAGTGTTTCTCCATGGTGTAGGGCAGAGAAGTTGCGATGACGATGGTGAGAAACGATGGGCGCTATGGTAAAGTAGCATCTAAATCGAAATACAAGCACGACTCTTTGGGGTCAAGCTTCTTGATCGCGGTGTGTGCAATCTCAAGCTTGGTTTGAAACAGCGAGATGGACGGATCGGGACAAAGAAGGTGAGATTTGCTTGTCAGAACAAAGTGCATGCGCATTGTCGATGCAACAACTTCCCGTCGACAAGAACATAGAGCTCTAGAACGACGAGACATTCGATTGAACAAACGGAAAAGTGAGCCTTCAAGCAGAGACGGGCGGTCGACAGCAGCTGAATTCAGGTCATAGGTCTTGGCGTTGGTTGGTCTGAAAAAGCGGCGTGTCGTGCCCCGCGAAAAGCGCTCTCCCTTCATTCAAGCAGCAGAGCCAAACCCCCTTCGATACACCAAGACACGGTCACCAAACAACAAACCACCCTTCAACCCACACTCCCGTCGCCCTTTGTCGATACGAAGCCCCGCTAATCCACCCCTCCGCACCGCCCCTCCATCGTCCTCATAGCGCTGCGCCATCGACTCGCAACTGCAGCTGCATCTCTGCTTGGCCGACCTGACATCATCCGAAGCTGAAGCTTGCAACCCATCTATCCATATCCCATCCGCCCAATTCCTGTCATCTTGAGAAAGCCCTGCCTCGGTCTTGCCAGGAGCACCTATCGTGTCTTGTCCAGCCCCAGCTACATAGCCAATTCCCGGAGACCATCCCGCATCTGCTCCAGTAGCATCAGAAATCATGGTGGACGGAGACCCGCAGCAGCCTCCCACATGGAAGTTCACCCAGTGAGTCTCTCCACCATCTCATACCCTGCTCTCAACCATCAACCCTCTTCTTTTATACTCTCCCATCCAGCAAGAACGTCCTTGCTCGGCGCTTGACCGCTGTCGGCCCGCACGTGCTGCTGCTGGAATACATACACCCCACCCAACAAGCACTCAATCGTGACTCGACCAAATCTCTGCACGAACACATAGGCTGATAGAAGACGTACAGGTGCTTTGGTGACAAGGGAGACGTCGAGGACATCACAGAAGGTGCGTTATGCTTGAATTGCCCCTCCATCCACAGCACCGCTGACAAGACACAGCCGACATCATCTCAACGGTCGAGTTCGATCAGACGGGTAACTACTTGGCCACTGGCGACAAGGGCGGCCGCGTTGTTCTTTTCGAACGTAATGAGACGGTACCTAGCCTCCCCGCCCCCGACGAAAGGCCTTCAAGCGCTGACAACTGCAAGAAAAAAACATGCGAGTACAAGTTCCACACCGAGTTCCAATCACATGAGCCCGAGTTCGACTACCTCAAATCTCTCGAAATCGAGGAAAAGATCAACAAGATCAAATGGTGCCGAAGACAAAACGCGTCGCATTACCTGCTGTCGACCAACGACAAGACCATCAAGCTATGGAAGGTCTTTGAAAAATCCCTCAAGGTCGTGGCCGAGAACAATCTGTCGCAAGACTTGACCCCTGCCGGCGCAGGCGGTGCTGTTGGCGGCGGCCCCGTCAGAGCTCCCAACAAACATTTCCGCAGCACCGCCGACCTCTCCTTCCCCCGCATGACACACCACGACACAGTCATCGCTGCTGTACCTCGCCGCGTGTACGCCAACGCCCACGCTTACCACATTAATAGCATTTCTGTCAACAGCGATGGCGAGACATACATCAGTAGTGATGATTTGCGCATCAACTTGTGGAACCTCAACATTCAAGATCAGAGCTTCAACATTGTTGACATCAAGCCTGCAAACATGGAAGAGTTGACCGAGGTCATTACCGCCGCAGAGTTTCACCCGCTCAGCTGCAATTGGTTCATGTATGCCAGCAGCAAGGGAACCATCAAGCTGGCTGATATGCGTGAGAGGGCTCTTTGTGATTCTCATGCCAAGCGTAAGTTTTTGACCGTGATTGTCTGAAAGCATGAACGAAATACTGACAAGTGGCAGAATTCGAGCAAGAAGAGGATCCTTCTTCCAGGTCATTCTTCTCAGAAATCATCTCATCCATTTCGGATGTTCGCTTCTCACATGACGGCCGTTACATTCTATCGCGCGACTACCTCACCGTCAAGATTTGGGATGTAAACATGGAAAGACAACCAGTCAAGACCATCCCCATTCACGAACACCTCCGACCACGCCTCTGCGACACATATGAGAATGACAGCATCTTTGACAAGTTCGAGGTCGTCTTCTCGGGAGATGCCAAGAATGTCATGACAGGATCTTACAACAACAACTTCATGATTTATCCATCAGAAGCGGGCAAAGACACCGAAGTGGTACTGCAAGCCGATAAGAGCGCGTTCAAGGCCAAGAAGGTTGGAATCCCCACACCGATGAACGGAGCCAAGGACAAGAAGGGCAACAGCAGAGCCAACAGCCCTGCAGGCCAGGGCAGCAGGATGCGCAAGGAGACGGATGCCGACGCAATCGATTTTAACAAGAAGATATTGCACATGAGCTGGCATCCGTTCGAGGATAGCATTGCCATTGCTGCGACTAACAATGTGAGTATCCTGACGAGACGCTCTCCCTCCGAGCACGACTGACGCGGCACGTCCCAGCTCTTTGTCTTTTCGGCACTGTAAAGTCATACTACTCACTCATGCGGAGCACGGCGTTATTTACAAGAGCTCCACACCTTTTTACCGTCATCTTGTCTTCTCTCCTTAGTAGTAATGCTCGACCCGACTTCAAAGCAGGATCCAGTGGTTCCGGATGTCAAGGGTTGTGCAAATGGTGAATACGGAGCATGGTTGGCGGGATCAAGGAAAGAGGACGTTGGTGACAAGAATGGGGGTTGTAGTTCTTTCCACATAGATCAAAATGCGACGAACCATATCGTATTGACTTTCTTCCTCCTGTCAGGTGTTGCTTTTCCATGTGTTGTCTTGATGGATGTTTCTTTGATACATGTCTTGTCTTGGCATTATCGCGAAAGCAATCTACGCGTTCTGACACGACCGACGCCGCCTCCGGCTTGAGCGTCATCGACAACTTTTGTCAAGGCCGAACATGATCCAAGGAGCCACATGTTTCGAAACCCACGAGAAAACAAAACAGTATCATCAGGAACGCATGTCCTCCCCTCCGTAGGCAGACCGCCGTCGCCATCCAATTCCACCACTCCATTGAGCAAACCGCCACCCGCCATACCGACGACCAAACCGCCACCCATGGCTACCAGGACAATGCCGCCACGAAGCTCTAGCGGCTCGAAGCAGCCAAAGATATCCACTTTTGCAAAGGGAAATGCCAATACTAAGAAATCTGCATCGGCCAAGGATTCCAAGCCAAAGGGCAAACCCAATGGCAGCATCTTGTCTTTCTTCAAGAAGGATGATGGTCTGTTTGTTGCCAACCCTGCATCTTCGCCAGCCAAAGGTCAGGAAATTGTAGAAGAGATTGAAGTCGAGGAAGAGCAGGAGTCACGCTTCAACGAGGAGGACGGTCCAATCAAGAGGCGGAAGCTATCGCCAGTTGAGAGCGTGGAAGAGGCCAACCCCACATCTCCAGTTCCTACACCAGTGGCAGAGCCTAAGGCTGTACCCATCGTCAAGACCACATCTGGACCATTCATGGAAGAATCCGACAGCGAGGAAGAAGACGACGACACCAAGCCGAGCATTGCAACCACTGCACCTGCAACCATCAAGGCAGAAGCGAAACAACCACCATCGTTGATTCACCAACCTACTTCCGCGTCAGTAGCAGAACAAGACAACTTTGGCGACTTCGAGGGAACTGACGACTTTGAAGATGATGTTTTTGATGAAGGTGAAGAATATGTCGAGAGATTGTGGATGGAGCAGGAACAGATCAAGCTTGAACAGGGCGAAGATGACAGTTTCCAAGATGATGAGATTAAAACACCAGAAGCAGACGCTCCTTCATGTCCGATTTGCAGCGTCAATCTTGCTGGTGTAGCAGAATCAGACGCTGCCGTCCATGTCAACAACTGCCTTGATGGGAACCCCACGCCATTGCCTGAAAAGAAAGAGAAGCCCCCACCTACCGCCCTTTCACCAGCACGATTCAAGAAGCCTGTCCGTCCAGCAAAACCCGCTCAGTCACAACCATCCGGCAACGATTCTTCAAGCTCTGCATTCTCGAAACTCATGACAAGTCGATCTGAAGATATGGCGTGGGCTAATGCTGCCGCCGCGGAGAACGCCTCTCGTGGAAAGCCAAGCTACACCCGAACATGTCCTTTCTACAAAATCCTACCAGGCACAAACATTGCTGTTGATGCTTTCAGATATGGTGCTGTCGCCGGATGCAACGCCTACTTCTTGAGTCATTTCCACAGTGACCACTATGTCGGTCTCACAAGTACTTGGACACATGGACCCATCTACTGCAGTAAAGTTACTGCCAATCTGGTCAAACAGCAGCTACGTGTCAACCCAGAGTACGTCATTGCCCTGGATTGGGAAGTCCCATTTGAGGTGCCAGGAACACCTGGAGTCACTGTGACAATGATTTCGGCAAACCACTGTCCTGGCTCATCTCTATACCTGTTCGAGAAGCCTCTCAGTAAAGGTCCTGATCCAAAGTTACACCGTGTCCTGCATTGCGGAGACTTCAGAGCATGTCGCATGCACCTCGAACATCCTCTGTTACGACCAGATGTACAAGATCATATCACCGGAAAGAACAAGGAACAGAAGATTGACGTCTGTTATCTTGGTGAGTCAAACTTACCACCATAGAACTAGAAGTCGTGAGACCAATTGGGTGGACTTGGCGGATTTGTCTTCCAGAATTTGGTCTCACGACTCTTCGATTCTTTGATACCTAACTTCTACCTTTGATCATAAAGCTAACGCAAGCAGACACGACATATCTGTCCCCAAAATATTCTTTCCCAGAGCAAGAAGATGTTATCAAAGCATGCGCAGATATGTGCGTCAGATACAACGATGACCCTTTGGTACTCGATTCGTTAAAATCGGAAAGCGCAAGCATGGCCAAATTCGTCCGCCAAGACTCACAGCCAACCCTTAAACAAGAAGACTCAGATATGAAGATCAAGCAGGAGCCCTCCGACTCCACCGAGCTGAAGTTGCACAATAACGGCAAATTGACCAGCACAAAAGCCGCCCGTCTGCTCGTGGTGGTCGGCACCTACTCAATTGGCAAAGAACGCATCTGCATCGGCATAGCAAAAGCACTAGGCTCAAAGATCTTCGCGCCAGCAGGCAAACAACGCATCTGTCGCGCTTTGGAGGATCCGGAGTTGAGCGGTTTACTCACCACTGATCCACGGGAGGCTCAAGTCCACATGACGCCCATCTTCGAGATCCGCGCCGATACCCTCGATGACTACCGTCAAGGCTACGCCGACCACTTTGACCGCTGCATCGGCTTCCGCCCCTCTGGCTGGAACTACAAACCCCCCTCCTCCCGCCTCGACACCCCCAACGTCAGCAACATCCTCTACTCCACGTCCTGGAAATCCGCATATTCGATAAAAGACCTATCCCCTCAACGAGGATCCACGAACAGAGCCAAATGTTTTGGTGTTCCGTACTCAGAACATTCGAGTTTCAGAGAATTGACTATGTTTTGTACGGCTTTGAGGGTGGAGAAAATTATTCCTACCGTTAATGTGGGGAGTGGGAAGGGGAGGGAGAGGATGAAGGGGTGGGCGGATAGGTGGATCGCTCATAGGGAGAAAAATGGATGTTTTGAGGTTAAGGATTGGTAGTTATGGTGTTGCTTGATCGATGAATCACCATCATGTCACGGTTCGCGAGACTGCTATCGGTGTTTTTAACATGACCGGTGGAGTTTTCTGTTTTTGTTTCTGGGCGTTGGGTGGTGACTGTTGTGGTGTTATTAGCTTTATTATCACGACGATGGGATTTGCATGTTCGTGGGTGCTGTGCTGTGCTTCTTTCATTTTCCACTTCTTACTTCTCTCACCCCTCCTGCTCTCCTTTGCTCATATGCGTCACGTCCACGACAGGTATTTCGTGTTCTGTCTTTTTTTGTGGGGTTTGAATATTATCATCCTCCATATGATCGCTTGCTTCTTTCCACTCTTATCGATGTCTTTTTTTTCCCCGTGTGCTGTATTATCATTGAATGCATTTCGGTAATCTACCTGAAATGCAATGGGAAATCTTTTTGGAAGCACTTGTAGCTAGACCTATATGGATTGTGTCGAGGTATTCCCTTCTCAATAGACGATGTATGTCTTAATTGAAAGATTCGTGCCTTTCAATGAGTTTGTTCCCTGCATTATAGTTGTAGAGAGGAAGAACCAAAGTAGTAGCTAGCACTTTTCCATGAATTGAGGATGGCGAGATTTTTGCATACCTGTTATGCATGAGTATTCTTTTTCGAAGTGGAAGATTTTTCCTTTTTCGATACGATAGGATATGATACGGATATGTCATACTCATATTCTGGATCACTGGGTGTGCTTGTGTCGGAGTTTTTGGAAAACCTTCTGCACTATCTTTCGGAATGCAGCGTTGGACAGAGATGCTATGTTGCCGACTATCTGTTCAAGAATCAACATACATGGGCAATACTTCGAAGGGAGTCTATGTTATTGTTGGTGAGATTGTGCTTAGTTATCTTGGAACGTGTTTCTGCAATTAGCTGAGCGTATCTTGATGGTGTTGAGCTCTTTGCTTTCTGCTTTTGCTTCGCGTTCGGTATTTACGAGGAGTTTGCTTCGAGGTAACTCGGCATCTTTTGATTTTTGCAATCATTTCAAGACGTCTGGTGGAAGTTCTACAATGTTGAGCATGTGTGTCTTGACGAGCTTGAGTGATTGCTTCATCCTTAACACCTTTTTCTTTCGCTGTCGTTGCCATGTTGATATATGACATCTAAACAACAATTGGTTGGCAGCTTTTGTATTCGTGGAATTACTCATCGTTGAACAAATCAATCGCTTCGACCAAGCGGTGATGAACCTCTGCTACAGAAAGAGTCCTAGGATATATTTGATCCATGGTCACGACTGGATTGATCTAGAAAATAGCGACTTTTACAAAATGAAGAAAGAGTGATTGCTACGGTAGATGCGAAAGTGTTGACCCAGTGTATCTGGCGAAGTCGATCAGTTAGTGAAGATATGAGATTAGGTCGGAAGAGATTTTCGATCAGAAAGTCGAGTGAAGAAAGAGAGGCTGATTAAAATAATGATGAGATTTTTTGGATCCGTTCCTTAATCGCACTTTCCTTTTCAAGGTATAACAGCCATTCTCTTTTGGCCAGTAAAGTCTGCTCCGGATATGTTAAAAGGCACGATTGAATTGAAAACAGCGCCGTGTTCATTAAGAGTCTTCAACACCATCACTCTCGCCGCATTATCTGACTGACCTCAAAGATATCCTGCCTTTCGTCGAAATGCACTCGAGAACTTAGGAAAGCGAACAACGCAAAGTTGGAAAAGGTTCAACCAAAAGACTCGCTTGATTGGCGTTAAAAAGGCCAAAACACATACAGAACTGCCATGGATAGGAGAGCTCTAAACATATATCTCATCAAATTAACTTCTACTAACCATCTAGACATCAAGCACCTCTTTTCCCCAAAGATTCAAAAGTCAACCAAGCAGAACTCTACATGGTCATACCCTTATTCTGTTTCATACCCTTGACATTGATCTCTCTCCACAGACTGACCCAGACAATAATTGTAGCATAGAGACAAGTTGATGCCACAACCATGAGTTTCTGAGTCTCACCATAGGCCTTGTTGATGCCGTCTCTTTCAGGAGTGCCGATGGCGTAACTGCTCTGGACGGTCAAATCTCCATAGATAGTCTGGAGGTCTGGAAGGGCAGAAGCAGGGAGATATTTGGCGAGGTTGGTGGGGAAGAGACCAGTCCACATGGCTGCAGCGATGGCGGAACCGATGGAAGAGCCAATGTTGGCGATCATGAATTCGAAGGCGAGGATGGCGGGAATGTTTTGTTGAGTCGAGACGGCCATGACGGTCATTTGCTCGCAGATAACCTAGAAGAGTGGTGTCAGCAAAAACGCAGGGAGTCGTCGTTGATATTCACACGATATTTATATCGCCGGCTCAACTTACAAGGGTGCCGCCACCTAAGAATAAGAAATTAGCAAATGTTTCCAACACTCTCCGAGCTTGTTTGATATTTTGCTTACCAAAAGCAACGAATATTTGACACATGACGATCCAGCCGATACTAGTGTCTGGATGACGGAACTTGATCATAAGACCGACTCCAAGGAGGTTGACCGGCACACCGAAGTATAGGGCGATCCACTTGAGGCGTCCGTTATAGCGGATGATGATACCGACGACCAGGCACCAGAAGGTTGCGCCAATAGTATAGATGTTCAGAATGTAGGTAGCATCGCGTACCGAAGTGTTGAAGACAACGATAAGCATGCTGTAGAAGTAATCGTACCAGACATTGTAACCACTGTAAATGGCAGCAACCATAGCGAAGGTAAAGATGACAGTTCTGTCCTTCATCAGATGCCAAGGCACGAAGGTAACAGGGGCGAGCTTGGCCTCCCAGACCGAGAAAGAGGCGGAGAGAAGGATACCGAAGACCAGGAAGCAGATGATCATGGGTGATTTCCACTGTTCAGCTTGATAGGAATATAAGCTGAACGATAGCAAGAACAACGAGAGTCCAGTGGCAATCAGGAGTATGCCAACAACATCGAATTGGACGGCGTAGTAGATGACAGATTCCCTCCATGTGCGTCCGCTGTCTTGCTTGGGGATCAACCCTTGTTTCTCGGCCTTCTTTAAGTTGTGCCACATGAGCCAGAACAGAGGAGCGCAGACGATAGGATATACTATGGCCCAGATACCGAAGCCCCATCTGAAGCCGATGCTTTCGAGTACGCTATTGGTGGCAGGACCATAGCACCATGTGACGATAAGCCAAGGGGAAGCGGTGTATGCAATCCACCCTATAGTAGAAGTTAGCAAAATTTCCATCATCTTAGGACTCGTCTGGGGATTTGCAGACAAGCTCTATTTTTGAGGCTGCTAGTATCAGCAACGAAGATGGTGATCGTGAAATCGATGGCGGTATAGCCGACTTGATAGAAAACTTGAGCGGCGCAATACGTGGTGACATTCGTGCAGCCTGCCATCATAATGAAACCGAGTACGGTGGAGGCGACCATCAAAGCGAAGCCTTGAGGACGGCCCCAGACGTCGAGGATCTTAGCATAAGGAAGCTTCCACAAGCCAGCGATCAAGCTCGAGATGATACTAGTCGTGGCGGTCAGGGAGTGAGCTTGGAAGGAGCTGGTCACGTAGGGAGTCAGAGTTCCTGCGAGTATGATTCAGCTTCTGTTTATTCACCACTTTTCACGACGATCGACATACCTGTGATACCAGATCCGAAGCCTTGGATGAAATTGATGACCCAGATGATGATGTAGGCTGCTATCAGATGCTCTCTAGTCCAGACCTGGTTCATTGCTTGGGCCATCTGTACGCCGTGCTGGAACTCAGGAGTAACAGTATCCTCTTCGGCCTTGCTGGTGACCTGAGTACCGTCCTTCTCGTTCATCTCTTGGGCACCAGCGACTTCGACATCGCTGCCAGTAGCAGTCTCTGCTACCATAGGCACCTCATTGGGTCGCGTGTGAATGTTGGGAATCCTGAGCCTCATGGTGAATATGAAGTGTAGAATAGAAAGTCGGGTGGGACCTAGCTTGCAAAGACTTCATGTAAAGGGCGAACGGCATGTTATATGGCTCACGATAGACCCCACTTATCCCTACTACTCTGAGAATAAATCCTGCATGCCAGATTCAACTGTGAGGCGCCACTAGAGAGAAAAAAAGACTGGATCTGCACAGATCGAGTCACGAATGGCCTCACGAGAACCAAGAGACCCGTTGGGAGCTTGTGTAGAGAAAAGCAAGGGCAAGCCATTGCCGCCCCTGCAAGACAGGGCATCTAGGGAGAAAAGCAATACTCCTCTTCGGTTATCATTGCTCCAAGCTGATTAGATCCGAACGGATCTGATTCGAGACAATTATCAGATCCGCTGCCGGGCCCGAGCTTTTCATCCTTCGCGCAGCCACCACCGCTCGCTACTCGTCCACGGAGTAGCTTGGCAGCAGCCAGCCAAGGTAGTATGCTGATCCAGATGCGATAATCTTGCGGATCAAAACTGACATCGAAAGGGAAAACCCGCGTGATGTTGGGGGGGATCGAATTTGGAGCCGCGCTGTGAATGTACAGTAGCAGTTCTGGAACGCTTGGTTTGTGGCTTTCAAACGTCTCCGGTACACATTTCGCGCGCTGAGTTGAATGGTCAACGGATCGCATGGGCGGGTCATCGCAGTTACCAATGTTGCTGTGCTTGGTCCCGGGACGAATCCATATTCATCTTTGACCACCAGAAGCCCAGCGGCGTACACTCATGGCTGAGCTGAAGATAGAACGCGTAGAAACGCACGAGGGGCAGGACGCGAAAGAGACAAATACGGGCGGGCCCGCCGACACGGCTCCACTTTTCGAGATGATCAGATAAGCCCCAACCAGGGATATTATGGCTCTTCTCTCAACCGTCGACTCATGTGTTGGTGTAAGAGCGAACGCAGGATTGGTCTGGGCTGCGTACTGCTAGGTTCGTCTCATGCGTGAAAAGTATGCTCTTCGGGCAGGATTGACGACTAACGTTTGTTTTTGTCACCACGTCACGAGAAGAAGAAAGGCCTTAGTAGCGATCTATACATCGAACTCTACGGCGATATGAGTATTCGGGAGACACACTTTGTTTAAGATGTCTGAAAACAGATGCTGCCCAAAGGAGCAGTGTTCTGAGAGTATTGATCTCATCTGATTTATTCGAGTCTGCATTTATTCTACACAACTGTTACCACACCATCTTCAACAACATCGATAGCAGGTCGCACGAACACCTTGCCCCATCTCTTGGCTTCTCCATCGACTCCCTTGACTTGTCCTAATACACCGACATCCAGCTCATCATCACTTTCTTCGTCTCCCTCTTCCAAATCCTCGAGTGCACTACTTCGACTACTAACCTCCGATACCAGAGAGGGTACCTCACTCCCTCTTCTTGTATCACATCTTGGGATCAGAAAGCCCTCAGGCGACTCGAAACCCCTCTTCTTCTCCCCACTTTGCGCGAAGACGAAATCCCTCACTTCGGCATCAGTAACAGACAAGCGACCAGTAAGTGGCGGTCTCGTATGCTTCCTAGTCGGCTTTGCAGAGGAATCTGAAGAAACGATGGAAGTAGTCGGAGCAGGCTTATGCATCGTCGCAACTCTCCTCTCATAAGCATTATCCCACGCATCAGACCAAGTGTCAAAGCTATGATCGGGAATCAATCCATCCTCCACCCTAGCCAAAGGTTTCGTGCAATCGATAGGTGAGCCCGGAGACGCACTATCTTGACGAGTGCGGATATCGATATCTCTATCGCTGTCGTTGCTTTCGAAGCTTTTCTTCGCGTCGGCTTCTAGTGTGTGGCTGTGGCTGTGGCTGTGATTGTGATTGTGATGATGTGTGGGGAACGGAAATGCTTTCAGTGCGTCGCGGGCTGCGTAGCGTGGTTTGTAGGCCTTTTGAGAAGATGTGGATGTGGTGGATGTGTGGGAGGATTCTTTTTGGAGAGCAGTGGTTGTGTGCCAGCCTGTCACTAAATCGCGAGAGATTGTGCGGATGAGACCGAGACCTGGTGTAGAGTGCAGAGACACTGTTGAGCGGCGGTGTCGGGATGTGGTTGAAGAAGTTGTAGAGGGTCTGCGTGATGTTTCGGGGCAGATGGATGTGGATGTTGCAGTTGACATTGTGATAGATGTATGGCCAGAAGACCGAGATGGAAGTATAGTCAAGATTGAATGATTTGATGCTTGATCAAGGAGAATGAGATTTGTTGAAGCCGAGATGGAAGAAGTCAAAGGTAACGGGAATAGTGTCTTGAAGAAAGGCCAACGGAGGCAGTGCCTGCTTCCATGGTTTATATGCTTGCATTGGTCTCAGAGGCAAGTGCAAGATCATGTGCAAACTCGCACATGCCAAAAGTCAGAAAGATGGATTAATCCATGAACGAGAGACACCCGGCTACGATGCCCAACGAATGATCGATGGATACGGCGCTGTAACATGTGAGCAAGTGGAGTTAGTCACCTCTTGCCATCCATCAGTCACGTTCACAGCAGGTGAATAGCGACACCAGGAAGGAGCACCCGACAGTGTTTCTCCTTGATTTAGTCCACATAAAAGCCATGGGCGGAAATAGTGGAGCAATCAACTGCGAACACACAACCATTGGTGGAATACAAAGAAAAACAACTCACATTCAGTTGGGGGAGACCAACAACGACATGTACCAAGACGTCGTGTGTTTGGACCATCTATCAGTCTCGAAGTAGAAAAAGGGCCCATGGGGTCAATAGACTCAAGCTTAAATTTATGAAACAGCCTCACCTTGTCCAACTTCTCCAATCACGGTTCTCCGCACGACAAACTCTCACGGTAGTATCCTCTCCGAACAAAGGGACGTTTGACAGGTGCTAAAGAAGTCTATACTCTATCAACAAGTTAGATTCGACGATGGTTTTTGCGAAGGGAGAAAATAGTTCGAGGCAACAGCCCACACCTCGACTACTAGCCTCCCCCCACGATATGGGGGCGCAAACAAGCAGCTTGGCTGAAAACCTTACTCCTCGTCAGAGTCTTCTTGGTCGAGGCTGAGCCAAGCTGTTCTACAGCGGACGGCTTCCGTACGCACAGCACGCTTGCCATCGTCCAGGCAGCCCATCAACCGCTTAACCACCTGTCTTCGGTACGGTACCACAGCCTCCCGCTTAAACTGAGTTGGAAGGAGTGTCAAGCAACGGAGAGCAGCCTTGCGAACTTGTGGCGTGTTGTCTGGCGATGCTGTGGATGCAAGCAAACGCGAGATCAGCGACGAGGCGTGCTCGAAGAGTGCGGACGCGTTTTGCGTGATGATTGTCTCCAACGAGGCTAGTGTTGCGGATTTGACATCTTGGTGGGTCTGATCTTGCAGATCCAGGGATTGCAACAGGAGTAGAACAAGCGTTGCCAAAGAGTTCTCAATGATGCTGTAGGGCAGCCATCTGAGTATTCCAGATAACGCAACAAGGTAGTTGGCTTTTACGGCCGGACTGGCGGATTTGCTTGATTCTGAAATGGCGGGTACTGTTTGGTTGAAGGTTTTCTGTTTATAGAGACCAGAAACGATGCAGTGGTTTTCCTTGGAAAGAATGTCGTCAGGCGCGAGGATCGTAACGAACCCACGGGCTGCCACGCTTCCGAGTGTGGCATCCGACAACAGTTCCAACAAGCTTTGAAGATAACTTGTTGTGTATTTGTTGCTCTTGCCTTGGATCAAGAGACCCTTGACGACTGAGAAGGCTAGAATAATTGACTCTGCGGAACGAGCCTGACCAAGCAGAGATGCTACGTCCGTAGATGTGCTAACCAAAGACTGCTCCAGGTTTGAAGGTGGAACGAACTTGTTCACGACCAAAGCAGTCTGTCTAAGCGCAGATAATTGGACATCTGGCAAGGTGGATTGACTGTTTGCGGTACGAGCCAGAGCTCCGAGTAGGTTCGTGGCCGATTCGGGAGTCAATGCCTCCCGTTGGAATGCAGCGTTGAGATGTAGGGAAGCGATGACGGCTGCTTTCGAGTAGGCATCGGATGCGTCCTTTCCGAATGAGCTAAAAGAGGACTCATACTCCGCAAGAACCTGATTCTGCAAATGCGTCGTCTGTGATTTGAGTATGATGTTACTGATACGTCCAATGATGTCTGTGCTTGTGTGATCGCTCAATGAGCGAGCATCGCTTCCTGCGAGGCCAAGAGCCTGGTCTAGAAGGGGCTTTGCGATGTCTGAGAAATACGAGAACTTGATGATGCCCTCTTCGGTACCAGGAGATCCGTACGAGAAAGCAAAGAGGATGGCCATGAGAAGAGCGTGAATGTAAGTAATGTTGGCTTCTTGCTGAAGGGCTGCCTGAAGTTTGTTCTTCAGACGCAATACGACCGTATCGAAGACCTGTGTTTCTGTGCTCAACTTGGTGAATGCTTCAAGCACTCTCTCGTATACTGATCCAGGGCTCGGGTTGTCCGGTAGTTCGGCAAGGAACGTGGGCAACGCTTTCTCAGATGTGACGATCGGACTGTGATGAGCAGTCACAGCCAATCCGCTGATGGCCGCTGCCTCAACTTCTGAGTTTGCGGCAGACCGTTCCTGAATGATGATATCTGTGAATGACTCGATGATTCGAGAGACATCGCCATCGGACAATAGCTTGGGAATCTTGACCATACCGATGAGGCCGGCAATAGCGAACAGACGGAATGAAACCTCTGACTTTGGTGCATTGACAACAGCCCTGAGCATGGCTTCCAATGCTTCGTTACGCCAATCGCGCAAAGCGCTTTCTTCTGCACGATCTGCCACGAGGATACCTTCTGCGTTGTGAATCTTCCATTGCTCCGAGACATCCTTGGTCGCGCTGATCAACGAGATGAGGACCTCGATAAGGCCGCGTCTCTTGGCGATCGATTCTGATGACTGGAAAAGCTCAAACAAATGAGGGAGGACAGCCTTAGTCATTGTGTTTGCAAGTTCAGAGGAGACTCTCGCAATGCTGTTAATTATGCGACCTGCTGCCTGAGATTGCTTTGTGGGTGCATCTTCGAGATGTTCGTTGCACTCCTTGATGACAGGCTTAAGATAAGCGGTAAGTGCACCTTCTTGCACCTTGCTGAGCTGATTGGCAACCGCCGCAAGAATATCAAGAGCCGCCTGCGCCAAGTCCTCCTCCTCCACGTTCAAGATCTCGAACTTGAGCGAGTCCCAGAGTGTGACCGAGTACAGAGAGATTGTGGCAGGTTCGTAGTTAATGACGCATCCCTTGATGGCGGCCAAAACATCACGCTTCGTGTTGATAGAGCTTGAGTCGAGCTTGTCAAGTAGTGCAGGGAACGAGTAAGGAGCGAAATCCGAGGTGGCCGAAATGCAATCCTGTAGACGTCCTTTCAGATCCTGTGCGGTAATGCCATACGGGTCGCCTGGTGGAGGCTTGAAGGTGATTGGGAAATAGTTGAAGACCGAATCGAAAAGATCCTGGGCGTGAGGGCCGAGATCCCACTCGGTCATAGGAACTTGCAGAATTGAGAAGACGATCATCAGGTTTCTTGGATCCTTCTCCCCATCAAAGTAGGTGATGAATCTAGCCAGGAAGTCATGATCATCGTTGTGTAAGTCCTTAAGCGCCTTTCGATAGTTTCTGAGTAACAAGTCCAAGAGTTGCAGGATTGTGAAACGCTCGCTTTGCAGCTTATGGTCCCGAAGAGTCTGTGAATCGCTCACGAATCTAGATGCATATCAGCCTCGTGTTTCGACGTCCAATTGGAGATGGACTACACACGTATTTGCAATGTTGGCTGCGGTTTCTGCATCCCATTTACCCAACTTCTCCAAAGCCATAAGCGCTCTTGCGCAATGGCCAGCGCCTTCGTTATCATCGGTCACTCTGGTGAGAATGAAGCCGCATAGAAGATTACGCTGTTGACCTTTCAGGACTTTAGGAGCAACCTGTTCCAGAACATCGGCTAAGTATGCGAGCGACTTGATTCGCATTGAAGGGTCCTCGTGATTGATGTATTCTCCGGCATTTTCGATGAGTTCCACCAGCTTGAGATTGCCATTCGCGAGGCTTTCAGCAGAGCGAGCAGCGAGCCTCTTAGCCTCGTCCTTGTTCTTGTCGGCCTCGACCAGGTATAATTGTATGTCGGACATTGTCTTGTGTTACTTGTGAAGTTCAACCAGCCGACATCTGGATTGCCTTCGTATCTTTGTTTGATGGACGATTTTCGAGAAGCGCGGCGGGGCGTGTTACGCAATGACGTGCGTTGTGTTTTGTACGGCGAAGGTCCGTGCCACATTCGAGCTCAATGAAACGGCTCTCTGATTGGACGGTCGCAATGCCGAAACATTTTTTTTAGGTGATGAACAGTTTGGTGGGGTGTGACTCGGAGGACATAGGAAAGATTTGTGAATAGGGCAACAGCGAGTTCGCTCTTTCTTTGTTGTGTTTTCTTGTGTCGCTGTTCAATAACGAAGGTCTCAACACCTACAAAGTCGCCGTCGCCTTCAACTCTCTCGTCAGACTCTTTTGCAATCGATTGCTATATCCGGAAATACGATCCCTCAATTCGAGATGAGCGCCAACCCCACTTCGTGCAAGGTCGTCCTTGCGGCCAACATTGCAAAGAAGCTCCAAGCGGAGGTGGCCGATGGTCTGGCTAAATTGGATCGCAAGCCGCATCTCGTTGGTTTCCTTGCGAACAAGGACCCGGCGGCGCGCATGTATGCCGACTGGACTGGCAAGACGTGTATCGACAAGTGAGCGCTTCCTCTCTTCCTGTCATGTCCCAGGGAAGGGAAGGCTGGCTAACATGAGACTCTTCAACCGCACAGTGGTTTCGCATTCACCCTTCGCGAGTGCGAGCGCGAGGAACTGGAAGAGGCCATCAGGGATGCCAACGCCGACGACACGGTAGATGGTATCCTTGTCTACTACCCCGTCTTCAACAGCTCACGCGACCGCACCATTCAATATATTGTCGACATGCACAAGGACGTCGAGGGCCTGTCACCCAAGCTCATCAACAACATGTACCAAAACATCCGCTTCCTCGACCCTCCCCACAACACCCAAAAGTCCATCCTCCCTTGCACACCTCTCGCCATGATCAAGATTCTCGAATACCTCAACATCTACAACACCATCTTGGACTATGGAAAGAGATTGTGGGGCAGAAGAATCACTGTCATCAACAGAAGCGAGGTTGTGGGTAGACCCTTGGCTGCACTATTGGCAAACGATGGTGCAGAGGTCTATTCGGTTGATGTCACTGGTGTGCAACGATTCAGCAGAGGCCAGGGTCTGCGTAACCAGCAGCACGTCGTGGAAGAGAATCCCGACATGACAATGGAAGACTGCTTGGCCATCAGTGATGTTGTCATCAGCGGTGTACCTGGCGACAAGTTCAAGGTTCCCGTCGAGAAGATCAGAGATGGTGCCGTGTGCATCAACTTTTCGAGTGAGAAGGTGAGTAGCCCCTGAACGCGAGATTCGAAGGAACCATGAAAAAGAGAAGGAGAATGGAGAAGCTGACATGACCACTCGACACAAACAGAACTTCACACCCGCTGTAAAAGAACACGCCTCGATCTACGTCCCCGCGGTCGGCAAAGTCACCATCATGATTCTCCTCCGCAACCTCCTGGTATGCACAGCAATGGCCCGCTACTTCCGCTCCCTAACCCCTTCCCAACTTTCCGCTCTCAAATCCCTCGAGACACCTTCAAACACATCAAACCACCCCATTGCTTCTGAAGAAAACACTTCAACCCCTCCTATCGATAGCATGCTTTCATCAAGCATACTTCCCGACAGAATTGACAAGACGAATGTGGAGACATTGCTTAATGAAACTGCTGACGAGTTGAAGCGTATGGTGCAGAATAACCCTGATGTCGATGCTAAGCCGGCGGAGGCTATCGAGAGGGCTGGGACTGTGGAGGAAGCTGTTTCTACTGCAAAGGCTGCTGCATAGGGAGGTGAAGTTGAGAAATGTTGGATTTGCAAAACGAAAAGAGCATGGATGGGAAGTTTGGGAGGGTCGGCGTTGTGATTTGTGATACAAAGGGAAAACTTATAGACATCTGAATGGAGGCGACAATGAGAGGACTTGAGACAAAGAAGATGATGATTTTGTGACTCCAATGTGATTTTGTGATTTTGTATGGTATAGACTTGTTCTGTCAGACAGAAAACCCCAGAAGAATATCGACATTGATCCGAAACTCCACGCTCGAAAGAAGAATGCGAACCACAAGTTACTTTTTCCCTGCTACGACAGACCTTTTTCATCGCCTATCTTCCTCCATGTCTCTTCTCTGAATCCTCCCATCTCCGTTGCCCTTGCTTGAGACATGAAAGAAGATGCTGAATGGCGGTGGTCGCTCTAAACCTTGACCTTCTTGATCTCCACACCACCGGCCTCAAAGTCTTCGGCACCCTCCTCGTCATCGGAGACGACGGGGCCGCCCTCGGTATCGTCATCTCTGTTTCTCTTGAGACCCTTCATCTTTCTCGTTTGCATGTCGTTGAGATCTTGCTTGCCGAGATGGATGCGGCCGACCTTGTCACCGATGATGTCGGTCTCGATGTTCTTCTTCGATCGTGCCTGTGAGCGTGTTGTTAGATGTTGATTTTCCCAACGAGAGGGAATCGAGAAGGGATGATTGGGGATGCAGCAGCAGCTTACCTCAAGACCCTTGGGTTTCTTCATGGCATCCTTCATCATATCGTGATCGGCCTCCTTGACTCTACCGATGCGGAAATCGATGCGTGGTCCCATCTCTTCAACCTCTACTCTGGGAAGACTCTGTCCGGACTTCTTGGTCGAGATCATGTACGTGCGCAGTTGGATCTTAGGCGCGGGTTGAGCGTCTTCCTCCTCAGCAACAGAAATGTGCACCATATATTGCAAACCCTCCACATCAACATTATTCGTATCCTCGCCCTTGAAGAAATCCAGCAAAAGACTCTTGGCCATGGTATATGTGTTTGCGACGGGCGAATCGAAAGCGGTGCCGGAGAAGGAAACCAACGGCTTCAATCCCACTCTAGCCTTTGCGCTTTTGAACTGCGAAATCGTGCGGAAGGTGTCGACATCCACGTGCAATTCCAACATTTCCAACACCTTGAAATCGAAGAATCTGCACAATGTAATCGTATGCGGACGTTTCTTCGAGTGCGATCCAAACACCATCAGCGAGCAATCGTTCTTCTCGGCGAAGAATTCCAGCGACGAAGGATCTTCAAAAGGATGAATGTCGTTTTTCTTTGTGAATTTTTGGGCCAGCGGGCGTTTTAGTGCGTGCAGGTCTGTCATGGCGAGTTGGATGATTTCCGAGCATGATGTGTAGCGGAGGAAGAGTGTCATTTTGGAGTTCTCGTGCAATTGGGGTGCTTTCTTCTCGAGAGCGCGCTTGCTGCGGGCATTCTTGGGTTTGCTGTAATGGGGGAGAGTGTTAGCACGTTGTTCGTCATCGGGTGTGAGCGGGTGAAGGAGAGGAACTAGATGCGCACATTTGTCTCAACATCATGGTGGCGGTCGTGTGGTGTTCAGTCGTGTCTGTGTTTTGCGATGGAGAGATGGCTCTGCGCAAGGCAAACTTTTGAGAAAGTCTGGTCGGGGTCGGCGTTTTGCTCTTATCGATAAGATGAATTCTTGGCGCCCTTCTTCGCCAGTCGCATCACCCTGTCGCTGTCGACGATATATCATCTTTGCCGCACACGGGAGGCCTGTTCGATTCGTCATGATGATCGTGGATGATCTGGCCGGCTTCAAATGTCATCACAATGCAAGTCCGGAATCTCAGCCATGATGGTGGGTAGGCCCTCGTCTTGGAATTCACACTGCAGTTTGCTTCAACCAATCATCACCGCCCTTTGGATTTGTATCTTGATTATGTCTTGCAAATGTATTGACAACTATTGCTCTGTGCCCGGCATTGGTTTAAGCCATGATCTGTTCTGGATTTCACCAAAAGTCCTCTCCAACACTCGGATCTTGCTCAGATACGGGTCATCGTCCAGATAGGCACCTCGAAGCCATCTCTCCCCACCAGCAAAAGCAGTTCTGGCATGCAACACACGACGGTTGTCAAAGATGACACACTCACCGGGCGCCATTTGACGTCTATACACTGCGCTCTTCATCTCTGTCAAATTTCTGAACAGTTGTGCAGCTGTATGCCACTGTCGGACATTTTGAGCGAGTGCCACATTGCCATCAGTGTGACTGAAAGGTGCCTGGAACGGAGGTGCCCAGTTGACGGCTTCCAGACTATTGAAGGCTCTTTTAGCGCCTTTGTCAGGCTTTGTAAAGCCATCCCGTAGCTGAAAAGTCCGTCTCCTACGGAAATAATGATGATTGTCGTTATCATAGTGAAAGTTGACTGGAAGTTCCATCAAAGCCTCGAATGCATCGGGATCCATGTCGTGCAGCTGGTCTGCAGCTTTATAAGCATCGCTGAACAAAGAGATGCCTCCTTGCTCAGACGCGCGAAGACAATGAAGGAGCTGCAGTCTGGGAGGTTGCTGCATATAGAGAAGATCCATGTGAAAGCCGAGGTGCACGTCTGTGTAGGCGACATTCTTTGCATTTGAGACGCTGCGCACGTCCCATGTGTCACCATAGAAGGTGTTCTTTAGAGGCCCGATACGGTTGGCTGTGTCAACAACCCCTGACTCCGACTCGGGGACATTCTTGATAAAGACCAGACCGAACGTATGGAGTTGGCGAAGAAGCTGGAAAAGCACTTTGTCGTCTGACATGTAATCGTGGTAGTCGTAATCGACCATTTGCGCCTCGAATTCTGCAGTTGTCCAGGCCCATTTTCCTCCTGAATATGCGGTGTGGACAGGTCTTTTCGGCGCACGCTTGAGGAAGTCGTGAGATAAGCGAGTTTGATGATCTGGACCAAAGCCGGAGACATCGTGCTTCCATGTGATGATGATATGTTCACCGTCGTATTTCAACGATCTAATGCTGATGTTGGTGGGAATGTCGGCCGAGTCGAAGCGCTTCTGACGAGTCGAAGCATCCACACACTGGGCGCAGGCGCAGGAGTCACGAAGGAAGATGTTATCGTATTTTGCCGGAGGACCAGCGCCCTTTAGCGACGATTTGTGAGGTAACTTGAAGCTGGCAGTCTCCAAAGGGTTTAGCGAAGTGGGTGTAGGTTCGAGCTGGTCCGCGGATTCATTTATCGATTTAACATGTTTCTGTAATACCTCAGCGGGCTTTTGGTTTGGCTCGACAGTAGAGTTGCCGACCGAATTGACATCCTCTTGTGATTTTGTAGCATGCTTTGGACCCTTTTCAGATTTTCTCGCAGACTCCAAGATCTCATTTGGTGTGTCGGAGAAGTCAAAACGCTCTCGTAGACGGTCGGATTCCTCCTTGGTTACCATCCGTGGCAATACTGGCTGTCCAGGCCGGTCAGACTTTGCATAAGAGTGCTCTACCCTCCGCACAGTGACCTTCTCTGGCGCTTGCTGCTTGATGTGAGGTTCCGAGGACGGCTTGAATGTTGGTGGGGGTACGCGACGAGGCTTCTGGGCATCTGTGTTGTCTGTAGTCGCTTGCCTAAAGGACGGCGACTTGACAGATGCATCGTTGTTTCCAGATGTCTTCCTGAACTTAGGTGCCCGTTGTGGTTTGGATTGTTCCCCAGTGTTCGTTCTCTGCTGGTTCCCAAAGGACTCAACTGCTGGTAAAGAGGAAGCGTGAGCGTCCTCGGTTAGCTGATCATGTCTGCGAGACGACTCTGGGCGCTGATTTCTGTGATTTGACTGGGACGGGGCCTTGGTCGGATCAGGGAATTCGGCCTCCAGTCCAGAGAGCATCTCTTCGTAGCTTTGCGGCTGTGCGGTGTTTGTCTGCCACCGGCGGGCAAGACATTGTGTCACGGGTACATGGCGTGCTCTGCGCAAGATGGCAGACGTAGGTCGTACGGCTGCGCTCATCACTCCTTCCTTGAAGCAAGAAACAAAAGTGAATCCACGTGGAGTTGAACAAGGAAACTCGGTCGAATAAAGAGGGACATTGTGGAGAGTCGGCCAAGCTTGCTTCGCTCCTTCTTCCTCGGCTCTCCAGTTTCAATTCGGCATCGGTTTCTTGTTCTCGTTCCTTCCCTTTGCGCCGGCAGATGCATGTCTGAGAACAAGGTCGAGCAGCTCAGAGATGAGGGCTCTCGTATGCAAGTTGTCGCCGCGGGTGCCATAGCAGGTCTCGTGTCAAGGTATCGTCACCCCACACTTTCTACCCTCTCTGCATGCGCAACTTTGGCGTTTCTGTCCACCTCTCTCTACCATGTCTGGAGTCATTCAAGCTGTAGGAACGCAGCATGTCTCGTTTGCTGGTGCAGTGGTCTACAGAGAGATAGGACACTGCCTTGAATGCTCTGATCATGCGTTTGATATGCCTTCTCCATAACAACTACTGATGTTTGCGCCAGGTTCTGCATCGCTCCCCTCGACGTCGTCAAGATCCGTCTGCAACTGCAGAGTCATTCTCTCTCCGACCCGCTATCCTACGCCCATCATGCGCAGAAGGGGCCCGTCTACAAAGGCACTATTGCCACCCTCAAGACTATCCTCCGCGAAGAAGGACTGACTGGCCTGTGGAAGGGCAATGTACCCGCTGAGGGCATGTACCTGGCATATGGAGGCATTCAATTTCTGGCCTATCGCTCCGCGACACAAGCCATTGAGGAGCTTTCGCCATACAAATTGCCAGGGACTGCTGTCAGTTTCTTCGCCGGAGCTGCTGCAGGCACAGCTGCCACGACTGTTACCTACCCTCTCGATCTTCTCAGAACCCGCTTCGCTGCTCAGGGCAATGATCGCGTCTACACCTCCCTCCTGTCATCGATCCGCGACATTGCAAGCAACGAAGGCCCTAAGGGCTTCTTTCGAGGCCTGGGCGCTGGCATTGGACAGATTGTGCCATACATGGGTCTCTTTTTCACCTTTTACGAGTCGTTGAAACCTGCATTCGCTGGTGTGTCACTGCCTCTCGACTCTCTCGGCTCCGGCGACGCCATAGCGGGTGTGCTTGCCAGTATGATGTCCAAGACGGCCGTTTTCCCACTCGACACCGTTAGAAAGAGATTGCAGGTTCAGGGCCCTACAAGAGCAAAATATGTGCATAAGAACATTCCAGTCTATGATACTGGTGTCGTCCGCACATTGACCTCAATCGCAGCTCGAGAGGGCGTGCGAAGTCTTTACAGAGGCTTGACTGTGGGTTTGATAAAGGCTGCTCCTGCAAGTGCCATCACTATGTGGACCTATGAGAGAGCTATTCACAGCTTGCAGTCATTTGAGGTGCTGGAAGGGAAGCATTGAGTCATTGAGTAGCTTGTAATGATCCATAGAACATCTCTACAATCACAATGCAGCTTCAACGCCTTCTCTGTTCATATGGATCTGCTCATTCTTCAAGCTGTACAGCTTCTCGCACGCGATCTCCCAGCTCTGAGACCTCAGGCACATTAATCCCGCAAACCCGAGCAATCCGTACGTACCTGAGCATGTCCGGAGCTATACCCATTGTATTCGTGTGTCGCATGACATCCAGACGTAATCAGCTAAACCCAAAACATGTCATGCCCAGCGTGGGGTAGCTTTACTCCTGGCTTTGCTTCTGGAGATCATCACGGTACTTGTCAGGAGACTGCTCTGCTCACAGCTTTCGACTTGCTGTCATCAAGCAATTGGATTGAGTTGGCGATAGGAATTGTTGGAGTTAACCTTGGATGGCTATAGTCGTGTTTGCTACTTGGATTGGTGATGGAGGAATGGTCGCACCCCCATGTGAACGTTTCAGAGCTCTTCTCAAGGTTTACCCGCTACTGCACGCCTTCCGTTGCCATCCTTTGGCACGCAGATCCAAGTGCGGGGTAAAAAGTATGGGGAAGAGGGTAGTGGCAGGTACAGAGGGAAAGAGCGTGATGCATCAGCTCACCTGAGGTCCTGAGCCAATGAAGGTAGCTACCCTAGCTAAGCTCCTCTGCCTGCACTACAAAAGCCAGGACAGCTGCTACCTCTCTGCCTCTTTCTTTTCTCCCCATCGGCTCATCTGAGTCTTATAACAATTTTCAATTCTCTTTCCAACCAACCCCACTACAATACCGGCACGATGAGTGCAATCGCAGAGGACGGTGATGGCAGCATGCCCGAGCCCGTCAAGGTCCTTTTCACTCTCCACCAAGGCCTGGACGCCCTCGATTTCATCGGTCCTCTTGAAGTTCTCAGCCATGCCCGTCACGATCCCAAGGATCCTGGTAAGTTTTTTCTCTTCCTTCACTTACCTATCACGTGCTCCTTTGTGGCCACCTTCAATTCAGACGACTGACAGATCTTCTCACAGAAAGCAAGGCTTTCGAAGTCACCCTGGTCGGCGACTCCGAGTTTGTCACCTCTGCCCAGGGCGTGTCTTTCAAGACCGACATGACCTTCCGTGAGGCTCACAAGCACCTCTCCAACTACGACGTTGTCATTGTTCCCGGTGGCGGCACCGACAACGTGCTCAGCATTCCTTACTTCGGCAAGAACAAGGGCACCGAGCCCATGGCTCTCATCAAGTCCTACGCCGAGATCCAGACCAAGAACCCCATGAGAGAGAGAACTCTTATGTCGGTCTGCACTGGCTCCCTTTTCGTTGCGGAGACTGGCATTCTGTCCGGTCTTTCTTGCACCACTCACCCCGACTACATGATCAAGCTTGAAAACTTGAACCAGAGTGTCTCTCACCGCGACATGTCTGAGCGCTTCGATGTCATGGAAGAACGCTATGTCGTCAACAACCTCCGCTTCGATATCAACGAAGAAGAGGACAACCCCTACATCCGCCGTCGTTCCGACTCACACTCGGGTCGTCGTCCCAGCGGTGCTCGCAAGGGCAGCTTTTCCTTCAAGCAGAGCAACACTCGACGTGAGAGCAACGCTAGACGTGCTCAGCTCAAGCTTGGTGGACTCCGCGTCATCACCAGCGGTGGCATTTCGACTGGTCTCGATGCTGCCTTTTATCTTGTCAGTGCTCTGGTCAGCCACGAGTCCGCCAATGAGGTGGCTCGCAAGATGCAGTATGAATGGCACAAGGGTGTCGTTTGCAAGGGTGTTGATGTCTAATCTACCCCTCATGTATTAACAGAAGACTCGAATTCGACGTGACTGTCATCTTCGGTCTGCAGCAGGCATTGCGGCAGGAAGCGCCTCTGAAACACGACGCTGACCTGCAAGACAATCGCTATGAGATTTGCTTTTGTACTGTTATGGCTTTTCCCAACCTGGAACATGGTTGAGAAGATGGAAGAAACTCCAGAAAACCCTACATACCTAGCTAGCTATGCAGCTTGATCATGAGAATGAGATATGAACACTTTTACAAACACATCTCAAGCTTTGATGCCTTATATTCAGCAGTTTTGACCAAAGCAGGAAAGAGCAAAGCAGGAGATGGAGTGACTGCCATGCGGAGATGCAGCGCCAAGGCTGAAAGACCCCGCCTTCCCAAACTGACGTGCCCCTCCAAATGTGATGTGACGGCCTCGAACTTTCAGCAATACACCATCAATCACAACAATCATGTCCGAAACAGCAACTCTTCCCCCAAGACAGATCATCTACTGTGGAGGTGAGTGCAATGAATCATAGGCGTTAAATTCTCCCCACTGACACACCATCACAGTCTGCAGTCTCCCCCCAGAAGTAGGTCAGGCAGCGCGCCAGCGAAACACAACACCAAGACCAAGGAAGACTGACTGGACACCTTCTACAGTACTGTGAATTTGGCGGCACCACAAAGAAGTGCGCAGAATGGCTCGAGTCGGAGCACCCAGACCTTCACTCCAAGCTCTACTCTGAAGGTACATCACCTCTCTTCCTCACCGCCTCACCACCTCGGACTCTGTCCCTTTTACCCTGGACCCAGCTGACCCTTGGACCTCCCCAAACCAGACGCCGTAGCAGCCAACCTCTCCACCCTCTCGGTCGACGCCCAAAAACGCGCCGAAAAGGACGCAAAAAAGAAAGAAGCAAAAGCCTCCGCCGCCGAAGCCCGCCGCGCCGAAGAACTCGCCACCTCCAAAATCATCATCAAGCGCGTCGAGCGCAACAAGCGCAAACACGTCACCGAGGTGTCCGGCCTCGAAGCCTTTGGTCTTGACATCAAGAAGATCGCAAAAGAGATGGGTAAGAAGTTTGCTACTGGAAGTTCGGCCACGAAATTGCCCGGAGGTGTGGGCGAGGTCATTACCGTGCAGGGAGATTTGAGCGAGGATATCTTGGAGTGGCTTTGTGAAAAGTATGAGCAAGTGCCCGAGGATAATGTGGAGTTGGTTGAGGATAAGAAGAAGAAGAAGGGAACTGAGGCGCCCATGGTTGCACCTCAGTAGTGCGATCTTGAAATCCAGCAGCTCTGGAAATGGCTGCCAACTTTTTGACGACTTTGGAAGACTTGAAAGCATCATTGATACACGAGAAAAGCAGATTCGCAGTTTTTGACCATCTCCCCATGCCTTCGCGTCTACTATAGTCGTTTTCCGCGAAGCAAATGCGGAGCGCTATTCATGCTCCTTGTGAGACGTATCTCGGGACTACCATTTCCATCTCAATTTCTCATCAGGAGCATCCGACTGCATTCCGCGCAACAGAAAGAATCACCATCGACTGAATTCTCCGGGCTGAATAAATCCATGTCTTCGCGTGCGCAGATTAGGATGAAGCATGATGTACCGGCAAGAAAGTCAAACAGAGAGGCAGGTCAGGCCTGTGAACCACTTCGTCTATCCCTGATCTCGCACATCACTGCTTTTCCCTTCCACCGTACCGTTTCATGGAGTAAAGAGAGAAAAAACCAACAGTCCGAGATTCACTGTACCTCCCTACCCCCTTTTGCTGTCGTGAGTGACCTGCGCGAGACATCGGGATCGATCTACTCCCCGACTTCGATTATGTGAAGACGATCTTTGCGATAATAATACGGGGAGAGGACAAAGTTCTTGCGCTCGCGCTTTGTTGTGTTGTCATGTAAGTTTGTATGAGGTTCTTGATCTTCTTGGTTTTATGTCCGGAGGTGTTTTGTTTGTTTGGATAGACGATAAGATGTTTTGTAGAGGATGTTTGATTTTTCTTTTTGATCAATCATCACAAGAGAAACTTTGTCGCCCGCGCCAAAATTCCGGGGGATATGAGAGCTCTCTTGGATCGTTCAATTTATCTTGATTGGCAAGTGGTGCACCTGGAAGGCTATCGGGGCAAACCCTGTTGCTCAAAAACTCATGTGGATCTTTCTTCAAGTCACTGATCGCGTTTGTGGGTGGAGGAAGCGGAGGAAGGGGAAGTATCAGGTCTGTGGTTTGCTTTCTTCGGTTGTTGCTCTGAATCGCGGGTACAGTATTATCGATGGTCTTTTCATCAAGATGGTGATTAAAAGTTGGACGAGGGAGGGTGAGGTGTCAGTGACCTTCTCACCTCTGATCCTCGCGGGTCTCTTGCATATGCCTTGCAGCATCAAATCTATTTCACAGCCACCGACAATCCATTCAATGTGACCTGGGTATTTCTTTCTTTGCCATTGAAGCGTGGCAAATGCGTGGGTTGTCAGTCTATCATCTACACGTGTTGACCCTCTGAATGCTGATCTGTTTCTCACATGCAGGAGCCTTCTGGGCTGAGAAATCGTTTAGCGACATTCGTCTACTCTCCCTGCTTGGCTGATGACAACATATATAAGCGAGCCAAATCGGTCTTTTTTTTTTCTTAAATATCATCGAACCAGACAACGCAATTCAGTCTGCACCTTCGAGACCCTGAAATATGTTGAAATTTCACGTTGGGTGCTCGATACTGATGTGTTTACGTCGAGGAGAGTACAGGAAGAGAAGACAGGAGGTCAGTGAACCCCTCTTCTCATCTCCCATTCCAGCCCCTAGATTAACATGAGCACGGAAGATTCTTGCTGCTATGGTATAAGGAGATGGATGCGTAGATATCAGTGTCAGTCACCTGATCCGTTTATGCTGGTGTTGGTATTGTGATTCGATTGGATAACGCTGTCGAAGCTTCAGGACTGATCTGTAGCGAAGGATCGTTAACTCTTTGGCATGTGAAATAGATCGAATAGGAAGGGGCTTATCGCTTTGTATATGGCCTTTTTAACCCTTCTACCTTAGAGATATTACGTAGTTAATTGGATCTTCCTCACAGCATCGAAGCTGCCTCACCGCCAGCGACAATTTATCTAGTGTGACCTGGGTATATTCTTTCTTTGTCATTAAAGCGTCGTAGAAAGGTCTGTGTATCTTGTTTCTCGTCTTATGCTTTAGTGACTAGGTTGAAAGACGAGTCTGGAGTTCCTTGCTACTATAAGGCGATGAGATAGACTAGTAATTTCGTGGCAGACTCTGGTGGGGAGTAAGAGAGTGGATATGGATTTGTGATAGAATCTTCGCCAAAACTATTCCCCATGCAGCTGTTTAGCACTTCTGTAGCCATGTATGACAAGATCTAGTACATAGAGAGATTAAGGTGATAGTGGCAGTAGCCTTTGTCACGATTCTTACGGTGATTAATACATTATAAGAAATTATCCCGCACTATTACAGCTGTGGAATGGTGATTGATAGAACGTCGAGAAGCACGAGACATCGGGATTTAATCTTGCAATTGGAGAACAAAACATACTTATCACACACATGACCACGTTATGTCAGATTCTGCTGTGAGTTTGTCAGTTTGAGATTGCAGATATTGAGCAGCAGGTGAGTTCCATATATCTGAAGAGAGTCATGCAAGGGAGGAGAGATGTGCGTGAATGAGATTCCGACTTGGAAAGATTTGCTTTTGGTAGAGAAAGAGGGCGTATCTTCCAAGTGACTGAGAGCAGAAACAAATCTAGCACGGGATTGAACTTTCAGGATTGGATTTTTCGATCGAAAGTGACATGAGTGGGAAATGGGCATTAGTAATATGCATGAGTTGGAGATGGGTATTGCCTAATATACATGACGGAGAGCTCCTTTCTTGCCTCCGAGTTGCAAGATAAGCCTTCTGGCTTTCTTCCTCATTCCATAGTGGTCTTTGATCCAGCAGAATCAACATTACCGTCAGCTCTGTCCTGCTCCTCTAGAGCATTCCCCAAGTCAAACGTTTGGTGAATGATTGCAGTGTGTAACTCAACCAAAGCTTTTATACCTTTAGACTTCTTGAACTCAGCCACGTAACTGCGTGTTTCGCGCTCGACCTCCAGAGCACGACTTCCAGAAAGACGTTTGTGACCATCCTTGAGCTTGAGTTGCAGGTATTTGTCGAGCTGAGCTTGCTGGTAGGCGATGCTGTTGTGCAGACTCTGCAAAGAAGCACTGCGGTCGCGTGGGAAGATCTGAATGTTCATGTTGTGAAACACGTACAAGCGAGCATCTTCACAGGTGTGAAGATCGTCCCCGGAGAGTTCATAGAGGAGGCCGAGGAGTCCGAATGGTCTTGCGTAGCCGAAGTTAAGATGGAGTCTGCTGGAAGGCATGTTGTAATTCTTGTGAATATTCCATAGGTGTTTTGTATTCTTGGCCGCAAGCTCGAGACAGTGTAGACGCAACTCAGGAGTGATTGTCGACGCGTAAATGCAGAGATTTGAGCATCCCTGGGCTTCAAGTCCCCGTATATGCGTGGCGAGATCGATACGTTTACTCATAAAGATGAAAAATCGTTCAAACTGCTGGATCGGATTCGAGTCCTCATCGCGTGGAACAAATGTCTTTCCTCTGACAAAGCTTTCAAGAAATTCGACGCAAAGTTGCTTGCTAGTGCTGAGCAGTGAACACTTGCTCAATCGACTCAATGCATATTTTGTTGACGTATTTTGCAAGAAGAACCCGTATAGGGGCTCTGAGAATCCATAGATCCTGTCTCGGATCTCTCTTGGGAATTTGCGCAGGTTTCCAAGGCCCTCCTCTGTGTTGACAGTGTAGTCGATCTTATGCTCTTGTTGAAGCTAGGTGACTGTCAGCGAAGTGAACGAGAAGTGTTGGTAGATCGCGCAAACCTTGATCATCTTGGAAGATCTTTGAGTCGCGTTTGGGGTGGAGTTGTGGCGCAGATCTGGAGACGAGGAGTCGGGGGGAGGTTCTGAGCTGGACTCTAGCATGCTGAAAGTGGCGGCGTATGTGTTTCAGATTGGTGTGATGTGTTGTTCGTGGAGAAGGTAGGAAGTAGTGTTGTTGTGGTTCTGGAAAAGAGCAGACTGATGTTTAACTGCAATGATTGTGAAGCACGCTTTGGTAAGAGTGAGTGATCAGTGGAGTCGAGTGTACTTGGGGAGTGAGAAGTAAAGGCAGGTCGCTGGATGATGATTGTGAGAAAAAGTCTTCCGCAGTGGTATTGTAGGGAAGCCGTGAACGGTGTTGATGTTGGCGACGTGAAGGACAGGCACCATTCAAAGTAAGCTAAGCAACACACTCCAGTGAAGTTATGATTGGAAAAGATTGTCACAACACAAAGACGGACTTATCGCGATGTCAATGAATTTCACAGTAGCATGAATTCATAGGGTTGCTCCTGCCTGCGTGTAAGTTGTATTTCGTTTGTTTATCTGACACAAGGAAACATTAATCTCAATTGGAGCAATGAAGAGAGATTCACCGATATTTGAATGGAAGTCGCTATCCTTCGCAAATTCATAAGCTGTCGAACAACACGCTTCTTCTTAATCTTGTCGAGCATCTCCTTTTGCTAACAAAGCTCTCACCATATACTCTAATAATACTCAATGATCTAAAGTTCTTTCATCTTGCTTTCCAGGCATAACACATCTCAGCCCCGTAAGCTTGTCTCAATGATCATATCCGCATATTTATGTTCCCACCATCCTCGTGAGCGCCGCAGACCGAAGTCATGACTCACGAGCGACACAATGATGTGCAAAAGTTGTTCCTGGTATCCTTCAATTCAACCTGTGATGAGTCATGATTCCGCAAGGTCAAAAAGATGATACACGCTGTACTGCTCCTCCATAGCTGTCCAAAAATCTGCGGCTTGGTGGATCAGAGCATCATGGCGTTTCATCAAAGCCTCGTGCCGTTGTTGCGGTCCGGCTACATCTCTGCGCAATTGGTTTTCTATGATAAAAGCGTCTAATGGGTCATAACGACTAGCCATATCCTCCATTATCGAAAGGAACGCGGCGCAGAAGAAGTCTTGCCATTGAGCAGTGGCGTTTTCCAGTGAGCGTAGCGACTTGTTCCGGTCAGATGGGAAGATCTTGACATCGATGTTGTCACACATCACCACAGCATCCGGGTTATCATAGTATCCTGGAATATTCCCAAGGGCATCATCGATGAGTTCGGCTGGATTTGTTTGTTGGGTGGCGATAAAGAGCCGGCCGGAAGGGATGTTGTGGTCCTCATGACTACACCACAACCTTTTTGAATTCCTAGCCACGGACTTGAAGAACTTCTCGTGCTCCGGGTCATTATGTATCACCGTGTCGATACGGAAGCTGATTTGTCGAATGTTTGGGAAGATCCGAATTCGTCGATTCAAGTAACGCAAGAACGTTTCAAAGTGGCTGTCAGAGCAATCACGGAACTCGTGGTACGTGACAAAGACCGTCTGGCGAACGAAAGCTTCCAGAAACTCGACACAGATCTGCTTGCTCGTCTTCATGATTGCGAAGTCCTGCAACATCCGTAGAGCATAGTATGTCTGCTTTTCGCACCTGCCGTCCAAGCTGTGACAGTGGAGCGATGAGCCCAGAAACCCGTAGACCATTTCTCGAATCTCTCTTGAAAGGCGGCCGAGCACACCAAGTCCATCTTCAGAGTGGCTGGTAAAGTCGACAAATCCCACTTTGTCGACAAGAAATTTGCTCCCCAGGGAAGGGTGAGTCATCTGGTTCTAGAGAGACGTTAGTCGGGTTGACCTTTGGAGGAACTGTTCGTATGACGGACATTTCTCATCGTTGGTCTTCTACACGAGCGGATGACCTGTGTATGAGCAAAGCTGTGGCATTCAATTGGAGAGGTAGCAGTATATGTAGCTGCTGATGGGTCCAATGTTTCAGTCAAACAAAGCCGGGTTGAGCCCGATGTCTGAAAGTGCGTCAGACAAAGCGGTGACAGTGGGCGCCGAACTCTGTTTGTCGTTTGCCTTCTGACGAGCCCGCTGCGCAAGGTGATGAGCGAAAATAGAGACAGCGTGTTGCTCAGAAAGTGAAACTCTTGTGTGATTGTTGAGGAAGGAGCAGACACTGGAATGGTCAACCCATGTTGATCAGCGCATACATGGATTTTTAAAAAGGATCGCAGATTTTATTAGTATACTACATATGTGATTCTCTGTCTCACGGCGGAACGAAATCCACCGTTCAAAACCATTGCCCGAACTCCATTTCTGCAGCCTTCTTTGGAGCCGAGTCTCTGCCGTTCTTCGTGGATCATGTGTAAAGAGAAGTTGTTTCCCAGCAGCAGGTACTAATTGTATTGGATAACGCGTTAGTATAGCACTCAGAAGTCTGATCTTGTATAGTTTCGAACTTACCATGACTGTACTACGCGACCGCAATTGCAACAAAAGTTGCCGCGGCTTCGGCCATTATAAGGCTTAGGGATCTCTTTCAAGACGAGGAATGCCAATTCCGGGATTTCCTGGAGCAAGTCATCGTGGCTTTCGGAGATTTTGATCTTCTCTAATTCGTCGGCAAGGCACTTCGCGACTGTAGTCTTCAGGCCCCTCTCGCCAGCTGGCTCCACAGTCTTCTTGAAGATGATTCGACAGGCCTCGGCAAGCTCGCTCTGGGAGATCTCGCGTTCAAGACTTTCCCGGAGTCCGGACATGACCTTTGCCTTGAGTCCCTCGCAGAAAAACTTTTCTGCGAGCACGTAGATCCTGGCGAGGTAGATGAGAGATGGTTCCCCATGGACGTCACGACTCTCTCGGGGCATAAACGCGTTGGCCTTTGGTGAGAGCTCAAGGTGGTAGAAGTAGTGGATCATCTCGCTGACAATCTCGGGATCGTCTCCGTCGCCGAGGTTGTCGATGTTGCCTATGTAGGGATCTGCCTTGAGTTCTAGGATGCCGGTGAGCGCTTCCTGTTCAGCTGTCAGTCGGTCCTCCCAGCTGAAAAGGGCACGTTCTTTAGTGGCGTACCTGGAACGAGTAGTTGTCGCACGTTTTGGCGAGCACATCTGAGTGAGCGCGAAGAACAGCCTTGTGAACCTTGAACTTCTCGGTGCCGCAACGAATCTCGAAATCGGCATTGCGGCGATCGTTCCACATTCTACAGTTTTGATCAGCACTGAACTCAATAACATGAGTGAGATGCTTACTCCTGAAGGATTGAGTCGCCGATATGCACCTTGAACGTGTCAGTATCCCAAAGTGACATGCCGTTGGCTGTCTCATCGGGGTACCAGCTTGGGCTTCGAGATACGGAGCGTGAACGAGGTGGTGAGTCTGCCATGGCGAACTTGGGTCAGGACAAAGTGTGATGGATGATGTCAAGGTTTGAGGTCAGAGAGAGGAGCTGGGAGATAAGAAGAATGAAAAGGAGATGGAGGGTTGGGGTGAATGAGAGCTCAGTTGAGGTGACAGTGAGTCGACTTCCGGACCAAACAAATGAAATTGTTGCAACTAAGTTGCTCTTGTGAGAACTAGTTACTAGAGTAGACTGTAATGCTATCATCACACCTTAGTGATTGTGAACCTTTGATTCACCCCGGCAGTAGGCCTTATCTCCCTTCAAGGTTATCGGACGAGTGAAAAGCCCAAGTGAGTATAGTCATCATTCGGAGGCTGTCTGGAGAACCATGTCTTCCTTGTTGAGACCATCAAAGATGCAGTCACGCAGCATGGCGCACATCTCTTTGCATCGAAGCAAGGGAGTGACATTTTCCTTCAAGTATTCGATGAGATAGAGCTGCAGGTCCCAGACAAGGCCAGGGAACTGTGGCTGGTCGAAGATCCAGCGAGACACTACAGCGAAGTCTGTCAGAGCAGGGCCACTGACTTGTTGTTTGCCGCCGTTGCTGTTGTTGAACTTTGGCAGGCAGTCTCCGATAACTTCGGTCATAGCCTTTACCACGTTTGTGGCGCGAAACTGGGTGGCGGTGCGATGGACCTTGGCGAGAAAGCAGAGGCGCTCATATTCGGGCATTTCTTTGACGCGTTGGGTGACTTCGAAGTTGTAAAAGAAGTGGATGACTTCTTCGATGTACTTGGGGTTGTACCGGTCGGGATGACCAGCATCATCTTTGCCGCAGCGCTCGAGCTCGATCATGCTGATGTAGGTGCCCTATGTTTGTCAATATCTGTCATGGCTCAGGAGTTTGCAATATCTGACTGACCTCGGGCTGTGGAGCCAGGAAGATCTCCTCAAAGTACTTGCTGTTTGTGGCCAAAACAACTTTGTGAACACCCCACATCCAATCGCCGCACTTGATGCGAAAGTCCCACTTTCCCAGCTCTCGTCTTTCCCACATCCTGGCAGACGTGTTAGTCGATGTTGTCAAATACCACATGCGCAGGTTGGCACTTACTTCTGGAGTACAGTCAAGCTTGCTGCTTGCTTGCAGTTCTTGCTGGTGGCGACTGTTTGCGTAGATAGCATCCAGTTCTTCTCGGGGCTCAGGGGGTGAGGAGCCCAAGCGAGTCCGTAAGGCACTGAGGTGTGGGAGGCCAGGGGACTGCTACAGGGGTCGGTAGGGGGTGCAAGGAGAATGGCAGTGTCGCCTGACGATCGGCTGGACGAAGGTCTGCCGACGATCTTGTCGCTGAGTCTGTTAAAAAAGCTCATCGTTGTTGGTGAGTTTGTGCGCGGGCGAAGTCGATGTCGCCGAGATGCGCGTGAATCAAGGGTGACGCGCACCGCATCAAGCGCGTGATTTCCGTAGAAGTGACTCTAACCAAGTGAATGCGATGTTGCGGAATCTTTTACCCGCTTTCTTTTTCTCCTTGTGTCCGTCTTACAGAGAGAGTCTTGGAGGGGAAAACATAAACTTCTTACCTTGCTATAGATCCAGAGCGTACCACTTAGTGTATACTTACGTGCTACATACATATACTTATCCTCGGAAGCACGAAGAAGTCTTGACCTTGGATATTGTGTACATAGGGATATTGAAGCACAAATCTGTACAGCTCGTAAGGCATTACCTGGTGGTTGTAGAGCATTTGCGTGTCCTAAAGTTTTTTCCTACGGATGACCCTGTGACTCCATAGCCTGTTAAACAAGGTTGATATCGGATAGGACTGTATATGAAAAATGCAAACATAACATAAGGGAGTTGAAATGATGGTTGGAGTGTGGAAAATGAACGGAAGGAAAGCAGTTGCTCGTGGATGAAACGTGGAAGTGACACGTCATTGAGCGGAAAAATCCGTTCTTGCCAGCTTGCGCTGAACAAACCCCTTTTGCGTTGCTTTTTGTCTTGATGTTTTTTACAACCAGCAATCAGAAATTTTAGCCAAAAGACTTCTATATCCTCAAGTGGACTATCAAAGAATACTATGTGGTCCCTAAGCACTACGCAAAGCAATGACCCGAAGAACGGATCATGACACCGAGTTCTCCTTTTCTAAAACGACTGCTGGCCGTCTTTTCATCAACGTAGATATCAGAAATTTCATGTCCGTGAGAGCGCACCTAGTATCGATCTCCGTAGTCCTGGAACCAACTTGTCTATCACTGTGGGAAGGCACGATCATTCTGGAATTGGTTCAGACTCCTTTTGAGTGGCTGCTTCATGTACTCTCGATGTTCATATTTCTGAATCTCGAAAGAGCGACGTGCCTTGTCACAGCCTCTCTACTCACGATGGACCCAGACAGAGATTCGTCGACTATCATTTCGGCGAGAGAAAACAAATTCATCCGTGCTACAGTTCAGAATTCGAGAGAGCAATATCATCATTCTGTCGGCAAGACATACCGTACAAGCTGACCAAACTTCCAAAACCAAACAATGCCATATGCTGTAATACCCCTTTCCTGTATGACCGTTCCTTCTTTCTAGGATCTGATTTATCTTTCCTCGAGTCAACCCCTGACTCCCCCTCTGACTCCTTCTTGATGGCCTTTTTAATCTCCTGCTCGACTTCTTCCCGGGGTTGCTTCTCGACTTCCTCCTTAACCTCGGATATCTCGGTTTCCTCACTCTCCTCAGAACTCGACGATGGATTCTGGCACCTCCAACGGATCTCCACCGCTCATGTAGTATTCATAGAGACAGGCTGGCTCAAGCTGGCTCAGATCTGGGATGTCGGTGGCACACCCCGGCAAGCCATTGTTGCCTGCATCGACTAGTTCGGAAATCGAACTCTGAATCGCGGGATCGTAGCGTTTGAGCGACCGCAACCAAGCCGCATAGTGGTCGATCCAGTACCTGTACTCTGGATTCTTCTGGTTTCTTGGTTGTGCCCAGGCCATTCTGGTTCTGATTCCATACTCGGTGTTTGGGCCCCAGGTGTTGACTCTGATCTTTGCGTACCACTTCAGAGCTGCTCTTTGGAGGTTCGGGCTTCTCAAAGCAAGACTCATGTCGAAAAGTTGGGCGGCGGCAAGCATTTCTCCACGGTCAGGGAAGAGCTCGTAAGCATTCTTCATTTCTTGACCGACGTCGTGCTTACCGGCGGGGTCGAATGTGATCAGTTTAGGCACCTTGCCGTTTCTCAAGAAAAGCCATGCGGTATGACCACAGGCTTCAGTAAATCTTTCTGGCTTCATGATGGCACTGTTGCGTCCATTCTTGGGTGTTTTGGTTCTCTGGATGTCATCGTCTTCGAGCTCGGTGTCAGCTGTCGCGAGGGTCTGGAGCGTGTAAGACTGTTGGACTTCCTTTGCTGAGAACTCGAATTTGCGACCGCCGATGATGAGGGAGCAAAGCTTTGCTGCAGCTAGCTCTTGCTTAGTGGCCTTGGTCTTGGCCTTTTTGGTCTCAGGCTCTGTCGAGGGATCTGCGCTATCGATACGCTTGCGTTTCTGATTCTGGACCTGAGTTTGTACCTGAATGGTGTCGTGATTTTCGAGTGTTTTGCTGTCGTCGGTCTTCTCGATCTTGTCGGAGGTGTGTTGGCAAGCGGGCATGTTGCCCTTCTCGAAGTTGCATCGAGACATCTGGGATGTGTTTGTGTCTTGCGACAGCTACGGTAAGGTAGATGTTTTTTGGTGGTTGGAGTCGAAGATGACGGTAAGTTTGATCTTTCTTACGACTCAAGTTTCTCAAATGGTGAGTATGTGTTGATACAGGGTTTGTCTTGAAGAATGGACTGTGTACGATCAGGGATGTGGTGGAAGAAAGGAAGGAGCAATAGTACAGTATGAGTCTATGTTATACACCTTGCCAGCTGGCGACACGTCCAAAGGTCAAAAGTAATATGACTGTTCGTCGTGAACGTGCTCAACGGCAGCAGCATGTGCTTGCGTGGGATACCTGATTTCCAAGGCAGCGTACATTTCTGACGAATTACAGGCGTTACCATTAGATTAGTCCCGACTCCCGGGCTCATCCCCAGTGCATCTCTACAACAAAACCACCTCTATCACCGAAGATGACGACACAAACTTGACGCTTCAAGTATGCCTTAGAGGCGACAACGACATCTATGCCTCAACATGTTCCTAGAGACATGGCTACGATATTATCTCCGGAAACATTCAAATGTTTCTTGCATGGACTGTCGGTCTTTGACACATGATATAGCCAACAATTGCTTTATACGTTTCTTGCATATCTTCATGTCAAGTAGTCGCAAGTGATATGGCCACTCTAGTCGTCTCAGTGTGAGGAAGAAAGAGCTACATTGCGTTGCGCATCTCTTGACCTGAGGCGGACGGACGCACGAATCAAGACGAAGGCTCTCTGTCGCCTATCTTGAAGAGTCATACGCGCCGATAGCGCAGACAGGACAAAGATCACGCAGACGAAGCCCTGTGACTTTTGGGTTAGGCACAACTTTCATAACATTATCTGGCAATGATGGGCATTACGCAATGATATGGTGGAGGAATAGTCTCGGTGCAAAGAATGATGTGGTATGGAAATGGACAGCGAGCTTGAAGACGAGATTTGTGGCCGAGCTGCCTTGATCCAGGTTCAGGGGCTGCCCAAGCAGAAGTTAACTCTTGAGACATCCTGATACAGTAATTGATATTATTGCTTCTGAGATGTCCATCGCTGAAACCATGATCGATACCGTGCATTTTTCTTGTTTATGGGAGATGTGGGCTGGAAAAGATGCGAGCTGGATGATTGTTGGCAACGCGCTCATGTTTCTGGCTTCGGTCGCTCCTTCTCTCCTGTACTCGACGCGCTCGTGAAGTTTTGCGATCATCTATAAAGCATAATCACGACCTACCTGCTAGCACTTTCTACCGTATTTGTCAGACGCGATGCATCAGGTCAACATACCGAACGCGCGAAGGGTTGAGGTTGATATTTCATGAGAACAGTCTACCACTTGCCCAACGCGATGGCCTTCTTCCAGATGGTCGTACGGCCTTCAGTTGCAGTCGTACCGATACAGTCTGTCAGATACGCGTTCCAGCCATCCTCTGTCGCAGCCACGAGCCCCTTCCTGGCTTCCTCGTCGCACTGAGCTGCCAGAAACCATGCTGCCGAAGCGAAACCCCACCGGTCACCGTTCACAAGCTCCAGTACCTGTGTCGGCCCCTCTGACTGCGCTTTCTGCACCTGCTGCGTCGAGATACCCGATCCTGTCATATTTGCAGCCAGCCACTCAGCGTATTTCAAGTTGAAGGCCGGACTTTGCATGTTGCGAGTACCCTGTCCGGGTACACCAGGATAATGGTTGATGTTGTACTTGAAAGAGCCGGACTCGAAGAGCATGAGCGACAGCAAAGCGGCCTGCGTGCCAAACGCGTGTATGCCAAAGGTGTGGAAGGCCAAGTTGATCCAGGGTGCCGCGTTCGTGGCAGTTGCGCACTCGGCTGGGAATGGTGCACCGTCGCAAGAAGCGCTGTCCGAGGCGACGGTGGTGATGGCCGAGACGGTGAGGGGTGCCGTGTTACAGGGAGGAACAGGTGTGGCCATGCAGACAGGCATGCTGAGCGAGAAAATGACGAACAGTGCTTTGAGTTTCATGATGGTGAGTTTTGCTGAAGGGTTTGTGAAGAACCTGACCGGCAAGATAGCAGAAGGTTGGCAAGATGACTGCACAGCAAGAGAAGGGCAACAACAAAAGCAGCAGAAATACTAGAACATCAAAGACTCTGCAAGATCGACGAAGCCAAACCGCGTACCTTCATCAGCAAACTTCGACCTCCGCCGTCCACTGTCCTACCTGACCAGAAAGAGCAAGAACAAAATCTTCAACAAAGCAACTCAGGCCAACAGAGACACGGACACTCTCAAACCGAGTCACAACATTGTTTCATCTTCCCTCCAGAGCGCGCACCACGCCGGCGGTGCTTCGCGCGCAAGGGAAACCCGCCTGCTTTCGTGCGACACCATCTACGCGCCTGGTATTCATCAACCCAGCAACTCGCGACGTTCACGCACACTGTTGCTGTCCAACAACATGTCGTCCGCAATGACCAATAGCGGAACAGTCACCACACGGTCGACATGCATGGCGCACGTCACCCGTCCGCGCTCTTTTCCACTCCTTCAACACGTCCGTGCATGACTACGGCTTCCAGCAAGGAGGATACGGTGCGACATGTTTGACAAACTGCAGACGGGTTCAAAACCAGGTTTCTGCTGTTGAAAGATGTTGGATCAAAGGGGTGATCCTGTGTAACATGTTGCAGACGGGAAGGAGGGATCGATGGGTTCAAGAGTCTGAGGCCAAGTCAGGGTTATACCTGCAGCAAGAAATTTGAGACATGAAGAGTCCTGCGAACTGGCGCGACAACCTCTGGTAAACTACTGGATGTCTCAGGTGACTTCGAGAGCGATCGCCCAGGTGGTTACATCCTTGCTTGGTCGAAGACTCTCACCCGGGTCTGAAACGGCTCAACACCATCCTTGTTCTGTTGGAGCCGAGAGATTAGAGCTGAATACCATCGAACCGTGATTTCCATCAACATGTCCATCTCGTGTGGTGATCTCAATCCGATACGCGTAGATTCTGCACAGCCTTCAACAATCTCGTTCATCATAGCCGGCTCAAACTCTCTTGATCCCCCACACATCTTCCACCAACGAATACCCCCTTTAACACACTATCATAACCCGGCTCCATTCAGTCCTCCTCCGATGAATCTAAGACATCAACTTGACCATCTTCTCCTCTACACCAGGACATCATAAACTCTGACAACCGTATCTCGAGCTCAAAGCTCAATCCTCAACAATGCCCAAAGACATCTTTCGCGAGCGTCGAAGCTAGAAAAAATGTCCCAATTCTCATGGCCCAATGCCATGTTGTTTATGAGATTGTAAGGAGCGGATGCACAATTCAATAATACCAAGGCAAAGTGTTCTCGAATAGTTACCTCTATAACTTGGTTCTTGAGTGCAAGGGGTAGGGTATTCTGCTTGTAGTTCTTTCGAAGTCGAGGGGAGAGGGTGGAGAAAGATGTTCCTCGAGATTGAGGAGAGGACGTATGTGTAGATCATGAGACGGAGTTCTGGTGGAAGAACCATGGACGAAGAATGGATTCATCATTGTTGATGTCGCTGGTTGGAGCAAGTTTGCAGCAGGATGGGTCAGGAGATGCTGTAAAATTAGCAGGAGGTTGCGTCTTTGTGAGATAAGGAATTCCGAGAAGAACTCAGAGTGAAATGTGGTTGTGCCGATGCATGACTACTACACGATGGAAGGAGCGAGGCTGCCCTACCTACAAACTTAGCTTCACTTGACTTCGGTTGACATCTCAATAACGTCAACTTCTGAACCTCGAGTATTCCAACGATCGGTCATTCAGAACCCTTGCCCATCAGTAGTCTCGCGCGCTGGACGTTATGATTTGTCGATGGCATTAGAGAAGACTTCTCATGATATTATTCTATCCAGCTTCGAATGCACTCCTTGCAGCGACTGACTTTTGGAGTTCTCTATCTGTCCGGTCAGTGTGGTTGTTGAAATATCGCGAGTTCATGGGTTCAAATCAAATCTAACCCATCCCTACTCGGAAGCAAGAGAAGACATGAATCAGTGGAAGTGAAAATGTGGAGTATATTCAGCTATGAGAGTCCCATCTTGTCGAATTTCGACAAGACTGAAATAGGAAAGAATGGAACAGAAAGTCTTTCCTCGAACCGTCCATCCGAGACCAGTTGATTTTCCCAGAACGCCATCGCTGTGAAAAAGAAAGGGGTATACCAGTATGTTCAAGACCCGTTGTCAGGAACCAAAATTAAGACCGTGTGAATGTGTGCGTCACCCGCTAGAACTCATCGCAGTTCTCCATGGCGTCCTGTACGCTCCTGCGAAGTTTGCGTCTATACAACTTCTTGCCGGCTTCATCACCCCAGCGCAATACTGATGCGGCGGGGTTGACAAGTGCGCGTGGGTCGTAGGATGGGTTCTCCTCGACGATGGCGGCCATGATGCTCTCGATGTGGTTCTGGACGCTGAAGAGCTTGGTAGGGAAGTAGCAGAGTGCTTTCGTGGTGGAGCTGATGCGATGGTGAAAGAGTGGTGTAAGGACAGTGACTCGCGGCTGTTGATCTGGAAACTTAAAGGGGAAGTGTAGGCGTACGTTGATGGTTGCGCCGTAGAGGTCTGTCTCTGAAGGGCCAAAGAAGGTGAGCGTCCAGACGAAGGGGTTGCCGTCGACGAGGCTGAGTTCGACGGACGGACCATTGCTTCGAGAGTAGTGGTTGCGCAACGAGTCGAATTGATGATTGAGGTTCATGGCCGTACCGTGCTCCTTGGTGAATGCTGCTTTGCCCTCCGTCGCCCAACTGTCCTTCTCTGCCTCAAGCGCCTCGTAGACACGCAGAAAGCGAGTCTTGAGAGAGGCGTAAGCAAACTTGCCGCGCATATCGTTGGTGCCGTACTCGAAAGGTGTACCTACGAATGCCGTACCGTCCTTGATTTTGGCAGAGGCATCATCGATCGACTTGAGGTATGCATCGTAGTACCAGATAAAGCGGCGCTTGTATAGGTCGGCGAATGGGTGGAAGAGAGCGTCAGGATCCGACTCGGTGTAGCCATCGGCGGAAGGATCGTACTCTTTGACACCATCATCGTCGTAATCAGCAGGGGGTGTACTCAAGTCCGCGGCAGTCGTTATGTGGTCATCGTCAGCTATTTCAAGCAGCGTTTCTAGTCGTTGCAGCACAGTGATTCGGAGAGTTTCATGGCGGACCTGCAGAAGATAGTCAGCATCGTAAAACCCATCGCGTTCGGTACCTTCTCCTAGTGATGATGTTGTCTCCTGAGATTCCATGGAAAGACCAAAGAGAGGATCGCAGATGGCAATCTGAGCGTGGGTGCATGTGAAAGTGTGTGTACCAACCTTCTGTGCATATGCCTCTGCCTCCTTCGCAGTGACCTTGATGTGTTCGAAACCAGGTTCGTTCTCATAAGGGTTCGAGCTCATGAGACTTTGGATGCTGATAAGCACACTCTCGATGCCTTGAGCAGTACTCCACTGCTCGCCTTCCTCACCGCGCCATGTACCTGTACTTGGTTAGTGACACATGGAAAGTATGCAACGTAGAGATATGCACCAAGAATACTGAGGCAGACTTTGCCAGTGGCATATATGTTTGGGTTGAAGCGGCAGCGACCGCCATTAGTGGTCAAGCATCTCACGGACGGAGGTTGTACAGGGTATGCGTCCCCGAACTTTGCCTTGAACTCGAAGAAGCCGAACTCGTAAGGCGTATCCGAAGGTCCGACGATGAGGCAGCGCACGGTACGAACATCATCTTCACGGTGGGCGACAGCAAGCGCTAGCGTAGTCAGCTCGGATGATCTGTATGTGGCAGAAGGACGGTAGACGCACAAAGATCGGAGCCAGTCTGGAGTTCTTTGATCTCCTGGAAAGGTGGTTAGACGTTTGGCGGGCAAAAGGTACCTGTATACTTGCCCGAAGAACGCGTATGGTGGATGAGTTGTTCACCATGTCGGGCGAGCGAGTATGGAGTTTGCAAGGAGATCAAAGAAGTTGTGTAAGTGAATGGGGAAGAATGCTAATCAGATAGCATGTCAGATGGCAGAGTTGAAGCGCCAAGAGAGTAGACAGAGTGAAGAGTGTGCTGCGGTTGTAATGCTGCAAAGAGGGCAACAATTCGGTCGGTGGGATGATTGCTGCAAGCTGCCGCCGAGAGGGAGTTGCAGCGCGGGGCAGCACGGCGCTTGCTTAGCCAGACAACACGCGTGAGAGTGAAATCAAGGAGGCATATACGTCTCAAACCTCTGCTTCTAGATATGTCTCGATCTTCATGCCGTAAGACTGGATCAGAAAGAAAGACAGAGGTTTGCGAATTGGCTGGTGACGATTCGTCGAGAAGTTGCAAAGGGTCCAAGGTGTTTGCGAGGGGCACTGGGGCGGGCACGGCGTCGCTGCTGAAGGTCCACACCGCCCTCTCCACATTGTTGGCTGCTCGTTCGCGCTGAGGAGCTCATTGAGACAGCTGGACAATCGACTGTCGTAGTCGCGCGCAATTCACCATGTAAGCATATGGAAGAGCTTGACAGGACATGGAGCATAGCTGACCACCTTCTCTTTCCAGGGTCGTCTTCGCACTGCTCGTCATCAACAAGGCCGGTGGACTCATCTACAACCGCAACTTTGCGCCGGGACTCCAGCAGCTCAACTCCAACGACTATCTCATCCTCGCCGGCACCTTTCACGGCATCCATGCCATCTCGCGCTCTCTGTCTCCCGTCGCACCTCCTCCTGCACCTCCGGGAAACCGTGCAAACCAGAACACCGGCATCCAGTCGCTCGAGTCGTCGCACTTTCGCCTGACCTGCTTCCAAACTCCCACCGGCACAAAGTTCCTCGTCTTCACCAGCCCTGAGCAACCAAATACCGATCAAATCGCTCGCAGATGTTACGACATCTATGCCGACTACGTCATGGCAAACCCCTTCTACAGCCTCGAGATGCCAATCCGCGTCGACAAGTTTGACAGAGCTCTGGCCGCCTATCTCGTCCGCCCTTGATCACCTGCCAGCTCGACAAGGTCACCGTTTACCGCCTGATGCTCTTCATGCACAAACTTCTCGCCGACGTTTCTGCGTCGCCCTCCACCAACAACTTTGCTGCAACACGCCTAACAATCCACACACCCTCTTGTACATACCGCGGTCCTCTACCTGGTGGCCATATGGGCCCTGACCCACCGCCATCTGCTCGCCCAAAACCCTGCGAGATTAACGACTCTCTTATTGCGGTCCGTCCCGCGCACATGACGCTCTGTCTGCATGTCAAAACATGTCACGATCCTATGTGTGTAACACCCGGTGTATCACTATCAACAAGACAGCTCTGGTTGTCCACATGGGTGGGTGGCCTAGCCATGGCCACCCATAAGGCTGTCCGTCTCTGCTGTCGGCCAATTTCCACTCAACAACCCCGTGTTTGAAAACAACAGAGACCCCTGTCACTCTTACGTCCGTACAACGAATCATGGGCTTGCCCGATCATGGCCGAACCGTTGTCCTTCTGACTCAACGACTCTGCTTAAGCTCAAGTTCATGATCAGAGACAAACGTGCCGGTGGTCTAGCTATGTACTTTTCTGCAGCTGCCCATGTGGCCACAACGATGAATACGTGCGAGCTAAAACTTGTCTCTCCCGAGCTAGTGACTCAGCGCATCGAACGGTAGAAACGTCATGAAGATGCGTTTATCTATTCATGTAACCATCCATACCAAAATCTTTTTACTTTTCAATCTGCCCGTTGAAGCCCTGATCCTTGGTAAACCATGTGCATGTGTTTTGTTTCTACTAGACTGATCTCAGACGTGGAGCCCGGTCTTGACCGACAACCTTTTGGCCAGCCTAAGCCATGTGCTGCGGTTGTGGCTTTTCCTTGTCTCCTAAAAGTCAAGACAGATTGACCACCTTCTGAATCCGGACGAGCAGACTTGACCTCGCGAGGTTACAACCGCTTAGTGGCGGAAGAAAAGCCGATCCGGATCCTGCTTGGCCGACGCTGACATGAAATCGAGGTTTAGGAAGCAAAAAGAGTTGAAGATCTCGAGTTCCCGCCGGTCCTGTTTTCGGGCTTGTGGCTTTTCTTCCCCCTTCGCCGCGTGCGGCCCACGTTGTTCATCACTTGGATCTTACTTCGGGCTGAGTGCTGATCTTTCTTGACCAAACGCCGACCGCTTCTATCATGACATATACGAACCGTTTGGGCCGCATCGATCACGTCGAAAGGTGAAGGATCAAAAAGCATATGCTTTCTCTCATGCATATTTTGTCAACTTACGAGGGGTTCTGTTTGCACGTCAATCTGAATCCAACTCCGAAATCGTATCGAGGCGCGCCACCTTGAAGGTCCACGCGATAGCTGTGCGACACGAGCCGGAGAAATGCTCAGCGCCCAGATGTCCACAGAGTCGAGTTTCCTTGGTAACTTTCACCACCCCATGATCTCTTGAATCATGAGGGATGCGATGACTGGCCGGGACACCCAACACCACAGCTCGGATTGCAGATGACGTGCATTAGCCGCACCGCATATCGCCATGTATCTGTAACACAGGCAAGGTGGGGAGGCCTCACCAATGTTGAAAGTCCCTCGAATGGCTTAGCAGCAGAGGGCACGGTTGATGTAGCTGCTCTCGTTCCTTTGCCTGTGACACGCTCTCTCCTTCTTCCGGCAACCAGGGTGATGAAGAGTAGCCTGCAATGCGCCCTGTCGTGACCGTACGGGCGCACAAGAGTGGACCACCCTCCCTCTTCTCAGTCCGCAGCCCCTGGCGTGCGTTGGGCCAGAACCGGGCAGTATATTCATGCTTTTAGGCGCTTGACAACGGGCAGCAGGACAACAAGACGATTGATTGATGAACTGATTTTCCATTCAATCTACTCGGCTCACGCGGAAGTCGATCTTGTCACGCAACCCTGCCGATTGGTTCCCCGTTTCCAACGCTGGGGAAGGACGAATCAACACGAGTGGCCTTTCTGGACCGCCTGAAGATGTATGGTTTCTCTCTCCCTGTCCTCCACGCAATTGTTTCGTCCTTGGCCTCCGGATAGGTAGAGCCGTCTGATCGGCGACAGGCAGTAGCATCAGCATCAGCAGCATGAAAATTCTCCGCTGCAGCACCACTCGAGGCCTCTCATTTCCTGACGCCGCGAGGAGTTGCCATGCTGCATCGTCTTCCGGCTGCAACATCTGCTAGTCCACATGTACAGTACATAGGACATGCACATTGGTGAATCCCGGGCGAACATGGGGTAGATTTGTTGTGTATCTTCTTCGTACATACTAGATCCTGATGTGTATAAACGAAATACGATGCTTCCAAATCGCCAGTCTTGTCCCTGTCAGGTAGATCCCGTGCACGTCGCGGCAATGAGACATGGAAAGCGGAGCCTTGATGTGTTTACGGCCGAATGGTTTAGGAGCCCAAGAAAATCCACCTCGCCCTTAGGTGCTTTTGGTTCCCGCTATTTTGCAGGGTTCGCGCGGCGCAGGGCCGGGCTAGACACAAACCACGTGCTTGCTGTGAGTTTCGTTGACGATCCCAGAGACCATTCCGAGGCTCTACATAGTTTCCTCTTTTCACGCGATACACGTTACTACTCTTGCTCACCTTTCTGGCGTAACTCTTGTGAACCATTTCTCCCTCTTCCCACTCCATCAGATCCTTACCGCCGCCCTCTCGACATATCAATTTACCCGGATTCTGCAGCTTCTGGCGGCATTGCTCCTCGCACACTTCGAAACCCATTGTTTCAGCTCCCGCAACACTCGACTTTTTCCTTTCGGCGCGTTGCGCAAATCGGGCCAGCGTCGAATGCAAGGCACGCTCTGACGGACAAAGGCAGCACCCCCTCACACCACGCTCTAGTCATCCCAGCACCTGGCCAAACATTTGACAGCACGACGGAACCCGTGTATCCAATCACCTCTCCTTGTCAAACGGCAACCGGAGTCTGATGCTCTTGCTGCCACTTCTGCTGCAATCTTCTTTTCAAGCTCCGATCAGCGCACCGTGTGGATCAATTGCACCTCTCGCCTGTCTCTGACCTCGAGACCTCTCGTCGAGGCAGTTTCGGCTTCTTTTTTTCTTCCTTTTTTCTTCCTCTCAAGTCCTTTCGAGGAACGACGAAGGATCTGAAGCGCATCGGTCTAGCTGAACACCACCGTATTGGTTTCGGAACCAAGCGTTGGCATCCTTTTCATGAACGACGCCTATTACAACACCGTTTAAACCGCCGCATACATTTTCTCTTTGCGTGCGCACACGCCATCTCTGCAGCCACATCCGCTTTTGAGGATCCTCATCGACGTCTCCACGTTGTCGGCGCCTCCGCAACTCTTCTGCATCCTCCTGTCCTCATCCTTTTATCCTCTGGAATTTCCATAAAGGTATGCATTTTCTGCTTCCTCTCCCCATCAATTGTTTTTCTAGTTTTCGTGGGTGGGGCACGTGAGCGTTAATTTGAGCGGACCACTTACGTTCTCCAGGTTTTCTACTGGACAGCATCTCAATCTGCCTTTGCTTGGTGACCTTGCTACTGGAGTCACTCTCAATCTTGCTCAAAGCAGGTGACCCAAGGACCCACTGCAAAAACAAAGCAGATTTCGCTTTGCCTGGTTCTTCACTTCGTGTTCTGCTCGTGAAGTCCATCTTCTGATCTTCTTTTTCTCGCGTTCTACAACGTTGGACACGAACTTGCCATTCAAATCCCTCCTGACAATAAGCTCAACCTCTTATCTCCGACATCATGGCAGAATCAAGACCGGATCACCATCACCCTCAGCAGCCTTCGCCATCTCAGACGCTGCCTTCCATCGCCGCTCTGACGAACGGTCTGCCCAGCTCCAACCAGTACTCTCCCCAGAACCGCCAGCCTTCGCATCTTCCCTCAAGGGACTCGGGAACATGGCCGCCGATACATCCTCAGATGAAGCGTAAGTCATATCCCTGCCCCCACACGGTCTATCTGCTCGAGTATCGGAGCATTTGCAGTCGAGTTCTTCAAGTCTGCGGGGCTCTTAGCTATAGCTTCGACAGAGCTACCTCGTAAAATTTAAGCTTCATGAGCAATACTGACTTTTCCCAGCTGTTGAGTACATGAACAACCCATCTCTTCAGGTGTCGACCTTGCTGAACCCGGACGACTCTCAATCAAGAAACTCGATACCGAACACACCGACGTCTAACAGGCTGTCTCAACACCAGCACCAGCAACAACAACCCAGTGCTATGCTGCCGTCGATCAATCAAACCTTTGACGCCGGCAATCGTGGAAGCGTTGACTTCCATCACGACTCGCGCAGAAGTAGTATCGACAGCCGAGTCATCCACGCTGGAATGACTGACCTGCGCCTCAACAACAATGGCGCTTCGCCCTACGACAGCCAGAATGGCTCCCAAGTGTCACTAGCTGCTAGTCTCCGCCGTCCCAACAATGGAAACCCTCTCTCGCCTCTAAGTGGTCGCAACAGTATTCGTGGTGGCACTGGCCCAAGAGTTGCGCCTCCCATTGTCGGCGCTTCTCGAGTTCCTGGTGCTCCCGATCCAATGGCCTCAAAGCCCACCCCCGGTCACGCTTGGGCTTTCCCCGACGATCCGATCGCTGAAGAATCCAGACGCGAATCGAGCAGCGAGGAGTCCGACCGTCATAGTATTTCCAGGACCAACAGCTACGCAGCCTCCTCCATCAGAAGCAGCATCTTCTCCAACGGCGAAGGTCTTCCTTATGGCCAGAGAAGGTTCGATGATGACACGCCTACTCATCATCACCATAGCATGCATCAGCAACACAGAATCTCTGCCATCCAAAACGAGGCCAACGCAGGTTCTGGCAACTACAGCCGCACTCCAGAACTTCGAATCAGTCACAAACTCGCAGAACGCAAGCGCAGAAGTGAAATGAAGGATTTGTTCGAGGAGCTCAACAGGGCTGTCCCAACCAACGGTGGTGCAAAGGCCAGCAAGTGGGAGATCTTGACAAAGGGTAAGCCTAGTCAAAGAAGCTCACAATAAACCGTATACTGACATTCTTTCAGCTATTGAGCACATCAAAAACACGCAATCACAGGAAAGAGGCCTTGTTCAGGAGGTCAACCGTCTCCGCGAAGTATCAGACTACTACCGTGATGCTCAAGCAACGATTGACAACCTTCAAACCGAGATTTCAGTCATGGCGGAACGTCTCAGAGCCTTGGAGCCGAACAACCCTCAAATCTACGGCGCATACACGTCGAAGATGTCGCAAGCTAATGCTCAGGCTTACGCAAATGGGCAGCCTCGCCAATTCTCTCTGCCATCGATGAATGCCGGACCTCCGCCATCGCAGCATTACAATGCTCCTGGCACCGCTCCCCAAGGAATGCAGGGCGTCGAGTATGGCAACGGTCCCAGGCATCATTAGAAGGATCCACGTACAGGTGCAAATCTAGGGTCAGCAGGAGGGGATGCGAGAATTCGATCCGCAGATCCTTTTCAAGACCGCCACCTACGACCGAACGACGATAATGGGGCGCAAGCTGGAGTCTAATGCTTTGAAGGTGGGATGCATCTGGCACTGCCACGGAAGGGACAATATACGGAGTTTTTCGCATACCGGGGTGTATCTCTATCTAACATACGGGAGGAATCAAAAGCACTCGAGGCTTTTGAGGTAGACTGTTTGTTCTTTTTCTTTGCTATCGTGGATGGAGTTCTGAGGAGTTCTGAGGAGTATTTCTGATGGTCTGGTCTGTTTTGTGGTTTTCTGTCGCTTTTCGTTATACTTCCATTTCGGTGGACAACATCAGGGCGGCGTCTCACGACAGTCTTACAAGCAAAAGAACCAACAACGAGGTTAATCGGCTGCTCTATTCGGTTATAGCTACGATAATGTCTTGGTATTCGAGTAAACACATTTCAAAAATTCTCTCAAAACTCCACTTCCATGCGTGTTTAGACTCAGGAGCTCGTGTTTTTAAGCAATGGAAGTATGTAACCGCGGACTGCATCACTGCACGATGTTAGGTACACGAACATCAAGGCGGCCGCGGATGCCGAAGAGCTGCAAGTACTCGAGACAAGCGTGTCTGACAGGCTCCGAGCACATGTTTCGGGAGCGCTGTTTTTTGGAGAGAGGTCTGGGTGCGTCGATTTGGCTTGCACCGCTGCAGTGGCTGAGCTTTGCACAGCTGTGATGGAAATGGTGGCTCAGTAAGATATACGCATGCTCTTGTTTGTCAAATACGTCAAACGGTTCGGGAGATGATAGCGAGCATCTCCGGCAAGCTGGTATCTATATAAACAGAAGTATCTCTTGATGGTCGGCGAGCCATCACAAGTATCAACATTCACATTCCAAGACTTGCACAAGCAAATCACACAAGCTTTCTCTCGCATCGAAGCAACAAGCGACAAGCCACAGTGACATCAACCAGACCCTTAGTGCCCATCACAGTTCGAGCCGTCTCCGCACAAGAACAAGTCAGCAGGCAATAGGACGATCACTCTCCATACAGAAATCGCATCTCCCTCCAGATCGGCTTTATCCACCATCTCTAACAAGCAACGGAGAAGGAACATTCCAAGGTGAGTCGGTCTTGACAGATGTGGCGCCAAGGGGAAATCGGGTAGCGGCAGGCCCAAGACCGTATTGGCCAGTACTACGAGATGGGGGGACGCGTAACAACATCTAAAATCAGGCGGACCGAAAGCTGACTTCTTTGGCGCCACAGTTCTATTTGTTCTTTCCTATTCTCACTTCGACAAATCGATCTTTCGCAACTGTCACAATCGCACCTAGGTTAATCGCATCAACATGTCCAACTACTACCCTCAGCAGCCCCAGCAGGCGTATGTCGCAATGTAATCTCGTCTCAGATTGGATGGTCTCGCTGACCGAGTCACAGCTACTATGGACCTCCTCAGGGTCAATATGGTCCCCCTCAAGGCCAGTATGGCGGACCTCCCCAGGGCCAGTACTACCCTCCTCAGCAACAGGTACGACTCGAATTATTCGGTGGATGAACAAATCATTAATGCGACGCGCAGATGGGCTACCAGCAAGGACCTCCCCCCATGCAACAAGCACCCCAAAAGAAGGACCGCGGATGCCTGATGTCCTGGTAAGAGCCGTCGGATCACAAGAGAGAGGTGCATACAAGGACTAACACATTGGAACAGCTTGGCAGTACTCTGCTGTTGTTTCGTCTGTGAAGAGGGTTGCGAGTGTTGCGCCGACTGCTGTAAGTTTTGACGTCCTCCCGAGTACACGACGAACATGCAACTGACAGTAATGAAACAGGCGAATGCGCAGAAGACTGCTGTTAAACACGTCGACCATTCACCCAAGTATGTCGAGATGCTCGACATGCAATACCTCACTCAGTCCCCACATACCAAAGGAAAGAGCAATATGCATAATGCAAGCTAGAACAGACCGAGGGAGGCACGGCATACACGCATCTTTTGCTCAGGTCGGGAGGCTGGGATTGCTTCATCCTATGTTTTTGATTTCCTTCCGTCTTCGTCTACAGTCAGCGCCCCTTCTTCGCAGGGTCCTCGTCGTTCTCCTTTGTCCTTGACGAACTTATGCTTCTTAGTCTAGCACCACCATGCGCCAGTAATTGGTTTAGTAACATGGCCACCGCTTGACGCGTCGAGGCCTCTTTTATACACTTTGTTTTCTTTCAAATCCTAACTCCCTCGAGTACGCTCTTTCGATAGTCGAGGGATAAAGTGTGCAATGGCCAAGAATTGCGATACGGGAATATACGGACATGGCGTGTCCACTCAGGTCATTCAGCTGATGCTCACTTGGTGTGGGGACTCGCCCGTCGAGCTGCTGGACCCTTCGAATCTACTTTTTTTTTTTCGATCGCGTTGCTGTCCGCACCCTCCTCATACAGTACACAGCAGACCGAAACAATGGTCAAGAGAAAGCACGAAAGCAACGGCACTGACGCCAACGTGCCTGTCAAGAAGACTGCAAAGTCGCAAGCTGAGGTTCATGCAAACTTTGGCGACAAGCTGTTTGACAAGGATGTCGTCACAAAATACCGCGAAGACTATGCCCAGAGTGGGCCGTATGTCGCACCAGATATCTGTCTGTACTCCCAAATCTGACAGTCTACAGATACTTGCACACAGTTGTGTCTGGCCTGATCAACGACTCCCTCCTCCGCTCCGTTCGTCGCGAAATCATCGACAATGTCCACTTCACGCCCAAGGAAACCGACATCTACAAGATCCACCAGTCCGGTGATCTCGCCAACCTTTCTGGTCTCGATCCTTCCGCTCTCAAGCTGCTGCCATCGCTGCTCACCCTTCGCGACTCGCTTTACTCGGCCGAATTCCGCGCATGGGTCTCGGAAGTCTCGGGCGCTGGCCCATTGTCAGGAAAGAAGACGGATATGGCTGTCAATGTATACGCACCTGGCTGTCACTTGCTATGCCACGATGACGTTATCGGCACTAGAAGAGTCAGCTACATTCTATACTTGACCGACCCGGACAAGCCGTGGCAGGCCAACTGGGGCGGCGCATTGCGTCTGTATCCTACCGAGGAAAAGACCGATAGCGATGGCAAGAAGGTCAGAGTCCCACACTACGACTTCACAAAGGTCATCCCACCCGCCTGGAACCAACTTTCCTTCTTCACTGTCCAACCTGGTCAGAGTTTCCACGATGTCGAAGAAGTTCTCAAGCGCAAGGAGGGTGAGAGCGAGGATGATGGTGGTCGTATTCGCATGGCCATCTCCGGCTGGTTCCACATTCCGCAAGAGGGAGAAGAAGGTTTCGAGCCAGGACTCGAGGAGAAGCTGGCCGAGCGCAGTTCCCTGCAACAGCTGCAGAGCAAGAACGACGAATTCGACCTACCCCAAGAACAATGGATCGATTACGACGAAGACACAAACAAGGCCGAAGATGCAGAAGAGGAGGAAGTCGAGTTTGACGAAAAGGACATGGACTTCTTGATCCAGTACATGACACCGCAATACCTCACACCCGACACAGTCGAGGAGCTCTCTGAACTCTTCGCCGAAGAATCAAGTCTGCAACTCGCAAACTTCCTCTCCAAGAAATTCTCCGCTCGTCTACGCAAAGATATCGAACTTCACGACGGCAAGACCGAGCCTGCGACAAATGGCTGGGCTACGGCAACTCCTCCCCACAAGCACCGTTACCGCTTCAAGCATGCCGACCGTGCTGCCGCAGACACTTCCTCTGCTTACGACGAGCTCCTCAACAAGTTCCTCCCTTCTCTCGCTTTCCGCAAGTGGCTGAGTCTGGCAACTGGTCTCACTCTGGCCAAGAGCAGCATTCTCGCCCGTCGTTTCCGCAAGAGCTTGGATTACACCTTGGCGACCGGCTACAACAAGCCCGAAGCACAACTTGAATACTGTCTGAACGTCACACCTTCCAAGGGCTGGGGCGCTGACGAAGAAGAGGAAGAGGGGGAGGAGGAGGTGAAGGAGAAGAACAGCAAGAAAGCAAAAGCAAAAGCCAAGGAACCTGCAAAGGAAGACGAGGAAGACAATGTAGGCGGCTACGAACTCTACATGGCCGGTGACGACGACGATGAAGATGAGGATGATGACGATGATGCACACTCTGACCACGGCGTCAATATCCCACCCAATGCTGCTTCAGCGACAGGAGCTGGAAACCGCCGTGCTGCCAAACACAAGAAGAAGGCTGCGGATCCTGCCATCTATCAAGCTGGCAATGAAGAAGATGATGGTATCTTATTCTCGAACCCGGCGAACTGGAACACTTTGTCTGTTGTTCTTAGAGACAGAGGTGTTTTGAGATTCGTCAAGTATGTCAGCGAGAGCGCTAAAGGAGATAGATGGGATGTCATTGGCGCTGTTGAGGTTATCGATGATGACGACGAGGACGACGAAGAGGATGGTGCTGATGAATAGAGCATCCCAGTTTTGTAAACTGAGTATCTCATGTATGATATTGATGATAGGATAGGACAGGATAGATAAAGGCACATTTGATGACATTGCCTCCATACTCATGCAGCCAACAACTCTCCGGACGGCAAATTTGGCGGGGATAAGCACTGTTTTCCGAAACCTCTTGTTTTCACACCACTTTTACTTGACAGGACGCTTTTATTATCATAAGCTAGTAGTGTATATCGATAGCAAAATGGTCAAAGTAGCATAGTATGTTTGCTCAGTACTCAGACCCGCCCTTTCTGTGTGCATGTTTACCAGACCCACTTTCTAAACCTCCGAAACTCTATCTGCAGCTCAAGCTTCATGTCCGTAGAGCTAGCTCACCTCGGCCTTGTTCGCATCTGCGCCAAATACACATACTTCTAATCATTACAGACCATCGTTATCAATGCTGACAAGGTAAGCTCACGCCGTCAAAATAATCGCTCAGTAAGTTTCCACAGCCTCCACCATAATGATGGATATGTAAGCGAGCTTATGGAGGCGGATGAACTGCTGCGACCGAGTGGGGAAGGAGGATCATCGACCACCACATGTTGTGCTTTCCTCAACGTTGTGTAGTCCGCTCCGTAGTGAGATTCAAGAAAGACGACAAATATATAAAAGTTGACCAAGATCCGAGTTCTCTCTGACTGCTTCCCTTTTCCACTTTCCACTTTTCACCGTTTGCCAGTTTTTCCGACGTCCCCACGGGTCTTGATCATCAACTGCAGCTTATCATTTCCCCCACCGACATAATCATGGCTCCCACTGTTTCTGCACCTGAAGATGCTGTGATTAAGCCAGGTTCAATTATCTTGATCACAGGCGTGACTGTAAGAACACGAAATCAATAAGGTCATGGCGCTTTACTGATTTCGACCAAAGGGCTACATCGGATCTCACACAGCAGACCAACTCCTCCAACGCGGCTACAAAGTCAGAGGCGTAGTCCGCAAACCCAGTGAATGGCTCACCAACATCTTCAACCAAAAATACGGCAAAGATGCCTTTACAACCTCCTTCGTCGCCGACCTCACCGATGAAGAAGCTCTGGTCAAGGCAATGCAGGATGTCGATGGTGTCATCCATGTCGCCAGCGATGTCTCCTTTTCCCCCGATCCGAATGTGGTTATCCCTATTGCTGTGAATTTGGCCACTACAGCGCTCAAGGCGGCTGCTAGAACTCCTTCGGTGAAGAGGTTTATCCTCACTTCTTCTGCTGTCGCGGCGTCTGCGTATCAGACCAATACTCCCCGCAGTGTTTCCTCCTCCTCGTGGTCAGAAGCTTATATCCAGGATGCAAAGCGACCGGGTCCTTACACCCCCGACCGCGGTCTAGCCACCTACGGCGCCTCAAAAGCTCTAGCCGAACAAGCGGTTTGGAAATGGAGTGAGCAAAACCCCTCCAGTGATTTAACCATCAACACCGTTCTTCCAGATTTCAACCTCGGTCTTCCAATCTCTGTGCAACATCAAGGATGGCCTAGTAGCGTGGGCATGGCCGTCGCTCTGTTCAACGGCGATACCGTATACGGCCGTCTCACACCTCCTCAATACTTCATCTCCGTGCAAGATGATGCACTCCTCCACATCGCCGCTCTACTCCACCCATCAGCCAAAAGCGAGAGAATCTTTGGGTTTGCGGAAAAGAAGAATGCGAATGCTGTGTTGAGGTTGTACAAAGAGTTGTACCCGGAGAGGGAATTTGCGGATGAGGATCCAGAGGAAGGAGAGGATTTGGTGGAAGTGGAGGGGAAAGAGAGGGCGGAGGAATTGTTGAAGTGGATCAAGGGGAGCGGGTGGACTGGTATGAAGGAGAGTGTCAAGGAGGTTGGGGATTATCTTATTGAGCATGAGAAGGATGCTTGAAGTTTAGATTGCTCGGGAAGGCTCAGTGGGCGTATGATTTCGGACGAAAGGTGGGCAGGGGACAGTACTGGTGGATGATTAGTATCGAGATGATCCTTCTACTAGGTCGGACATGCTACTGTCAATTGTTCAAGCTCCCTTTCTGTACGATGATCACTAACTGCGTGTACATTCTTGATCATAACTCCAGACACATGTATCATTAGCAAAGACTCAGCAACAAGGAGTTGAGTGATGCAGTGGCAAAAGTTACTCGTCATGACGAATGCATTATCATTACTATTTTTCATCCATCTCCCATAACTGCAGCAGAAACAAACAGGCAAGACGTTGGACCAAACTCCTGTGGCAACGATATTGTGCAGTAAGTGTCTATTAAACCTTGTCCGTCTTGGTCTCATTGGTGTAAGGACCACAGTATGGCTCAAGGCATGCAGGCTTCTTGTTGTAGTTGCAAACCGAATCACCGTAAATGTTGTCACATCTCCACTGACAACCCTTACAGTAATAGTACTGAGGTGCAGCCATTGTGGTAGGATGAAGGGTGATCTCCAGACGCACACAGTGAGGGTAGTTTTCGTCTCCAATGGTTACGGTTTGGATGGTCATAGGCTGGCTGAGGTCGACCTGATCCAGCGACGGTTCGGGGTAGACTCTCGGGTAAGGGCATGCCATCCAGGTGTACGGGTGGACCCCAGTTGCTGTGCGGATGGTGGGTGCGCCGAGTGTGCTGATGGTGCTGTTGTCAAGCACAATACCGGGATGCGAGTTACGAGCAAGGTCCCAGACACCGACGCCAATGTCTCTGGCACCGACTGCCTCGTATTTGAGAGGAAGGCCACCGACGGTGCTGTCGAGACCGGGAGCAGTCATTTCTTGACCGCCTGGTTGGAGGATACCCATGTACCAGCCGCCAATGCCAGCTACGGGGCCGGAAATGATGGTGGTGTTTGTGGCTGGGCATTCGGGGTCGTAGTCGGGGCAGGTGGCTGAGGCATCCTTGTTCAACCAGAATGAACCGCTGTCGGCGTTGATGGGCTTGCCGTGGATTTCGGGTACGCTCTCATTGTAGGCGACCATGACCCAGGCAGGTGCTGCCATGGCTGCGAGGGGAGAGGCCAATAGGCCAGCCAGAGTGTATGTCTTCATGATGTGATGTGTTGTCTGATATGTAAAACGATAGAAGATGAGGTAGAATGAAAACGGCAGACTCTTTATACGAATTGGAGTAGGATCTTTATGATTCGCGAACTTACATCTTAAAATAGGCAGCCCGCCTCGTCTGTTGTTATGACGCTCTTCTGCAGAGTCGGCCGAGTCCAAGCCTGTACTAAAGATGCGGTTGCCCGTCTTAGCTTCGTATTTTTTTTTATTAGGAGGAAGGAGGATTCGATCAGAAGCTTTGACTGTTTATCAACCACCGCCTCCGCGGGAGAGTAGGGGGATCGAGTGCTGGTCTCTGTCGACGAAGGAAGACTTGAGGGTCAGAAGCCCAAGAGGATGGTGAGTCTTCCATCTGGCCAATTGTCACATGTCGAGAGATACTGCTTGATATCGATATCGACGTTGATACTGATGTCGCTGTTGTTTGTAGTATCTTGGATAAAGTGCGAGCGGGCCGCTCGAGTTGGACCAAACTTTGTGCTTGGCGCATGAACCTCGGCTAAAAAGTAGCTTAAGTTTGCGGAATCATTGAGGGTTCTCGCGATGATCAGTCCATGCTATTTCCAGACCGCATCCTCTTATGATCACTTAATACTCTCACGTTTCCATCCGCTGAGATTCATGGCGTTCGCGTGATACAAAGAAGATGATAAAGCTGCCCATGGAATGCTGAGAAATCAAAGTCGGGCGCGGATGAATCCCACGCTCCTTCCTCCGGCTTGATGACCAAAGCTATCTCCGCAACTAACTGTTGATAAGAAGTCGCGGTGGAGATATATAAGACAGACATAAGTATCATCAGACGATAACATCTCCATCCAAAGTTCAATAGCTATCTACAACATCATGGCAACATACCTCATCACAGGCGCTTCCAGAGGCATTGGCCTCGAGCTGACCAAGCAATTGCTGGACCTTCCAGCCTCTCAAGTCTCTAAGATTTTTGCCGTAGCCCGCACCACAGATACGGGACTTCTCCAAGAACTTGTCCAGAAACATTCCGACCGTATCGTTCCCATCTCCGCATCGGTTCAGGATAACGCAAGTGTACAAAAGGCTGTTGAGGCTGTCAAGGCCAATCTGCAAGGTAAAGGCCTCGATGTCTTGGTCAACAATGCCGGAGTTATGGACCACAGCCCTGGCAAAATTGGAAGTATGGAGACAGATCAGTTGACATGGACCCTCGACATCAACGTTGTGGGCGTGCAGAGAGTCACTGCTGCCTTCTTGCCATTGCTCGAACAGGGCACACAAAAGAAGATCGTCAACATGTGAGTAAACCTCCAAATGTTCATACCTGCGAATACAGAGCGAGACTGACGATAATCACTAGCTCTTCCGGCTTCGGCTCATTTGCCTATGTTGCGTACACCGCTGCCATACCTGCAGATGCCTACAACATCTCCAAAGCCGCATTGAACATGTTGACCGTGAGATATGCCCATCAGTATGCAGATGCCGGGTTCACTGTCGTTGCATTGTCTCCTGGAGTAAGTAACACCAACATATAATAAGGATTCTGATGTTGACATCGTTCTACAGTGGATCAAGACGGACATGGGCTCTCAAGACGCAGACTTGAGCGTTGAGGTAGGCGTCGCTGAGGTGAAGCGAGTCATTCTCGAAAGTGGAAAGGAGCAGAACGGAAAATTCCTCAATATCAACGTTCCAAAGACGGACGAGATGAAGTGGAGCTACGATGGTCAGGACATCCCTTGGTAATGTGGTACAACCCCATCTCGGTATGCATGGGGAGTTGTATGTCCAGTATTCTCGAACAAATCATAATTCAATTGCCTTAATACAATTTTAGTCCAGCTTCGAAGAGTGTGGTTGTCTTTAGTCCAGAAGATAAATAACAGTGTCAGGCCTGGTATCGATCTAATTGGAGGGAACTGCTCGGGAGAAATCCATCCGAAGCGTTCGCTCCTTCGAGGTGATCTGCAGTCCCTCATTCGTCTCGGATGCAACACTCCGGTGATGGACGCATACCAAGAAGCGGGGAAATCTTTGTGGAGGTTGATGGAGAGAAGCCTTTCTGGAGTTGTTTCCAAGAGTATTATCATGGGCCTCAGTCGTCATTTTCGTGATTCTTTTCGATACCTTGAGAAGGTGATCTCGGCTTATATCTAATCGCCAGATACTGACCGCTCGTCGACTCTCAATCGCACCATATCGTGGCTCTAACTCTGGATCAACCCAAAAATGGCACAAACGAAAGTCGAGGACGACATTCATGTCGAACGTCTAGAGCTTGCAAACACAGAAGACCCTCAAAAGCCAACATTTACACGCACACATGCAGACAAGTTATCCATCTGGCAAAGTCTACGCCAGAACAAATTACTTGCTTTGATAGCGATGGCAGCAGCATTCAGTGCTTCTCTAGAAGGCTACCGTAAGACTAGTCCAGTATCAGTTATTGCTTCAACACGGCTGACTGTGTACTAGAGATCAATCTGAATGGTGGTCTTGTATCGAACAAAGGCTTCATCCGACAAATGGCCTCTCCAGGAACGAAGATCATCAAGGGCAAATATGTTTCGGCGTGGGGTGGTATCCAATCTGCTGGTCAAACCATTGGACAGATCGTAAGCCGAGCATTCGATGCTTCCGTCAAGCATATACTCATGTAGTTCGCAGCTTCTTCAATATGTGACTGACGGCTTCGGACGCAAGATCGCATTGTATGTCATCTGGGTCGTGCTTGTAGTGGTGAGTGGTTGATCCGTGCCCGCCTGCATTTGAGTATCTGACATCCATCAGAGTGTCCTCATCGAGTGTTTTGCTACACATTGGTATCATTGGCTTGTTGCAAAGCTCTTTGCCGGCATGGGCGTAGGAATGTTACAGTCTACCCTGCCGCTGTATCTGGCCGAAATCTCGCCCACTCAACTCAAAGGACTGTTCATCAACGCCTACACTTTGTGAGTTGCATATCTGATTACACTTACCCTCCAGGAGTCTGACCATAGTCGCAGCTGGTTCGTTCTCGGCCAACTCTTCGCCTCTGTCGCTCTCAACAGGCTACACATATCTGCTCCTTATGACTTCCGTACACCCATCTATTCTCAGGTAAGCTTTGTGCCGCCATCGTTCATGTGTAGAAGCTCACACAACGCAGTGGGCCATGATCGGAGTCTCCGCAATCATCTTTGTGTTCCTGCCAGAGACACCTTGGTATCTTGTTAGCAAAGGAAAGCTCGACCAGGCTAAGAAAGTCCTGACGAAGATGCATGGACGCAAGCAAGGCTATGACTCGCAAGAGCAAGTGGTCGGTCATACATCGCTGGAGGTATCAACGTTTGAACTAATTTCAGCAGGATCTCATGATGTCCACCATCGCTTCGGAAAGAGCTGCGGCTGAACAGAACTCTGAACTTGGACCATGGGCTGTATTTCAAGGCAAGAACTTGTTGAGATTCATCATTGCCGCATGGCCGAAGATCACACAGCAGCTCGTGGGATTGACTGTGTTCAATACATATGCAACATACTTCTGTGGGTAGCGAGTGTGTTGAATAATCGCAGGATCCCAGCTAATTGTGGTTTGTAGTCCAGAAAGCGGGTAACAAAGACCCCTTCCTGGTCACATTGATCTTGTCATGCGTACAATTGATCTCGATGATCATGACTGCCGTCTCCACAGACAAGCTTGGCCGCCGTCCATTAACAGTCTACCCATACGCGATCACTGTTCTCTCATTGCTATCTCTTGGTATAGTAGGCTGCTTTGACTACTCTAAGCCAGCTCTTAGCTCGCTTCTGGTATCTCTTACTCCTTGTCTATTTACAAGGCTTGACTGATCACCTCTATAGATCTTCTTCGCATGTCTAGCTACCTTCTCAACCACAGGCGCTTCAGCAATCGGCTATGCTTACGCAGCAGAAATTCCACAACAGCGTCTTCGAGCCAGAACCACTGCTTTTGCTCTTGCATTCTCGAACATGGTTGCCATTATGTTCAGTTTCACCACACCACTGATGATCAATGGTGATGCCCAATGGGGCGTCAAGACTGGGTTCTTGTGAGTCATCTCTTGAGCGAGCGCATGTACGATGCTGACACTGCTTTAGTTTCGCCGGTACTGGTGCTGTTGCAGTGGTCATTTGTTGGTTTATACTGCCTGAAGTGGCTTGTAGAACACCTGCTGAGATTGACGAGATGTATGTGTTCTGGCGAAACTGTACAAGAGTGGATACTGACATGATGGACAGGTTTGAGAAGAAGATCAATCTTAGGAAATTCAAGCAGTATTCCCCTTCCAACTATTAGGTCTCATGGGGAAGGAAGTGGCCGAGAGATCCGACTGTCCGATTCTTGGCTCAGGTTCTGGTTGTAATTTTCGGAAAATGTATGGTCATGGAATATTTGTCATTGTCGGNAATGTACTGTAAGCACAACCGGGACAACTATTCGCCCGGGTAGAAGTATACAGGCCAAACAAAGCACGCTAGCCCCGAAAAGGTAAAGCTTGCGAAGGCGTTTGACATCTAGAATGATGGTTTAGTCAACATCACAATTAACAGCGAAAAAGGTATAAGGAGACCAGTATCGCTGTGGTATTGTTACTGAGATATTCGAAATATTGATCATTGATATTGTCAACAACACATCAAACATCATGAGCGAGATTGGCGAAGTTGCAACATCTTTGACTCTGCCTTCGGGGCTGGTCTTGCCGAACAGATTGGTAAAGGCAGCTATGGCAGAGTCGCTTGCTAAGAATGGTCGAGCGGGCCCAGAACTCGTGAAGGTGTATGAGAAATGGGGTCAGGGTGAATGGGGAGCAATCATGACTGGTAGGTGTGTCCAATATTATCACCCATAGCTTGGTGCTCACAACCACCTACAGGCAACGTCATGGTCGATGAGAGATACATGGGCTCACCACAAGATACTACTGTCCAAAGCAAGAACTCCGTGGAGATTGATACATGGCAAAGGATCGCCCGCGGTATCAAAGCGAAGGGGGCTCTCGCCTTGATGCAGATCAACCACCCTGGACGCCAATCACGAGCAGGTGCAGGAAGCCGTGGATTCCTCCAGAAGAACCTAGCACCCAGTGCTGTAAGCCTGAACTTCGGCACCGGAGTTGTCGTAAAGACTCTCGTAAAGGTCCTTTTCGGCACACCTGCCGAGATGAGTACCATACAGATCCAGACTCTGATCAACCAATTCGCGGATGCTGCCAAATTTGCTCAGCAGGTTGGCTTTGACGGTGTGACTATTCACGCAGCGCATGGATATTTGCTCAGCGACTTCCTCTCACCAAAGACCAACACCAGAACCGATGCATACGGAGGCACACCGGAGAAGAGAGCCAGAGTCATTGTGGAGATCATCGAAGCCATTCGCGAAGTCGTCAGCACGAACTTCAGCATCAGTGTCAAGATGAACTCGTCAGACCAGCAGTACGACGCCGGTTCCGATGCAGTGTTGAAGCAAGTTGATGTTCTGGTTTCTCATGGTGTTGACTTCCTCGAGATCAGCGGTGGCTCTTATGAGAATCCCAGGGTAAGATTCCCTCTTCATTTTGTCAATACAGACCTCTGACAGATACAGATGATGCGTGGTGATGAAGTACCAGCCAAGTCAGAGAGAACACAAAAACGCGAGGCCTTCTTCCTCGACTTCGCACTTGCCGTCCGTGAGAGACATCCAGACCTCCACCTCATGCTCACAGGCGGTTTCCGCACACGAACAGGCATGAATTCCGCACTGCAGACCAAGGGATGCGATATGATCGGCATCGGAAGACCAGCAGCAACAGTACCAGACTTCCCTCGCTCGGTGATCGGTATTGGAGCCAAGAGAGATATTAGTGATGCAGAGGCAGGCTTGCAGATGCAGAAGGTTGAGACACCTTGGTTGTTAAAGCATTTGCCTTTCCCAGAGCTGCAGAGAGTTTTGGTAGGAGGTGCTGAGACGATGCACTACGGCCAGAAAATTGGAGAGATGGCCAAGGCATAGACACAAATTTAGAGGGCATTGTAGATTAGAGGTATATATCCAAGCATCGGTTTTCAATTATACTCGAGTATGAATTTTGTATCGGAAACTTGGCTCGAGGACGCTTCCGCAGACGCGTCGCGTGGTCTCCAACGCCAATTTCGATTATGACGCCTTATGAATTGAGCCTTTCTCTCCTTTTCGTCCTTGCCGACTGTAGCGATAATCATCATGCGCACATAGTGTCTTTTCGAATGGCACAATGCATGTTGAAGTTGAGATTGGCGACGGACAGGTGAAGGTCGAAAAAGAGATGAGACGGCTCGCGTGAGCTCCGAGCTCGGCTGGTCTTCGCGCCTTCCAAACACGAGCAATCTCAACAGCGACACGACGACAACAAAATATCGTCAAGTCATGAGCCTGACCGACACGAACAAGTCTTGCCTTGAACAGAGCGAGCGAGAATCCCAGAGGGTGCGCCTGAGGTTGCACTGCCCTACTGAACGCGCCGCTGGCCTCTACGAAAACTGCGCGTTTGGCTCGGCGGTCAACCTTGTCTTGGTGTCATGTTTCACCATTGCTGATTTCCCATAACAAAGCCCCATTCAACAAGTCACACATTATAGGTAGGATCTTCGTTGTTCGTATGATGAACGGCTATACCATAGTGATTTTTGCAAGGGTAAGATTAGTCGACACGCGTTACCGTCCATACAAAGAAGTATCGGCACAGCGCTTGTCGATCGCATCTGGAGATTTTTGCGCTTAGGCTTGTTGTCACCTCTCAACCTCAAACATTCGAGAAACACCTTGGCTGTGCAAAATCTGGAGTGCTGACGCATGCTTTGACTAAAATGTCGTGTTGCACGCTCTTACCATGACTTGATGGGTCTTTTGTTGACCTTTGGTTTAAAAGCCTCGAGTCCGTCCATTAACTAAATCCTGGCCAGCCCGGTTGCTCTTACCACGCCTCACACTCTTTTCAACCCGACCAAAACTCAAACACATTCATTCATTCACCATGCAATACAAGAACCTCGTCGCTCTCTCATCGTTTCTGTCGCTGGCGACAGCTGCACCCAAAGGATTCCTTTCGAAGCGCGAGGATGAGATTACTTGGGGTCCTCTGATCGGACTAGGCCCTACCGCCGACGGTATCGAGATTACCGGTGTTGTCGCAACAATCTATCCCGGAAATATGCCCAAGACACAAGCTGGTGGACTTTACAACTGGATTGGCATCAACAACGAGACCGAAACTGGCGATCTTGTCCAGGGCATCGTCGGCTCATACACTCATGGAGAGAGCGAATGCAAGGGCGCAAAAGCAGACTCATTATGGTATGAGACATCGATTGGCCAAATGATCAACAACGCTGACTAGAATACTAGGTGCATTTCAGCAGAGGTATACGGATGGGACACCAAGCTCAATGGCTGGAACCAATATGTTGGCGAGGAGCGTACATTGGCTGCCACCCCTGCGGATGGCATCACCTTCAACTACACCTTGATCAACCAGCAGACCGGACTCTGGTACCAGACTGCTCGCAACGCACGCACTGGTGAGCTGTACGCAGAGTACAACAAGACTTCGCCCACCATGACTATGGTCAACACTGCTGTCGAGTGCCAGTCATGCACACCTCCCACAGACGTCCAGTACTGGAAGGACATCACCATCAAGCTCTCCGGCGCGGACAAGAACTTCGGCAGCACTCTTTACCAGTCCAACCATGCAACAAACACAGATCCCACTACTGCTGACAACGGCAAGATCTGGAAGATCCAGAACGTCACTATCCCTGTTGTTGCTCCCGTCGCCGATGTAGTTGGATAAAGCATTGTCGTACGCATGCCATTAATATTAACTGTATATATTAGTTTCGCTCCCTGCAAACATCAGCCATATAAAGTTGACATAGGACGAGATACGCTTCCACTCGGGTAGCAACACATAATATCCCAACAATTCTTCTTCTTCGGGGCAAGCTTCTATCAACCTCTGCCAATAAGCAAGTCTTCAAGGCACTTGCCATAAAGCTCATCAGCTTCTAGCCTCGACCAGTGCGCCATTTGTGTATGTCTTTGCGGCATATATGTTCAGAAACTACACGCCACTTATGAACCTAGTTTGAAAGACAAGCTAGCGCTGTTGAAGCTACAGGGGAGCTACACGTCTCGGCTGAAACCTTCTGTATCAACACCCATGGTGTTTCGATGGTATACATACCTATATAGATGCTAACGATGTTCCAGCGATTGACGCACAGGAGCTGCTTTCGGGCTACCAACTTTTTAGCGGCTCCTGATGCAGATTACAGCGCAGACTCTGCCATACCCCTGCAGCAATCCTCGTCCTCTTGAACGGCCAAGACGCCATATGACAATACTAAAAACAGGGTGTATCCTTTCAATATCAAGAACCAGCTGTCATAAAAACTCCACGGTGGACATGTTAATGACCGTGTTAGATGGTATCAGAATAGAACCACGCTGATGATGTGATACAGTCTTGCGGTCGAGCCTTGCCTCGTGTGGAAGGCAGCGGAGGTCGGAATTGAGCGTAAGCCGGTTGTGGATGGATTGATCGTCCTGACAGACATGACCTGGCGGACGTACCATGTCTTCAGGGTCTCCTCGTGTATCGATCTATGCCAGACGTGAACATGGTGACCTCTTTCTCTAACAAATTGTCGTGACTCATCATATATGCGATGAACTGGTTCGAAACTTCGCAAGCTTGGGTAATCAAATCTTTTTCGAAAGATGCGGTCAGATCTATAGCTTTGTTGATTTCTCTCCTAGATTGTTTTGTTCTTTCCAAGTCGACGAGGGCGGTTTGTGCACCCTTGACATCGGTAGGAAAAACTCGAGATCTTTTGGACGCGACAAGGTCGGTGGTCTCGGTCTCTTCTTCAAGCTTTCGCTTCCAGCTCGAAAGAGTGTACTCTATAGCGTTGCCATTTGAATCGATCGTTGGCAAGGGCTTCTCTAGAGGTTCAAGGAGTCCCAAGTGCGCTTGTGCTCTTTCTCGCAGCCTTGCAGACAGCGTCGCTGCTATAAGACCAATTCGATTCTCGAATAATCCATGCAGAATTTGTTTCGATGTCGGCAGCACGTTGCCGTTCTGATCATCTTCGGCATCATCGTCTTCTCCTTCATCCTCCTCATTAGACTGATCCTGGTCCTGGTCCTGGTCCCCAGGTTCTGGATTCGAGTCAGCAGGCTGCTCGACCTTCACACGCTTCGATCGGAGGGTGGAGTCGTTGTTTGACGCTGACGCCCGTTTCGCGTTACCACGCGTCGATGGACCGCTGGCGGTCGGTGTAGCTGGAGGCATGATGCTGAAATGGCACTCGAAGTCCAAGATCGCGTTGATGGTTTGTTGGACAGTGCAAGATGCTGAGATGTTTGAAACGGAAAAGTCGGTGCTTGCTGGAGTAGGTGGCTGGTCGGCGTTTCGGGTTTGTCGAGTGGACAGTCTCATGTCATTGTTGAGCACGGCTCCCGATCTTAAACCACCACACTTGCCCGACTACGAGGGTCTCTAGCTTGCCGCTGTCAAGGGAAATCGAAATATGGCATCAAGACTTATCAGCTTCTGTAAGCAGAAATTGGAGCATTGTAGTACAGCAATGCCAGCGATTAATCTCCAATTAGATCGCGTTCCTCACGCGCGACGCGTCCCGCAAAAATTATAAGTATCCACTCAGGCTGCTACAACGACAGCTTGCAGAAGTTGCTAAGACCATTCTTTCGAAAGAAACGCAGTCTTGTGTATTCATGATCTGAGTCTAGACCTCGTTGTGAAACGATACCACTCCGTTCGTTATGTATACATTCGACTATCTGACAATTGGCTCTCAGTTACGCTCTTGTCCAATCTCCGTCTTTATCGTGGTAGTACTTGCCCACAAGCCGGAGAAATGCCCTCGTCCTTTCTTCTTCAAGATGTGTGATTCAAACACCGGTCTACTTGCAGTCATCCGAAGAGGGAGATCATAACTTGCGAAAGCTACTTGTCATAACTGTGGAGCACTGCAGTATGCTGTTTCTTTCTAAACAACCCGCGTCATCGAGTTACTCCTGGAACTTGTGCCATCAATACACAGGAATCAAGATAGACTTCTAAGTCCAGCCTGTCTTTCCCATATATCACTCTCATGTGATAGACTTTTGTGGCACTTGTTATCTTGTTGATGCTAAAACATCACGTGCCGCTGTGGAGCTGGTCAAAGCGCCCCCCAATGGCGATTCTTCGGGAATTCGAAATGGGACTGCTTCCGTAGAGTATCAGAGACCAATATCATTTTATACAACTTCATGAACCTCTTCTAAGCGCCTAAGACCATGCCTGTCACTCGAAAAGACATGTCCTACTGGGAACTCTAAGGCACTCTGGTCTACAATGCTTTCCGCCTCCCCAACATGGCGCTTAAAACGTTCTGGAATTTATAGCATGGGATATCTCGAAGCCGCTATCACGTCGCTGCTCAAGGATAGCACTCAGCTAACGATCGCCTTCGATTTTACTGTGCGGAACAACAGTATCAGGAACCAGGTATGAAGTCTCCATAACGCGCGAGCAAAGCCCTGGTCAGAGACCCTCGGGTCCCTGCAGCTCGAGACGAACCCTAGAAGCGTGAATCCGGAGTTGTAGCGTAGGGAGAATGGCGTTTGCAAGTGTTGCAGGTAAACTCACACGTACACGCCAGCGTTTGTGCTGCTTCTCACTGCGAGTTTTTTCTCGATATTTCCAACATCCTCGCATCGCTCGCTTTGTTTTCGATCGCCAGTACTACACCGCGATGCCTCGTCTAAAGCAAGTCGTCAAGATGAAGAAGAAGAAGCCATCGAATACGCTGGGGATGCGTGACTTCGAACGCAGTCAGGCCGACCTGGACCGCAAGATAGAGCAATCCAGAAGCGTGGTGGATGTCCCCTTCTCGTATCCTACTTACACGCTCGTCTCGAAAGCAGCGCTCCCAACGTGTCCGGAGACCTGTCAAACCTGCGTCCAGCATTACCTGCCGGAGTCCGCCGTTTCCAACCCGGCAAACCCACGCGCTATGGTCGCTCACAGTGACTCCGAAGCCGCAAAGATCACTGCAAGCTACGTTGAGGGCATCCGCAACGATCGTGATGCCATTAGCGCCCAGCTGGAAACGTACGGCGACCTCCTTCTGACACGATGGCAGCGCAAGAGCGTGGAGAAGCGTGCTTCGATTGTCCGTACAACTTTGCCGGAAATTCACGCTCGCCGCTTTTCCAGCGCATGGCTTCTTTATGACAACAAGAGGGCTTTCGAAGCACAGTACTCAACCATTGACCAGAAAAAGTTCAAATCGCGCGGCTTTGAACAGTTAATGGCAGACCAAATGCAAGCCGTACAGATCCACCACGACTCGCACCGCAAGCAGCATCTCCTACCGTTTATCGACGTCGATACGCTATCCCAAGACCCCACGAGCTTGTTGGCTCTACTCCATTACCGCTGCAACTCCGACATCGCCGACTGGGTAATGCACGACTCCGAACAGCTCAGAGTTGGCTTCAATTACACAATGGGTCCGCCCGCTTTCAACCCACACTGCGTGATCATGTATGGCACGCATCTTGGCCGATTGATCCCATGGAACCAACAGTCTGCACATCGCCACGATATCATCGGTTATCCAAGAGCAGTGCTTATATTGGAGGCACAAGCCACTCTATTCGCTTTCATGCGTAAGACGGTTGAGGCTTTACTCGTTTCAGGTCTTCAGGGGGCAACGGCAGGTCATCAAAAGTGGGATGAACTCGTGGAGTCTGAATTCGGAAAGATTGGCCTGGCGCCGCTCGTAGGTCGACGTCTCGAAGCATTTCGCAGTCCACCGCGGGTCGATATGGCCTCCACCATCGAATGCCTGACCGCGCAAACGAATGCGATGGTCGATGAGCTATGGCTGCAACAGACTGATCCTCAGTACTTCCGCGCTCATCTGATGCAAGCGAAGAACAACGAGATGCACGACCGCATGACAAGGTGGTCGCGTGAGGAATGGATGTTAGAGTTTGCGTTGTGCTACAGTGTGTGGACCGACAACCTTCGAACTACTCTCAGACAAGCCTTGTCTGTTCTCAAGGTTCAGGAAGAGCTCGGTGGTGACATACGACCAGGTAAATCGCTGCCCGCTGGATACGAGGCTATGCTCGTGCTGTTTCAGGGACATCTCGAGCAACTGTTTGAAGGTCAGCTCCGCGACCTTCAAGCTTTGGTGCCACAAGAGAGATCTTTCCGGGACCATTTCAACATCCAGGACACTGGTAAGCCGATGCTCAACATATCATCGGAGAAGCTATTTCTAGCAAACCCAATGCTGTGGAACATGATGCAGCTTACCCTTAAACACCAATCACAAGCACCCACATTCCACCTGGCTTTCATCGACCATCTCATGCGCGAAGATGCGAAGGAAAAGAATCGTATTTCACCAGTGCTCGCTACACACATATCGAACATGGTCGTCATAGACGACATTCTGTCGAGCTTGCGCCATCATCGACCTCGGCACGGAGTTTCCGTTGATGCCGAGATGCTTGCCAGATTAGCTACAGGACAGCCGCGCACGCTACCGGAGCGCCAGCAGTCAGCCTTCGGACGCATCTATATGTTGAAAGCCCCTATGTGGGAGAAGCTCCAGGCTCTCATGAAGCTATCTCTCCCTGTGTCTGAAGGACCTGATGTGCTGCTCAAACACCTGCCGCCACTCGACGATGCATCGTACGAGTTCTGGGAGATGGCATGTGTTAACTTCACGATCTCAATCGGGCACAGCAACCAGCAAGAGAAGCTGTACTCGGATCCCTGGTACTTGATTAGGATTGGGTGCACGGAGGTGGAGAACGAGCGGAGAGCGTTGCGGTACGCTCAGTGGAAGCGGGCTGCCGATCAGCGAGGTGAGACACTCCCGAATGTATGAGGATGTACTGTAGCTATACTGACCAATATGCAGGCAGCTGCAAGCAACTGCAGGATCACCAGCCTCCCAAGCCACCGAGCGCACTTTCACCCGTTGCACCGCAGCAGACTACCTGGGGCGAGTCAGCAGCCCCTGTTTGCGCAGTGCCCTCCGAAACGAAGCCGAAGGTGAAGACGAGGCCATCGGTATCGCCCACGGACAACACTACAAAGAACCCTGAGCGTATCGCCGACGTCTCGCCGCCGAGCCCACCACAAGCTTCAGTCATGGTTTCCTCGAAGAGCTTGACCTTGCTCACACGCATGTTCACAGCAGACCCCAGTGCGCCAGGCGAAATTTACTGGACCGAGTTCGTTTCGGCCATGGCTGATGCTGGTTGCTCTGTGATGCCTGGAGGCGGCTCATGCTTCACATTTACGCATGTGGGTGACATGGGAGAAAAACATTCCATGGTATTCCACCGTCCTCACCCTGAACCCAGCATGAGCAAGGAGAGACTGAGGTCGTTTGGAAGTCGTCTGGGCAGACGCTGGGGCTGGAGTCTGGAAACCTTCGATGTAAAGGTATAAGGAAAGTGGTACTGGAATCAGTTGTATGGTGAGCAGGTCTGTTGACGTGTGGTTTAGTAGCATGAGACAGCGCAGAGAGGTTAACGATGCTGTCTCGGTTACACCATGGGTTGCTGGACACATAGAAGTGAGGAGTTGAGGAATGGTTAGTCGTGAGCTACCCTCGCCTATAGATATGTAATTATGCTATTGCAAAAACCACACGTAGCGCTCGAGTTCCGATCGTCCTGTCTTTGACTTCTCATTCCAGGTCTTAAGCGGAACAGCGGTCTATGTCAATCATGCGGGAGGATTTCTAAAGATAAATCCTTCTGTCACAACCACACGAGCAGATGGTCCAGGATTACGTCCGTAGAGGATGGTGCGAAGCCATTCACAGGAATCTATGAGGTCATCTTTTCATTCCTCCATCGTGCATAGATGTAGACCTTTTCGACACTCATTTCATCAATCTCATCACCAGCCCTTTCCTGTCTTTGACATTTATAGTCTTGCGGCTTCCGAAATTGAAGTAACAAAGCCCCGATCAAGACGAATAACCCTCCAATCTAGAACGAAGCAACTCCAATGGCAAAACGCAATACTTTGGAAGGCAGGAACCAGAACAATGATAGCCGTACGTTTTTAAAGTAACCAATGCAGCGTATACCTTGAACTTCTTGACTGACCGACAAATTCCAGGGCTAAGCTTTCCAAAACGCATACTTGCCATATTTGTATTTCAATTGCTGTTCTTCGGTATAGCTCTGGTGATGCTGAACCTGAGCCATGGGAAATATGATCTCACGCTGAGGTTCAACGATATACCATGGTGGCAGCTATTTTTGTGTTTCGGATCCGCGAATTTGTGTGCTGGGATAGCTTGCGATAGAGTCGGACTTGGTAATCGAGTGTGAGGATTCAGTGTGAGGGGACTTAGTCAGAGACAGCTTCTGAACATGGCATATGTGAAATTGATTCAATTCGCTATTCCATGACAGATCTGGGCTCTACTTTCTGATTACGCTCTCTACCAATTTGGCTGCTCTCAATGTATCTTCGTCATGGTAATGCTTGCCAACGAGCTGCAAGGTGATAGGCACGCCATGGAACAGCTCTGGATCATCTAAAAGTCCGATTAGTGTCTGGGTACATTCGGAGGGTTATTACTAAATGAGACTTACAAGCTTCGTATTCCTCCTTGTCTTTTGCATTCAGTGGCGAGTAGCCCTCTTCTACGACATCCACGCTCTTGTCGACGTCCATACCGGTAGGGAAAACCACAGCAGGTTGATCGAGGATGTTCCACAGACTTGTGTAGCCCCAGTACTTGGCTCCGTGCTGCTTGACGCCTGCACCCACGTAGGCAGGACACAAGATGACATCGACACCTCTCTCCTTCATCAAAGCATGATACTCGCGTCTATACGTCTCGCGCATGACGTTCAAATCCCAATTCTCCGAGATAGAGATTGCTTTCGAATAGTTCAGAGCGTGCTGTGTGAGAGGAAGCATAGGTTCGCCAGAGTCGGCAAGAGCGTCCAAGATGCGCTTGCCGCCGTCGGGGAAGTAGAGGGCTGACACGATATCCCAGGCGTGATCGTGCTTATAGTTTTCCCAGTCGACGACATTTACACCGGCAGCTTGAAGCTTGGATTTGGCGGTCTCGAGTGCTCTGAGAATAGGGGGGTGAGGCTTTACGACTCCATCGGTCATCATGATACCAACTGTGATGTTCTTCGGAGTGTCTAGCTCTCCCTTCCATGGTAGAGGGGCCAAGGTAGTATCGATATCATGAGGATTCTGATCAATAAGTGCCTGTTGGAACAGCCAGAGATCATCAATACTTTGACCAAGGGGACCTATAACACCCTTGATACTCTCCTGACCGCCAAGTACACCATGCAACCCCAGTGTAGGATTGCGTAGAGTAGTTGGTCGAAGTCCGTAAGAGTTGTTGAAAGCAGCTGGAGCACGGATACTGCCACCGATGTCCGTACCAACACCGAGAACAGCACACTTGAATCCCATCGAAGCTCCCTCACCACCAGACGATCCACCGGGAGAAAGCTTGAGGTGATATGGATTGAGTGTAGTTCCGGTGATGTTGTTCTCACAGTCGAGATGCATCAGTGATTGCGGCTGATTGGTCCGTACTGTGAAGACTGCACCAGCCTTCTTGAGCAGCTGAACCAGCAGCGCATCTTCCTTGGCCACATTGCCGATTTGACTCACGAAGCCAGCGTGAGTGATCTTTCCACCGTATGAGACATGTTCCTTGACACTGATAGGAACGCCGTGAAGTGGACCAATCAGCTTGCCAGTGGTCTCGAAATGCTTATCGAGAGCCTTCGCCGTCTCTAATGCCTCATCTGTGAGGAACTCGGTTACAAAGTTGAGCTATCCGTTGTCAGGTCATCATACAAAGGTAATGTTGTAGATTAAACTCACGAGTTGTTGGCCAATCGTTGCTCGCTTCAGGAACGCAATGATGACTTGCTCGACCTTCCACTCACCAGATTGATATTTGCTCAATAGTCCAGCGGCGGTTTGTTCAGTCATGTGAAGCTCCTCATCAGAAAGGATGCCACATGTATAAGGTACTTGAGTGACGTTATGAGACTTGGTTGGAAGCTTCTCGGAAGGTAGAAGCCATTGCTTTGGAATAGAGTTCTCGAGGATATCACGGCAGATCTGCGCCTTGCGTTCCCAGTCTTTTGCTGCGGGCATGGTAAATGTGTTTGATGTTTGTAGTATGTTAGAAAACTCAAGTCTTGGTTCTATGTGTGCTAGAAAAGAAAGAAAGAGGACTGACTTGCCTGGGAGGATAAGTAAACACCTACCAATGCTGTCCTGACGAAGCCAACAGTCCATAATAGGCAAGTTGATGCGGCGCGGCCGACATCTGTTCTCCACTCAGCTTTGACGGCGTGCGTATCAGATAGCCATGTCATGATAACGTTTTGATAGGCCTTCACACGGCCAACTTTGCGCGTGTCCCCAGTGTTTCTACTGAGCTTTGATAGAGAAGATAAGAGTGTAGATCGAGCAACAGGAGGGGGCGGAGACTGGAGATTGTGTGGATCCGGGTCTTGGCGTCGGCACTCAGCTTCTTGCGGCGATACTCGTGCTCTTTCCTGATGTATTGCACTCTGAAGCAGGGAGATAGCGAGTCACTGAAATCCAGTGGCGGCAGAAACAACTCAATTGCAGTGTTGTGTCAGTCATGCTTGGCACTAGAAAGCCTTGAGTAGGCCTATCTCGAAATAGCAAGCAATGATGAATCCTATCAGTTGCATCTGGGCATGATAGGCAATCATGCAGGTAAGATGCTCCTTCCTCTGTGCAAATATGCAAGCTCAAAAAGACCACGATTCGCTTAGATCGATTCTCGGATTTGAGCATTGCTTGACTTTGACATTCCATCATGTCCAGCAACATTCACGACGATAACATTGCACCTGGCACCGTCAGGCTCATTGACGCCAATGGTGAACTCAACGTCAAGCACTCTGCGGGCCATGGCGACATTGTCCTTGTGCCAACGCCGTCTGGTCAGGAAACCAGATCAATACAAAACATCATTCTCATAACTAACTTTTATTGCAGACGACCCGGAGGACCCTCTCAACTGGACAAAGAAGCGCAAGCTATTACAGACTGCATGTATGGTCGTGTATACAGTTATGATGGTCTTCCCGAGTGCTGCTGTCTATTCAGTCGCCAAGTCAGTTTACCTTAAGTTATCACATCTCATCTGACCAGTCGCTCACAATATCAGACCCATATCAACGTCAACTGGAATCAGTATCACAACAATTAATCGAGGCACTGGCGTTATGTTTCTCTTGTACGGCTGGAGTACAATCTTCTGGCAGGCCGTAGCTCTCCAGTATGGTAAGCGACCGGTATACCTTGTCTCCGCGGCTGCCTCAGTTGTCGTCATGGCTGTTGCACCGATGTGTCGTTCTTCCGGCACTTATCTGGCAATCAGAATCATTCAGGTAATAGCGTTCACCTCGAAAAGCCGAACACGTTGTACTGATTAGCTAAGGGGTTCTTTGGTGGACCGGTCGAAAGTCTTTGTGAAATCAGTATGACCGATATCGTGAGTGAAATCTAGTTCTTCGTAGCACAAGGCCAGTACTGATGAGCTATAGTGGTTTGCACATGAAAGACCTCTCTACATAGCTTTATATGGCGTATCGCTCGGCGCATCCGGCAAGCTAGCTCCAGTGTTTAGCGCGTTCATTAACAGTGGAATGGGCTGGGAATGGACCCTGGTACGTACATGAAACTGCTTGGGCAGTATTTCTGCAGCACGATCCTGACGACATGCAGTGGTGGTGTGCTATAGGCATCGGCATCGCTTTCATTTTTTGTCTTTTTCTCATGGAAGAGACAAACTACGACCGACGTACAACACATTCGTCATTGTCTAGTTCGCAAGCTAGCTTGGAGGTTGTCGGCGACTCTACCCTCTTCACGTCCGAGAAGGATGCCGCCAAGGATGGTGTACATGTCAGCGACCCTGCATCACTAGATGACAAGAAACATTCCGAAGATCACAACCCTATCGATCCAGCAGCCGCAGAAGTGGGACAAATCGCATACCCTCGAAAGACTTACTGGCAAAAACTCAGCGTGGTCGACAAAAAGCGACCAAATCGCATGCTGGATATCATGGTGGCACCCTTCAAGTTCTTCAGATTTCCCTGCGTGGTATTTGCGGGTGCAATGTATGGGCTACAAGGTTTGGTGTATCCTGGAATCCTTAACGCCACAGCCAGCGTCACCTACACGAACAGCTACTATCACTTTTCCAGCGATGCAGTGGGCTTTGCTTACTTCGCGGCCGTCGTAGGCATGATTATCGGCTCCATCTGGGTGACTCTCGCAGGACCATGGCTCGTCATCAAGCTGGCACGTCGTCGGGGTGGCATCTCCGAGCCAGAAGATATTTTGTGGCTGTTCACCGCCTCATTCATCGTGGTCCCGTTCGCACTCATCTTGTGGGGCGTTGGCTCAACGTACCACGTGCATTGGTTTGGGTTGGTCTTTGCTCAAGCTATACTAGCTATCTCGAGTACACTGTGTCTGTCTACAGCTATTCAGTATGCGACAAGTGCTTATCGAGACCTGAGTGGTGAGTTGATCACAACCATCATCCTGATTAGGAATACGCTTAGGTACGTGTCACCCTTGGACGTCGATGGACAGGAGACTAACAAAGAGGCTCTAGCTTTGCCATCAACTATGGCATCAACCCTTGGATCGAAGCAATGGGAACACGAAACACGTTCATCACAGCGGCAGTGATAGCATTTGTGCTCAATGGCACCATGTTCTTGATCATCCCATATGGCCGCCGACTTCGCGAACACAGTGCGAGAAGATACTGGACCTATGTTGAGAAGGCAAGAGCCAAGGGATTAGGTCATTAGAATTAGTGAGGATCAATCAAGCTTCAACTCGCAGGGGGGTAAACTCCTTCATCAAGGTCTTTGTTCGCGATTTTTCAGTTTAAGGTGTCGGGGGCCGACGGGTAGGGTTTATCAAACGACGTAATTCTGGTCATACGATGTCACAGGCCACAGATACCAGAAAAACATGGTGTTTCGAAAGCTCCATGTAGAGTGGAACCAGCTCCGGCTTGTGAGGAATCAAAGAGGGGCAGGGTAACGGTTACCGAGGTGTTCGCAGCCGACGTTGCAGGGTCCATGTCGATCATTGCCAAAGCTCCAAACAGCTCGACCTCCCCACCTCCTTCTCACCTGCAAGCCACGAAAGGTACATGCACACACACTGTTTCAATGCTGCCTATTTCGGTCCGCAACATGAAGGATGCAGGACTTGGGCTCCGCCATGCATGATAACAATACAGTTAGGGGGATGAGAAGAACAAAGGATTGTCATCTGAACGCCCTCCTCGATCGCTTCGACTGACTTGGACCCCTCAATGTCAGCCACGTCCAGGGTAAAGTTTAAGACAGCTAATGATGAGGAGAAGGCATCGGATCTGCCCTTAGCATGCATCCGAATATCGCTCAGGGCGTATGGACACTATAAAGTGAGTGCCCTTCTCGCTCTCCCTGATCATGGGCCTTCGTCCACTTTGTTGTGCTCTCCCAACTCCTCATTGCCCACTTCCGGTTACCCGTCTTTCCAAGACTACAATTACCCCATCGGCTGTTCATACACGTATACGTACAGAACCTATACCACTACTACACACACCCTTTGGGTCGACTATGCATATCGACCAGATCATGTTCGGCACCTGCAACACCTCCAAACCCACCGTCATCTTCGTGACCGGCGCCTGGCACCAACCCCACCTTTACGCACCCCTCCTCGACGGCCTCAAAAAGACCAGCTTTCCCGTCGTCGCCCCCTCTCTCCCCTCCGTCGGTGGCTCCTCCGAAGACGACTTCGCTCACGATGTGCGCGTGATCCGCAAAGCTATCGCCGAAGAGGTAGCCCAAGGCCATGAGATTATCGTCCTGATGCACTCGTATGGCGGTATGGTGGGCAGTGCAGCCGTCCAAGGCTACGCAAAAGAGGAAGTCAGAAGTGGAGGTGGAGTCATACGGATGATCTACCTCACAGCCTTCGCCATGGATGTAGGACTTTCACTCATGGACGGTCTGAACGGCACACCACTCCCCTGGTTCGCTTCCGCAAACGCGCATCAATGGGCCGCAACAAATACATCTCAAATCTTCTACAACGATGTGGATCCCAGCATTGCGGATCCCCTGGCCGATGAGTTGGATCTGCAGAGTAAAGCTAGCTTCGAAGCTAAGCAGACGTATGCGGCGTGGAAGTACATCGACAGCACGTATATTGTTTGCGAGTTGGATAATGCGATTCCGAAGCAGGCGCAGGTGGCTATGGCCAGTCAGCCCGGCGGCAAATTCACGATCGAGTATTTGGAAGCTGGACATTCGCCTTTCTTGTCCATGCCGCAGAGTACGGTGGAGACGATTAGAGAGATTTTGTGGGAGCCTGTGTAGATGACATGGAGCTTATGGTTTGCGAATCAACCTTCTCTCCATCTCTTTACTTTCTCTCGCGATATTGTCGTGATCGGGGGGCGTAGATTTTGGTGTAGCCTAGAAGATTGTATGCTATCATCTGGATGAAATGTTCTCTTGATCTTCTTGGCTATCTATATCTTGCTATTGTGCTTAATGGTCTCGAATCAATTGTGTCTGCATTGGCAATGAACTGTGACTTTGAGAGGTCTTGCACTCGCTCGCATGGAGCAGCCCAGAGATCCTCGAGGCCAACGGAATGCTTGGACGACGTATGCCCTCATCTCATGCCCACAGATTCCAAAACTCATGCGAAAATTCCGCATGAAGGTAGTCGTCGCTTCTGCTTCGATGAGCCGACAGGTTCGCAACCGCGGATGTGTCAATTTTCGAACCATCGGTGTCGAACGAGAGGCCACAGACCAACTATCAGCCGAAGTTCTGGAGGAAGATGCATGAAGAGGAAGACGGCTTTGCGTGCAGTCATCTTCGATTGTGTAAAATGTCTGGTGAGCTTCTGTGATTGGAGATATCTCCATGGACTGTGAGGCGGCTTTATTCGTAGCCTCTGCCTTGCTCGCCCGCGTGATTGCCATCAACTTGGATTTGTGTAATTTAGAACAGCAAAGAGGGAGATACTTTTGCATTTGCAGAGCTTTGTGAACAATATTTGATGCCCCGAGGTCAGACTTGTTTGGAGTGGTTTTAAGTAATTTGCGATTGGTTTGGAAGTTCTTCATGCGGTGATTGCTGCAAATGCGTGTACATCAATCTCGAGTTGGAATCCCGCTCAACGATGAGTATTCTTCGATGTCATGTACTGCACAAGCAGGCGTGAGCACGCGAGAGATTTTTTCATGATTCCCAGAGTTGATCAATTCTGTGACAAGGGCATCCAAGAAGACCAGGTTAAATCTCGCGCGCGTATCATGAGTCCTCATTAGAGATGTGATTGTTGCTGTCATCTCGTCTGCAACATCGTTGGTTCGAGTCGGATCCCAATGGATTATCCTGACCGTGACTTTGTCACGCTGCAACTAATTGTAGAAAGACGGCGACGCCAACACATAGATGCGTATGTTGTTCATGTTGCCAAAAACACTACCTGCAAGTTTTTTGTGCAGGAAGTCTGACCAGTCAGTGTTTGTCTGGTCACACGTATCGCCTGAAAATCGAAGCACAGGTTTGGTCCAATATAAAAGACGGTCCGTGTAGTGTCGTTCAAAAAGCATGCTGATGCCGCTGCGTGGTATATGGTATACATGAATGAACAGATAGAATTTCCGTCCAAGCACTGGCGAAGCTTCTGATTCAATGGATTTTGAGGTGGCCAACAGAGGGTGGTTTGATTTTTGCTCGGCACTAGAATCGAAAAGATGGCCATAGATCATCAGTCGAATTTCCGGGGGAAGGTCCATGAAAGGGAAGCTGGCTCTGCGTGCTGCTGGCAGAATGCTGTCTGCCTGTGAGGTAGTCATCTGGTGGAGTCTTGCTTCGCTTCACGCAAAAATGGGAGAAAGAGTTGAAGAAATGAGAATGGTGGTTGGGCATCTGTATTTGATGTTCTCGGCTACCCGCAGTTTGAGTCAGTTTTCTGCATCCAGATTGGACCCCTTCTGAAACATTCAAGCATGTATACAGCATCACCTCACGCGTCGTGTTAGTAGGGGAGTTAACTCCGTGACCATCCGGTCTATCAATGAAGGCGAGAATGGGTTTGGGCTTTCAATGGGCCCAAACACAGCCCGAACTGATCTTTCCAAATCTGGACGCAGCGATTCGCGTAAGCAGATGGTGCGTATAACATTTTTCCCATCCTCGAGACCAATTATGACACAGGCGTCCTGGACGGTCAGATGTATGCATAGATTGTCCATGTTACTGAAAACTCGGCTTGCTAGTCTTGTCTTGAGGAAGTTTGGCCATTCATGCAACCTGGCGAACGAAGACGTGAGAGCATGTCCGGATTTGAGTATATGCGAGTGATCGAATTTGCGGACAAGTTCCAGCTCGACATAGGATCCATGTCCTCCGATTATAGACACTGAGACGAGAAGCTGGCGCATCAGGACCGGCAAGCATTCTGCTTCAATGATTTTCGAGGTGACCAACAGGGGATGGTCCCATCGCTGTTGATTTCTTTTCATGAATATGATGGTATAGATCATCACCCGTACCTCAGGAGGTAGATTCATGAGCGAAGGACTGATCTTGACGGCGATCATTGAGACAGTGTTCGAGAATATTGAGGCCGTTACAATACTCGGATAGCAACAAAAGGACCAGCAAAAAGGAAGGGGCAATTAGCTTGGAGTGGAAGTACTAAAGATTTATCAGCAGCAGGTGTTCAGGAAAGTCATAGAATGGTCAGTCATCTAGGTTAGCTCAGACCATGCTTAGCAAGGCTCATCTCAATGAGCATGTAAAGTGGAGAAGTGAGTATTTTGAGCCGGATGGTTGAACTCGGAGTTGCAATACTCCGTAGGCTCTGTTGATAGGGCTGCGGGCTTTGATCTGTGTCTGGGCTTGCCTACTGCTTCAATGCTCACGGTGTAAAGAGCACAACCTCTGATTAACGACAGACATGACAAAAAGATGCCCATGACATTCGAAGATGATAGATAAACAGAAGAACCGGAGATGTCGTTGGAAGTTGCAGAGCCGGCGGGATCGCTTTTTGACGGACGAGTTGAGCGGAGATCGGGAAGTGGGGCAGATTGTGGAGAAACGTCTCAGCACATGAAAGCTGGTGCTGCAGTGGGAGAAGCGGTCTCGGTCGACCGGACTGCAGAACCGCCAGTCACACCCATCTGCCACCTGCCCATTGGTCCTCGGGAGAAGAAAGAAGCAGAAAGACTTTCTTCGTAACATATTCCTCTTGTGTCCTGGCAGCTTTGTTCTCAGCCATCACCCTTCGCTTCCATCAAACATGTCTACCACCATCATCACACCTCCCGAGCCACGCACGCTATTCCCACCACTGCTGGCATGTCTTCCCACAGCATTCATGTCGCCGCGACCTCCGCCAGCACTCCTCCCTCTCCTCTCGCCCATCCTCCGCCAACGAGTCAACCTTCTCGCCGGCAATACTTCTTCCGGCCAAGGCGGCTGGCTGAACCTACTCTCCTGGTCCACCTCTCGCTCCTCCAAACTCGGCGGCAAGATTGAAAACCTACAACTCGAAGCCCACCCCGTGTCCGGCGAGCTCGAGCTCGAAGATATCGACAAAGTCGGCTACCGCAGAGTCGACGAAGAGACTCTTCAATGCTGTCTCCAGGTTGAAGAGTTTGGCCTGCTACCGGTATACATCTGGTGCGAGAATGATGCAGAAGGCGGCCAGACAGGTGGAACCACAGGATGGAGACTAGCCGAACTGCGCGCCCTCGAGGATCTCAGCGACGATATCGCCCAATGGACCGATAGCATCGCAGACGCAAACGACCTTTTCGAATCGCAATCACACCCCAACGCTCCCGCTACAACTTCATACCCTCAGCACGCTTCAGCCGCAGACGAAGACGACGACGATGATTACTGGGCTAGCTACGACAGAACGCCCAATAATAGAACACCCGCACGCACACCGGCCAAACGCGCTAGTCCCGCTCCTCAAGCCAGTGCTGCTGCCACATCAAGCAACCTCGGTCCCACAAAAGAAGAGTTGGAATACTTTGCCCGCTATGCAGAAGAAGTGCAACCAGCGCTAGACGACCACGACCCTGATGAAGAGACCCCTGAAACCGCAAACTCAACCCTTCGTGGCGGCGAACTGAGCGAGCAAAGATCAGTCCCCACACAACCAGCAGGAGAGCCCAACATAAACCCAGCTCCCCCTATGTACGCCTCTTCCAACAACGAGTTCAACAACGCACTACAAAAAGAGCAAGCAGAATTGGAAGCGCCACGACCCACCAGTCCAGCAAGCAGTGTCGATAAACTAGAAAGAGGTGCCGAAGACATGACAAGAGCAGAAGTCGGCGTCAAACAATTCATCAGCACAGAGATGAAGAGCATGTACCGCTTGGCAAGAAGCGTAGGCATGGGAAGAGAAGAATTCGAGAGAATCATCAAGACGGAAATTGACGTTTTGGGTATGCTCGAGGCTGACGATTGAGGCGTTGCATATACCTGTTTTTGGCTATAGCGGGCGTTTTGCATGGTGAACTCGCGGCATAGCAAGGATGGTAGGTGTGTATCTCTGATTCTTATAGGATACCAGATTTTATAGATTTCCGATATGGAGGCAATGTTGCAAGACATCTCATCCACCCATCTGACTTGCGAATCCACTTCATAAGAAGGCACAGCGCTTTTCAGTATCAGAGCAATGTCCAGTGAGAGCAGCGTTTTCACAAAACCTCCTCCTAAGCCCCTTTTTCCGATCGAGGAGAGGAAAACTCGACAAGGATATTCCATCAGACCTCTATCTACATTTCCTCAAGCCCGTCATCAAGCCCATCATTAAGCCCATCATTAAGCCCATCCTACAACGCACATTCTACCTCTCAAACCAAAATCCTAACCTCCACACCCTTTTTCCCACCATACAGCACACTCCCATCCCTCCCCCAATGAAACAAACAACTCCCACACCCACTCCTAGCCCCAAAAGGATTAATCTCCACCACCTCCACATTTCCCCCTGCAGGACAAATACCCTTAACCACGATGTCGAAGCTGAAACCCCAAGTTTTGAGATCCTTATAGATACCCTTTTCCAAAGCCGTGGCGAGGATATCTTGCAACGAGGCAGTGGCAAAGCTGACCGCGAGATCGATAACGACACGGGGGGTAAAGCGGTCGCTGGGGAAAGGCAAGTACCAATGATATTGAGAAATAGCCGTGATTCTTGCATTTTGTGATTTCCAAGGAGGTACAAAACAGCGGAATTCGACGCCTTGGTTCATCATGATATCCCAGGGATGTAGGAAAAGGTGGATAGGTTTGTCATCTTGGACATGGGCATCAAAATCACCTCTGGCGCGGTTGGAGGTGGAGAGACATAGGATGAGTTCGCCTATGGAAGAGATGGGTAGGTTTTGTTTTTCCGAATCTTTGGGTGAGCAGTCGTCCATACGTGCGAACCATTTTCTGCCAGTTTGCAGTTTAGTGACGAGGTTGGATAGGGGTTTGGAGGATAGGAAGGCGAGCTTGATGTCATCTAGAGTGGTGGCGTTTATGTTACCAGTGATGAGGTAGGAGGTCTGGGCAGAGATGATTTCCTTCGCCAGCGAGATAGGAAGGACAGCGGTACAGATGTTGTCCTTGTCGAGGTTCTGGGAGCGCTGGACTAGAGCGGCAAAGTGGGAGAAGGAGTATATACCACGAGGTGGTTCAGAGAGTGAAGTATCAGGACCGACGATATTACGTAGAGTGGCGATCTCTTCGTCAGTGGCCATGCAAGAGTTGAACAGGGCAGGCGAACAGTCCTTAGTAATGACGGATGCGTCGTAAGTGGTAATGGTCAGACCATTGTCGCAGTGTGTGGTCACTGTGCGATCCATCTTGTGGTGAGATCGTACGAGTCGGAAGATGTAAGAGTCGTAAGGCCTGTCAGATCGTAGGGGACGGTAAGATCGTAAGGCTTGTGAAATCGTAGAGGTCGTAAGATCGCCAGGGTCGTAAGGTCGTAGAATTTGTACAGTCGTAGTGGTCAAGATCGTATGGTTGAGAGGTTGTACGGGCTGGCGCTTTTTACGAAGGCGACGATGAATGTCAGCGTTCGACCTGGTATAGCAGCGGTGAAGCGCACGTTGAAAATCACTCAGCATATGACTAACCAGATGAGTGACGGAGCGCAAAGCGCCACCACGTGGCATCCAAGGCGGTAAATGTAGAATATTCCAGCAGAAAGACTTCACAAACGCATGCTACCTCATTATGCAATAGTCACTGGTGAGGAATCGGCTCCAAATGCTCCTTTTCGGGTATGCAGGACAGGCAGACAAAGGGAGAAAGAGAAGATGAATTTGAGAAAGGTGATTACGGCAGCCAAAAGCAAGGGGGTATTCGCTATATACAACAAAGAAAACTGCAGTTGGAGGGAAGGCGTGTGTATCGTAGTCGTCGATCCTGAACCTTCAAGCAGATTCCTGCGACAACGGAATGTCGTGGTTGCTCGATTTGCTCGACCTCTTCGAGGGCTTCTCGGCCATACTAACACCGTTGTGAGCCATGACACGGTTGATCAAAACTCCTGGATGCAGGATGTTAAATGCTATGACAAGTGCCGCCATGGGTGCGCCGTCAAGGGCGAGGAAGTATCGTTCTGTCTCAATGACATGGCCACTCCAGCCGCCAGCAAGTTCGACAGTACGGTAGATGCTTCTCATGATGATCAAAAGAATCGAGAAGGAGGTGACCAAGACCAGAAGTTTCATGTCCTTATCATTCTTGAAAGCGGGAAGGCTCAGCTTTACAGCGGCTCTGTAGAGGAACAAGAAGAAGAGGACGCTGAAGATGACGACCGAGGCGAGTTGAAAGTCGATACCAGCGACCATGATGTTGGTGCCAACCTTGGTGTTCCCAGGTGGAGTCGAGTTGAAGGCAACGGCAGCAGAACCTCCGCCAACAGCTTGAATGACGAGAGAGATGACATCGACAGTGCAGAAGATCCAGAGATACCAGGTAGGTCCGATGGGGCTGACTCCAGGGCCAGCAATTGCGATCATGCGACCCAGGATGACATAGATTCCGGCGGTGAAGAAGGTAGGTGCTGTGCAAACGTCAGTATAAAACCGAAACAGAGCATGATCTCGGAGTGCATACCAATGATCAAGGTGCAGATCTGCATCAGGAAAGCGTTTGCGTTGTATGGACATTCATTTGACCAAGATCGAGCAGCCCAACCAAGTACTTCGGCTGCGAGAACAGATTAGCAAAGTGATTGAGGGCAAATCACGACTGCGAGACTGATTGTGCAGGACGGCAAACGACACCAAAGCGAATGACCTGCATCAGCCCGCCGGCATGCCGCTCGAGCGACGTTCTTCGGGAGAGCATGACCACACCGATGCGGTTGTACTGTCCCAAGTTCGCCGCAGACGGCAACGGCCTCGTGATGGTACAATATCGGGCTTTGCATGTGGAACGAAGGGATCGGTGGTGAACATACTCAAACAGCCGATGGCGAATACCAGATTCCAGAGCGCTCTTGTCTTGATGGCCTGGAAGACATGGAAGAACATGGACAGTCCGAAAAGGACGCAGTAGACGATTCCGGCAGCGAGCGAGGGCACATATCCGTAGGCAGTTCTTTGCAATGGGTTGTAAGCCTCGCAGCCAGTCGTCCCGATAGCCATGGCTCTTTAAATCTCTTTTTCTGCAGTGATCCGACAGATCCGGAAGGGAAAAGTGACTGGCGATGAAAGATGAAAGATTGATTGTGACACAAAGTTGGCGGTGTCTTTTCTTGCAGTAGCAATGATGTTGAAGAAGGCGGAGGAGGTGCGGTGAAAGGAAGATGCGGCGGCCAACCTACACTTGCCGTTGGAGACTTGCCTACTTTTCTATGTAATCAGGCCAAGGGCACACTTCGTGACATTTGTGCCTTTCCCGAGATCACATCCATCAAACGGGTGTGTCGGTTCACCCTGCCCTGCCGGACACATGCGCAAAATGGCATCGCTTGCGAAAAACTAAGCCTGATTTGTATCTAGCGTCTCATCTGACAGAACCTAATGCCTAAATCCTCCCCTCGTATCTCGTACTCGGATTCGTACATCCTCTCATTCGCAACCCTTTCTGTTCACGAACAATGCACGTGGTTTACACTTTTTGCTACACGACATGTTTGCATCACATCTTCTATTTGCACTGCCTATAGCCGTTGCCAGGATGAGTATGAGGGTATATGTGCTTCTACTATTCGATCTATGGCCCGGCATGTCAGATCGGTAGCGCTGGTCGATTTATTAATATCGGCATCTTGGTTACTCGGGCGAAAGATTGGCCGGAAGGAATATCTGCTGCCACACGACTCAGCCTGGTAGAACAATGCGACAATGGATTGTAAGGTATGATGCGCTGGAGGACACAGCCGTGTTTGCCTTGTTCTTGTCACATTGCTGTACCATTCTTGCAGCCTCCTATGGAAGGTGGCCGGTGTATCCCACGCTCTGTTGTCTCAGGCTGAGTATTCACAAGTACGTCTTTCGCAACTCTCGCTGGATCTGTTCGACCAGGCCCTGGGTAATCTTCTGTCCTCGTATGATCAACGTTGCAGAATCGATCAACAGCAACCTGAGTTTGGTGTGATTGGCGCGGCTGGAACATCAGGGTGTTTGAATGAATGTACAATTGCTGTTACTTCTATTTACAGATAAGGCTAATCGTCCGCCTTCTCAATACCCATCTCCTCTCTGAGCTTTGTGATGGCCTCGCGGATCATGACAGATTCCTTCTGAACTCGCTTCAGTTCCTGAAGATCCTTCTTGATCTGTGCATGAGGATCATCGACCACTTTGCCGGTAGTCATGTCGATGGCGCCAAGTCCTGGGTCCTGCAGAGCGGCAACGGCTTGCTCGGAAAGCATATCCATTTCGGCGCGAGCGACTTCGTTCTCATGGTCAAAGTCGTCGAGCAGACGGCGTGCATGTTGGGGTATTGGTTCAATCTCAGGCTTCTGGGGCAACCATTGTTGACCGTTCTCCAGAGCTTTGAGTTGAAGTCGTGTCTTCTGTGAGTCGGCAATGCACCAATCCAACCGTGAGATTTCGAGGTATGTTTGAGTGTGTAGGTGACCCATGAGTTCGGCATCAACGCGACGCTGCTCTCTCTCAAAGTCGTCTTTGTCGGTGAGATACAGGTCGTTCTGCTTGGATGCAAGTGTGTAGAACAGCATCGATGCTTCGTTTGCTAGGCGTGACCGTCTTTCTTTTAACGTCTGAATGTGAGACTCGATCTGTTCGACGCCGTCGGTACCGGGCTGCCACTTGTAATTTGGTTCGGGGAAGAAGACACGCTCTCCTTCGCGCATCTCGCTGAAGTGTGGTTGTGGGTCTTTTTCGTCGACATCCTCCTCTTGAGCAGCTTGTGCGGCCTCTTCGGCAGCAGCATGCATCGCTCTGACCATAGCGTTATTAGAACCTCCAACATTTTTGAGCATATCGTTCATGGAAGTCATTCCTGGTTGCTTCGGGTTGTCGGGGCTCAGACGACTTTCGGTGAAGGCACGAGACTCGACAAAACGCTTCACGTCCTCTCTCCACATCATACGTTGTGATTGTTGTCTAGCGATGGTCTCCATAAGGGTAGGTGTTGTGCTGTAGTGGTAGACCTGGTTGAAGGATGCGCCGACAAAACTGCCGCAGCTGAAGGCACCTAGCCAACGCTGCCAGCCTGTAACTCCCCATGGCTTGCGCACAGAAGCAGCGGCTCCGATTCCGAGAAGGCCTCCTACAAGAATGTAGTTGTCGGCGTCAATGGCGAAAGGACGATCGATTATTTTTTGTTTGGGCACTTCGCATCCTTTGCTCTCGAGGTAGGGCTTGGCTATTGTGTGGCCGGCGTAGCGCTCGAGGGCAGTGGTAGGGATCCCGAAAAGAAGCGTAGTCCAGGCGGCGGTCTTGAGGCCTGCGGAGGGCGAGCGCTTCGTGACCAGCATGATAGCAGCAGCAACGGCACCGGCGCCACCAGCCCAAAAGGGCGCTTTCGTCAGGGCGGACTCATTGAAAGGTGAGGGTCTGCTGGGGTAAGCGGGATGAATCCCTTCCCAGTTGGGTGGTAGAACTCTCATGGGTTATGCTGAGACATGGAACTTGTCGACACGTTCAATTGGAAACTCGAACTTCGAGAACGATGATGGAACCGACTTGCGCACTGACGCTGGAAAGCACAAGCCAAGTCAGCCAGAACGTTCTTGCCTTCTCGGTTAGATCCGAGATCTAGATCTGCTCCGAGCCTTTGCGTCGCATTTCTTGAGGAAAGCACTGCGACGTCACCAACCTACAACAAACCCTCGCGTAGTGAATCGCAGTCATGTCAGGAGGTGACAGCCACAGTCGTGGTCAGAAGCGCAAGCTCGACCAACAGGATGGAATGGAGCTACTAGGCACTGGCGCAACACTCGCACGCCTGAATGGCGACGGCGACAGCAACCAATACGCGGATCCACCTGCGATGCTTCAGGGCGGTACCAGCGACGATGGCGGCGAGTGGACGACGGTCGACCGCAGCTCGAAACGCCACAAGAGGAGCATACAGCAGAACTACCCTCAAATCACACATGCGCCGAACGCACGCCTTCAATCATTCGTCAAAATCTCCGACCTTCAGAACCTTGTGCTCTATCTGCTCGCTGATGGCAGTGGCCCACAATGGATCAGCGTACGCCATAAGAAAGATATCGAGCGTGTCGTTTGCCTAATGGTCCCTGGCCTCGAAGCTGATATGTTCAACGCCAACATCTCTCTGGACCCTCAGCAAACGAGTGCTGCAGTCGTGCCTGAAGCCAAGTCGGAAAATGCAGAGACACCGCCTTCGAAGAAGCTCAAAATTACCATCTCGCCAGATGACTACTACCCGGTTAAGCTCGTGTCGCCTAAACTACCCACGCCTCTTCAACCATTCGCTGAGATGTTCCCGCATATTTGGCCTGTCAAGACACCTGGAGAATTCAACCGCATGCACTCACCGCTACAAGCTCTGTTGACATCGCCTCTACCCAAGGCAAAGGATGAGAAAAAGATCAAGGGCCCCAAGCCCCCAAGAGAAGGAGCGAAATGGCAGAATCAGAGGACACCCATCACCGAGTTCCTGGCAACCAGAGAGGAGCTCACGGATAATGGATACGCTATCCATCCCGCATACTTGCGTACAGAAGCCGAGCGTGCGGCAGAGAAGGCCAGGCGCCACAAGCATTGTCAATCAGAAGAGGATGGCTGGATCAACCTGCCTGACATCTCAACCCTCGATGAGGGCATCGTTCCGTCGGATGATATCGAACAGGGCAGCATTCTTCAGGGTCGTAAGGTTTTGACTGTTGATTGTGAGATGATCACTACGTCGGTAGAGAGATTCGCTCTTGCTCGTGTGTCATTCATCGATTGGGATGGCAATGTTGTGCTTGATGAGCTCGTCAAGCCTCCGGGCACTGTTACTGACTATCTGACACAATATTCTGGCATCACCAAGGAGATGATGGAAGGAGTGACTCAAACCCTCGAGGAACTGCAGGCTAAACTGAAAGACGTCCTTACGCCACGCACGATTCTACTTGGTCACTCTCTCGACTCTGATCTCCGCGCCCTTCGCATGTCTTTCCCATTCATCGTCGATACCACACTTATATACCCTCACCCCAAGGGTCCTCCCCAAAAGTCATCGCTCAAGTGGCTCACCCAGAAGTACCTCTCTCGCGAGATTCAGAACCGCGGTCCTCAAGGTCACGACAGTGTCGAAGACGCCAAAGCTTGTCTTGATCTTGTTAAGCAGAAGTGCGAAAAGGGCAAGATGTGGGGAACCTCCGAAGCTACAAGCGAGAGCATCTTCAAGCGCCTGAGCCGTGCCGGTCTCGAAGAAGATAGAGATGAGGGCGGCATGCTTGCTGAGGAAGAGCAGAAAGTCGGTCGTACAGGCGCTGTAGTCGACTGGGGTGACCCGAAGCGCGGATTCGGCTCTGCAGCTACATGCACTGTAGCATGTGAGAGCGATGCCGACGTGGTTGCAGGGATCGACCGTACGATCAACGGCACTCGGGATGACGAAGAGAATGCTGAGCATATACCCGCTGGCGGCTGCGACTTTGTATGGGCGCGTCTGAGAGAGCTCGAGGCCTTGCGCGGCTGGTGGACCCGCACGACTTCCGCGGACGCAGCAGCACGCCTCGCCTCAACCCTAGCCACCAACGGCGCCTCAGAAGGCGAAAACATCAGCACCTCCTCCCTCGCCGATGCCGTCTCACGCACCACAGCATCAGTAAAAGCCATCTACGACTCCCTACCCCCCAAAACCGCCTTCATCGTCTACTCCGGCGGCGGCGACCCCACCGAAATGCGTCGTCTGCAGAGTATGCAACAACAATACAAACGCGACTTCCAAACCATGAAATGGGATGAATTACCTATCAAATGGACGGATGTGGAAGAGCAAGAACTCAAAAGGGCCGCTATGAAGGCTAGAAGTGGTGTTGGGTTTGTGGTTTGTAAATAGGGAAGGTACGATGAGAAGAGGAAAGAGCGGGCTTTGCTGGGTGGCAGAGGGGTGAGAAAAGTAGCTGGTGTAACGCAAAGTTGCTTTCGATGTTGATGAAAAGTCCCAGTGAGAGTGGTGGATTCTTGGCCTTTCTGTAGAGGTTGAGCGAGGTCTGGATTCATTTGTGCTTTGTTGATAGTGATATTTCAGGGATGACGGGACGCGGAGAAGCGACCTTTGCTGGCCTGTTCTACCTATCACTGATGTTTTCATTCTTTGTCCATACTGTTACCAATCATTCGAGGTAGCAAGATGAGTGCGCAAACGCCCAAGCAACCCAATCCACCAAGAATGTGATGACTTATTACAAAAACCCTCTTGTGTTTACTAGCAAGAGTAGAACTACCTGAAGAGGTTCTCCTGTATTTCTACAATATCTCTTCATACAATCGTGCAAACAGTAGGAGTATTAATCATGGTTTCTAAATTGATATTCGATCGTGACAGGGTCATACCTTTGACCATATTTTTTTGCAATTGTCGATTACGTCTCGGCGCCAGGAATATTGATATAGTCATTTTAGAGATCATACGTCAAGTTTGTATAGTCTATGTTATGCCTTAGGCTGTATTAGAGCTTGTACTTTGTGCGATTTCGCCGAGATGCATGGAGTTCTATCTTTCGCTAACTTTCTGGGACCGAAATCGTGGACTAATGATGTATCCTGTCAGGGACCAAACTAAGTGGCACATCATTCGAAGGGGAAAATCCAGAACTGTGAAATTGTCTTCTAAACTCATCGAGAAAAACGCGTATGTATCACTAGGAAAGAGTGAATTTTCCAATTCTACTTGCCCGTAAGACATTAAAGGCACGCAATTATCCAAGTCGAACTATAAGAGAGATAAAATTTATGAGATGGTGGACATGACAGCAAAGCCGGGAACATATAAAGCTAGAAATTTGTCAATCAATGCTGCAGTCACAATCAGTGCCTAACATCGCAATCGACCGATAAGAAAAGAATTCGTTATGAGAAAGCGGATTGCAGCAAAAAAAGTAAATGGGATGCTTCTGCACGAGACCAAAGAAAAAACTATAGGTATGTCTCTTCTAACCAAGCGTTAGTTGTCAACATTAGTTGCGAGATCGAGCAAAAAAAGGGAACGGGGCCGAAGGCACACAGTTTAGTCGCCTCTAGACTTACAGCTTTGATGGACAAAAAAGAAAAGCACCATGGGCAGGGATCGAACCTGCGACCTCCTAGTTTATCGGGACCACGCTTGAATGAAACAATGCGCACGTGCCCAAACGTAACCAGGTATGCTACCACTACACCACCACGGCTGACTGCTTGTAAGGGTCAAGGAATATTCAGTATATAAAGGTAGGTGAGGTTGTGAGCGGCAGTGAGGGCTGGCAGTGGTGCTGACCAATGGAGTGCTGGCGTTGATGTCGTTTGAGTGAGTTTGTGGTAGACAGTCATCTTTGGGTCCACAGGCGACGTGTTATGTATTGTAATGCGAGCGTCGTAACAAAATCCTTGCTGTCCATGTCGTGGTATCGATGACGAGAGAGAGAAGCTGGGCTTAGCGGATCAATACTGACAGTCTTTCTAGAATGAAGAAACTGTGTCAAGAGGCAACAATGTTGTTGTCGGGCAAGAGGCCTTTTCGCTAGTTGACGCGCGCTGCTGTCTAGCAAAGAGTTCTCACAAGAGCGACAGACGCAAGAAAGTGAAAGCCATCGTATCTTGCGTCAATCTTGCTTTCCAAACATGGCTTGAAAGTCGCAAGGCAACCAAAAGGCACTCGACAAGGATATAAAACAGTCGATTGCGAAACATTGCCGAAGTCGTGATAAAGAGTTCTTGTTGCCAGCAAGCAACGTGAATGGAGACATGATCGGAGACCATGCGACAGTACACTCGGCCCTTGGTCCAAGCGATAGTCGATAGAGCCCGTCTTCGAACGAGCCTGGGCCCCAGAGGGAGTGGTTCCGTGTGCGCGTCGGGTTTGTCAGCTCTTCACTTGACAACTTCTCCTCAAAGCGAACCAAGGCAAAGTGAACTGATCACATTGAGTACATAGATACGACTGCTTCCACAAGTGACCCGCCTGTGTAAGCGAGGTGTGCTGTCTGAATGTGAGGACGATAGGGTTGCTGATAGCGACAATGGTAACAGCATAGCTATCGTTGTCGCTATTCTGTCGCTATTACTAGTGTGTTTGTCGCTATCTGTCGTTATTGCTATTAGCCGAGTGTTCCGAGGTGACTTGGCTAACGTAGATGGCGTCTCGTAGACCTGTAAAACATACTAATCCACTCGTTCAAATCGTGTTTAATTGTTTTAATGGCGCTAGCTACGAGTTACGCATCGCTACAGTTCAAAGATGTAGTAGTAGCGACGGTTAAAGGTCCCTTATCCCTCTATATATGGTGCCGCGAAGAGAAGGGAGGTAGACTACCGAAAAGCTATAGCAAAAGGAAGGCAGAACATCTATCTAAATGTTAGCAATTTAAGGATCATATAATAGAGGTGCTTGCGCAGAGGATAGAAGGCTATATGCTAGCAATTTAAGAGGTCGCTTAACTTTAAAAGGACTACCCTAACCTTCTCGCTTAGCTCTACGAGGGCTATAATCTTAATGCTCCTTTTAATAAGCTCGAGGCGGATAAAGCATATACCTATACGAATTACAAAGCTAGCCTCTCGTTCCGCGCCCTATTAGAGAGTTAGCATTTTAAGGAATTTATTAATATTCTGCGCCCTAGATACTTACTACCTTCGCGAGATCGACTAGCTACGGAACTGCTAAGAACTTGCTACGAGGAGGTTATAGAGAAGGTACGAGCAAGGATAATAACTAAGAAGCTAAAGATTAAGGATTAGCAGCCGTATCTAAATACTATTAGCGATAAATCTACATTAGTTAGTAAGGCGAGAATAGTCAATTTTTCACTAAATACTTAGGACGGTTAGTCTATCTACCTAGAAACATAGGATACGCGCGCTATAGACTATACCGGACCTAAACTTAAGGCCTTATTAAAGGAGAAGGTAAAGGAACTAATACTAGATAGGTTAAAAGGATAGAATAGCTATTACACTAATACCTGCCCGCTAATAAGGAATCTCTATGTGCTAATATAGACTAACCCTAACATAAAACATGTGTTTTTAGTCCTCTATGACTCCTATAGGCATTAGCTGCTCGTAAAAGACGTTCTAACTATTCCCTTCTATAGTTAGACGGCGAAGGAAGTCTAGTTCGTTAATAGCTTCCTTAGGAACTTACCGAAGTTATAGGCTAATCTTATTAAGTTAGTTGCTTCTAAAGAATCGGCGGAGGGGTTAAGGGCTCTAGCTCTATGAGTAATAACACGATAGGGCACTTAGTTTGCAGGGCTAGACTTACTGCTTAATAACATAGAGCTACTTCGGTCCTCTAGCATTATAGAGCGTAAGGATCTATAGCCGTTAGTAAAGAAGAAGAATCCGAGGACTAGTAAGAAGGAGGAATCGCCTACGTAGAGGGTCCTAAAATTAATTAAAGACGCGTATTAGTAGCGCCGAGTTAGCCGTCTTTAAGACCTTCTTAAACTAATATATAACTCTTAGATCTAGTTAGAAGCTAATAGATCTACTATCGGCATAGTTATTCCTCGATAGCGTAATATACGTAAGGATCTAGAAGTAATTAACGACTTACCTTACTAAGTAGAGGTCTTAGCGGCCTTTAATAAGCGGTTCAAAACATAAATAACTAACATCTACTAGGCAGCTTTTACGCTTAGTTCTATTACCCCTTAAGTATATAACACCTTCTCGCGCAAGGAGAGGGCTATTACGCGCCGGTTTATTAAGAAGCATGTCGCGGTCGCTAATCTCGGCGAGTTCTATAGTGTGTTTAGTTAGTTTAAAGACAAATCTAGTCCCTTTAGCGACGACGATATCTAGTAAAATAATGCTAATAACGCCTCTACCTTTTAGAGCCTCTTCTACTTAGATAAGACTAGAGTGTTTACTACGCTCGCCGAGAGGCTAGCTATTATACCGGCTAACTTAGTGCTATTAGAAAGGGCCTTCTCGAGCATAAACTTTATCTAGAGCAAGTTCCGAAGTAAGCTTAAGTTATTATTAACTAACATGCTTATTAGCATTTATTGTAACCTAAGGGCCCTTAGGCGTGTTCGCTATCTTAAGAAGCGAGCAAACGAGCGCCGAGCTCGCCGGCGCGAAATCGCTAAAGTAGAAGGCGATAAACGATATCGACTACGTATAGCTAAGCTCGATAAGATCATCTCGCTAGTTCTTATTAATCCTATTACTCTATAGGAGGTCTTAAAGGAGGTAGCAACTAAGGTGCTTACTAACTTAATAGAGCACTTCGATTACGGCGAACTTAATAATATTAGCGAGGACAATAATAACCTCGAAGTTAACTCTATTATTAATATTTTATAGGACTAACTATACAGCAATTCTTAGAGCAATTCTTAGTTATCTTAACCCTTCTAACAGAGCTAGCAATATTAGCAATATTAGCCTTCTTAACCTTAGTAATATTAGCCTTCTTAACCTTAGCAATATTAGCTTTCTTAAGATTAGTCTCGCGCATTAATGCTGCCTCCGTCCTTAATACTAGTTACTACTCTACGTAAGCGCCGCTATGTCGATTTATCGTCCCTTATAACACCTCTAAGTTCTACTTATTTAATGTCCTCCTTCGGCTCCTCTATACTAACGCTTCTACCGCTTTATAAATCCGACATCGACCCTTACAACTTTAGAGCCTCCTTAGAAACACTATCTCGCTGCTCCGTACGAGCCCTTTATAACTTAGATCTATCTACTGTCGGCGGCACCGAGGACTAAGAGAACTAACCTCCTAGTAACTCGCTACCGCCGAGCAAACCATTTAGTTAAATAACAAGAGATGTATTTAGAGTTAATAGGTTAGATAGCCAATAATCTCCCGAATCGACGTCATATTGACCTACTCTAACCCGCTGAAATGACGATTTAACTAGCATATCCACCCCCAAAACGGGCAAGCTCTGGGTGGCGAAAATCGCGCACGGGGATAGCTATGTCGCTATCCTGTCGCTATCAATAGCTATAGCTATTGCTAATCTACAGTCGCTATCAAAACGCAACCCTAGAGGACGAGGACTTGAAGACGCGTTCTTCGAACGGCAGTTGACGAAGTGATGTCGAAACAAGCGCCATTAAGCCAGAACTGCATACATTACCGCTGCTGCCGCCTACCGAACGCCTCCACCGCCACCGACAGCGGATTCAGTTGCGGCATTGCTTGTCTCATTCCCGCCAAGGAGGTTCCAAGAAATGATTTACTGGTCAAAGATTAGGTTGCGGCAGCCGCTAATCAAACATCGAGCCTTGTGGTGATGCTTCTGCATGAATTGGTGGAAGTCGTTCCTTCAAATGCTTGTCTTGAGCCCAGGCAGGTGGGCGTTTCCAGCCTTATCATTGGCTTCCGCAAACCAACGTCTGCAACATGACATCTGACGGACTGCTGGATGACGAGGACGTACACTACTGCATCCTGCACATGGATATTCTAATCGTCATGTTGTCGACATGGCTTGCTTGTACTTTTGAAAAGACTCGAGTTGCGACTTGCTGCAAGTGGAAGGGGAGAGGGATGTGCAAGTGTTCGGGAACCAAAACTTACCTGAGGGAACTACTTCCACCTCAAACGCCTCACCCGGCAGATGCTTTTGACACTCCTTCGAAGCTCTCGGCAGCTCGCATGATTGATCGATCATTGAACGCGAATCTCGCGGAATCGGACCATCCAGGAATCGAATGTATTCCTTTGATATGCCGCCCATTTGAATATCATGCCGTCCTTGCCGACGGCAATTGAACGAACGACGAGAAGGATGCCAGACAACAACGGCATTGAGCTTCTGCCGCGCGCTTCCTTAAGCACGTGGGCTATCCAAAGGTAGGTTTTCGGACCGTTCGAAAGGGCACACTTGACATCCAACGAATAGTTCGTGCTCCAGCCAAGAGATATTGCGTCCGAACATCCCATCGTTGCGCGATTCTGCGACATACGAGATGAAGGAGTTAGGCTCAACCAAGACGAGACTCAATATCTGCATTGAGGTGGATATCGAGCTCAGAGCTCATCAAGTTGAGCCTGCGAGAGGATGTCACTGGAAGCTCAGGATTGACCTCCCGGGCACCAACTCGCTTCCCCTCAATCTCACTAGGGAACTCCCCGGGATTGCAATATATTCGCGGAGCTGACCGAGCGTTCCTCCATATGTTCGTCTGATCATTGCGACAGACACTGGGGGTCCAAAACGAGATCTCAGAAAGACGGGCGGATGCTGAGACGGGATGATGCCAACATCAGCGCTTCTAACACACAAACTGTGCCGCAAGCAAGAGAAACAACCGTCCAGATCGCGCAACAATCGGTGTTGCTCGTCTGGAAGCAAAAAAAAGAACAAGGGATGATGTCTCCGGACGAGTGATCGGCAATGCATCAGACCCCACGCCACATGCAGGGCCGAGAAGTCTTACCCGCAGGCCTGGAAGCATTCCCGACCAAGGACTCGAGCACGTTGTCTGAACGACGCGATATGATTGGCTGAGCTCAACCTCTGCTCTTCGACGTCGAAAACCGAATTTCTCAACTCACTTGGCAGTTGAGGCTTGCGGATGGCGCGGCGGTCGTTCTTGTTTTCGTCATTGGCAAAGCTTTTTCGCATCAGTCGAGAAGGCTTGTCTGTGTCTTGAGTTTTGAAGAAAAAAGCATCTAAAGGCGAGTTTTTGATGGTGAGAGGGAAAAAGTCGGAGTTGAGCGTGACATAAGGCCGACAGTAGATTTGCAGCAAAATCTGGGCGTGGATTTCCACTTTGACGTTAACTCAACGCGATTGCCCCACGACCGCTTCTTATGCCCCGATTTTCGATGGCCGCTGGGTTGTTTGGCGCTTGTTCGGCCCACCAGACAGGCGCTTTGTCCAGCTGAAGTTGGCAGGTGCTCGCGTGCCCACAGCGGTAGGCGAGCGTTCTGGTGAAGAAGAAAAAATTGGGGCTCGGGTTGAGGTGCTTGGACATCATCCGCGGCCTGACAGGTCTGAGCTGGTTTTCATACAAATGTAGATCCCCGCCGTGCTTTCTCTCTCTCTTCCAACCACTCACGTCCCGTTGTGTTGCACGTTGTCTTTCGAGGGTTCCGTTGATTCCGGTACATCCTCCAATTCACTCCCTCCTTCACTACCTTCAAATACGGCATCGTGCATCGTGCATCCTACTCCAGTCGATTCTTCCACAAGCACCTCGTGCAGCTTCCCGCCTCAGTAACGACCCTCCTGTAACACACTCCAGGACTCGAAAAAGAAAGTCTGCCGTCTGCACATCCGTCATCACTCGCCATCTTCTAGCTCGAAGCATATCTTAATAAGGGAGGCCTTTGTCGCTTCACCTACCGAACTACACATCACACACCTGCAGTCCCATCTTCGAGGACAAAGCAGCAACAAAATGTCATCATTACGCGACTATGGCCTTGCGGCCCCTCATGGACCCAACATGGACACCCACCACGTTGCAACTGAGCAGCTCTACGCCATGAGCCAGAACGAGCAGGGCGTCTTCCAAACAATTCTCAAGCCTGACGACAGTTACGACGAGAACGGCACATACTGGGCTGATATGCCCATCCTTCAGAGGATCAAGTTCGTCAACAAGGTCAACAACGCAGAGGCGAAGAGAGAGGCGTCGGCGACATGGGCCATGATCAAAAAGGATCCCCTGAGTCCTCTTGGTTACTACATGCGCAACATGGTCATTCCCGGCATGGGTCTTCTTCTCGAAGGTTACGTCCTCTTCTCCATCGGCAACATCAAGCCTCTTCTCCAAGCTGCTTTCCCTGCTTGCTGGAAGAAGGAGACTGTCTGTGACGGTACCTGGATTGCAGCTCTTGAATACCTCGAAATTGTCGGTATCATTGTTGGTCAAATCCTCGTCGGCATTATTGGTGACTGGCTCGGTCGTCGCTGGGGTCTGATCCAAGATGCTGGTATCATGTTCGTCGGTCTTCTCATGCTCACTGCTTCTTGGGGAACCACCCTCAATGGCTGGGTCATCTGCTACGTCTGGTCTCTGTTCTTCTACGGTGTTGGTGTCGGTGGTGAATACCCAATGACTGCAACTTCCGGTATGGAGAACGCTGTTGGTTCTGGAAAGGTTTCGACCAAGGAAGACCGTCTCCACCGTGGTCGCAAGGTCACCTCGGCTTTCTTGATGCAAGGTTGGGGCCAGTTTGCCAACCAGGTCATTCTGATTCTCCTCTTGCTCATTTTCCACGGCTCCGGCAACCCTCCCTACTCCAAGGTCTCGACTCAGTGGACCTACCGTGTCTCATTCGCCATTCCCGCTGTTGGAACTCTCTGGCTCGTCTACTTCCGTACCTTCAAGATGCGCTCTGCCTCAAAGCAGCTCGCTGCTGCAAAGAAGAAGTCCAACGTCACCGGATACGACACTGAGTCTCTCAAGCTTACCCTTACCCACTTCGGTCCTCGTCTGATCGCAACTGCTGGTGCCTGGTTCGCCAACGATGTCTTCTTCTACGGTAACAAGCTCTTCCAAGCCGAGTTCATTTCCGTTCTCCTTCCTGGCAACAAGTCCGTCATGGTTGGCTGGCTTTACAACTTGGTCAACGTTGGTGTTTCGCTTTGCGGTTACTACCTGGCCTCCTTCTTGATCGACAACAAGCTCTACGGACGCAAGTGGATGCAGATCGTCGGTTTCTTGCTCGACTTTATCCTCTTCGTTGTACCCGCATTCAACTTCGAATACTACACTAGCACTTCAGGAGTCCACGCTTTCCAGGCAATGTACTTCCTGTCATCCTTCTTCAACCAGTTCGGCCCCAACTCCGTCTCTTTCCTTGTTGCCGCTGAGGTCTTCCCCACCCCCATTCGTGCTACTGCCCACGGTTTCAGCGCAGCCGTTGGAAAGCTCGGTGCTCTTCTCGCCGCCGTCCTCTACAACTACATTGACACCCAGACCAAGTTCTACGTCGTTCCCTGGTTTGGTCTCGCCGGTGCCGTCGTCACATGGCTCTTCCTCCCCGATACCACCGGTCTCGATCTCAAGGAGCAGGAACGTCGCTGGGCCTTTATCCGCGTCGGCAAGGGTGACGAATACCGCGGTGTCGCCATCCACCCCAAGCACTTGTCAGTATGGGAGCGCTTCCGCGGCGTCGGCAAGAACTACAACGCCGAAGTCGACTACCAACAGCGCGTCGAGGAAATGCGTCATGAGTGGGAAGAGAGCATGGCTTCCAAGGTCGCCGAAAAGGAAAACAACATGGATCCCGACATTGTCGATGACGAGGACTGGCACAGCGAAATTTCCAGCTTCTTCACCCGCTCCAAGAACGGACCCCGCGGCGCTCAATCCCCTCTCATCTCCCCCATGATCCGCGGTAATGAGAGACAAACTCCTCTGCCCTCACCCATGATGAGGGGGATGGAAAAGAGAAGTCCCATGCCCAGTCCCATGATCCGCGGCCAAGTCAAGGAAGAAGACGAGTCTGATGAGGCTTTGAATGAGAAGCGATAGTTTGCTATTCTCTCTCTCTCTTTCAACCTTTTCTAGTCTTTCTCTTCATTCTTCTCCAGCGATTTTAGCGACATGTTGGGAACCATTCATCAAAAAATTGGGGCTTTGGCGTTTTCTTCTTATAACTTGATACCACGATTACGAAGACTTGTAGTTGGATGCGAAAACAAGCGTATATATATTTCATGAAACTCTCGAGGAGTACAAAACTTATGTTTTCAAACACTTTTGCGCTTTTCTTCTGTGACGGTTGTAGTACTTGAAAGATTTTTGACATTGAAGATTGTTCGCCGGGTATAGCAGACCAGCTTTGTTGTGTGCGTTCCACGATACCAGCCTCCGCTCATACCTTATGTCGACGATTTTAATATGCGAAATCAGTTTCAAGACAAATATGCCTCCTCGATTCGACTCGAACATGTACCCCATGCAGCACTCTACCAACTTTCCTATTCCTCACCCTCACCAAAAGGGAAATTAAACTTCAATAACCCATTCAAGCCTCCGACCCAATGATCATGCCCCTCTGCTCCTTCTTTGCCACCACCGGTCCTGACGATACTAGGTACGCCGCCACCTCCCCAGGTTCTTTCTCCTGATCTGATTTCCTCGCCTACGACTCTGACTTCCATGCCTCTGGTCAAGCCTTTTTCACGACGAACGCCATCGACAGATAACTCGATTTCGTCGGAGCGGTTTTTAGGAGACAGACGGAGGGTTATGGGTGTGTTTGCTGGAAGCACTAGAGGGCGGAAGGAGAGGGAGCGAGGACAGATGGGAGTGAGGAGGAGGGAGGAGACGAGAGGGTGGACGATGCTGCCGCCTGAGGATAGGGAATATGCTGTTGATCCAGTAGGCGTGGAGATTAATAATCCATCAGCCACCGCTTCTGTCAAAAACCTGCCTCCGACGTAAATGTTGATGATACTGAGATGGGGTGTTCTGCCTCTATGTAGCAGGACCTCATTCATGGCGAAGACATCACAGTTTGCATCTGAACAGTCCGAGGAACACATTGGTGCTGAAGGGTCGGCGTGTGTGATGGGGGTCCCGTCTTCTGCGAAGATTCCCACTTTCAATCTGTTCCTGAGTAGGACGCGAGACGAACGTGATGGGCCCATAGACATGCCGCGGACGGATGACCAGCCTGAGAGCATCTCTTTCTGCTTTGATCCAGCCTCTGTCTCCAGCAGAGCGCTGCCGTAGCCAGCGGTTGCGCCGGACATGTAGACTTCGCGGAGAGCGCGCTTGTAATCGGAGAACTTCCATTCGCCGAGGAAGCCTAGGGTACCCATGCTGAAAGAGAGAATAGGAGGGACATTTTGCGCATTCGCGAAGAGGGAGGAGGCGTGGAGGATGGTGCCGTCGCCGCCAAGGGTGGATGTCAGGTCGACTTTGTCTTGCAGACGTGCATGTTGCGACTCTTGTAGGGTTGTGTAGATGGGGAAGGAGAAATTGTCGTGAATAGTACTGGCGACTTTTGGTTCGAAGATCAGAGAGACGTCTGGGTAGGTCGAGTGGATGTGGTTTGCGTATTCATGGACGGCTTCATCGACGACTTTGGAGCCATTCTTGTGGACGATCAGGATGTTACGAGGGGGTTGTGGCCACTGCAGAGATAACAAGTCGAGATGTTTGGTCTCTGCGATAGACGTGTTAGCGTCATGATGTCTCAGCACGTGGATGGTATTAGAAAGTACCTTGGTATGAAGGGCGAATGCGGTCTGGCAAGGCAGCAATGTCGCGAAGCTCACGGCGGACGGCGGATTGCGAAAAGCATCTCCTGGCTGGACTGAAAAAGCATCTTCTGGCGACGTGTCGCACAAGATGCAAACATGGCCGTGTCATTCTTCCATGATGGAGTGTTGTAAAGGTGTCTGATGATCACGCATGTGTCAGCGTGGTGGAACATGGCGGGGCATGTGAAGCTTGCACTTCCATCATGACGCGATGCTCCTTCGTCTTCTTTGTCCCACCTTCAGCACGTTTTTATTCTTATTGTGCTTCCTTGCTCGATGCAACCTCCTGCTGCTATCCGTGTGTCATAGTCCCACCTCCACTACATGCCACTGTCGCAACCACAGACATGTCGCGCATCAACACCGAGGGCATCCGCCAACGACCCCTGCCTGCCTCACACAATCCCGAAGCAACCGAAGACGCCGAAGTCAATCTCACCTCCCCAAAAGACTACCTGAGCGAGAAAGATCACCCTGCAGGCCCAGTCAAGCATGGCCCTCCTATGCAATATTTTCGCATCGCCGTCTTTGCCGTCTTCTTCTTCATTGCTGCCCTAGGCATCCATTCCGCCCAGCTCCTAGGAGCTCCCCTCTACTTTTACAACAAAGATTACTTTTACGCCTGGCAAGCCGTGTGTAAACAATACTTCGCCCTCGTCCTCATCACAGGAACCTACCTCTTCGCTCCCACCGTCATCCGCATCTCCGGTGATGCCAGTGTTGCTGGTCAGCTGCGCCAATTCCCTGACGGCCGTCTCGAATGCGATTTCCCCGAGCGCATGGTCTTGATCGCCAATCATCAGATCTACACCGACTGGACCTATCTATGGTGGGTCAGCTACACAGCTGCCTGTCACGGTCACATCTACATCATCCTGAAAGAGAGCCTGAAATACATTCCTATGATTGGACCTGGCATGATGTTCTACAACTTCATCTTCATGAGTAGGAAATGGGCAAAGGATCAACCTCGCCTGAAACACCGACTCCAAAAGCTGTCGACCAGACATACAGGCCCCATGACCGGACGGAAAGACAAAAGCGGCTTGGATCCAGCTTGGCTGTTGCTATTCCCCGAAGGCACGAATCTAAGTCCAAACACAAGAAACTCGTCAAAGAGATGGAGCGAAAAGAGCGGCATCCCAGATATGAAACACCAACTACTTCCCAGAAGCACTGGTCTACATTTCTGTCTCGAAGAATTGAAGGATGGAGTAGATTGGCTCTACGACTGCACAATCGCCTACGAAGGCGTCCCTCGCGGCAGCTACGGCGGTCAACTATACACCCTCCGCAGCGTATACTTCCAAGGCCGCGCTCCAAAATCAGTAAATATGCACTGGCGTCGTTTCCGCATCGCAGATATTCCCTTGCATTCGAAAGAAGAAACGGAAGAATGGTTGCTTCAAAGATGGAGGGAGAAGGATGATTTGATAGAGTATTATCTCGAGCATGGACGGTTCCCTGCTGATCCTGCTGCTGTGGATCCTGTGGATAAACCGGAGGATGAGAGGAAACATGCCAAGTATATCGAGACGGAGGTTAGACCCAAGTCTGCTTGGGAGCCGTTGCAGTTGTTTGCGCCATTGCTTTCGGCGTATTTGTTGTGTAATATCCTCATCAAGCTGATCAATCTGGTCTTGACTGGGAGATTGAGCTCGGATTAGATATGCTTACAGAAGGATATGGTTGGGTAGATGGGCACGGAACAAGAAGGAGACTTTTGATCATTGGCGTTGGTCGGATGGAGGTTGGACATGGATGTGATTCTTCGTTCTTCTTTTACATGGAAGAAATGTGCCTTTGGGTTAAGAGGGCATGCTTTTGTTACATATACCCGCTCTCTGCTCGGATGCAAATGCAAATACACAGATACCACTGCATTTTCTTGCAACTCTTTCCCTCTCCATCCTCCAAGGCCAAACGCAGTGACCAGGACTGTACGAAAAAGACACACAAGACAAGGTACTCCCCCCCTTACAGAGCGAATCTAGTCCTGACCTTTTCATCACCAGCCCTCCATTCCCATTCTTGACCACTTCTTCTCTGAATACCTTTATCGATTCTCCTCAACTTGAGCGTAAACCTCGGTCCCAACTCTTGCAATCCAGCCCTGATATCCTCCACACCTTCCACCAACTTTCCATCCGGCCCCACGATCGATTTCTCCGTAGCCCTCTTATCTCTAAACACATATCTGTGTCTGCGGACGAAAATGTAATCGCGCTGGTTGTGCAAGGTGACCACTTGTCTTCCCTGGATTTGAGGTTGAGGGGGGAAGATTTGGCGGAACAGGTGTGCTGTCAACAGACCCAGAGGCGTGCGGAAATTATTGAGGATCAGTTCTGGATCGTGGGAAGTTGGGTTTCCGTGGCCGGGGAGTTTGGCACCTTCGACCCAATTGCTGATGCTGAAGTGAAACATGGGGCCATGGGGCAAATGCACAATATCCAGACCCGCGGGTTTCTTCTGATCTTCGTTCAAAATGACGACATGAGTGAAATTGCGGTTTGCGGCGAATGAAGAGATTTCGGAGATTGAGTATTTGTGGGCGTGGAAGTGTGCTGTGCGTTTGATGTAGACGGAGTTTGGGAAGAGGGATGTGAGCAGCGAGGCTTCTTCGTGGAGAAAAGAGTTTATGCTTGTGGTGATGAGGACTTTGGGGTCTTTGTCGTTGTGCTCGAATAGCGGGGGGAATTTGGAAGCCAGACCTTCGGGTGTGAGGGAGAGGTTTGTTGCGGCGGTTGAGGGGGTTGGTGAGGGAGCGCGAGGTTTCTTTGCGGCTTCGGCTTCGTCTTTCTTTTGTTGTTTGGCTGCTTTGGCATCTTCGTCGAGGTCCTCGTCTTCTTCTTCGTCAAAGTCAATCATGCTGTCTGCATCACTGTCCTTGTCCTCCTCTTCCTCGTCACCATCCTCTTTCTCTTCGTCTTCCTCATCCTCAACCTTCCTCCTCTTGATAGCGTTCAGATCCACACTCAATCCCAATCTATCGCTCTCTTCGCTAGGATCCGCAGTATCCCAAGTTCTCTTGCGATCGATCGTCGCAGGCACATTCTTCGCCCTACGCGCTTCTCTCAAAGCAGGATTCTTGTCTTCGGTACGGCGTCTGCGCATGCGATCGTCGCGCTTTTCGTTCTCCTTGGCGCGCTTGGTCTTGACATGTTGTTCTTTGCGCTTGATCTTGTTGCCGATCTTGAAAGGGTTGCGGGACACCATTGTTGCGGTGCTATGTTGGGTAGACTGAAGATTGTTTGGCGGAGGAAATAAAAATTCATGGGAGGACCCTGGGAGAATTCGGGGAAGGCGCTACCGAGCAGAGGTGGTTTTGCTAGATGGTGGTTTGATGCCAAGATTTGGATCTCTCAGCGATCAGGAGTTCGAGATTGTGACAGTAAGAATACGAGAGAATGTTCTGGTCTGAAGAGAGTCCAGTGGGACGGTGAAATCATCGCACCCTCTGGGGAACTATGTCACTCACAGAAAACTTTCTGCATTACTACAGCTGGTTCCAGCGTAAGTTGGCTGCTCAAGACGCCACATAAGCAAGCTCAGACCACCTTCACTTTTTCGCCGCGATTCCAACACCGCGGTCAAACGAGCAAACAGCATCCGTGTGTGTGCCATATCTCGTTATTTGACTCACCCTCACTATCGCCATATCCCACTGCACTTATATGTTGAAACACCTCTGTCAGGTCACAAATAGGCAGTTTTATTCTTCACTCCCGGCTACAACCAGAGCCTTTTCATCCACACCTATCGAGTTTCGCGCGGTTGTACAGACACGCTCGAGAAACATACCCACCATGTCTACCGACTATTTGACCCAGAAGGGCCAGGCCTTTGACAGAGCCGCCTTTGAGTCTCTGTTGCGCCGTAAGGTGTTCTTGTGGCAGAGTTTCGAGCCTTATGGTTCGGTCAAGGTATGTCTAATGTAATGCTACTGAGTTTGTGCAGCAACCTACCCATGAGGTGTATGGGCAATTTCATGGCATCTGGGAGCAAATTTGACATGAAAGAATGATTGGTTTCTGATGTTTGTTGTATAGGGTCTTTTCGACTATGGACCTCCTCTTGAGCAGCTCGAATCTCAGGTCATTCAGATCTGGCGTGATCACTTCATTCGCTCCGAGAAGATGATGGCATTGAAGTGCTCTATGCTTACTCCTTATGAAGTTCTGAAGACTTCTGGTCACGTGTGAGTAGATTCTGACCATTTGACCATTTTCATTGCATTACTGACGTGTTTACAGTGACCGTTTTGCCGACTACATGTGTACGAAATGATCCGGAAACACTAAGATTTTGAGATCACGGAATACTGATAATGTACAGGCAAGGACCCCAAGACCGGTGAAATTCTCCGTTCAGACCACTTGATCGGCGACGTGCTCGAGGCTCGTCTCAAGTCCGACAAGGAGGCTCGTGGTGAGAAGATCGAGGAGAAGGAAGAGGACCCCAAGAAGAAGAAGAAGCAGGCAAAGGCCGCCAAGGGTGCCGTCAAGCTTGACGATGCCGTCCGCAAGGAGTACGAGCACACTCTTGCCATGCTCGATGACTTCACCGGTGAGGGTATGGGTGAGCTTATCAAGAAGTACGACATCCGCAACCCTACCTCCGGCAACGAGGTCGAGCCTCCTGTTTCAGTCAACCTCATGTTCCAGACTCAGATCGGTGCTTCTTCCAACTCTCCCGCTTTCCTCAGACCCGAGACTGCTCAGGGTCAATTCCTCTCTTTCCAGAAGCTCTTGGAGTACAGCGATGGTCAACTCCCCTTCGCTTCTGCTTCCATTGGTTACTCTTTCAGAAACGAGGTTCGTATCTCCATAAGCTTCTTCTTTGATAATTGCTGACAATTTGCAGCTGTCTCCTCGCGCTGGTCTCCTCCGTGTCAGAGAGTTTTTGATGGCCGAAATCGAGCACTTCGTCGACCCTGAGGGCGGCAAGGCTCACCCCAAGTTCCACACCGTTGCTGATGTCAAGCTTCCTCTGCTCAACCGCAAGACCCAGTCTTCTGGTAGCACCAAGCCCGAGATGGTCGCTATTGGTGAGGCCGTCAAGACGAAGTTGGTCGACAACGAGACTCTTGGTTACTTCCTTGTTCGCATCTACCAATTCATGGAGAAGATCGGTATCGACATGAACAAGCTCCGCTTCCGTCAACATATGGAGAACGAGATGGCTCACTACGCTTCCGACTGCTGGGACTGCGAGTTGCTTAACAGCTACGGCTGGACCGAGTGTGTTGGCTGTGCCGATCGCTCTGCTTACGACTTGTCTGTTCATGAGAAGGCTACAGGAACCAATCTCCGCGCCCGTGAGCAGCTCAAGAACCCTCAGACTATCGAGGAGTGGGTTCCCGTCATCGACAAGAAGAAGGCTGGTCCCAAATTCAAGAAGGATGCCAAGGCCATCGAAAACGCTCTCGAGGCTCTCTCGCAGGACCTGAAGGAGAAGCTCCAGATCACTATGGAGTCTGAGGGCAAAGCTGAGGTCCCTGTTGAGGAAATCGCTGCCGGTAAGGTCGAGATCGACCTTTCCATCGTCAAGTTCGAGAAGCAAAAGAAGACCATCACCTTCCGCGAGTTCGTGCCCAACGTCATCGAGCCCTCATTCGGTATTGGCCGCATTCTCTACTCTCTCATGGAGCACAGCTACTGGACTCGTGAGAACGACGAGGCTCGTTCCGTCCTTTCCTTCTCGCCCGTCGTTGCCCCTATCAAGGTTCTCGTCTGCCCTCTTCAGAAGGATCCCAAGTTCGCACCCCTTATTGCCAAGCTTGAGGAAGCTCTCGACAACAAGTCTATTTCCTTCAAGATCGACCAGACTGGTGTCAGTATCGGCAAGCGCTACTCACGTAACGACGAACTCGGTATTCCCTTCGGTATTACCGTCGACTACGAAGCCCTTGACGACGGTACCCTCACTCTTAGAGATCGCGACTCGACTAAGCAGGTGCGCGCTAGCCAGGCCGATATTGTTAAGGCCGTAAGCAGGATGGTGAAGGGTAAGGAGACCTGGGCCGACGTTGTCGCCCGCCTGCCAGCCTTTGAGGGCCAGGAGAAGGAGACCGCCGAGTAAGGGGCCTCTCAGTGGACTATCATCTGTTTGAGAAAACTTTGTGCATTGCGACAGCCTCTAAGAAAAAGCGCGACGCATGTGGTGTGAGATCTAGGTAGATCAAAAAGAACAAAACTGTTATCATTCATCCAACATGTGTAAGTTATGCCTTCTTTCCTTCGCGGCGCTGCGTCGCAATTTATTGCTTGGCATGCAGTCAACCAATCCTTGCGATACCCGTTACACCAGATTTGAGGTGTGCCTTCCTCACCAACATTTTCTTTCGTGCATTTGTTGATTTCGCAGTCACCTTTACAGCCTACTCGCTCCTTCCAATCTTCGCAATTTTCTCATTAAACGCGTGACCTTGCATATTCTTGATTACATCACATTGACGAGTAAGCGTTTGTACTAGATCAGCTGTGGCCTGATACCTTGGCTTCGTCCACCTCGAACTTGATCAATGATCACATCGACGTACGTGTTATTGCTCTTTGACATCTCATGTTCAAGTCCTGCTGCATTCTATGAAGCTGACCTGGAGTAGTTTCCTAGCCAGCCGAACTTCGATGCATTCTATACCAACCGCAGACCCAAGTTGTGAAGTCATCTCTTCCATCGAGTAATAGCAAGCATCTGCAGGTCAACACGAAATCGAAACAATCGGACGTGCTCCTTTACACTCCTCAAGATGGCTCAAGTCTTGAACGCACTCTGGTTCTACGTGCTGAACTCAACCTCAACATTCATTATCGAGCTGCTTGGCACACTGAGCATCCAACTGGTCGCGTTCTGGCTCCCGTCGATGCTGCTCCTGAGCCTGGACAAATGCTTTCCTTCGTTCTCATTGAAGCATAAGATCCAGTCACGACCACCACCAACCTCTGCCCAGATCCGCCATTGTATTTTGGTAGTCACACTGAACCAGATGCTCATGGCCACAGCAAAGATCTTCGAGCTTGTCATCCTACGTCCTCTCGCGCGACATTCTTTCTATCGCTTCGATTCTGTCGTACCTTCTGTGACTGAGATCACCCGCGACATCGTCCTTTGCATTCTCGGCTGCGAGATCATCTTCTACTATTCCCATCGCCTCTTGCACATCAGGACTTTCTACCAAAGCATACACAACCAGCATCATCAATTCAAAGCTCCAATCGCTTTTGCCGCCCAATATGCGCACCCACTGGAATATCTCTTCTCCACAATTCTGCCATTCTGGCTTCCTCCACAGATCCTGAGCTGTCACATCATCACCTGTTTCTTGTTTTGGACGGTAGCTACGGTGGAAACGGTGATTGCACACAGTGGATATGACTTTTTCACGGTTCTCTCAAAGAAACATGACCTGCATCACGAGAAGTCGAGAGTCAACTTCGGCACTTTGGGATTCTTGGATTGGCTTCACGGTACTGGCGCATGAAACGGATATTTTGACAAGCATGCACAGATCTACTTACGAAAACAGTGGTTAGAAGAGCAGAAACTCCGAGTCATCGTTCCCTGGCCGCTTAACGTTACGTCCTAAATGTAAATTATAAAGAAGACATATCATGATATTTGGATAAGCTAATCTAAACTATATATTACAGAAATATGGTTACAACATTAAAAATCATTCCATCGGTAGGCGGACATTATATACTCAGTCATCTTCGACTTCATCAAGAAGGAGTGTTCATCAACAAAGGAGATATCGAACACGAATGTTCACAAAGGAAATAGGAAAAAAGCGATCAGTCATCGGCTGATTTACACGCCAATGCGACCATCAGCTTGGACAGAGACGTCGACGTTCGAGGGAGCGACGACAGCCAAGTTATATCTGGTTTGAGAAAGTCCGTTGGTACCGCACTGGATAGTCGAACCGCAGAAGTTGACAGAAGCAAGACCGCTGACGACCAGAGTATTGACGGTAGTCTGAGCAGCAAGATTGGCGTCGATCACGGTAGCCGTACCGCCGTTGCAAGTCAATATGGCACCGCAATACTCAATGGTGTTGACAGCATCGACCACCGAAGGCGAATTTGTACCAGCCGATGGAGGAAGCAAGTTCAACTGGGTGGGTGTGGCACTTGCACCAGTCGAGATACCTACAGAACCTCCGACGGTAGCGGTGGGACGGTAAGAAGTCTGGAAGCCAGAAGGGCCATCAACGATGATGGGCAAGCCTGTTGCTTGTGCAGGGTTGGCAAGAAGGGACGAGGCGAAGCCTGCGACGGAGCTTTGAGCTGGAACGTTGAATGAAGTAGCTGAGTTGATGTCGGCGGCAAGAGAAGCGACCGCCGAAGCAACGTTGGCATTGCCAGCGCTACTTGCTTGAGCGCCTACTGACGAAGCTCCAGAGAGGATAGGAGCCCACAAGGAGGACTGAGCGGCAGAGAGAGCAGATGAGATGGCTACACCAGGTGAGGCGGCGGAACCAATTGCAGAACTTGCGGTAACACTAGCCAGGGCTGATGAATACGCAGATTGCTGAGCACCGACCAAACCACCCACGGCACCTGTGGCGCCAACGAGCAGGTTCGAGACCGCGGTCGACAAAACAGGGTCAATCGTGGCCGTCGCTCCGACAGCTGCCAAGGCGGACGAAATCGCTGCAACATCGGAAGTCACGGCAGTGTTGGCTGGCGCAGCACCACTGGAAAGAATTGATGCAACCATGGATGCGGCAGAAGTGCTGGACTGGTAGCTTGCGGCGCTCGACAATGCTGGAGATGCCTGGGCGAAGATTGAGGAGATTGCCGATTGGACAGCAGGGTTAGCGGTTGCTCGAGGACCGGCAGCAGATACTTGCGACAGGAGAGAAGCAAGAGCTGGTTGGACAGAAGGAGGAGCATAAGCCGAGAGGGAGGACAAGGAGGCCAATGCCGGGCCTACTGCGACGGCACCTCCAACGGCAGGCGCGTTCGTCACACCTGCAACGAGGGCCGACACGACTGCTGACACAGCGGGGTCGAGGGTAGCTGAAGGCGTGGCCGACACTCTGGACAGAAGCGACGATACTGCAGGGCGGACTGAAGATGGCAACTGAGGAAGTCTCGAGGCCAAGGCAGAAAGAGCTGGACCAGGAACAATTGCACCAGGGCGAGATGTCACCCCTGCAACGATTGAAGAGACCGCTGAAGATACTGCAGGGTCAAGGCTGGCAGATGGCGACGCAGAGACACGTGAGAGGATTGACGAAACTGCAGGCTGGAGTGAAGCTGGCAGACCAGGGAGCCTAGAGGCCAATGAACTCAAAGCTGGACCGACTGCAACCCCACCAGTTGAAGGAGCAGGTGTCTGGCCGGCGACAATGGCTGATACTGCCAATGAAACGCTGGCATCAAGTGTAACAGAGGGAGTCGCGTCGATCTGAGAAAGAAGTGACGACACAGCAGGCTGAATCGACGCTGGTAGCTGAGAGAATTGAGCAGACAACGAACTCAAAGCTGGACCGACTGCAACCGCACCAGCAGTAGGAACACTGATACCTGCCACGATGGACGAGACTGCCGAGGAAACGCTGGGGTTCAGACTCGCGGACGGGTTTGCCGATACTTGAGAAAGGAGCGAGGAAACGGCCGGACGAATTGAAGAAGGTAATTGCGAGTATTGCGATGCCAAAGATGACAGAGCAGGTCCAACAATAACATTTCCACCAGTAGGAACTCTGGACGATGCAGCGGCCGACACCAGCGAAGATACAGCGGATGAAAGGCTAGGGGCCAAGGTCGCCGAAGGACCTGCCGCAGATGCCTCACTGAGGATCGAAGAAAGAGCCGGTCTCACAGAGCTAGGAAGCTGGATTGCTTGGGTTGCAAGAGATGAAAGAGCCGATGTGGCTGGTAGGGGACTGACGGAAACAGGGTTGCGTGAATTTCCTACGGCACCAGCGAGAGACGAAGCAGCCACCGAGACGCTGGCTGCGACGGTTCCGGACGGACCAGCTGCAGAAACTTGTGAGAGAAGTGAAGACAAGATGGGCTGGGCTGAGCTGGGGAGTTGAGAAGCCTGGGATCTGATCGACGACAAAATTGCACCAGCACCTGCCGCATTGCCACCAAGGGTGGGAGTACGAGATGTTGCACCAGCCAACAAAGATGAAATAGCCGACGACACGCTGGGGGCAAGAGTCTCGGATGAGCCAGCAGCGGAAACTTGGGAAAGAAGAGAAGACAACACAGGACGAATGGAACTAGGCAAGTTAGAAGCTGAGGCTAACGAGGATAGAGCCGGGCCGACGACAACCGCGCCGCCTACGGTAGGGACAGCAGAGGTCAGCGGAACAAAGCCTGACGCTTGTGAGATCAACGATGAAAGTCCTGGTTGAGCTCCAGAAGGCAGCTGACTGATCTGAGATGCCAACGAGGACAAAGCCGGCTGTACACCTGAGGCTGAAGGACCCGAAGCCGAGATCTGAGACAAGAGCGAAGATACAGCCGGCAAAATCGAACTTGGGAGTGCGGAGGTCAAAGCCGAGTCAATGACAACAGCACTGGCTGTAGGCACCGCAGGAGTGATCGAAGCTAGGCCAGATACTTGAGAGACCAACGGGGACAATCCTGATTGAGCGGCAGAAGGTAGCTGGCTAATTTGAGAAGATAACGAAGACAAAGCAGGCTGCACTCCCGAGGCCGATGGGCCAGAAGCCGAAATATGCGACAAAAGCGAAGATACGGCGGGCAAGATCGAACTTGGAAGACCAGATGTAAATGCTGGATTAATAACCACAGCACCGGCTGTGGGGGCTGCAGAGGTCACTGGGACGAAGCCGGAAACTTGTCCGATGAGCGAGGACAGTGCAGGTTGGGCCGAGACTGGCAGTTGTGTGAGTTGAGATGCTAACGAGGACAAGGCAGGTTGAACACCAGTAGCCACTGTACCGGACGCCGATATTTCAGAAAGTATCGACGACACAGCAGGTAGGATTGAGCTGGGAAGCCCAGTGGTCAAGGCGGGATCAACTGTGATACCGGCAGTGATACTGGCGGTAACATCAGGTACGGCTGAATCTACCAGACCAGACACTTGTGATACAATTGCTGATAGAGCCGGCTGTGCAGATACGGGTAGTTCTGTGATTTGAGAAGCGAATGATGAGATCACCGCGTCAACACCGCTCACAGCTGGTCCAGAAGCGGAGATCTGAGCAATCAGAGAAGATACAGCAGGTTGGATTATAGAGGGTAGAGCCGTGGCCTCAGATACGAGAGAGGTAAGAACAGGTCCCACCTGGACGTTCGAAGTGATGAGGCTTAAGGCAGAACTGGCCAATCCAGATGCTTCAGCAATGATGGACGACAAAACTGGCTGTGCGGTCATTGGCAGTTCAGAGATTTGCGATGCGAGCGAAGACAATGCAGGATTAATTCCAGTAGCGGTAGGACCGGCAGCTGAGATCTCAGAGATCAAGGAAGAGATGGCAGGCTGAATCGAGGTCGGAAGCGCGGACGCTTGCGAAGCCACATTTGTCAATACCCCACCGACAGCAACACCGACTGGTACGCGAGAAGTGACATCTGCAGCAAGACCGGAAGCCTGTGATAAGATTCCAGAGAGCACAGGTCTGGCAGAAATAGGCAGGTCACTAATCTGGGCAGCCAACGAAGAGATGGCTGGATTGACCCCGGTAGCGATGGGATCATCGACAGCAGAGAGGAGAGATGACACTGCAGGCTGAATAGACTCCGGTAGTTGAGTGACATCGCCAATTAAAGATGTCAGTGCTGGTTGGACGTTTTCAGTAGCCGAGGTGGCGATATCAGAAGCCTGGGACAGAATGCTGGACAGAATTGGTTGGGCAGTAGCCGGAAGGTCGACCACTTGTGATGCCAGCGAGGACAGAGCAGGTTCAATACCAGTAGCAATAGGGTCCACAATTCCACTCAACAAGGATGAAACTACCGGCTGGATTGATTCAGGTAGTTGCGTGACATCGCCGACCAGGGAAGTTAGTGCTGGCTGTATGTTCACAGTAGCTGAAGCAGCGATGCCTGAGGCTTGATCCAGGATGCTTGATAGAATTGGTTGAGCGGAGGCTGGGAGGTCCGACACCTGAGCTGCGAGGGAGGATAATGCAGGGCTCACGTCAGTAGCGATTGGGTCGGCGATCCCACCCAAAAGCGAAGACACTGCCGGCTGGATAGATGTAGGGAGCTGAGTGACATCAGAGATCAATGAAGACACATCGACAGTGGCTGATGCAGCAATGTCCGAGACTTGACCCAACATGCTGGATAGAACCGGTTGAGCCGAATCTGGCAATTCGGTGATCTGTGAAGCCAGCGATGATAAGGCAGGGCTGATATCCGTGACGAGGGGGTCGGCAATGACATTCACCAATGACGAGACTGCGGGTTGAATAGATGATGGAAGCTGAGTAACGTCTGATGCGAGGCCAGAAAGAACTGGTTGGACATCCGCAGTTGCTGAAGCACCAATGTCAGACACACGTGAAAGCAGCGATGAGAGCTGGCCCTCAATACCAGTGGCGGTGATAGCTGCTCCCAATGAAACGTCGGCTCCGACCGAAGCTCCAACTCCACCAACATCAGAAATGATGGAGGAAAGGACAGGTTGCAATGACTGAGGCAGATCGGTGAT